GCTACTAAGAACTTTGAGGTCCATTCAAAGCCCAAGGTATTCCGTAAAAACTCTGCTATAATTTTCCCCTTGTCCCAGCTGCCTTACATGCCTGAGGACAACCTCAACCCTACCCTCCAGCAGCTGATGGCTGAGATCGCCTCCCTAAAGGCCCAAGTCAGCGCTGGAACCCACAATAACAACGACCGCCGCTCTCGCGAGATCACACCCGCAAACAGTGCTTTTGGCGGCACTGACTTCAAGCCTACCGGGTTTGCGGCCCTCCCCGCGTTTGTGCCTTTTGGCCAAGACCAGGATGCCCGCAACCCCCACTATGATAAAAAAGCTAGAGATTGGTCATTTCTTTCCTTTTCTCTTTAGCTTAAAATCTTCGTCTATAGCACCCAATGGACTGAGTTCGCCTCAATGCCTTGATCTGGTCGTGACACCCATCAATGTAGTCAGTGCGCTGCATCAAGTGACCTGACGCACAGGACGTGTTGCCGCAGCTGTACTAGATTGGGGAATTATGGGGCGGATTGAAGGATCTTTAATCCCATCAGAATTAGCTGGCGGGTCAGATTCTTCTTCCCCTCCCCACTGAGAGATTCTTACATGTACGTAGTGAAAGCAGGACTGTTATGTCCACTCCATATTTACGCTTCGTAACAGGTGGGACATCAGCATGTTGTATTAAGGGGCTTTTTGGAACGATAGACGCTGTACTACAAACGGCGATCAGGGCTATCCTACCGGTCTGGAAAACACATCCTGGACATATTCTACACTTTGAATCACAGATTCCCCAAGCAGGAGTTCTTGCAGAGTCAATAAGAGGACGTCACGGCCTACGACTCGGAAGAATAGACCAGAGACATCCTCTTGTTGGCAGGCTCCAAGTACAAGCTCGTAAGGAACCAACAAGGCTACAAAAGAGCTTCCAATTAGTCACTGACTTTCAGAGACCAATACTCATCAAGCCATCATAAAAAAAGCCCCCAATCTGCAAGGACAAAGACAAAGAAACAGAGCTCTTCAAGAAATGATTATAAGAGAGAAATATGAACACTGACCTTGTCACCTACTCGGATGGATCACAATTGGACGACCAAGGCACAACCCGCACTGGATGGGGTTACACAATCAGGAAAGGCGGCACTATACAAGAAGTATATCAGGGAGAGGACAGACTTCTACAAGCAGAAGTAATAGATGCTGAAGTCCATGGCGCTCTCTAAGGTCTTGTAGCAGCCAGGGCAATTGGACGCAGAAAACGGCTATATGTCTGCCTAGACAACACGTCAGTGGTAGATGGGCTCAATAGGACTCCACCCGAGATATCACAGATCATTTTTCTACGATTCTAAGAACTCGCCACAGCACGCACTCCTTAAGTGACCGTCAAGTGGATTCTTGGATACAGAGATATCAATGGCAACAAAGTTGCTGACAAATTAGCAAAAGAGGGTGCCATGCTAGAAACGGACGCAACAAACCTTCCCACAATCTCTTGGGTAAAGAGAGATCTCAAAAAGAAAGGCAAGAAAGAATTCGATCAATGGTAGAAAGACCAATCAGAACCTAGGTATCAAGAAGTGTCACAACAAGCGTACTGAGGAGCTGGGACATGGCCGGCAGCAAGCAGCTATTACTCTATTAACGAGAATATCAAGACTAGAGAGGAAAGGAAGAGAGAGAGAGAGATAGATACAGTGGGAGGTTGCCCCTTTAAGGGGATCCTCTGGTCAGAACCTTCCCCTATTAGGAAGTATCCGCTTGTCATGTGAGAAGGTCTGTGCAGGCCGTCACAAGAAGTATACTCACATGCAGTAACTAAAAAGGACCTTATATCTTTTGAAAGGAGCACTCTACACAGACTTCTAGCAGCCAGATCTGGACATGGCGATTTTGCTAGATATCACGAACGTTTTGGGCATATAGACTCGAATGATCACTGCAGCTACGGTGAGAAGAAAACACCACAACACATTTTCTTTTGTAAGAGACTTGGGAAAAACCGACTGTTGCCCAGCTATTCGCCTAGGGCAGCCTGTTTACAATACTTGGGGGAGAGGAGCGCGGAATGGGCAAGATTTGTTAAGAAGAGCAAGTTCTTTTCATCAATCTGCCCCCGATAGATAGTTGTTCTTGAAGGACCAGATGGATGACCCAAAAGTCATACAGCTACAACAACGGGGATGGACTCATGAGCGGGACTGCTTGGACTTGGAATGCGATATCAATGAGGACTGCAAAGCCATAGATCTCTTGACCGCGATATTCCAGGATACTAAAATACGGAAGGATCGCTATGTACCCGTCTCCTGCACGAAGTGTTGTGGTAGCGGGGGAACGCATTTCTTTTTTGGTAAACTAAAGAAAGGGAAATGCAAATTCCAATAGTTATTTTACAGAGCAGAGATATCCAATCGATCCTAACACGCTCGGTGTTAAGGGTTTACACCCATTCAATAGACTTTGTCTCTCCCAAGGGGCCTCCCAATCAAGAGACTCATGCTCATTTTCATGCCCGATTAACTGGCTACTCTCTAATGACTTGATGCGAGGAAATGACTATGATCTTTTATCAGTCGCTAGCACGATGGCGCTTACCTGTGCTCTTATAGTACCGCAGAGCGCACCCAGGTCTACCCGTAGTCAACTGAGCTCCGAGGCAATCGTACGCAGCTCGGATGGCAATGTGTCTCGACGGATTCCGATAATAGCGGTCGACTATAGCTTGGCCCGTGGGTAAATATCGTGGTGCTTTGAAGATAGGGGTGACAATTTTGAGAAACCAGGATGTTGATGCTTTGTGGATGAGCTCGTCAGCCGGATAGATACGTAGTGGTGAGTGTGCTTACAGTGTCAGATTTGAAAGTGTTTTATATTGGAAGAGAAAGATGTAAATCTCTAAGGGGAGAAACCCCCATTATCTAACCAGTAATCCCTCAAGTGACCAGAGAATCATAACAGACAGGTCCAAATTGGACCAATCAAAAGCCAGGGTTTACAGGGTTGTAAGGCTGTTATAAATGTCTTGGAGCTAGCGCTCTAGCGCATACAGCCATTAAAGCTACCTGACAGCCCGTCTTATAATATTATCAAACACGCCTTCCTAAACTGAAAGTATTACTATAGCTGTGACGGAACGCTCACCATAACCACTATGCCACGGCTGTTCCTCCCAAAAGGATGTTGAATATCAAGCGTGGCAGCTTGACATTCAATGGTGGTACATGTACTCATGTCCGGGCTCCAAGACTCACCACATGGGCTACCTGTACCAGACCATGACAATAGCTAATTTATTAACCTTATAACCTTAAAATGTTATAACACGCTTAAATAACGCATTATAGCATATTCATAAATATTAAAAAGGTAATTATAAGTATAGTTATACTTTAAAAGGTCTTATAAAGATTAATTAACGTATAATTATACGCTAATTGAATGTGTTATAAAAAATTAAAAGCTTTAATAAAAAGCTTTTGTTGGATCCATGTGATTTCACAGTCAAACCAACTATACAAAACACACATGTATGATTAGATAAGAGATTGGATACCAGATTATGAGGTCACTTAGCCAGACCTGCAGGTCCAGCTAGACTTCCCAATCCAACCATCAGCAACATCATGACCTTTACCCCATACTCGAGTATTATGATTGATCGTTCAAGCCTGTTCCAATAGCTTTAATATATAACTATATATTAATTAAAGTATTATAACATCTTTATACCTTGTACTTAATTCAAATAAGTGTTAATAGCTATAAAAATTGGTTAGATTTCTGAAGCGAGCAAGGATATGGGTCAAATATGTTGTTGTACGTGAGTTGGCTATCTAGCTAAGTGGGTGTGACGGCCTGCACAGACCTTCCCACATGACAAGTGGATACTTCCCAATAGGGGAAGGATCTGACCAGGGGATCCCCTTAAAGGGGCAACCTCCCACTGTACCTATCTCTCTCTCTCTTCCTTTCCTCTCTAGTCTTATATTCTCGTCAATAGAGTAATAGCGTGCTTGCTTCAGGCCATGTTCCAGCTCCTCAGTATGCTCGCAATGACAGTGGGAGGATTGCATCCATTATATGGTAGCCGCTCTCTTATCTTATCTATCTAGCCGCACTCTGATTGGCCAGGGCACTCACTTACAGTGGGCCCCCCTGGTAACGTGTGTCAATTCGCTTTTATTATAGCTTTAATAAAGCTATTAATTAGTATATGGCTAATATTAAAAAACTTTAAAACCCTATATTTAACTTAGAGATTCTTAACGAATATAATACTTCTATATGTATACATATTTTGTTCGGCAATAAAATTCGGTGTTATTAGTAAAATAAATAGCTTTAATATTATTAAAATATAATAAGTGTGAGGATTGTGGTAGCAGTATAGTGGCAGTCAAGGAGGCTGCCAGCTAACAAGGTCAGGTAGGCACCTTAGCAGAATAAAGGGATGAAAGCACCAGGAAAGGTGGCTTTCATTGGTGATAGACAAGGGATCTTTGGCTAGTGGATCAATGGATGGGTATATCTTTGTATTTTAGTGTGTATTTAGTACTAGATTGGTCCTCCAGACCCATGGATAAAACGCAACGCACTATACCGATCATCACCCCCATGTCCCGACTCTGATGATCCGATAATAAGAAAGTATTCAGGTTAACTGCTGGGTCATGACCAAGACGTCTCCAATCGCGAACGTAGATATGTCAAAGTAGTTACTTGTAATAAGAAAGCAGACGCTGTAGCCTCGAGTCTGGTGCCGCGCTCATCGATATTAGACACAGTGCGTATATACAGTCAACGGAGGGGGGCTCGGTCCACCAGACGCTGTGTCACTGTGCGAATTCCAGCCATGCTACTGTATCTACCACTCACTGCTCAGCCACTGTGGCTTCGCTTCAATTGTCAACTTCAAAACTCCTGAGATCGAATTTGCAGGTCATGACTCATCCGACATTCGCGCAAAGCGTACCTACCTTAAGGTATGAAATCATAGCCCAACTATGTACCGGCGGTTACTAGGATTGCGTGGCGCGAAGCCGATCGCACCTGCCCGTATCAGGGATCCTGTGGAAATCCTAAACCAGGAGCTCATATCCCGGGACCGCCGCCGGGGCCCCAATAGGCCGGCAGCTCGCGCGGGCGACGATACGCTTTCGGGCCGCACAACTGCCCAGGTTTACGAACTAAGACGCGTAGCTATATATCCCTCGGACCCCGTGTTCCGGGATCACACTCCAAGGGACCCAAGGAAAGACGACTCCAAGCGACGCGCAGAAGGACGACGCAGGGGGGAAGACGCCTCCAAGCGACGCGCAGACCAACGCTGGGAAGACGAATACAAGCAGCGCGTAGGACGGCGCAAGAAGAGTCGGCCGTCATTGTACTCTCCCACCGTCGACTACTGCAACACCCGGTACGCTAAGACAGGCACCGAGTACATGCGTGTATCAAAACGCATGAATGAGAAAATACATGAATTTGGGCGCTCTGGCAGGTTGCCGGCAATTGAGCTCACAGAAAAGACCACCCGGTTATTGGAACGGCACACACGAGTGCTCCAAGAAGTCGAGTTGCGTCTGGTAGACATGCGGGTTGGATCTCTTCTCGCCGACCTACTTCGACGTAGCAAGGCGTGGTTACCAGCCGCCTTTCGCTCCGAGATTCTCGGCATCTTGGATCGCAGCATAAACATCAAAGTTCTAGCACCTAGCCACAAGCAGGGATACAAAAAGGAGCGTCGCTCTGATCTCAACGTCAGACTGATCCAAGCTATCAGATCCCTCCAGAAGTACCGTTTCGAAGAGAGAGGCAAGACAGGAAAACAAAAGGTCAAACAGTATAAACACAAGGCAGCCTTTATCTTGAAGATCCGACAACTCAATTACGCGAAACCCCTCTTAGCCAGTATTCTGGAGTTGGCCTCGGTGGGCGGACGCCTCCGAATTGAACATGATTTCGCCACACACGAGCGGTTCGTGGAATCGTATGAGACAGCGATTCAAGGCTTATTATCCCATATGCGTCTACGGCTTCGGGGACGGACACGGCAATCGAATTCATCACTGGAAGGATCACCGAGCAACACGAGTCTGAGCTGCCAAGGTCGACAGGGTGAAGTTGATACAGGGCTTGGGAGACGATGAGCATCGCGACCATGGCAGCGGTACCGACTTGGGGCACACTGAGAGCGACTCACGTGCTGATAGGCCTGGCTTGACTGCGAGCACCACCTCTGCCGCAAGTTCACTCACCTGAAACGTCCAGCAATTGGGCTGGTTTTGTCGACTGGGGAAAGGCGTTGTACCCGGTCTTTTCAGCACTTGGTTTGGGACTATCACGTAGTCGTGTCTCATTACTCCCCTCAGAGCTTCTCTAAATACCCTTCAATTTATTTCTGCGTGGTATCTGTCTGTCCAGGAGAGCGCAAATGTCGGTGCGATGCGCCTCCATTCTCTCCCGATCTGCTACGGAGCTCCTACGGTCTATCGGGATGCAACATCTGCACAGAAATTCCATGGCGACGTCGTTTATCCCGTGACGTATCGAATAACACACAATTAATTACCTGGCGACCCACTCATCCGCGTGGAGGAGGGTTGCTTGGCCTGGGCCACGAGTCTGTCCAACGTGCTCCTAGCAAGCATCACCGTAGCTAACGGATTCCAGATCTAGGTCATCCCAGAAGCAGCTTACTCGACGTTGTACTTGCCCATTAGCAATGGTAGGAAAGAATTTATTATTGATTACAATACTAAGGTACTCTAGTTCTGCGGCATCCACTCCAGCCCAGAGTCATCGTGATCAATGTCCTCTACTTATGCGTCGGAAGGAATAGCGACCTCAACAACCTCCTCCGGCTCAGCAGGCTTCTCTTCGGTGCTGTCATTGGCTTCCGGCTCACCGGTGCGGGCTTCGGTATTGTCCTTGGGTTCCTGGGTTTCGGCGTCGGCTGTGGTGTTGTCTTCGTCTACCGCTCGAATGCTCTCCCTCTTTGTAGCGCTGGTCTCTTCAGGATGAAGCTTGGCCCGCAAAGCAAAGCAGGGACATACACAGCAGCATCTGCTGCCACCCTTGTCAGCGTCCTCCTCAGACTTCTTGTAAGCTTTTTTCTTCTCCTTCTCGGCCTCTTTCTCTTCGGCTTCAAGCTCCGCCTTTGCCTTGGCCTTTTCTTCCTCCTTGCGCTGCTGTTCTTCTCTCTCCTGCTCCCTCACCGCCCACTCTGCGATCCCTTCGGCCGCGACGCCGGGTGCGTCGCGGTGGCCGAGCAGGTAGCCCTGGAGCTATGCCGGCGTGAACTTCTCGTCCGGGATCTTGCTGCTGAACTCGTTCGCCAGAAACTCGAGTCTCTCCTTCTCGAGACCTGGGACTGGGGCCTTGTCCTTCTCGTCTGACGCGTACATTCGCAGGAACATTTCCTTGGCGGACGGTTGGCCTATCTTGCCCATATAGATAATGCGGTCGATCCGTCCCGGCCGTATCAGCGCCTCGTCTAAGTTTTCGGGGTGATTTGACGTCATGAACACTACTCGCCCTTCTGATGATGCAACTCCGTCGAGCACATTGAGGAGACCTGACAGCGTACAGCCGTATTGGTACTCTTTCTTTTCTCCCGGCTTTCTCTTTATGCCTACCGCGTCGATGTCTTCAATGACGACCATGCAGCGATCGGGCAGACGTTGAAAGAGTATCCCCAGGTTGTCATCACCCGATACCGTTGGTAGATGGAGGAGGTAGAGGTCGAGTTCGAAATGTCCAGCCAGTGCAAGCGAGAGAGACGTCTTACCAGTTCCGGGTGGTCCATGTAGCAAGTAGCCTCTGCGGTAGGGAATACCGCGCAGCCGGTAGTATCGTCGTGTTTCTTCATTGCAGTATCGGGCGATGTCTTCTACCAGTTCTTCCTTGACGGCCGGGTCGAAGTGGACGGTTTCGAGAGGCCATATTGGGCGCAAGAGGACCCCACGCCATTTAGGATTGTAGGAGCTGGGGTTGGGCACGCGAACTTTGACAAACGACTCTCTCTGGCTGTCGACGAATTGCTGGCACGTATCAAAAAAGCTAAGACACGAATTAGTTCTAATGATCTTCCAGTCACTGCGACAAGCCCCCCGCCCGGGCCTGCTTACCGCTTGATGGGTGCAACAGATCGCCCTAGGCACATGACCACAAGATGCTCAGTTTCTTTGGGGGCACCTTTGAAGGCATGCGGGGCCTTGGAGGTTCCGTCTCCGTCGAGTCTCCGAACCATGAAGAGATTACCACCGTGGAAGAACCATGTGATGCCGAAGGAGGGCATCTGCAACACGGTCAGCATCATTCCGGCGTGCAAGGGGTTAATAGGTGAGCATCATGGGAAGATTCGTACGTAGTGAATGGGTTCTCGGTCTTTTCGATGATCGCCACCGAGCTCTCTCATTGCCAGGATCTGATAAGAACCGTAGTAGCTCAAGCTCTCGGTTTGGGCCGTCAATGACCGGAGTTCCTGGCGAGGTAGGACGTGGTGCCCGAGCCAATGGATGATCTCCTGATTGAGCTTGTCGTCGCCAGAGACCGAGATGGACGACACGAAGAACTTCGCGATCGAGTTCCAGATTCGGCGGCCCAGGTCCTGGATCTGGCCGATGCCTGCTGAAGCTGCACCGAAGATACTGAGCGCGAGAGCTAGGGTCGTGAGATTGATCTTCAACCATTCCTTGAAGAATCTCTGCAGGACCTAAAATCCAGGAGCCTTGTGATCGATAAGACCGGCCACGGGAAGCCCGGCCGTACCAGTCGCCGGCAAAGACCTGCCAGAGCCAGAAGCCGGGCCGAATCAGGCTTAGGCATGGCGAGAGTGGTGCAGGAAGCGTCGAGCTGTTAAATTTGGCGTGAATAAAATTCCCACTCAGGGAGAGCTGATCGAAGGGAAAGTAGTCGAGTACGAGTGAGTGCCCGTATCCTTGTCGATGGAGGTTGGTGCGAGGGAAAGAAGATCAGGCAGGAGTCGAGCTAAAGTAGAATGCAGAACCTGGAGGAGGGATCCTTTGAGGGGCAATTTGATAGTGAATGATGTTGGAGATCACAAAAAGCGCGGGTGAAGTTATGACTGTTCCCTGGTCAAAGCACCTCGAGCCAGCAGGCCGTTAAATATTCTGGCTCACCGCGGTATACGCCCACAACGACAGCTGTAGTGCCGCTTGACCCATCTTGTAACAGCTTCTAGGGAAGATAGGGTCAAACAAGGTGGGTTCAATATCATTCAATACCTTTTCTTGAATCTACTACCCCACGATCATCGGGCGCAGTATTCACTTCGCCGATAGCCTCTGTGACGTGGTGAATCTACTGCGTCGACTGGCATATCCAGTCAACACAGTATGGTTTACTCCACGTGTCCAATATTTGCTCATGCACTTCTCTCAGCGAAAAGAACCGGACAGACCTGAGCAGTATTACCTTGCAGTGTGTTGTCCGTGTCACGTGCTCATGACTGAGATACAATGAACCCTCATAAGTCTCCGTACACCCTCCGTCCAGCATACAACGGTATAACCATCGAAGTGGACTAAGCACACTAGAAACAGCATTAAAAGTAAAGTATCAAACTGAAGCTGCCCATACCTGTATGCTTATTCCAGTATTTGAAAATCTCCTATGGGTACCTAATATGGAATCTTATCAACATGAGCGTACGGAGACTTATCATCTTATGAGAGCTGAGTGCATCACACAAGACTGATGTGAATCTTTTTTTTAGCAAGACTTCACAATATGACGAGACCCGTACCTGATTAGGCAACTGCTCTAGGCCTTTGCCGAGAACAGTCATATAGAACTTCTGGCGGGTGTCACAGAGCATGCAGAACACGAGCGGGACACCTTCATCCAAGCACGACTGGGTGGCCCTACCATTCTCTACATGCCTCCAGTCAAGTCTTGTTCTGGTTACCCCTGATTACCATCAAAACTGGTGAATAATTCAGACGGACTTGAAATAAGCGGCATCAAGCGTCTAGGATGGTATGCGAATTCGCTGAAAGTTGGAGGGTGGTGTGCGGCGGATGAACTCTTCGCACTAATACGAGCACGCAGGGTCCTCGGTAACGGGCTATTCGGTGAGAGAGGAGGACACCACCATTTCGGTCAGATAGGAGAGAGACAGAACGCGGGGGATATACACCTTTTGGTTACATGCCTAGATTGCTCATAGCACACACAGTATAGGCGTCGTGTGTAAGGTAGCTAGGCAGACGTTCGACCGTCTCGTACGAAAGCTCCCGCATCCGAAGCGGAAGCGCCATCTTCATGTGAACGTGTGGATCTTGGCGATGGGATTCCCTGTAATTGTAGATAGCATTCGAGATAGAGTATAGCTAGCCGGACTCCGTATGCAACGGGTCGCAGCATCAACGTCCAGATCCTCACGTGCCAGCGCCAAGCATGCAGTTGAACGTTCCATCCGTCGTAGGGGCCTAAACCGGAGTTCTCAGACTTCGTGTTGGATATTCGAAGCATTGCGGCGGAGGAGTGTACGTTATGATCGGCCGCACAGGTGGAGGATCGCCAGGGGATGTCGGAAGCGAAGCCAAGGGCAGCCCCTATTTCTGAAGCCGATGGATACACAATGCTGGCTTTGTGGTTCGACTCTACACGGCAGCAACGCACGAAATTTTCGTTCGTCGATGATGGGTTCGTCAGAGATAGATTAGATGCTTCCCGTAGGTGGACTGGTATCCCGATGCGGTCGCTGACCCGTTACATCGAACAGTCTATCATGTATATCAGCATTGCCAGTATCATAGTCAAGCTTGGATTTTCGGGAAAACTTTGGGATTTCCGGCCTTGCGAATACTGGGGAGAACTGCGTCAAAGAAGCCCAATCATCGAATTCTGGACCGTAGTTGGTAGTCTGACATGTTGCGCTATGGGCCCCTTCTCGACGAATGCAGGTCTTATGCCGCACGTGTTGGTATGCCAATTGAAGCAGGATCTTGTCAACAACACCTCAAAGGACGTCATCTCCTGACACATTCCTAAGGTAAGCTTGATTCTTCGAGAGATCATGATGGTGGTCTACTTGGCCGATCCCGACGCCGGCTTACTGAGGCACAGCAACCAACTGGAAGGTCGCTTGCTCAGCCGCGCCCCATCTTGGCGAAATGTGCCGCTAGCGACATCTGAATGCGGACACGGCTGTTGCTGACGAGGTCACATCCGCGCCCTCCCGAACCAACAAATCCTCTGACTGGTCTTTAGGATGATCGTTGGCATGTCACTGCCGCATCAGGTTCTGGCAAACAAAGACCACGTTTGATAGATGAATGACTTCCAGTTGAGTGACATGATGCAACAACGCCTCGAGGAGTATTCAAGCTATGGGAGAGACCTGCGCCTCTGGCTAGCAACGGTTGTGGTGATGTTTTTCGGGTGTAATCAACAGTTACCTTTGTTGACAGCTGGTTCTGACTCCTGAGATACACGATGACATGAAATCCGCGGGAAGATGGTAATGTAGTCCTTTCACTCTTCTCACGAAGTAACTGTTGGCTTCAATTTCTTTCATAAATCTCAATATGTTGGTATTCGGCTTCCTCTGAGTACCTCGTGGCCGGCTTGGTCCCTCGTAGTATAAATAGGGGTAAGCCAGGCGCCATCAACACACTCTCTTCTCTCCAAGACACGCTTCTCAGACATATCACCACTACTTCTTCTCTCCAAGACACGCTTCTCAGACATACCACCACTACTCAACGCCCAGAGGCATCAAACGATCATCTTGTTCGAAAGAAAACATCCCTTCTCAAGACAAAGTCCCACACACCGTTACCATGTGTGCAATTGTCACCACTCTCTATGAGGAGTGCAAATGCGAAGTGGGAGCGGTCCGTACAGAACTTACAGGATGCGACGGAGATTGCACCATCACGCCAGCAAATCACAGAACAGATTATGTGCCTGGTTATTGCAATACGCATCGCCTATAGACAGGCGCAAGAAGCCCTCACCATGCCTAAATCCACGGAAGACATCGAGTTCGTTGTCATTCTGATCGGCAGGCAGACTCTTGTAGTCGGGATCAACACCGAGACGACGATCTGGCTCAACTATCGCCTTCATACACAGTACTACGAGTCCACAGCTTTATACTACCACCTTTTTCACGGCGTCTTCACACTCTCGATGCGACTTGGGCAGTCTTTTCATTTACACAGCGGCTTTCAGAACTCTTAGGCTCTGATACCCCGTACCACACTTTCTTTTTGTCTCGATTTCTTTATGTTCAGGCTTGACTTCGGCCTTCTTCGTGTTTGGGTTCCAGAGGGTTGAGGCTTTTCCTTGGTTAGATTCGGTAATCTCGAGGATGGGTGTTTGTGTGTTTTGGTTTCCTTATGTTTACGGCTAGGAGTTATGTTTTATTTTGGTTTGGGTTTCCCATGTTTCGGCTCAGGAGTTTTGTTTTGGTTTCCTTATGTTTGGGTCCAGGGATTATTGTTGGTTTTGCTTTGGATTTCCCATGTTTCGGCCCAGGAGTTTGGTCTTGATTTGCTGCTCTTGTTGCGCTTCCTCGCGTTACACTTTTCAATAAATATGTCGTTCTCTGCTATTTCCCAGGGCCCTTCAGTGTGACATCCCCCGCCTTTCACGGATCTTCGCCGTACAGTTGGCGAGCAAACATATGGACTAGGTCCCTTTCTCTCCCTTCCAACCTTTCCAGCCGAAACATCAACTTCCCGTCAACCAGCTCGTTGCTATCTGCCTTGATCTCCATCACGGACGTCGGCTTATCACCCTTCTCGACCTCGATATCAAAGACTAGAGCGACGCTCTTGTACTGACAACAGGGGCGGTGAAACTCCTCTGGCGTTCCAGGCTTTCCAGCAGTCTGTAGAGGTTTGGAGAGGGAAACGTTCCCTGGAAGTGGTGCTACCTGAGTCCCGAACACCGCCTCGCTAACTTCGCTTTTGGCCACGTCCCGCGCTGCGCGAGCCTTCCGCAGCACGCTGGTAATGCTCTGGGAGGGATCGAATGGGGTCAAGGTGGGGTCGAAATGGTGAAGAGCATCGAGGTCGAGCTTGAAGAAGACTCGTACGGGCCCTTTGACAATGGGGAGGTCGATAGACGACTCGATCGACAAAATCGGCATTGTTATGATTGTACGTGATTTGCGGCGTTTTGTTCTGTTAGACTTAGCGTACAGCACGGGGGCTCTGCTTTTTGTTGTCTTTTGGGGTATTTGGGTACGGCTCCACCCTTGTGGTCGAAGAGCTTGATAATAATAAAAATAAATCGTCGTCGAGCCAAACTGAGTGACAGACCAAGGGTTTAGAAACGGCTTGAAAGAGATTGAGGGGAAGTTTGAGAGTCAAGAACCGAGAGGCACACCGGTGGAGGGGAAGTACTTAAATACCCTGACCCGGCACACCACTGAGAGGCGGAGCGATTTGTTTGGATTCATGTGAGACTGAGCCAAGTGGTCCAATCAGACTGTTAAAGTCGGGCTCTCAAGAACCAACTGCAGATACGAGGTCAGCCAATGGTACAGAGACTGTACGCTGACTTACGACCTGCTGATCAAATCTGTTCCCTGTTCTTCCAATACGTCGTTGGTCATGTCACGTCGACTGTGGTCTGCCACTCTGCTCGGGCATGTCGGCCGAGAAGGCACATCTCGGCTCCGAGCGAATACCGTTTTGCTCCGGTCGGCCTCTCGGTATTCCGTCCACGTGACGCCGGAGCCGACGGCGGGGCGCGTTACTCGTGAGCTCCGGCATAGTGTGGACATATGGGATTGTTGTGGCTAGAATGATTATATAGGAAAAGCCGGGCCACTAGCAGCTGATCACACTCCGTTTTTTCAAATCCATTGGAACAACTTACTTCACCATCTAACACGATCGGCAGCATGGCCACCAAAGGTGCAAAGTCCCGCGTCCTCATTGTCGGCGCTGGACTTGGCGGGCTGACGCTCGCTCAATGTCTGCGAAAGCAAGGCATCCCGTTCGAGGTGTTCGAGCGAGACATCGACGTTTCTTCTCGATCTCAGGGTTGGGCAATTGCGATGCATACGTGAGTATCAGCTCTACTATCCCCCATGAAGGGCAGCGCAAGAGCCAGCGCATCACACAGATATGGCCAGCTAACCCAGCGAGCGAAGTATCGTAGATGATCTGCTGCTATCCGTGTGCTCGGACATGCCGCCCCTGAGAGAATCGACTAATCACCTGGCGCCTCTCAATCTGGATGCACAGATCGCCCTCTACTACGGCGGTCGCCGTCTAGGAGTCCAGAACACACCCGAGACACCGTGTATGCGTGCGAACCGACTGCGCCTGCGAAAGTGGCTTGCCACCGAAATCCCTATCCAGTGGGGGAAGAAGCTTCAGGCGATAGAGGAGGGCAAGGGCCAGGTGACTCTTCGTTTCGCGGATGGGAAGACCGCCGAAGGCGATATCGTCGTGGGCGCCGACGGGGTTCAGAGTATTGGTTGGTAGAACCGTCCAGTTTCCCCTGTCTACCTCCAAATTCTCCCTACACCCGTGCGCCAACGACCTGAAAATCTAAGGGCATTATGTACCAGTGGAATAAGCCCTCTGGAATAAGCATTAACAGCGATCAATTGAATCACAGCTGCTTATGCCGGGGTGCTTATTCCAGACGATGCATATCAAAAATTCGGGGTTCTTGCAAGGTGCCTCGGCTAACCTGAATCGACAGTGCGCGAGTATTTGCTGCAGAAGCCAAACACTGAGACGCTCAACTACATCCCAATGGGGATCATCGTGGGCGAAACGGTCCTGTCCGGCGCCGCTATGGAGCGCCAGCTCAGCCTTGGACGCAGCTGCTATACGACTTCGGACAAGAACCGCAGCTTTAGCCTCTTCGTGGGGCTGGACAAAGTGCGTGAAGACCAGAACTCCGGGGAATTCTACTGGTTTGTCGTCTGGAACGACAATGACGTCGACAAGCCAGACCATTGGCTAAAGCGGGCTTCGACATCAGCCAAACTTGAGCACGCCCTCAAGTTGACCGAGGCGCTCGATCCGAGCTTTAGGGAGGTCGTTCAGTTGACTCCGGCCGAAGGCATTCTGGATAAGCAGATGGTCTACCGCGATGCTGAGATCACAGATCTGCCTGTTGGGAGGGTGACATTGCTGGGTGATGCAATTCACCCAATGGTTCCCTGTGAGTTGTTTTCGTGCTTCACTGCTTGGGTGTCTTAAGGTTTATTGGCTGACTCTGCTGCAAAGTTCGCGGCGAAGGTGGAATGCATGCGCTCCGGGACGCCATCAATCTCTCAAAGGTACTGAGTCAGCTTGACATGGGCGATCCTCGATCGATGGAGACCGCTATGGCATCATACCAGCAAGAGATCACCAGCCGAGGTGTCGAGGCTGTAAGAATGTCGAGAAATGCCATAACCAACAACAACTCTGGCGGCAAGATCATTTCTTGGGGTCACGAAGCCAAGCCACTCCCCGAGGAGCATGTTTCACTGGAAAGTTGCCGGACTTGACAGAATACGGTAGAACGACTTCCGCCGAGTCGTGATAAAAGTCCGAGCCGGGCCATCATCAAAAGGTCCTGTATTGCTGGTAGATCTGCAAGCTTTAGCTCTCATGAGATCAAGCAGACACAGAAGTGGTCGGTTTCCCAAATCTGGTTCCCTTCACTCGTTTCTTCATAGTTCCATTGTTCGTGTACTATTAGATCAATGGACCTAGAAAGAACCTCAATCACACGAATCGCTCGTTTCCTAGAACGTTGCCCGAGTCCATAGACGCTAGCCACCGATACTGCAGCCACTCGAGGAGACAACAACGCCGAACTCGACAGCAGGTATACTCCATTGCCGGTATCCGTTGGCTGCAGTGCTGCGAGGATACCTCCATCGTGGGCCCCGCAGCCAGGGCCGCTGCTACACTGAGCCCACAAAGTCTCCGTACACTCTTGCCCCTGTTTTCTTGAACAGCGGAGCTGGTACTGGACACAGACCTGTGAAGGTATCGATCTTTGAGAGAAATGGCATAAACCAACCCTTGGATTGACCTCTGGCGCTTGTTTCGAGGCCTGATATTGACCAGCTCCACTGTTAAAAAAAAACAGGGGTAAAAGTGTATGCCAGGGCGTTCATTCCAGCAATCTGAATATGTCAGCAATACCCATGAATCCATTGAGGTATGCCGGATGGAGACTTATGAGTGGTGACTCTAGCAAGGAAGGACATGTGCGGTCGAGGTTCATATACAGGAACAATAACGCGAGGACAAAGTACCTATATGTCCCTCGCTGTGTCTCTGCTATTCCAAGTTCTCCTACTCCAATCAAGTACTAGAAGGACCAGCCAGGCCACCAGGAGTTGGGTCATCAGAAATCGGGTCATTAGGAGTTGGGTCATTAGGGATTGGGTCATCAGGAGTTGAGTCATCGGGAGTTGGGCCAGCGTCTTCTGGTGGCTGGAAGCTGGTTGTTGTGGTTGCATACTGGTGACCGCCATTAGTGTCTTCAGCGTCGTTGCTGGCGCTCCGATCAACCTGGCCCGACTCGCCGCCTGTCATTGAGGCGGCGTCCTGGGGCACAGCTTGCTGACGGGATTGTCGCTGTTTGAAGTCGTTCCTCGCTTCGGCCCACCATCTTAGTATCCACGTCTTGCTCGGCAAAGCGCCGGGAGGGTCTCTGCGAGCCAACAACTCGCCCACGGCGTTGCGGACGACCTTTTGACTGACAGGTAGCCCGGCTTTCTGTAGCATGTAGATGTGGAAGGACAATATTTGGTTTGCGGTATCGGTGAGCTTCGTGGGTCGACCGCCGAGCCTATCGGAGCTGGCGTCCGGCTTGCCATCCTTCAAAGCCTTCAGTTGGCGCGCGAGTGACGATTGTGGTACACCGAATTTCTTGGCAATAACGCGTGTCAATAGGGGGTCGGTACGGCTCCCATATTCGGAGCCTCTGTGAGTATGGGGCGCCTGTTTTCCGTGTTTGACAAGCTCGTCGCGCTCTTTCTGCTGTTCGTAGAGCCAGCGTGCGACTTCGAGGCCGCTGGGCAGCCGCTGGGTGTCGCCAGTCGAGATGTCAGTCATCTTGGAAAGGCGACGATCGCAGGAAAGTCTTCCAATCGATGTGGGTGGGCTGGCCTGCGTGCACTTTGCAGGCGTGGCATGCCACTGCGGAAAGTCGTCCGGCCACAATTGCGTCCCGAGGTTTTGGTGCCCCTGATAGAGTGTACTAATCACTATATGCATAGTTTTGATGCTGTTGAAGTGGATAATTCGATATATGCTAGTAGTACAGAGAGCGCACAACCATCAAACCCCCAAAGGTGAATAGCATCCACCTTCCCTACTTCCTCTGCACTCTACTCTATCTTCTTGAAATAGCACGAGGTGAATCTCACAGGCATTCGCAGTTCTGCAATATGTGGTCCAACATCGAGAAGGTCGGGGCGAAGGGATAATCTCCTAGGGCCGCTAGGTTTGTTTGACAACTGCAACGATCTGTGATCTCCGCATAATACACTTCCGATTGGTAGTCGGCCGGGATCGCGACGATGGATTGACATGGATTGACAGACTCCCTGCTCGACTCTGCGCAGTCGGCAGATCACCAGAGAAACCAGGTGGCCGTGCCGTGGTATCGTGTCTCTGCGTCGGCTGTTCTCGACGTCCACTCGGCGCAATGCTGGGGGCTGCAGACTGCAGTCAGTTGTGGGCGGCTCCATCCATCTCGTCAGAGACGCAGTTTCACACAGCGGCAATGAGATGATATGGCACTGCGAAACCGCAAAAACAGGGTCGGATCGTGCCAAGCGGTTCACGATGGTGTTGCTGCCGTCTCAACACAATGGGGCGGGAGAGCGACATGAGGCTTGTCTGCCCGTTTCAAGGAGTCCGACCCCCTACGACCCACCCGATACAACCACATCAGGAGTCAGGAGTCAGGGGTCAGCACCCGGGCAGCCCACGCACATGCAACGGCAGACGTTGCATCGTGTGAGCTGATGTCGTGATGCTGGCCTTGAGAAGTCGGGTATAAGACGACTTGGCGCCAGCAATGGCATACCGCTGATGTTCGTGCTCTGCCTCTTGTCAATTGTCGTGTTCCGATTCGAATTCTCCTTCTCGCTCTCTTTCTTCATCTAGTTCGTCTCTTCTTATCCAGCCGGGCTGTTTCAATTCTCGAGTCATTAATTCATTTTCCCTCACTCATTCTCCCTTCTTCGTTCCCTCCTGTTTCGCCTGGCGCGCACCATGTTCTCACTCAGACGGACCATCACCGCTTCGGCGATTCTGGCAGTGGCCCACGGGCAGGGCGTTCTGTTGCAGGCACAGGGTTCAAACAACGCGCCGGCAAGTCTGGGACTGCAAGGTATGTGCCGACCCGGATATATGAGAACAGCCACTCATCCTAAGAACTATCACAGTCAACTCGAATGATACATCCGACGCCAACTTCATCTCTACAGCCGAGATCACCGCAAATGTTGTGAACGAATGCGGCAGAACTCTGCAGGCGGGCAACATCGATATCGGTGCCAATACCGAGGACGCCATCGCAAATAATCAGATCACATCAGTGACGCAGGGCAGCGACGTCGCCGTCACCATGTCGCAGGTCAATGCCGCCGGCGCTGGCCCCTACACCTGCGACATGGACCAGACGAGTAACACCCTCGGTGCTGACGGCCAGACCAAGCTGGCTGTGAACGAGGCAGACCCGGATAACAACGGGAACATCAAGCTCACTGTGACCATGCCCGCCAACATGACATGCACTGGAGGTATGTCTGACCTCCTGTCTAACAGCTTGACACTGTTACTAACCTCACTCGCCCACCCAGCTTCAACTGGCAATATCTGCACCATCCGATGCTTCAATGACAATTCATTCGGCGGATGCTTCTCGGTGCAGCAGACCGACACCACACCCGGCCAGAACAGCGCGAACACCATCACGACGGCAGCCAAGTTGGATGCCATCCTCTCGCAAGTACAGCAGGACAAGGTCGACCTGCCGGCCGCCATACAAGGCATTGCTACTTCCGGTCCAAGTGAGGCGGACAAAGGTGTGTCCGTCGTAGAGTCCATTCAGGCAGCCGACCCGGCCACGAACGCGCTTGACGAAAGCTTGCTTGCCGATAACACTGGCAACGCCACCAATGCCAATGCTGGCACCGCCAATGCCGGCACCGCCAACGCTGGTAACGGCAACGCTGGCAACGGCAAAGCTGGCAAAGGCAAAGCTGGCAAGGCCAACGCTGGCAATGCCAACAACGGGAATGCCAACGCCAACAATGCTAACGCTGGCAATGGCAATGCCAACAACGCCAACGCTGGTAATGCCAACAACGGGAATGCCAACAATGCCAACGCTGGCAATGGCAACAACGGGAACAATAATGGCAACAGATTCGGCGGATTCGGCAAGGGTAACAACAACAAGCGTCTTCGATGGGTCCAGAGGATTTGATCTTCGCTTGACTGATGGAAGACGGACCGGAGAGCAACCTGTATGTACCTTAGATTCATGTTTCACTGTTGATAGATATACCTGCCTGCGGCTTTGCGCTTGTTTATTACCTCCATATTTGCTTCCGATGTTTCTTGTCATTCTGCAGAGCACTGGGTTAAAGAAAGATAGCCACACACAGAATATCAAGTATAAGTTCTTACCCTTATTGGTGAGTGCAAGATTAGCATGCAACAATGACATGCCCCGATCAACCGGAGACCCCTCACGACAAGCAAATGCAACCGACCAGTTAAAGACATCTTCAACTGCCCCCAAGTCTGGCCGCGGAGAAAGACAATGACACCCGAGGCTGCATCTATCGAGTCTTGGCCGTCGGACCGCTGCATGATTCGATGCTGCAGCCGACCTCGTACCGGGGAATCCAGCCTGTCGAGCACCGTTCCGACACACATCGGTCCGGATAACTGCTTTCACGTACGGGCTTATCGGCGTATCGTAGGATTTTGGCTTTATTGGTACGTGACGTGTCGAGTCTCGCATGGGATGCAACAGCAAGCCATGCAGGAAACCTGTCTTGATACTCGGCTCGGCCCGTCACTTGCGTGATGAGGGACAGGGCACACCGGCTGCTTTCCCCCGCTTGAGAGTACGGTACCTGGCGATGACGAGAGGTTGGGGTTGAAGTGCTCGTCGTCGCGAGTCGGGTTACCGGGGGTTGACTCAGACTCAGATTCTATACTGTTCACGAGCTTGCTAGGCCTAGCCGCTAGAATGTCCACCGCGATCCCGTATTTTTCCACGATTACTGTTCTTAATGGCTCGAGGGCCGCCGTTCTTCATGAGGTAGTCCCTACCTTCCTGACGCTCACAGTCACCAGGTCTTCGATTGAACAGGTCACTGTCATCCCACTAGGTAACGGCGCGGCCGCCACCAGGACAGCTGCGGAGCCGAGCGTGGTAGCTCTGCCGACGGAAGAGAGTGCCGCATCCACCCCAGCGAGCTCAAGCACTGGGATTTCGGACACCGCCATAATCGTCATAGTTGTCATACTAGTAATCTCCCTCATACTCTTCGTTCTCTGCTGCATATGCAAGGCCCAACGAGGCAAGAACCGGTCCAGGGTCCATAGCTTCCGCTGCTCCGGGCCTTGCTGTCGCAGAGTAGGGCCGCCCGGTCACGCTGGACCACAGGGACCTCAGGGGGTTCCTGGACCGCAGGGGCCGCCGGTAAGTGGTACCCAGGCTGGATTCATAACCTTGGTGCTGGTGTTGAGATGCTTGCGAAGGGGATAGGGGTTCAGGGACCGATAGGTCCCCAGGGCCAGCCGGGAGAGCCAGGCCGAGTCGGTCGTGAGTGCTCCATATCCATTGATTTGAAAAGTGCAGTGGTACCGTGGCCACCCAGGCTAACTTCATCGGCGAAGCCCAGGGGCCCGGGGGACCAGCTGGTCCTACAGGCGAGGCCGGTAAGTCAAGTCACGACTAGAGCCGTATATGCTCAGATGAACTCAGAATACATATTGACGAACTTACGATCAAGGTAAACAAGGTCCGCCGGGTGTTCAAGGACGTCCGGGACCACCCGGCCAAGACGGTCTACCCGGACGCACTGGGTACGTGGTACAGTCAAGGGCGGCCGTAAGGTCATAGGGTCAAGAGTCGGATATTCGACTGAACTGTGCTGACGGTCCGACAGCCAGCAAGGCATCCCTGGCGCAGCAGGTCGCGATGGTAGGGACGGCCGTGACGGGCAAAGTGGGGCCGACGGCAGGCACGGCAAAGACGGCGACAGGGGCGAAAAAGGGGCGTCTGGGTAAGTGGATCCCTTTCACTTTCACGGCTGCTGTACTTGAAGCATTCCGATTCTGGTAGTGGCTCCATCTAACATCGCCGGTTTGCAGAAAAGAGGGCCCCCGCGGAGAGCGAGGACCGCCGGGTACGCCTGGTATGCCGGGTGTACTAGGTCCGAAAGGTCCAACGGGCCCAGAAGGGCCCGCTGGTGAGAAAGGGGAGAAGGGCGAAAAAGGAGAGGAAGGAGGGAAAGGAGACCAGGGAGATAGAGGGTACTGCGGGTGAGTAACAACAAAAGCCACACTCCCAAGAGTCTGCTCTAACTGGTGGAGCCGCAGGAAGCGTGGTTGTTCGGGACCGAAAGGTGATGAAGGGCCCAGGGGTCCAAAGGGCGATCGCGGGCCGCGTGGAAATCGAGGTGGAGGCCACTCAGGATGTTGTTGTAGCTGCCACCATCGCTGTGAGTCGGACGGCAGCTGTTGAAGAAGTGATGGATCGAAATCCGGGCGCCGTCCCGTCAGTAATGACTCCAGGAGTTCTGGGAAGGAAACGTGCTGGAGATAGGCGTAAGAGACTCGTGTTCATTCTCCTTCTGCACTTGCAGCAATAACGGTGATACGATAGTTGAGCGCTCGTCTTCTCTCTAGGGATGTCTCATTGGCATGGTTGTCAGCAGAGACATGCTGAGGATGAGTACCTAGTGGAAAGGGTATGGACACTTTTGATGCTATTATGACAGCAATGCGTCTTCGAAGCCACATTAACCCGCGTCAGGCACGTTCAAGATTCAGATTCTCGTAAGTCAAACGAGTAAGTGCTTCGTCGTGGATGATTAAGTCCGGCTGAGGCCGGAGCTTAGGTAGTCGATCCTGCTCCGGCACCGGGACCGGCCACATCGTACTCGTACCCTCATTATAGCCTTCTAACACAATCATTCTATGCCGGCAGTCAGTTGGTTTGTTAATATTCGTGTCGGGCATGAAGGCCGCTGCCAACCGACAGTAGACAGACCTTTACAACAAGTTATAATAGACAACAAGCTGTCACGTCGGGTTTATACAGTCCTCATCAGATCCCGGATATTACCCTCACTATTTTGTTTCGCGACTACTCCATGAGGAAATGTCGGCATCCGTTCATTTGAACCCAGACGCTCAGCGTTGGACACCCGACGGTGCGCAAGCCGGGACAGAGGCCACCGTCCTCGCTTTCCACAAGACCCTCCCAGACTACAACGAGACGAAGCTCCATTCCCTACCAAAGCTGGCCGATGAGCTAGGCTTGCGCCACGTGCTGGTCAAGGATGAGTCCAACCGCTTCGGCCTGCCGGCATTCAAGATCCTGGGCGCATCATGGGCCGTCTACCGAGCCGTCGGCGCTCATCTCGGTCTCGACGTGGCGGACGGAAGCGTCCCGATCGCAGACCTGGGGGCCAAGGCTAGAGAAGCTGGGGTTGGAATTGTCACTAGTACGGAAGGTAATTGCGGACGAGCTGTCGCGCGGATGGCCAAGTACTTGGGCATTGCGACGCGAGTCTTCGTGCCGAGCTACATGAGCGAGACGACTCGAGAAAGGATCAGAAGCGAGGGTCCGGAGCTTATCGTCGTCGATGGCAGTTACGATGATACAATACCCGTGATCCAGAAGGAAGCAGAAGCCGAGAACGTGGTCCTTGTGCTGGATGTGAGCTTCGACGGGTTTGAGGTGGTTCCTACGGTACGTCTCTCCACCCCTTTTCGCAGTTGTGGTTGCTGGAGCCTACTCTGATGCCTGCCGTAGTACTTTGTTGAGGGTTACATTACAATGCTGGCAGAGTCTGATCGCCAGGTGCTGGAGGTCACGGGCGGCAAGCCAGCAACGCATGCCATTGTCCCATGTGGCGCTGGATCCATCACAGAGGCTGTCACGGCGCACTTCAAGGGCACGGAGGGACGCCGGAAATATGGGACGGCTTCGGTAATAGCTGTTGAGCCTGTTACTGCTGCCTGCCTACAGCAGTCCATGAAGGCAGGGAGGTCCGTTTCAGTAAAGACCGAGGACACGATTATGGCCGGGATGAACTGCGGGACGCTTTCTACCTCGGCCTGGCCAATACTCAAAGCCGGGGTGGACGCAAGTATCATAGTGACTGACCACGAGTCTCATGATGCCGTGGAAGAGCTAAAGACCTCTGGTATTCTGGCCGGTCCTTGTGGAGCTGCCTCACTCTCGGCGCTGAGAAGGGCGTGTACAGATACACGAGCAGAGCTTGGCCTCGACGAGAACGCCGTCGTTATTCTTTACTGTACTGAAGGCGCCAGAGAGTACGTGATACCGGTCTGATTGGGTCAGGAAGTGAAGCAAGTTGTGTACCAGATTCCCTTGCCCCTTATCCTCTATGAATTCGATCACCACTCATCAGTCTCCGTCCGATAGATATCGCTGATATATTGACATCGCTGGAATAAAGAGCCTGACATAATCAGCTTTCAACTAATAAACCACTCTTTAATGCTTATTCCAGAGTGCTTGATCCGGGCTACTTCCATAACTCGACGAGGGGCGGACAGAGACTTTTGAAAGTTCACTGTAGCACATTGGTCATACAACTTGCCTGATGAGATGAGCTCTTCTGCGCGACTGCATGAAGCTTTGAACCTTCGCTGAATGATACTCACGTAAGGAGCTGACAGTGTAGTGGGAGTCAACGAGGAGACCGGGACACAATCCCCATAACGTATATGCCGGAATGGCTCTGAGTAGTGGGTTGAGTTTCGCTTTGTTCGTTCTATTGTTTTGTACATATGCAAGCTTGATCTCGGAGCCTCGCAAGGTTTTTGTACATCTCTATCACATGCCGGACCTCGATCCAGCTCGGGTATCCCGTTCTGAGGGTGTTCGGCAACCTGGGTTCGATGACGCCCCAAATCGTACAGTGCATCCATGTCGACGCAGTCCCGTTGCTCGCATACTCGGCCATTTTGTCCAATTCGCTCCCACCAAACGCGTTGTGATCGAGTGAGGGGGCCATCAGAAGCCCATGGTGTGTAAGAAGTTCAGGATTTGATCCCGCTTGTGACCCTAGAGCAATGGAATGTCAGCACTTGTTCACCAAAGTAGCTTGTCTAGCTCTCGCGTCGCGTACGCGCGATGCGCCCCCCGAAAGAGCGCACTCGGTGTACAGGACCGCTTACCCTGACCACTATGTGCCTTGTTACGCTGTTTACAGAGACGTCGCCGTCGGGGAGCTGCAATGCATCCTTGACATCCTGCTTCAGTGCCTGCAGGTTCCCCTCGCCCTTCTTTAATAATGTGACCTTCATGTTACCACCACGCTTCTTCAGCTGGTAGACACTGAGGTTGTTGAGGTTGTTCCGACCAACGAAGTAGGGTAGCTGGACTTGGGGGCTGGGCCCTGAAGATGCCGAGATGGTCGCGGGTTCGAAGGATGTCAACGGCTCGGGATTTGCGACGGTCGACGTGGTGAGGTTGCGCGCGCAGAATGGCAGAGTTATTCGCGTCGAGAAGGGGGTAAGGCAAGCCGGCCTGGCCAGCGCCGGCCGAAAAAGTCTCAACAGCATGGTTGTGGACGTGTCGACGGAGTTTACGAAGGAAACGGCTCAGGAAAAGTGAAGCTTTCTCTCTACCACAAGCACCACAGTAACAGCTAATGTAAACGGGTTTGTAGAGTTTTGGTAGGCAGATACCGTTTTATAATGGCTGCATCTGCGTCTTGAAGCTATACAGTTTTCAAAACGTGAAACCCGCGTTGACTTTGTACGTTTCTGGCCCCTCACGTGGTGAATTGTCGGTCGCTAAAATGAACTGTAGACAGGCCAGTCAAGCCACACATGCATGTTCAGTACCCAAGCCACACATATCCGATACACAAGCCACTCCCACAATCGAGGCCCCAGTCCCTTTGCTCTTGCACCAAAACCATTTCTGCCATTTTGGCTGGCGTGCCCCTCCATTCCGTAATTTTTCTTTCTGACCTTTCGCAACCCTCGATACAACACCTGCGACCGCATCCACCACCTCGTCGTCGTAGCCAGTCTCAGATCGTCACCACCGCCAACATGGCAGACCACGATCTCCTGCCCAAGCTCATCGGCCACCTCGACCGCCACCTCGTCTTCCCCCTGCTCGAGTTCGCTGCGAACCGCGTCCCCGAAGATGCTGACGATGCCGTCCTCCTGCCCATCACGAAGGCCAAGTACGAACTCCTCAAGGCCACCAACATGACCGATTTCGTCGGCAGCCTCAAGGCAGAGCTCGAAGGGCTCGACGAACCCCCTGCTGAGTTTGACGGCATGCGACAGAAGGTCATCACGCGTCTGGAAGAGTTCGACGATAGCACCAGCAAGCTCCGCGATCTGTTGGGGAGCGAGGAGGTCATCAATAACCTGCGAAGCGACAAGGTGGCCAACTTGGAGTTCCTCCAGAAGGACCACGATGTACGTTGCACCCCTACAATCTAGAGCCCTCCTGTGCCCTCGTTTCGCACAACATTCTGACATGACATGCCTTAGGTCACCATCGAGATGGTTAATGCGCTCTACGACTTCGGCAACTTCCAGTACAGCTGCGGCAACTATTCTGCCGCCGCCGATCTACTCTACCAGTTCCGCGTGCTTTCCACTGATAACGACAAGGTCGCACAAGCGACTTGGGGCAAGTTCGCATCCGAGATCTTGACTACCAACTGGGAGGGCAGCGTAGAAGAGCTCCAGAAGGTCAAGGAGAGCATCGACACGAAGCTGTTCAACAACCCCTTGGCCCAACTACATCAACGTACATGGCTCATTCACTGGGCCCTATTCCCTCTCTTCAACGACGACGGGACGCGTGACACCCTCCTCGACCTCTTCTTCAGCCCCGCCTACATCAACACTATTCAGACGAGCTGCCCTTGGATCCTTCGGTACCTCGCAGCCACCGTCATCACCGGTCGGAGTCGCGCACGGAACTCGGGCCAGTACCAGAAGCAGCTGAAGGACATCGTGCGCATTGTTAAGCAGGAGGCGTATGAGTACAGCGACCCTGTGACCGACTTTGTGCGCGCACTCTACATTGATTTCGACTTTGAGGAGGCTCAGCGACAGCTCTCGCTCGCTGAGGAAGTCTGCCGCTCCGACTTCTTCCTGTCCTCCACCACAGAGGCTTTCGTCGACTCGGCGCGACACCTGATCTCAGAGAGTTACTGCAAGATACACGCTCGCATTGACATCAAGGACTTGAGCGCGCGGTTAGGGCTGGGCCAGGACGAGGGTGAGAAGTGGATTGTCAACCTCATCCGTGACACCCGAGTCGACGCCAAGATCGATTACAAGGAGGGCACAGTGGTAATGAACCACCCTCCCAGCTCTGTCTACCAGCAGGTCATTGAACGCACCAAGGGTGGATTCTTCCGGACACAAGTCCTCAACGCCGCTGTTGCTAGATGATAGAGGAGCGTGCTCGAGGGAGTTTGTGCAGATACCCCATCCAATAGATATGGCTACGCGGAAATGAGTTTGCGGCACAAGCTACGGAAAAGCTTTTGGTTTCTCAACGGGTGCATGAATGGCGTTTGGGGTCCCGGTGTCCAACCAAAGGCGGCTGATATGTATGGTAGCATTGCGTCGCACATCTAAATGTTTCATAACATCTGTCTTCGCCGTGCAGTGAACCCAGCGTGTTTTACTCGGCACGTCGTATGGCGAATGATAAAGCGAGACAGACCAAGGCAAACTTTGCCTGCGGCTTGCAACAACACTGCATAGGGGTAATTACCGGGCCTGGAACAGGGAAAGGACGGAGTTACCATGTCTGGTTAAGAATGCTGAGCCACTGACAGCATATTGGGCCGTGAATGGGAATGTGTGTACACGCCAGGAGAAGAACATAGCCCACCTGCACTTTACCGGCACAGTCACCCCTCATAAGTCTCCGGCCGTGCCAACTCCCAAAATATCGACACTATATTCGTGTCAATGGACTAGTCACTTGAAATAAGCGGTTTAATCCAATTAGCTCTATTTGATGCTTATTCCAATTAACAAATATACTTTTTGCTTGGTGAACGAGGGGTGTACGGACACCTCTGGAGGTTCAGTGCAGTCAGCTTTCCTTTCGGCCCAATCCAGCTCGGGACTGCTGATCATCTCATCATCATCATCTCTCTCTGGACACCCACTCTCAGGCATACACCACACGTATGCAGCTCGACTCAGCACCACGTAACACATCTGACACCAAAGAAAGACAGTTACGTCGAAAGGGGCAGTGTTGTATCAAATGCCTTCGACACTAGTTGACGGGTCCTTGATCATGGGCGTCCGCCTCGGAGATATACGGGGGGGAAATACGTCCTCGTCGACAGCACATTCCGCAGACGCATCTGCGTCACAACAGGACGACACCGACACTTGGGTGTCCGAAGCCGCTCACATTGTAAACACCACGATATCCAAGCATCGGAGGACGCTAATAGTGGTATTCACTTTCGGGGCCGCCGAAGAAGATGAAGTATTGCCTCCCGCGGATGTGGAGGGAAGGATCACGCTCCTCTGCGCTGAGGATAACCCGGTCAATCAGAGGGTAATCGCTGTCGACTTGGAATACGTCAACTCTCGCTTTGGAGCTACTCTGACATATGTGTGCAACTGTATAGTTTCTACATGTGTTCCTCAGCAGGCATAACCAGGACCACGAAATGACAGATAATGGGCTTGACGTCGTGGATGCATGCATGGCAGAGCCTGAGCGCTTTCGCTGCATCTTGATGGGTATGTAAGCCATCCAGGCTGATTGCTCTTGGAAACCCTTCGTCGTTTGGACTCGCAAATTTTAAACACAAGCACTGCTATCTCACACAATGTCTCATTATAGATATCACCTTGCCCGACATAAACGGCATAGAAGCCACGCGCCGCATCCGCGCATTCGAGGACACGCGGCGGGACCTCCGCCGGGCCGTCATCGTGGGGCTCACCGTCCACTCTGCCCTGAGCCCCCATCTGAGCCTCTCGGCGGGCGCCTTCGACCTCTTTGACGCCCTGGTCACGAAACCGTTTTCTCTTGGAACGGTGGGCCAGATGCTGTTTGGCGGCCCGGATACCAACCTCGTTGCATTGCACGGCAGCCTAACCCCCCAGGAGATGAGGCAGTACCCTCTGCGCCAGAGAGATAGTCGCCTTTTTGGCGACTCTCCGCGCGAGAGAGCCGTCGTTGAGGAGTTGAGGCGGATGAAGGAGCGGATGAACGGGCAGATAAATGAGCGGAGGGAAAGATTTAATGACTACCAAGTCAATGTTAGAATAAGGGTCATTAAGAAGGAAAAGATGGCAAGCTAACTGAACATAGCTGCGTGATATAGAGACCGTAATTACTAGCAAACATACGCTCGATTTTTCCCTCACCCTTTCTGTTGTGAGGTGTTATACAAATATGGTTTCTTCATCCTCCGACAAAACTCATCTTCGCAATATATAGGAAAAGCTCGCACGGTAAATGCGACCTCTGGGTGATGTGTTGCCTGAACAGCACTCCCACCACGTGTCAGTAGGACGGTCACGGAACGGTGTATTCAACAAGCAGTTGACCCAGTGAGCATCTTCGACGTCATCAAGGACCAAGAGCCAGCGACCATCTATGGCCGAGTCAGCAATGCTGCAAAAGTGAGCAAATACAACATACTGTATGTCTCCAGATACTTCCTCAACTTTCCCGTCATTGAGGTGAGTGATCCGCGCCGATTCTTGAATGCGATATGCATGCTGAGGTCTTCCAAGTCCTGGGACAAGGCTGTCTTGGTCGAGCAACGTGAGAAAATCCTGAGTAGAATTTCGCGCTGTCTATGGGCGAAGTCAGCTGCCAATTTTGTCTTACCGATTCTTAGCTGGGCAAGGGTAATAGATATCTTGACAGTGGTGTCACTGGCAGAAGGGCTCGAATCTGTTCGGGTAAGGTATTGCTCCCTAACGAAATCGTGCTTTTGGGGCGGAAGCCCAAACATCCGACCGGACCTTTCAGTGGAAGACGTGAAGCAACTTTCCGTTCGGGGCATTAAGAAAGTCTTGTAGTTCACATCTGATTTCATACATACAGTGTCGCTGATGACAGCCGCTGACTGTCATCTTATGAACCCCGGGTTCGCCTATAACGCCTTACATGCCATGCTTCCCATCATGAACGTCACCGGCATCCCATGTCCCTCATCATGAACGTTGCCGAAAGAGCTTTTTCACCAGGTTCCCAAAACCTACTCCCTACCAGCAAGCCAGACGCCACCCTTGAGGCTCTCGATGATGCTCTCCCTCAGCCAGCCCTCACCCATCCAATCAATATCGTCTTCCACGATCGCCTTGGGATCTGCGTCCATCAACCGGCTCTGGTCCTCTTGCGATCTTCGGGCCCGCCATTCAACCCAACCAAATAGCCCTCGCAGCCCCAGCAGCTCGTCCCGCCGCCCGCTCTTGACGCCTTCTTCGAGGACAAGTCGGGCATCCACCACACTGGCAGCGCTGTCACTGACATTGGGGCCGCCAATTCCACGGTCGAGGACGATGCTTTGCTCCGCATGCGTTAGCTTCCGCAGCGTGGGCACGTGGTCAAATAGCCACTCGAGCGGCTGAGTGCCGTTGTCGGTAGGTGCACCTCCGGCCACGCCATCCTGACGGCCGAGCGCAAGGATTGTCGTCGCAAACGGACTGTCGCTAATAGGCCGCCTGCGGAGATGAAGCGCTTGGCTACGCTTGAACGCGTCTGCATATTCGGGATGGGTTTCAAAATTCAGCTCGAGGTTCCAAAAGTCGGGTGATCTTGTCCGTAAACTGGATATCTCACTCAGCGGCGGTAGGAGGCACGGCGTAGTGCGAACCTCGTTGTATGTCGAAGCTGACGACGTCTTCAAGCGGATTGAGATTGGCACGCTGACTGGAACGTTCGTTGCCACGTCCTTTGTCACAAGACATCGCGGGTCTGTGGCCAACACCCAGAAGTGACGGAATGCCTGAAGATGGCTCTTGTTATCTTGCACGGTATCTGGAAAGACAGGGTAGAACGCGACCAAAAGCGAAGCGATAGCCAGATTGGACGTGTTAAAAGTCTGTGTTCCGCAGCCCAACGACAGGACCCCGATTGCCATATGGGTCGCCATATGCGAGCCGTATGTGGTCTGAGGGTCATTGCGCCCGTGTAGTGATCGCAATACGCGGAGGACATTGAGATCGCATGTGCCAGCCATGACTGTTGCGCATGAAAGTGCGACAGCATCTAGGCACATACGAGCAGTGACCTGGACGCATCTATCGTCAAAGTTGGCTTTCGGATTAGGTGCCCGGCATAGGCCGTAGTACCTGTGAAGGTACGAAAGTAGTAGGTCGCGCACTGTCAGATTCCCGGAGCCAGCAAACCGCAGGGCCATCGAGAAGCAGAGACCAGCCAATATCGTCAGGAAGGGCAGGTGAGTGGAGTTGAGCGGTTCGCGGGAGGGATGGTCAAACGGCTGCGTCGGTGGCCGGACCCTCGAACGATAGCGCTCGGGGAGGTTCTTGCAGATCCATTCATGGCTAGGTTCGATCTCTGACCATAGAATGAGGTGTCTGGCGACTGTTCGTAGCAGCAAGATGTCTGGCCGTGCGTAGTCGAATTGGAGGGCTGCGTCTGGGACATCAATCTTTCTCGCCACTATGTGATCTTCCGATTTCATGTAGATAAGAGCAATGGCCATCACAGCTGCAGCGCTGGACCTGTCCAAGATGTGGACATGCTCGACCTTCTTCGAGGCTGAAGCCAAGGTAAGCAGCTTCTCAGTGATGCGCATATCATGAAGACCCTTCAGGTCTGTGCCCTTGCCAAGGTTGATGAAGCCCAAGGCAAAGCCCGCAGCAAGCCGGTAGCACTCGCTACGTAGGGGCTCCTCATCATCTTCCGATTCGATGTGCTCGATCTCGGACATCATGATCTCGCTCATCCGGCGGTGTTGGCTGTTGCAGTATAGCAAGCCAATCCCCATGATACCGGTTGTCTGGGTGAGTGGTGATAGGTTCAGCTCTGCCGCACCTCGCGGGAGCATGCGCGTGACATGGACTGATAACAGCCGAGTGATCAGAGAGTCCATGGTTCCTATGTACGACGCTGCCAATCCTAGGAGCAGTCCAATCGATGTCATGTTGTGCTTCGGCGTCAGGTACTTGAAGGCGACCCATTTGGCCACACCCTTGAGGTGTCCATTGAGACCCAATGCGAGAAGGAAGCCTGCATGTCGGTTGTTGAGATCGTTTCCGGGCTTGTTGTACAGAATCCACGACGTGTCTATTCCCTTCGCTTGGCGGGAAATAGACAAGCCAGCAGCAACGCCAGAGTGGAAGAAAGCCCATGCTATTTTGTCTTCTGTGAAAAGCGACTTATCGACTCCGACCGTCACATTACTCGGTCTCACCGTGCAGTTCAGCACAAAGCCGTGTATGTGGAACTTTTGGGTAAGTAGGGGGAAACGGAGCCCGAAATTCATCAACGCTCGTCCAGCGGGGATGGACAAGGTGTTAGTAGCAAGCCTCGTCACCGTCTCCTTCTGCTGCTCGAGGTAGAAAGGCTCTGTCCATTCTGGAAGGGCGTCTAGGCGAATGGACCGGGGCTTCGTAGTGTTGAGCATCATCTTGGTCTCGTCTAGGCGACGGTCTTCCTTGAAGATTGCACGGATGACTGCTTGTTTGTCACTTTCTGCGACGTCATCGACTGGAGCATCGTTGAAGTCCATGATGTTTTGACATAAAGAGTTAAAGTCCCAAGATGCGTTGTGGGTTGGGGTCTAGACAACGTTAGCAAGGATGGAAATCAGCAACCTTTGGGATGGACCAACCAGTAGATTGGCCGAGTGATTGTGAGAACTGCTTGATCGCGACAGGACTGAGCCAATATCACTCCTGTTCACTAATTCCAGCATGCCCTTCGCCCACGTGGGGGGCGGACTTGGCTGGCATTGGGCAATTGCATCTTGAAGAGGGACGAGAACAGATTCTGGTGAAGATTCCAACACAACTGGAGTAATACCACTCTGGTACATTCCTTCTACAAAGGTAGTCGGCGATTGACTTTGTGGTGAAATATTCTGGAAGAGCTTGTCTAGCATACTCATGCGTGGGATACTCGAGTTGGGGATACTCGTGCTGATCGACGGCATAAGTGGTCTTGATGTCGTCCCCTGTGACAGGTTTATTTGAATCCAGTCAAAGACATCCCAGTGTGCTGGCTCGGGAGGCGGTAGAGTGAATACGACTGCTCCAGACTCTCGGTGGTCATCTGGCCAATCTAGTGGCATCTCCAGTTCGTAGAGCTCTTCCCATTGATACCACTTCATCCACTTGGCGATCTGAAGCAGCACGGCCCTCAGGTCTGTCGAGCCTGGGAACGTCGTGCGAGTAGACGTGATGTTCAACTTCTGCTCCTCCAGCAAAAGATGCATCGCAAGAAAAACTTCTTGAGCATGCCGTGTCCTGCTCATTTTGTCGAACACAGGAAGCGTGGGCAAATATTCCCGTGGACCGCATACCCCACCCCTGTAACCAGAAGACAGGTACGCCAGTGCGTGCTTTGCATGGGAGCCGAGGAAGTCGTCGTTATCCTTTTCCAGACTGGGTTGAAACATCCCTAGTGACGAGTCATCTTCCTCCAGCATCCACTCCCAAGCCTTGTTTTCCGCCCAAGGCGGATGTGTCAAAGAGCCCGGAGCTTCATAGGTGTTCATGGCATCCCAGTCACCGAGGTCAATCTGCGCTCCACTACTTGACCTCAGGAAGCCTCGGGATCGTTTCTTGGGCGGATTTTCACCCAACACAGATGGGTTCTCAACGCCTAACGCTAGGTAAACCAGCAGGATTTGCATGACCACGGAGGACCATTCAATATCAACAACATCCATCTGCTGATCCCGAAGCCAGGCTATAATATCCCACCAACCAGGGATAAGATTATCCATGAGTGGTGCAGGTAGGACGGAACGAAGGACATCTAGAATCTTGCGAACCTGGGGAGACTTGGGCAGAAGCTGAATGCGTATTTGATGAAGCTGCAGAGTGTCCTCATCCAGGATATCAACGACCCCGTGCAACTTGGAATGCCTCATGCCGGCAAGCTCCCCAATAACCGGGGTCACAGCTCTTCTAATGCCAACTTCCCGATTGACGAGGCTGCCACGATAGTCAAGACTACGTACGTTCGCTAGCGAGAGCTTTTGTGGAAGCATCACAGGGGTGAATGGGCTCCATGGTGCCTGTACACTGAGCTGGCGCTGGCCATCGGGAGCCTGCGACAGCATGAGAATCATACAGATATCTCCGTCCCTGATTTTGCTCGCGTCGATGACATTTTGGGCTTTCTTAAGCTGTCCAAAAGTCACGACAGTTTGGCTAGAGTCGATGGGGTTCGACGAGTCTCCCTTGGGCGACTGTAAGTGAAGGGTGAGAAGCTGCAGCCGGTTCTCCATTGGATCTTGAATGCCAACCAAAACCTGCTGTCGCTCAAGTTCATCCACAACGACGCAAGGACCGGTGACACAGAACACTTTACATTGCTTTCTGGCTGGTTGTTTTGAGAGAGAGTATCGGACATTGCTGCTGTCAATGGGAATGCTGTGTATTTTGGTGAACATGACCTCCTGGGCGAGCCCGTCGAAGTCGTGATCATCGAGCCCCATGCTGTGGAAACCCTCAATGTCTCCGCCGGCCCGTAGCTCTTCGAGCAAGCTGTCGACCGGTGCTTCTAGGAAGCTACCTAGAGAGTGCCCTGCGTGGGTGTAATTTCCCATGAAACTTGGTCCGGATAAGGCACCGCTAGTACGATTCCGCTGGCTGCCATGGGATGTGTCCCTTCTCCCACTGGTGTAGTTCGGGATCTGAGGTTGCTCTGTGAAACCTGTCCTGTCCTGAGAAGCTGAGAGGTCGGCTCTTGCGAGCATCGAACTCACTCGCCGCGAGCTTCGACGGTTGACCCCTATATCTTTGTCGATACCCAATGACGATTCAAGCTTCTCCAATGCTCTGTCATCCTTCTGGACTTTCTCACTTTTCCTCGATCGTTTCCCGGGTAAAGGGGCACCAAGAGGCTCCTTGAAGTTTATTTGTACGGGAGTCGTAGCACCGCTGGGCAAGCCAGGCTGCATGGAGCTGCGCCGGGGCCCTGATCTCCTCCTAGCCGCCTTCCCCACGCCCGTGAAAGGGTCTCCATTCTTTAGGTAAGAGAGCCTCCACACCGTGTACATGCTTGTCTCTCTATTGGTCGTTACGACAAGAATCAGCTTCCCATTTCCTCTCTGTGTAGATATGCCATTTTGGGGTATTTGCTCTATGTGGAGTATCTCCTCTGCTCGATCCAGAAACAAGGGCAACTTGTCGAAGTGCTTTCGGCTTTTGTTCTTGGCAGACCTCTCGGGTTTTGTAACGACAAGGCCCAGCTCCAGCAATGGATCTGTCAGAGCCAAGAGGCGAGGCCAGCGGGAGTCGGTCTTCTCGGCGGGCGCGTCCCATAGAGTGTCGAAGTTGGAGCTGAGTCTCAACGGCAATGCCTTTGGCTTCCCGAGGGTCTCGGTGGTGAAGGTGGACTGCTGTGATGCTCGCACGGACACAGGCGACACCGGGTTAGAGATGAAGGAATTAGGAGGTACCCGGGGGAACTTGAGGCTCGCAGCCGCAACATTATCAGCGCGTTGCCTCCGTTGAATTATCACACCCCGGGGAGCGGCGCAGGCCGTCTCAACTTCGAAGGGGATGTGGACAACATGGCTGGTACCGTCGAGGAAGTAGATGTGGGCTTGTGTCTTGAGGAAGACCACCAGAGCCCTTGACAGAGTCCGGTCGCCATGCCCGGATTCAAAACCGGATTTGGTAGCGCCCAGCTCGGTGGTGTGTTCTGAGGTGGGAAAGTATGTCAACAGAGTTTGGGTGATGGGCTCCTTCTCGAGCTTGAAGCCAAAGCACTTGCGGAATACGCAGCCCCTCGACCATATGACGGCGTCCTTGGTGACTAGCAGCTCGTCTTCGCCCTCGTTGCCGGGGGTGTGGTCGACGGTGATGTCCCATTCGTACAAGGAGCTCGAAGGATTCTCGGGCAGGAGCTGTTCTTGGATGGCATATTGGAGGGCGGTCGGTTGGTGCAGTCCGAGGGATGTCACCGAGGCCATGGTCGCCGGGTCGAATCCATTGATAGGATAAAGTCTCGATTTCTGGTTATTTGACAAGTCCAGATATGGTACCCCGACGCTCTTTGGCTACCTAGCTGTTGAGTGGTTTGACGTTCTCGAGGTCATGAAGCGGGCGCGTTCTCGGCACGCGTTGATGGATTGGACGAGGCTGATGTTGACTTTTGGGCGGATGTTGGAGGGGTACCGGCTAGCTACTGCAGGAGCTGTAGCGATTGGCTGCGCTGGAATTAGCGGGCTTCTAATGACCGGCCATCATCTGCAAGGCTTCGCTCCCATGGGACCGAGATACAGTGTTTACACTGTACGTGCCTCGAAGATACCGGGCTCCAAAGATAATTTCACACTGTGCAGACATACCAGCCGGCTAGGCCCGCTAGGGCACTTTAGCACGGCGGCGCTGACGTAGCTCCATCTCCTCCAGCATCTCCTAAACGGGCACACCGGTAGCCGCTCCAAGCTCACATATCTGCCTCCTACCTCATACCTATTACCCGGCAGGCCTTGCTTACCTACCTTACCTTAGGTACAGAGGATTTGGGTGCTTGTATGAATAGAAGGTCGGATTGGGCGGTGTCATACCTGCTTAGGCCTGGACTAAGCACCCAACTTGGACGAATTATGCCATTGCATCCAGAACGCGACATACCCGCGCGCCATTGGCATCCCTCAAACCTCAGCATGCTAGTCCTTTTCATCGGCCGCCCGTCATGACAGAACCCCAGCCCGAGTCGGGCGACGAGGCAAGCCATGCGAAACCCACCACTTCGGTCCACGAGCGCGAACAGCAGGTCTCGGACGGTGGCCAAGATACAGCTAGCCATGTGGACGACGGTGACGAACACGACGACGAGGACGAGGAACACAGCGAAGAGGATGACGAAGAGGACGAGGAAGAGGACGAGCCAAAACTCAAGTATGCGCGTCTCACCCACCACTTGGGCCCCGTCTATAGGAACGGCGACGCTACGAGTGCCTTTCTCGTCGCCGGAGACAAGATGGTCATCGGCACGCAATGTGGCAATATAGTAAATCAATCCTCTGGCCCCTGTTCTGGTCTTCTCCCTCGAGCTTACAGTCCGGTCTTTGTAGCATGTCATCCAACTCCCTACGTTCCAACCATTGCTCGCCTACCATGCCCATGATGCTTCCGTTACGAGTATTTCGATTTCGCCATATCCCCCTCCGTCTCTGCCATCCACCCTCAAGCCCGAAGCCGTGAGCAGGGCAATGGCCGACGCTGCCAGTATCCCAACTACAAAGCAGTCCGACCCGAAACCGTCGCCCGCTAAACAACAGAGGACTCGCGAGCTGCCCCAGGTTCCCAACCTTCCATCGAACAACATATACATCGGAACCTCATCTCAAGACGGCATGGTTCGCGTTCAGCCGCTTATCGATTTGAAAGACTTCCAACTGAGGAATTTCGCCCGGCCGGTACAGGCAGTTGCTATGTCGCCAGACTTCAAGAATGACAGGACCTATATCTCCGGAGGGCGTGCTGGCAACCTGATTCTGACCGTTGGCGCGCCGTCAGGTCGAAGTACATCGACGACCACAGGAACAGCTACTGCCGCCGCGTCAGGATGGTTGGGCAGTATCGGGATAGGGGCAAACTCCGGCAAGGATACAGTCCTCCATTCTGGAGAAGGGAACATAAACACCATCAAGTGGTCTCTGTCGGGGAGATATGTCGTTTGGCTCAATGAACACGGTATAAAGATCATGCGAAGCAAACTACACCTCGAGAGCGCCGATGCTGAGGACGCCTGGAAACGAATCGGGCATATCGACCGGCCACAGACTGACGAGTGGGAGGAGATGGCGGGCTTTTGGCCAGGCCGGGTGGAATGGATTGACGATGAAGCACTACAGGATGATGAAGCAGGACGCGCCGACGCTCACACTGAAGGTACTTTGTCGCCAGCCACGACGAAACTGAGCCAACAAGCCCGACGCACCCACAAGGAGATTGAACGGCTCCTGGTGGGCTGGGGTGAAGTGATATGGATAATTCACGTCCACCCCGGAAGCAAGGGGTTTGGCAAACATGTGGGCGAGAAATCCATTGGAAGGGCTGAGATTGTAAAGATGTGAGTTCTTTCGTCTCACCTAGTTGTGCCATCATTTGAAATGTGCGTGCTTCTGAATAAGCGCCGTCGTCGTGGGGTCTGGGCGCCTCATGGCTGTCTTGGACACTTGTTTCAGACAACTGCTAGCCCCCATAGTGATGAATACTAACATTTCTAGACTTCGCATGGATTGCATTATTTCTGGCATCTCCTTATATACCCCGAATCTCCTATTGGTCCTTGCTTACTGCAAGCCGGATGAAGACGAAGACGAAGACCCTCAGAAGCCCAGGCCTGGGAAAGGCCACAAGGCGCAGCCATCTACTGCGTCAAGCGGTAGTGAGCCCTCAGGCGGACGCAAGCGTCGGCGAAATGCGCAGCGCCCCGAGTTGAGACTGATCGATCTCAACTCGCAAGCCGAAGTCCACACGGACACTCTCACAGTACGGAGCTTTGAGGGACTTTCTTCCAATGATTACCATCTTGGTGTGCTACCAGCTACGAAGGCCGCCTCTGTAGTTGCATCTAGGGGTACTCTGGAAGCTTTGGCCGGTATCGGCAACGACATGTGGAATGCTGCTATTAATCCAAAAGCCTTGTTCAGTTCCGGTGCGAGCATCAGGAGCAGAGACAGTAACGATGCCGCCTCTTCGGGTCACCGAATAGGAAGTACGGCAGGCAGTGTGCGAGTTAGTTCTCAATCATTCTCCCAGCCCGTACATCCCAATCTTGTGAAACCAGGGGCAAAGATTTTCATACACAGCGTGTATGACTGCATACTCGCCACCAGCAGGGACCGGGGTGATCATCTTGCTTGGCTCTTGGAACACAAGAGATACCAAGAGGCGTGGGAGTTGCTGGACAAGCATCCCGATATCATGAACACTCCGCTCGAGAGGCCCTCTGAGCTTGGCTCATCAACACCCGATCGACAGTCGTCGGTAACGGAGGACTTCTATGAAGAGAGTTTATCCGGGGCTGAGCTCCGCGGATCAGCTTCGAACACATTGACGGAAAAGGAAAAACGGCGGATCGGTGAGCTGTGGGTCCAAGAGCTTGTTGAAGAAGGCGAGTGGAATCAAGCCGCTGCAGTTATAGCCAAGGTGGTCAACACGCCGGACCGCTGGGAGAAATGGGTCTACACTTTTGCAGGAGCAAAGAAGTTTGATGAGATTGCAAACTACATCCCGTCCGAACCCATGCACCCCCCGATTCCCGGCACAATATACGAGATTGTGCTGGGCCACTACATCCAAACCGACAAGCCACGATTCAAAGAGTTGCTTGATCACTGGGGCTCGGAGCTTTTCAACGTACACGAAATCTCTACAGCACTTGAGGATCAACTCAGATACCGTGATGTGCGGGAGGAAAGTGTCGAAGACGGGGAGAAAGGACGGGATTGGAGAATTGTGGTTGAGAGTTTGGCTCGGCTATACGAGGCAGAGGGGCGGTACCGAGACGCCCTGAAACGTTACATCAAGCTCCAGGATGCAGACTCGGCCATGCGGCTGATTAGAGACAACCATCTTGCTGAAGCTGTCACTGATGACGTTCCAAGCTTCATCGCGCTTAGGGTGCCGGAAGCACAGCTCAGTCGGATGAGCGTGGATGAGCTTGAAGAGGCTACCTCGGAGGCCATCACGTTACTGGTGGAAGAAACACATCGGGGTCTCGTCAAACCTGAGATTGTGGTCACACAGCTGGAACAAAAGAACTTGAACACATACCTCTACTTCTACTTCCAAGGTCTGTGGGCCGAGTACCGGGAGCGTCCTGTCGACGAGACGGTATCACTCCTCGACAGCTACGCCGATCTAGCAGTTCACATATTCGCCGCCTTCAAACGTGAGCTTCTCATGGATTTCCTCAAGGTATCGACATCCTACTCTTTCGACAAGGCAGTTCAAGAGTGTGAAAATTCCAACTACATTCCCGAGCTCGTCTACCTATACTCCCGGACTGGGCAGATGAAGCGGGCACTATACCTCATCATCGACCGGCTGGGTGATGTGTCGCAGGCCATTGCATTCGCCAAGGAACAGAACGATCCAGATTTATGGGAGGATCTGTTGAACTATAGCATGGACAAGCCTCGATTTATCCGTGCTCTGCTGGAGGAAGTAGGCACCTCGATCGACCCGATCACCCTCATCCGGCGTATCCCAGGGGGCCTGGAGATCCCTGGGCTTCGTGAAGGTCTCAAGCACATCATGAAGGAACACGAGATCCAGTACAGCATCTCGTCCGGAGTGGCTCGTGTGCTGAGGTCCGAGGTGGCGGCAGCGCAGAACCAGCTGCGTAGTGGCCAACGCAAGGGAATCAAGTTTGGTGTCGTTGTTCAGGGCTCAAACCATATAGACATTCAGATCAAAGAGGTACCCAGCATCGCAACTGCAAGCACCTTGACCCCCACTGCAACGCTCCATACAAACGTCTCGGAGATTTCCACCGCCGCTCCGGTCGTGCCCCCAAGCCGGGGTAGTATTAGGGACGGGCATCAGCCCGAGCACGACCATAGAGAAGCGCAGCCTGGCCACTGTGCGAGCTGCCACGAGCCCTTCACCGAATGGGAGATGGAGACGTTGGTGGGCTTCGCATGTGGCCATGTATTCCACATCACGCATCTGCTGGAGGCCCTGGGTCAGCGGGTGGACTCCGGGGTACTAAGCAGCGGTGAGGACCGCTCCAGGGGCGGTAGACTCGTTGGTAGCAAGGTCACACGTGCAAGGCTGTTGCGGGACCGTGTCGAGGGGTGCCCTGTGTGTAAGAGTAGAATGGAGGTGGTTGAGGGGAGCCACTAATACCTGTCGAAATGACATGAGCATCATGTACATATTCTCCCTTATCATACCATATCCGCGTCGAACACATATCAGGATTGACAGCCGTCTTCCACACCACGTTGTTAACAGAATCAGAAGGTCTCCAAGTGCTTTGGTCTGGCTCCCCGCGCACATATAATGAAGCTAGATGCCGCACAGATACCCACAGGCTGGTACCTGGACGACTGCGCCTACATCAAGTATGTAAACTGATGGCGGGAGTCTCGTGGTCAAACATCCAACGTAGCAGAGTACTAACTTGTACAGAGGCTCGTGACCTCTGGGTTCAAGTCGGACCTATTCTGGTTTGTCGGCATAAATGGCTGACGTCATAGCTATAGACGCACGATGAGCCAGCTAGGTTGACTTCGGCTCTCGGAGCCCTATTATTGCGACTGTTGTTCCCAAACCACACTCGGCGTGACATTTACGAGTAAACCGGAATACGGAAGCCCCTATTCTCAGCCCAGCCATCCCCTCGACGCTACAATGGCAGGCCGCCCAAGGTACACCCAAGCCCAGCTAGAGCAGTACTTCGACCGCATCAGCCTACCATCACACAAGCGGCAGTTCTCAGTCTCAACCGCCACACACTGCAGCACCAACGACGACGACCAGCTCAACTGCCTCCGCACGCTCGTCAAGCACAGCTCGTCAAGGTGCCCTTCGAGAACCTGACGCAGCACTACTCCTGGCACCGCGTCGTCGACGTCAAGCCGCAGCACCTGTTCCGCAAGATCGTTGCGGGGGCTGATGGGGTTGGGGGTCGCGGTCGCGGCGGCTACTGCATGGAGGCCAACTCGCTCTTCCACACCGTGCTGCTGAGCCTGGGCTTCGCCGTCTACGTGGCCGGCGCGCAGGTGTATGAACCGTCCGAGGGGATATACGGATTCTCGCACTGCGTCAACATCGTCACGATCGGCGGGGTGCGGTACATCGTCGATGTCGGCTTCGGGGCTAATGGGCCAGTCGGGCCTGTACCGCTTGAAGCTGGGCTCGAACATGCGCATGTTGAGCCGGCGCGCGTGCGGTTGCTGCATGAGCCTATTCCGCAGCAGACGGACCAGGGGTGTCGCGTGTGGATTTATCAGCACTGCGTTGGCGGGGGGTGGGGGTGCCGATTGGGTGCCTATGTATTGTTTTGTTGACTTTGAGTTTTTGCTGGAGGATATCCGCGGCATGAATCTAAGTCCCTGGACGAGCAACACGTCGTTCTTCACGCGCAAGGTGGTCGTCGTGCGCTTCACGACGGACCAGGAGGATGATGGTGACTCGGGGCCGGGGCCGGGGTCGGCGGGCACGGAGGCTGTCGCGGAGGGTGCGGTCGATGGTGCGCTGATTTTGTTTGAGGATAGCCTCAAGTGGCGGCGTGGTGGCGAGACGAAACTTGAGATCAAATTTGAGACCGAGAGTATGAGGGTTGATGCTTTGAGGAGGTATTTTGGCATCGAGCTGGATGATGAGGATAGGGAGGCTATTCGTGGGACTGTTAGTGAGATTGTGGGATCTAGGAAGCGAATATCGGGATAGCGGATGAGTTACTTTTTGCGGTAGATATTGCGATTCCTAGAGTTCACCGTCGAATGCCCCCATCCACGGCGTTCACCTAGCTTTTGAATAGACTCTGCGAGAGGGAACATATCCTTCATCAGGCCGATACCTTGAGCTAAGTAGCGCTCGATCCATCTCTACTCAGAGGACATCATACTGCTAGACCGCTTGACTGTGAAATATCCCTCACCTGAGAATCTTCCCTCGGTTAGGAGCTCATCTACAACGCAGGGGGTCACTCCTGAAGTCCGTTTGCATACTGCAGCAGACGTTGCCTCCCGCAAAACGCAGGCTTATAAGCCTTCATCTTCCAAAAACACCGAATGCGTGATTTACTTCCCCGCCAGTCCGCGGTTGCTCTTTAGGACAAGTTCGTCGGATTCCTGATTCCCAACCCAGTGGAGGTTTGTGCCCCTTCGAGAGACGGCGTCTCTCTAGTAGGATCTCAAGTAGAGTGATAGATGGCATATATTTTCTCATCAAGCGACTTTGTTGACTCCGAACAAGTTTGGCTCACGACAAGGTCTGATTGTATTGCCAGCTTTGTGGATTTGTCCCAAATAGTGTGTTAGAGTCACCCAGTTGAATACCCGTCGTTATGTTCATACTGCCCCCAATCGCTTATCAGCTCACCTCAGGCTGTATCAGTCAACGCGATGTTTCATAGGTTTTCTTTTTCTTTTTTCGCCTGATGAGCGGCGCCTCGCAAGGGAGCATCGCCCCTTTCCCCTTTCCCCTTTCCCATCCACTATTTGAGTCATGGAGCCTTACTTAACGACTGCTCATGTATGAATCTCGCTTCGAGGTCTGTAGTTATTAGTGTTGAGATACTCCAGCACCGTATATATCCGTGGTATAGACCGAGTGGCAAAACATTCTATCATAAATCCTCGATCTGGTTGTCGAGGACTGGATGAAGGCTTATTGTACTCGAGCACTGCTCAGTTCTACGCCTAGCTTGGATAGCCGATCTGCCGTGGGCATGTTAGCAGTCATAAATAGCTTCAAATAACTGGACTTTGCGAGGAACTGCAACTACTACTACTATTCTCCAAGGCCCTCCATCCAAGCTCGTTGCTCGCGTCCTGAGTGCGGGTATTCAACCAACATGGCATGATGGCTTAACACCACAGACACATCTCACACATATCCTAGCCGTTCTGAATCCCCGGGCCTAGGAGTCACTGCGTGCCCGGTCATCCCACCCAACTCCATATGATAACAACATTCTCATCGAAGGAGGGTACTATCATCAACCGGTGCTTCAGAACGAGCTGCTTGCTCGACCTTCCAAGGGTGTCGTACAGCATCACTGTCACTGTGGGTGCTGAATCTGCAAGGGTCCATATCCAATGCCGACGTCCTCATAAATGACGATGTAGCCAAGGAGACACGTAGGAGTCTACGCACAATATTGCAAAGAACCATGTCTTTTTCAGGTCCACCCTCAAAGTGTGGGAGACCAGATCTACGCACATTGGGCCAACAAGACTCGCGCGCGAAGATCTCGTTTCCTACGCAACATAAGCAGCTTGAACACGGCGAAGTATTCAGAAGTGACGCTGTCCGGAACCCCTTTCACCCACGCCCCCGATACCAGAGATGAATACCTTGACAGCTGGCTCACGCCGTCGCTGGATCTTGAAACACTTGCAGAGGACCCTACTTCAATCTTCCGCCTACTGCACTACAGGACTTGTTTCGAACCACACGAATGGGCTCTAGTCGATCGACAGGAGATTCGCCTTGCGGAGGACCATGGAACATTCAGACAGGGTATATAACGAGAACTGCATCGACCTTACCAACGCCCACTACGGCGAATTAACAGCATGGGATCACGAGAGAGTCCATCGCCTGGAGATAATCGGATTTCCGCTCACTTCACAAATTCTACTTTTCCAGAATAGGCTACTGAAGCTTTGCCGACGCTTCGTTGAAGGACAATGCGATTTAGCATTCCCGATTCCGAGTCCAGAGATTCCCATTCCCCTGCAAGTCGAAACTGAGCAGTGCAAAGGTCCTGGCCATGATGGTACCTACAGCCACACAACTCCCCTCGCCAATTGGCAGACTCTAGTCACGGGTTCAGAAGCTCGAACGCTTTGCAATCTGCCGAACTCCCCACCAAAGCTCTGCGCCAGAATGCAACTCGAAATTGCAATAACCAAACACCGGGAAGCTACCGATGAAAACAATCTCGTCCAGACTGTTCCGGTTTATGTCCGACACAGAGCAAATCACATATGTTCATGGAGGCACTCCAAAGGCAACGAGATATCGCGCTTCAGTCTTGCAGTAGAGCGCGTCCTACTCGAGTCAGTCCTCGAAGAGCTGATATGGTGGGAAGTCGTGAGACACTTGAACGTATTGACAGAGCTGGACAGAGTCACCGACAGGCGCATCCACGATGAAGCAGTCGTTGCTAGCCTCGATTTGGTGATACATGTGCTTGCAATATCCATCGAGAGGGTGCAGATGTTGTTGCCCTTCGAGGCTGCATACGAACGTCACTTTTCCCCATCAGGCATAAAGGAAGGAGGTTGGGCTTCGTACTCCAGGTACAAGACTTCTTCACCGAGGATAGAGTAATGGAGCAGTGGACGATGAGTTGGAAGTCAGATCAGGATGGTACAACAGTGTAGGATAGAACTTGGTTGTGATAGAGAAGGTCATTCAAAGCCTCATGACTTGCCAACAGTGCTGAGTACGGAGTCGGCCAGGTCTGTCGACATCTTTTTGTGTAAGAGGTCTTCCATTGGAAACCTCCTCGCTCGAAAGTCTAAGGAGGTAGTGCGATGTTCAGTCTCCATGTTTGAGACTTGGCTTGCCTATCATGAACAATGAACATCACTGGCAGCGCACATCATGCACATGAGGTATAAGCCCGTATGTGGCAAAGAAGTGGTGCTACATGTTGAAGTTTTAGATTGATCTGGAACCCGTAGTTGGGTGTGCCATGCAGTTGGTCGCACATGCGTTGTTTTGATGTTGGAATGTTGGTGTTGAGCCATAGGCGTTGGTCGCCGAGAACAAAGAAAGCCAGACACGATGTCGAGGCCAGGTGGGACTCGGTCACCAAAGACAAAAAATCTCCAACATCGCTTAATACTTGTGCACCACGTCACGGTAAATGTTGGCTTGTACGTTAGAGAACGAACCCAATGGAGATGCGACGCACCACCCGCATTACTGGGGGTTAAAAGCTCCCACTCCCGCCCCAAGAATTTTCAATGGGTTCCCGCAGTACAGCCATACCTTCTTCCAATGACCAGTCAAGCCGCGTGCAAATGGGTTCCCCAGGACTAGCGTCTCAGGCCTCGCCGCCGGTTTCGAACCCGGAGCACGCGATCGCCACTCAGTCAACCAACCCGGACCAGGAGGTCTCTCCCGAGTATGGCGCGACCTTCACATTCTTCCCGAGGCTTCCTATCGAACTACGAAGAATGATCTGGGAACTCGCTGTTGCCAGTGTTGATACTCCTCCAGCAGTGGTTGAATTATATCTCGAGGACAATGTGGCTCGAAAGGCCTCTTACTGTACACGGGCCGAACTGGTGTATGCGCCCACCGCCCTGAATGTATCACATTCCAATTCGGAGGCGCGAGATGTTATTCGTACCATCGAGAAGAAACAAAACTGGACGGAAGCGACGCTGCCTAACGGCCACGGGATCCCGTGGGGCTTGCATGAGAAAGTTTTGGTCCTGCACTATCATGAGATTATGAAAGAAGATCTAGGACAAGACGTTGGTTGGCTAATTGTGGAATTTCTCGGAAATTGGCCTCCCGCAATGGGCCTCATCTATGACATGCAGCATGTTGTCGTGTCCATGAAGGCTGCGTACGAGGCCGCGGTTTCGGCGGATGAGCAGTATCGGTACAGTGACATTGAAATAACTCTTGTCACCTTCTGGGGTCAGATGAGCAACGCGACTCGTGGCGAATTTCGCTACGAGATGCTGATCGACGACTACGACACGAAAGAAGGACTACCAACGAAGTTTCTAGAAACAGTCACGCCGGTTACTCCCGGAGTTTCCGAGGCTCAGAGGGATATGATGACTATTACCCTACGATTGTTCGCGGAATGGGATGACGCTATGAAGACGCGCGAGGCGGATGGCGACCCTGTTGACTTGAAACCGCCCCTGCCAGGCGAACGAGGGTTCGTGACGTGGGCTCCAGCTTCTGCCGAGGCTTCACCTTCGGGACCCAGTCCTGCAAGAGACAACTCACAGTTCCTCACGATACGCCTGATCCCGGGTGCGATATAGAAGCTCCCTACGGTTATGAGGTCTTTCGGTCTTTGGTTCGGGCACGACTCCTGAATTTAAGCCGGGCTCCAAAGCTGTGGTGTGGACGCACAACTCGCACCTCGGCGATGCGCGTGGCTCGAGCGTGGGAGCGAGCCGTGGCGAGGTCCACATAGACAGCTGTGCCGTGAGAACTTCCCGGACGAAGTCACCGACATCGGGTGTGGTACGCATACGGGCACGTCGGCGGCCGCCGACGGGTTGGATGAGCCAATGGAGGTGATGAGTGTCAACCCTCGCAATCGGACAGCTACGAGCGCGTGATGCACGATACGGGCATCCCGTCGTTCATGGTCGATCTGCGCAGTGTCAAGAATACCTCAACTTCAGCCCTACATTGGCGTCATCTACGGAACGTACTCTGAGAGACGGAGTCGCTACGCCAGGAGTGTTTTGTCGGAGCAGTATGATGCTTTTCTCTGGATAGACGAGACGAGAGCCGTGCTCGCCTTCGAGACTGCACAGCCGAAAGAACCGCTGTCAAAGGGGGAAACCTATCCGTTTCGCATGTAATTCATAACATAGAAGCCCAAACTGATCTCACTACCTGGTAAGTATCCTCGCAGGCAGAGAAGTCAACGCTTGATCTTAATGGTACACTTGATGTCATTAAAAGCGTGCTTCCCCATAGCGTTGAGGCCATCCTGCATCTATTAGATATTTGCGATAAGCAGCCGCAGCCTTAACCCTCGCCTTCGCCCGCTGCTTCTCAGCGCGTTCCTCCTTCTCCCTCTCGAAAATCTCCCCAGCGGCTGTAGCCCATGCCTCCAGCAACAGTGGGTGCTTGATGCACCACAGCACAAACTCGCGCGTCGCCAGCGCATCCTCGACACAATCGTGTCCCGTAGGAGCATCCTGTATCGCCACACCCAGGAGATCCCGACATAGCGTCTGGAGCCCCCATGTGCGGCCAAACCTCTTCGCCTCCCGCCCGAAAGCAGCCTCCGCCGTGACAATGGACGAGTCCACGACGCGATCGTGCGTGATGTGCAGCGCGCGGAGGTCGTTCGTCAGCGCATGCCCTACGAAGACGGTATCGGCGTCGACGAGATCGAAGAGCCGCGCCCGCGCCTCCGGCCAGCCGCCCAGAACGCCGCCGGCGGCCTTCGCGTCCCGCATGATGGAGGCACTGACGCCGCTAACGCGCGTGCGCCAGTGGACGACCCTGTCCGTGGGCTCGACGAGCGCGTGCAGCAGGACCGCGCCCGTGACGAAGTCGACGGCGCAGACGCTGACGACGTCGCTTCGGCGGCCGCTGATCTCGACCATTTCGCAGTCGACGACGATGGCGGCGCGCTTGGGAACGCAGGGGTCTGGGGCCGGGGCGCTGAGGAACTGATTGGGGTTGAGTGCGTTGGAGGTGTTGGAGAAGATGCGTCGCTCGTCGTGGCATTGGAGGTGTAGCGTGTAGAGGATGGATGGGTCTTCTGCTGGCGAGACCCAGGGGTATAGGGTCAGGGCGTTTATGGAATGCTTTGCTGCGAAGGTCGCCGCGTGTACCGGGGCAGGTATGGGACGAGTCTCGACGGGATCTGCTAAAGTCGCTTTGTGTACTGGGGCAGGCACGGGAAGAGACTCGACGAGGTCTACGATTTGCCCCGAGGCGATGTTCGCCTGGGGCTTTGGGGTTTCCGCGGGCAGCATGGTGATAGGCAAGACTTGATGCGCTGTTGGGATCGACTCGATAGATTCCGGAACTCCCAACAGGTCATGCTTCTTGGGCAGTACCGGATAATTCGACAAAGTGTTTTGTATTGTCGGCTTCTGAATTGCCTCACGAGAAGGCTGTTCAGGTTTCGCCGGCTGGATCGACCGCGGTGCAGTCTGAGGTGCTGGGACGCCTACGGGCGAAGACTTCCCAAGGTTCGCTGGGTTCTTCGTCTTCCTGGTAACCGAAGGAGGTGTGGACGTCTTCTTCGCTGGGGCGCCGCTTGTGTTCCCCAAAGACGAAGATTCAGCAAGCTCATTCAGACTCGGGCGGCGGGGAGGCTCGGCAGCTTTCTTCGTGCTGCGACTCTGGTTCTCCTGTTTGATGCCGCGAAGCTTTACTGGCTTGGGCGAGGCTGCGCTCAAGCTTGAAGCATCTGTTGGTTGGACACAAGCACCAGCACCCGCCCCTTCCTTCTTTTGCTTGACTTTACGAGACGGGGCCGCGTCTGGCGGCGTTGATACCAAGTCATCCTTCGCTTGGGCCGCGGCGCCTACTTGAGTGATGAGCTTGATCGAAGTGAACTTGGTCGTCGTCGCTGAGGGAGAGGTCGAGCCCCCCTTGTGCCTTGGGGAGTTCTTCCTATGTTGTTCCAGGCCTTTCGGGTTCTTGAGGACCTGGCAGCAAACCGTACAACTTTTCGTCATCATGTGGCCCGTCTGCCCGACATGTTCGTGTAGTGAGCGTCTGTCCTCGAAGGTGAGGCCGCAGTCACAACGCGGCTTCTTCGGGGTTGTGATTTCCGTCATGTTTGGTTTTAAAGAGCTCCTTGGATGCTGTTATGTTCGGAGAATAGAGAAGTACTGATGGGAGTATCGTTGACTTTATAGGTCAGGCTGCCGGCGCTCTGGAGGCCTGCGGCTTATGGATGGAGGTTCGGGTTGCAACACAAGCAGGCCAACATATAGCGGCCTTCATGTGTGGTGCTTGGCTCAGCCACCCAATGAGGCAGTACCCAGCCTGTTGAAAGTCAAGACCACAATACGGTAGTTATTACAGTTCGGTGTCTCTGGGATGTTGCCTTGTCTAGGTTAGGTAACTTAGGTACCTAATGCAGGTCCTTCGATTGACCCCTAGCCTGCCTGCCCTAGCCTGAGAAAGGGGTACACAGTGACTAGAGAAAGTCTGTTTGTTTTCGAATATATGGCAGTGGGAGTGATGCTGCGGAAGTCTGGAGTATCGTAGACATCCTGTAGTTGACGTTCTCAATTGGGTGGGTTGGTCGATGGTAGATCATTGACGGCTACACGGAATCGACCCTTCCTGATCTTGCGCAGTTAAATATGTAAGTGCGAACCATTGAAGTCCCATTGAAGCTCAACCTCGTTCAACTCGTACTTGTAGTCACCAAACCCTCTTTCCGACCGATAGAATGCCAGCATGAACGGTCTGACCGCGCTTGATAAAAGTGAATGAGACAAGCCACATCTACCTAGAGAACCTGGCTCCAGCAAACCTAGCATTGCAGATGGCCCCGCATACTGTAGTAGAACTCCGCACAAGAATAAACACCCTCCCACTGGTCGAATCTTGCGGCAATAATTATACATAGAATCCGATAACAGCAAAATTCTTCATCGATCCTAGAACAGTTAATACTGAGGCCGGGTGGCGCAACGGTAGCGCGTCAGATTCCAGTCTCTAACACTGGGGATTCCTGAAGGTTAGGCGTTCGAATCGCCTCCTGGTCAACATGACAAGTTCCTTTTTGGCACTCTATGTGGATGGAAGGACAGACAGGTCTATGCATGATCCTATCCAGGGTATATCTTTTTTTGCTGGATAGAAGTACCTTGCCTACACGCGGTAATATGATTTATGTGTGTAAACAGGAGTCACCATGTGGTCAATATAGCAGACAAAATCTAAATTAGTATTCTGTTGTCGGATGTGAGAGATTCTCTTTCTTTTGCTTCGCGCTGCGGTCTATGTCGACACTGATTGAGAACATGCTTGGTGGAAGTTACACCGATATTCTCCCGGCTGCTGCTTGAGCTCCCATTAGCTTCAGCCTTCAGGAGCTTCGACTTTCCGAACCACTGGTGCACCTCCGGTTCTGGTCTCAAAGACTGACGATGCCGCATCTTCGGCCGACAATACTGAGCAGATACCTTCTTCAAGGTCAATTGTCCGCAAGGGGCTGTCTGAACTCCCGATATCGAGGGTATGCCATCATTGCGGCCCGAACTTCAAGAGCATCTGCCCCCACGCCCGGGCATGCGCGCGTTCGAGCTCTGCACACCGAGACTACCTCTCCAGCTCCCACCGACCCAGATGCGCCAGTGCCAGGTCACGTCCCATTGCGCAAACAGCTGAAGGACGAGGCGAAGAGGCAGAAGGCGACTGGCAAGAAGAAAAGGAAGAATGCAAATAACCAGGTCGTCGATGGCTGGGAGCTGACCGTCGGCATCGAGATACACGCCCAGCTCAACACCGCAAAGAAGCTCTTCTCAGGAGCCTCCACCTCCTTCAACGATGACCCGAACACGCACGTCGCCTACTTCGACCTGGCTACACCCGGTAGCCAGCCCATCTTCCAGAACGAGACCCTGATCCCAGGGCTGAGAGCTGCATTGGCACTCGAATGCAACATACAGCAAGTCAGCACCTTCGACCGGAAGCACTACTTTCACTGGGATCAGCCTTCGGGCTACCAGATCACGCAATACTACGAACCGTTCGCACGAGACGGCCGGATATTGTTACAACCTAGGGATGGCATTGCGGCTGAAGACGGCGGCGAAGGGCTGTCTGTCGGCATCAAGCAGGTTCAAATGGAGCAGGACACGGCCAAGACACTCGCACAGCCCGGCGACGTGCACTGGATCGACTTCAACCGGGTCGGCGTCCCCTTAATTGAGATCATCACCCTGCCGGAAATACACCACCCAGCTACGGCTGCTGCCCTAGTGAGGAAGGTCCAGATCCTCCTGAACGCCGTCGACGCATGCGTGTCTGGCATGGAAGCGGGAGGCCTGCGTGCCGACGTCAACGTGTCTGTCCGAAGAACCGACGATCCAGCTGCCCCGCTCGGTCAATGTACCGAGATCAAGAACCTGAGCAGCTTCAAGGCCGTTGAAGACGCCATTATCGCCGAACGAGACAGGCAGATCGCGGTCCTCGAGGCTGGCGGTACCATAGCAGGTGAGACCCGTGGGTGGTCTATCGGATCTACAGAGACTCGTCGGCTGCGAGCCAAGGAAGGTGAAGTCGACTACAGATATATGCCGGATCCCGACCTGGCACCTATTGTCATTGGTGACGACTTGGTTCACCACCTCCGCGACACTATGGGCGAACTCCCAGATGTCGAGGTCGATGGTCTGATGAAGGACTTTGGACTTACTGCCAAGGATGCGTTGTCCCTGATTGCGCTTGATGGGGGCATGCGAATTGAGTACTTCTGGAACGTCATCGACGCCCTGACTGCTCGTCTCGGGCCAGACGCACTTGAGAATCAGTTATGCTTCCAGCTTGCCGCGAACTGGATTCTGCACGAATTAGGTCGATTAACGTCGGAGCGTAGCGACGATGCTGCGCATGACCTTGGATTTACAGTCGAGGGTCAATGTGAACGTGTGCCGGTGGATCACCTAGCCGACATCCTCTTGTATTTGCATCAGCACAGGATCACCGCCAAGATCGCCAAGGAGCTGCTGTGGGTAGTATTCCGCGGACGAATACCAGATCAGTACCCCACGGTCTCTGATGCGATCGAGCAAGAGGGCCTATGGTTCCATGAGTTATCAGACGTCGAATATGCCGAGCTGGCCGATGCGGCTGTCGAGGGACAAGACGACGTAGTGAAGCAGTTTGTGAACTACAGACAATACCCCCAGGGAAAGCTCATGTTCCTGGTCGGGCGGATGATCCGGTTGGGACAGGAGGAGAGGATCGATCCGAAGAACGCTGAAAGGATCATGAGAGCAGCACTAGAGGAGAAGTACGTGCCTGCGATGGCGAAGCAATGAAGCTTCGAGCTGTGTATATAATGTGGTTTATCTGAAGATACCCGTGTGCCTTCTGGCAGGGGCCCAGAATACCATGTTACGATGACTAGTATTCTGGATGTTCTGCTTGCTGTCTAGAAGGATGGGAGCGTGTCCCATCCGAAAGGTCACTTAAGTACTAGATACAGTGCAAACGGTACCTTGTCCCTTGGGCAACAATCCGGCCCAACCGACAAGACACCTGACAGCTGGAACCAGCTGGATCCACACCCGTGTAAGTTATATCAAAGATGCTTCCATGTCTGCATAGATAGGTACCCAAGTTCTCGTATCTACACGACGGCTTAGCTCTTCATTCCCAGCATACTGCACTAATTTGGTGCAACATGATCACCTCGCAAACCCCCAGAATCTCACAACCGCAACATCGCCGCGCATATAGCCGGACCAAACTGCCAGACTTGGGCCACATTCACTCATATATATATATCCCTCATCCCACCAATCCCCAACTCGACCACATCGCCCTTCCCAGTCCCACAGGCTCTCCTCATTCCGAGGTGGATGTGGACGCCCATCCATGATTAAGGTTTTGGTGGATTGAGATGATTTGCGGCGTTTTATCTTGTTAGATTTAGCGTATAGCATTGGGGCTCTGCTTTCTGTCATCTTTTGAGGTATTTGGGTTTGGCCCCTCCCTTGTGGTCGAAGAGCGTAATAATAAAATAAATCGTTGAGTTCTTTGTGGGCGTGTATAAAGTTCTATTGGGAATTGGGTCAGTTAGTTAGGTTGGTGATGGTAGGTACTAATCAGTGGTTCGCGGAATGTGTATGTACGCAGAGCCGGATTGACTACAGGTATTAAGATGGCCACTGCGCTTCGCTGGAAGAGGTCCAACTGAACCCCCAAAGGTCTGCATACACCCCTTGTTCGACAAATGGTAGGTGATTTGATCATAATCTGAAACTAGCGTTGGTGAGAAAGGATGTTGAAGATGAACTCTCCAAGCTGGTGGAATCAGAGTGGAAGATAAGTATTCATGCCAGTAAATGTTGTGATCGAGCCAGCATTGCAATTACAGGTCGTATTCATTAGGCTTTCTGCCGGTACATAGACACCCAGTTGTATTATTTAGCTACGACAGCACTCCATGGCAGCCAGTCGAAATGCATTTTCTTGCTCCTGATGCAGCTGGGAATAAAACGAATCCACAATGATACCACACACATTAATTAGCCTCAACGCCGGTCGCTTCCGCAGTCAAGATGTGCCAGATAGTCATAATGGAAAACAAAAACCCAGTCGTCAGTCGTATACCCGCAACGCATTTCCTCACTTGGCCCGTAGTCCCACGCTCTTCAGGAAGTCGACGATATCATCGACGCCCTGCGGAGCATAGATCCAGTGCTCGCCCTTCTCGTATTCCTTCCATGTCACGTCCATGCCGTATGTGGTCAGCATGTCTCTCAGCCGCCTGCCCTGCTCTATGGGCATGATGTTGTCATTGGCCGAGTGGCTAAGGAAGACGGGGGTGTTGCGGTAGATGTCGTCGCTCGGGGTAGCGCCGTCGAGACCTAGGGCGCTACGGGTGTCTTGTACGGAACTGCCACCAAGCGACATCCAACTCGATATACCGACGAAGGCGCCTAGACGATCATTGGGTTCTGCGGTGTCGGAGCCAGGATAGTTCAAGAGTGCATGTATCGCCGCGGCACACCCCTGACTGATGCCAGCCAACACGACGTTGCGTAGGCCGACCCTGGCGGCCTCGGCCTGGAGCAGCCTAATAAGCTTCGGGGTGTTTTCCTTCAGACCAGCGACCTGAGTATGGCGCTTCTCGTCTGGGTCGTCCAGACTCCAGATGTCGAACCACTGATGAACATTCTCTCTCCAGCGCTCGGCGTGTATCACGTCTGCCTCGGGAAAGACCCATTTCACCGAGGGGAAGATGTGCTGCAGCGATTCACCGCGGCGATCATGGCTTTCCCACAGCTCGTCGCTGACCTCGTTGGCGGTGGAGGCGCGGCCGTGAAGAAAGATGACGGTATGTGTGTGGATGTTGTGGGCCGGGAGGGTGACGCATCGAAGGACCATGGTCGAGCAACAAGGCCGTTATACGTGCAAAGGCGGCACTGACTCGAAGTGGGAAAGAAGAAAAAGAGTGTGGAAGTCGGGGATGGGAGCGATTTTGCCCTGTCCCTCCGAGAATGTGACTGCTGTGGGAGACTGGCCGGTTCCAACCACCGACCACGTGTGGCTGAAGGTTGATGTGACTGGTTGCACGCGTGGCTTGCGAGCCTTGGTGTGCTCAGGAACCGAGGAAAAGGACGACAACACTGCACAATACGATTTCTTGGTCAAGAGCCGGCGACGTGGCCCTCTATATGTATAGACAGAAACTTACGAAAGAAGCCCGCGAAAGTGGGCTGGGTTGGGGATGGGATTGCCAATTGGGAACCGGGAGCCGGGAGCCTCAGCATTGAATTTGATGAGCAACATGGAACCAGGGGCCTGCATGGGGCCGTGGGCCGATGGCGGTCTAGACCCCTCCAACATGCCTCGAATAAGAAGTCGCGTGACCTCGCTTCCTCTCGACCGCGTCGCCAGCCGCCAGCCGCCAGGTCTGCGTGCCGGCAGCTGCTGTAAACATGACATAGCATTGTCACTGTTCAGGTCAAGATGGGACGGAAACATTGCCGGTAGCACGACCACTGCCACTGAGTTGCTTACCTGGAGCGAAAAAGCGGCTGCATGCGACGAGTACATATATGCGTGTTGGGTAGGTAGTGTCAGGTTCTGTCTCATACTGGCTACACCGGTCTTCGAGGGCGTAGTAGAAGATGGCTGGCGCTCGACCACGGTCTGCATCTGAGGCCTACATCAAGCACACTCCAGACCTGACACTCAACATCCATACTTCTTTTATTTGCCTGCAGACGCTGATGCAGGTTGACTGCTAACCGACGATGCCACGTCCCAGCCGTCCCGCTGCCGCAAGAAGCTCTCCACTCTCTCGTGCCTGTTGAGGACGGCCTGTTGGCCCTGCCGGTTTCTCATATCCTGGCTGATGGCTGCGTGCTTCTGCTCTCGCATCTCGACAATGTTCATCGTGTTTGTGCTTGCCCGCCGCGCTTGGCCCAGGCTGCCGACGAGCACAAAGGCGCATAGAACGCCAACGAAGAGCTCGTTGGACATATATAGTGGGTGCTGCTTCTTCTTCGCGCCTTCCCTCTCGCCGTACCATCTTTCCCAGTCTTCCCATGTGGCGTTCATGCTCGGGTTTCCGGGCTCATCACGCCACGACTTGTCCGTCGCACGACGAGCGTTATCCATGCTCAACTTCCCACCCCATCCAGCGCCATACAGGTCGTATGCCCGCCTCTTGACAGGATCACTGAGGATTTCGTTGGCAGAGACCACCAACCGATACCGTTCCAGCCGCACAGTCTGTGAAACCAACGGACCCGTGGATATGCGATGCCGATCTGGATGGTAGACCTTGACGAGTTCGTAGAACTTGGCCTTGCTATAAGCTGCGGTCTTCTTTTGACCGAATATTTCGTAGGGCGTTGGGTGCGGCGAAGACGGCCAGCCGTGGTGTGGAGAGTCGTCGGGTGGCCGCATCGAACCACTATCGGAGACGGTGGCATACATCCTGCTAAAGGACGGAACGCGACGGGGGTTAAGAGCAGGTCTGTATTCTTGTTTGGAGGGAGATGTCGGATCTTGACCAGACCGTGGCCGCGTTGTTGGCTGACATGATGACGTTGCGCCAGGCGGCGGCGGCGGCGAAAAGAACGCGGGGACAGTAGAACAGGAACAAGAGCAAAGGGTGAGGGTCGGTTTCCTGAGGATCATAGTTGACTTGGTAGAAGACGCATACCTACGAGGGTTCTCGTAAGCGAAGTCCTCATGACGGGTGACTGACTGACTGCAACTGCCTAGGTAAGGTCAGAAGGTCGGCGGATGGGGTAAGCAGTTCTAGTAGGAGAGCGAGGCCGACGGAGACATCGATGATGGCGTAGATTGATGAATACGATGCCCGGTTCGATCGGGTCTCCACTGTTATTAATCGATACCGGACACCCCTAATAGGTAACGGCGGGGCAATCGGGCCCTGTGGCCATGCCTGTGGCTTGAGCTACCAGCCTTAGCAGCTTAGCTCCTGCCCAGGTGCCGGGTCCCTGGGCCTTGACCTAAAGGGGGGTTCATCAGCCTCATCGGACAAGTCGGCATTCCACGGGTCTGGTGCACCCTGCCCTAGCAGCAGTCACTGGTGCTGCGACAACATTATGTATTCGCACTTGCACCATTGACTTGTTCCAATGCACCCAAATGCAGAGACACACCCGCCTCAAAAACAACCGCAGCAGCAGCATCGTCACCACCCTCTCCTCTGCCCATTGAGATTCACATCCCCTGCCACCGAGCACCGCTCCGACACAGCTACCTACGTATCATCCAATTCCCGAGACTCGAGAACACAATCTCCTGCTACAAAGCTCGAGGTCCCCACCACACCACTCAACTACATACGCACTTTCACCCTGACACGCCTGACCGGTGGCTACCTCCTCACACCACATCGTTGCCTCCGTCGACTTTGATGAACTCCACCTTCCTCGGTCTACCAACAGTCTGAAGTCCCGTCGAAATACCTGCATTCCTCTCCATCGACCGCGCACTCGGTCTTCACACAGACGCCAGCGTATATCCTTCGACGTCGCCCAGTAACATTTGAACTTGCTCGATACTGTTCTCGAGCCCATCATTACGTCCGCTGGTTCAGCCATTCTCAAAGGTATGCGCAGCTCTACCGTATTCGAGTCCTCCCCAACCCTCAATTCGGCCTCAATCATGCTGTATACACTCTACCTAGTTCCCAATTGCGCCAAGGTCGTCCTCAAGCACCCACAGAAGGCTTCCACCGCGCCCAATACTGCGTTCAAGGGCGTCATTTGGCTGGGACTGATACCCAAGTGATACGTGGTCATCTGAGTGCTTCGTCGATCTTGGAAGCTGACCATGTGCTTAGTGCCTTAGTGTTGATGTTGGGTCTTTTCGCATAGCACAGCTCGAATAGCATTGCGAACCCTCATAGCCTTCCACGTCTTCGTGCCCTACATAAAACGACACCATCTGCCATTCTTTGCGTGAACGCCCTCCGAGCCCTAGTCCTGCAAGAAAACCACGTGGGGTTTCAATCATCACGACCATCGCCTCTCGTCCTACTGGATAGCGCATTTTATAGTCCTACTACGAACTGAACTCCTTTCCCTTCGGCCTGTTGTTATCTAAGGAAGACATCTCGAGACAGAGGTCAGCACAAAACGTACCACCGAATCACCGCATTACTGGTCAACCTTCAAAGATAGTAGGATGTCAGACGCACTAGCTGCGAAGCTACGAGCTTCGACGCTCAACGAGACACCGGAAAATGGCGATTGGAAGAAGAGCCTGAATATTCCTACCCGGGATGGCAGACACCAGACAGAGGTATGTGTGGTGACAAGTAAACTTTGCGTCCCGCATTGGGCTTTGACAGACTCCAGGCCAAGGTACTAACATGAATGCCTGTAGGATGTTACCAACACCAAGGGGCTAGAATGGGAGGACTTCGGACTGAAGCGAGATCTCCTAATGGGCATCTTCGAAGCTGGATACGAGAAGCCCTCGCCTATCCAAGAAGAATCCATTCCGGTAGCTCTTACGGGGAGGGATGTGCTCGCGAGAGCCAAGAATGGCACTGGCAAGACGGCGGCTTTTGTTGTTCCCACGCTGGAACGCATTAATCCCAAAGTCAACAAGATCCAGTGCTTAATACTCGTGCCCACAAGAGAGCTGGCTATGCAAACATCCCAGGTCTGCAAGACGCTCGGAAAGCACCTCGGAATCAACGTGATGGTCACAACGGGAGGCACCACCCTCCGCGACGATATCGTCCGTCTTCAGGATCCTGTCCACATAGTGGTGGGCACTCCCGGGCGTATCCTTGATCTGGCTGGCAAAGCGGTAGCCGATTTAAGTGAATGTCCCATGTTCATCATGGATGAAGCCGACAAACTTCTGTCTGTCGAGTTTACACCCGTCATTGAGCAGCTGCTGCAGTTTCACCCCAAGGACCGACAAGTCATGCTCTTCTCGGCCACTTTCCCCTTGTCCGTCAAGGACTTCTCGGATAAGAACATGACCAAGCCTTACGAGATTAATCTGATGGACGAGCTCACACTTCGTGGTATCACACAGTACTACGCTTTCGTCGAGGAGAAGCAGAAGGTACACTGCTTGAACACGCTCTTCTCCAAGCTGCAAATCAACCAATCCATCATCTTCTGCAACTCAACGAACCGTGTTGAGCTGCTAGCCAAGAAGATCACCGAACTCGGTTATTCCTGCTTCTACAGTCATGCCAGGATGGCGCAACACGCCCGTAACCGTGTATTTCACGATTTCCGCAATGGTGTGTGTCGCAACCTGGTTTGTTCTGACCTGCTCACTCGTGGTATCGATATTCAAGCTGTGAACGTTGTTATCAACTTTGATTTCCCCAAGAATGCCGAGACGTATCTGCACCGCATCGGTCGGTCTGGTCGATATGGGCACCTCGGTTTGGCCATCAACCTGATCAACTGGGAGGATCGATTCAACCTCTACAACATCGAGAAAGACCTTGGCACTGAGATCCAGGCAATTCCCGCCACCATTGACAAGAGTCTCTACGTCTATGATAACCCGGAGAACATTCCGCGCCCGGTCAACACGTATGCCACCACGCAATCGACGACGTCCGGGCCCAGGCCGCAGCAGAACGATCCGGCTACACAATCACAATCGCAGCCGCAGCAGCCAAACAACCTACCTCCCTCCCAGGGCAGAGGCCAGGGTGACTTGCGTAACCAAGGTGGGCGTGGTGGCAACTTCAATGATGCCCAGCCCCGTCAGTACCAAGGCAATCGCGGCGGCCACCGTGGCGCCGGTCGGGGCCGTGGTCGTGGATACAACAATAACGGCAACAACTACGGCGGCCGCGGAGGTGGTCGTGGCCAGGGTCAGCCGCCGCAACAAGCATAACTTCCCCTTACACGACTATGACCAGGTCCTGAGAATCCACCCGGGATAGTTCCAAGACCCGATTCTCCTTCGCATTGTACATATTTCCTGTCAGGATTTGGTTTTTGATTTGTATCATACCCATCACGACTTTTCCGCTGCTTCATTGGTTTCCAACCGCCCCCCGATTTCCTACGGAAGATCCTCGCAGCATCTGCAGTAATGACGCTAAGCTACCTGACGTTTGGACGTAATCGGAACGGTCAAAATCTGGCGTTAGGCGTTTCTCTGCCAAGAAGGGGTTACTTGCATCGGTCGGGGCTTGGAAGAGAGCAATGAGCACGACACAAGAAAAGAGAAACAGACCATGGTATTAGTGGCGGCTGTAATACTTGCCATCATTCTGTGGCACTATTCTTCCTTCCCCATCCGAATCCTTCAGTCACCCTTGTTCGGGGCTTCCCGAAGCCCTCATCAGAGCGATGCAAGGGCTTCTCCCGGCACATTGCCCACGCTGATGGCACCATTTTTGATGACGCGACTCTATGCAGAGTCTTCCCCAGCACAGCCGCTTTATGATCGTGACACCGCACTGCATCGATTCGACTGCAGGAGCGCTTGACATGGACTGCAGCAGCGCATCTGGTAGATGCTGGCAGGAAGCTGGACGATATGAGGGGAAACAGATAGAAACCGTTGATACTTGGATCAACAGCTCGACTGGACGATACTTAAGTATTAGGCTATCCTCGCCTGGTCAATGAGGATCTCGATGGTCCAACAAACCGACCGAGCTGGCACTATCAGACCTTGCCGGGATCAATCGCTCATCACCTTGCTCAACATGACAAGCTTGAACCGAGTATTTCTCGACTCATCCGCCTGGACTCGTTGATGGCGAGTCCAACCGACAGGGTCAACAGCAGTAAGAAAACACCACAAAAACAACCAAAAAAAAATCTTTTGGGAGGGACGCTACATCAACTAGATTATTCTTGGACTGGTCAGTTTCCTTCAAGGGGACACAGGGCTGGTGGACTAGATAGTTGACTGAGCAAATCATGGTGACCCTTGTAGTCGCCATTTCCCTTTCATGTGACCTTCTTTGTCTTGCTGGCGTCTCGCTTGGTGCACTAAACCCTCAGAAGTCTCCGTACACCCGTAATCGAAGTTTCTATTATTCATGGGTCATTTTCATCTGCACGATAATCAATCTATAATAAGGCATGGCATATGAAGATATAACTGCATATTCTGAGGGGGCGCCCTAGAAGCGACTGTAGGTATAGTCAGCCCCTATAAGTCTCCGTTCACGCACCTTGATAATTTTCTTTTCGATGGGAAGAAACTGGTGCAATAAGCAGTCATGCTCTATGAAGCTACCCTTGGTGCTTGTTCCAGAGTGGTCGCTTCATAATTCATACATACGGCAGGCCTGGATCCCAAGACCTTGCGTAAGCTACGGGTTGTACGCAGACTTTTAAGCACATCTGGTGTGACTGAATGGCACGGGCACAGCCTGAAGGCAGCGGGAGACCTAACACTACCTTAATAACGAGGAATTGCACACACGTGGATCGAGTCTCAATATATGTTTCCTACTATGCCAATGCAAGAAGGTTGGTTTGCCTTTCATAAAACCGGACATCTCACCCACGTGCGAGGTACCAAGGTAGATTGGGGCACGGACCACCTGCAGTAGCGGCAGCAGCCATCTTGGTTGGGCACGGTCCACGCAACAACCGTTTTCTCTCATTCTTTCATGTTCTTCGCATCCACAACTCATCTCAACATTGAATCGCAACAACCTCCAGTTTCACATACTGGCCAACTTTCCATCCGCCCAGGGCTCCACGACTCCGTCCCACGGCGCTCTCAATATCGCAGTAACTGCGGTTCAAGACTCACGATGCAGGATTCCAGGTCAGCTCAGCCCAAGGCGAACCGAGTCTCCAAAGGGAGAGGCCGGAAGAACGGTGCAAGGGGAGGACGATCAGGCCCTCGCCCCGGTCCTGCCCAGAACTCGACGGGAGCAGACACCGAGATGCAAGACTACCCTGATGACAATCCCACTGGCGCGCGTGAACCTGCGACTTCTGGTGCAGCCGGCTCAAATGCCGCCCTCACCATAGCCGTACCCACCGACACCCCCAAGTTTGTAGACCTGGGAAAAGACAATGTCATCCATCCCGTGTTGCTCCAGACTCTGACGCAGGACATGAAGTTCAACCACATGACGCCCGTCCAGGCAGCCACCCTTCATCCCCTCCTAACACAGCATGCAGATGTTTTGGCTCAAGCCAAGACGGGCACTGGAAAGACCATCGCGTTCCTGCTGCCCGCCATCCAGAATCTCATCAACCGCCAGCAGACCCCGGCGGCCAATGTGTCGCTGCTCGTCATCTCTCCCACGCGCGAGTTGGCAATGCAGATTGCCGACGAGGCCACGGCTCTGCTGCAGCGGATGCCGCGGTACAAGGTCTGCATTGCCATTGGTGGCACCAACAAGGATTCGGAAGAGAGACGCATACTGAAGGGCTGCGATATCTTGATTGGCACTCCAGGCCGGCTCTATGATCATCTGGGTTCACCGTCTAGTCCGGTGGCGGGGAAGCTCCAGTACCTGAACACGCTAGTTCTTGATGAAGCAGATAGACTCCTTGATATGGGATTTCTCGATTCCTTGAAAAAGATCATCAGGTGCTTGCCCGACAAGAACGTCAGACCGAGGCAGGGCATGCTCTTCTCGGCCACCGTGCCTGACCACGTCCAGAAGGTGGCCCACCTCGCCCTGTCCCAGAACTACAAGTTCATATCCACCATCCCAGAGGGCGAGATGAACACCCATGAGCGCGTCGCGCAGCAGCTTGTTGTCGTCCCCAACTTCTCTGACATGGCAGCTGCTCTGCTCGGTGCTCTGCGCCAGGAACGTGCGCGTGCCGGCGCAGACACCAGTAAGGTCATCGTATTCGCCCCCACAGCCGGGCTTGTAGACTTCTACACTGATATCCTACAACAGTCCCCGGGCATGCCCAAGATTCTCTCACTTCATGCCCGCATGACACAGTCCAAGCGCAGCAAGATCACCGAAGAGTTCCGCCAGGCACGGAGTGGTGTTCTGATCGCGACCGACGTCATTGCTCGAGGCATGGATTTCCCCCTAGTAACCAATGTCTTCCAGGTTGGCCTGCCTTCTGACAAGGAATCCTACGTCCACCGTCTCGGACGTACTGCTCGTGCCGGTGCCGAGGGACGCGGGACCTTCATCATCACGTCCCACGAGACCTTCTTCTCAAAGTGGACACTCAAGGACGTCACGTTCCACGAGACGCCGGCCGACCTGAGCGCACAGCCCGACGTTCTACGCATCGCCCAGACGATGGACACGCACGCCAAGGTGTACCAGGGGTGGCTGGGGTTCTACACGGGGCGCATCAAGCCCATGGGATGGGATAACGTCCGACTGGTTCAGGAGGCCAACAAGTTCGCGCTGGACGGGCTGGGTGCTCCTGAGGTACCCACCCTGCCCAAGAGCACCATCGGTAAGATGGGACTCAAGGGCGTCAGGGGATTGGTCGTCGGGCCTGACCCGCCGAAGCAGGGACGAGGTGGCCGGCCGCGATAGAGGCGGTCTGTCGGTTGGGTGAGACGCGGTTGCGGCGGAGTATGGTGAGGGTGGTCGTCCCTGGAGCGGCCTCGCATGGGTCAAAATGATCTTTCCGATCAGTGCGTGGGAATACCGGATCATTCACCTACGGACAAACGTCACTCAGCATGTGGACTGCCTGGGTAACCAGGTCGCGCCATGAACTCGGCTTGCTGACAGCTCACCAAGGTCAGTGTTCATGTCCTCTACCGCAGTCTAATTTTCACATGCTAACATTCTCTAACAGTGAGGCAACCGACTCCATATCTTCGAGATTCACGAACATGCGACTGGCAGTGGTAATAAGGGTTCTTTATGGTGGTAATTACTACGAGGCCTCACCTGCTTCTGGACAGGTATGATACGGCCGAGTCAACAGATGTCTAGACTATTTGTCTAGTCGCTTTACGGCGTCTGCGGGATGCCTTTCATAGACACATAGACTCATAGACAATCTTAATAGTCTCCAACCACGCTTCTTAACTGCAATAAGCTTGGGGCGAGTCCCAAGTATCTGTCACTGTTACCCAGCCCCTGCGAGAAGCTCGTGATATTGACTCCAGGTACCGATCCCGTGCGATGAACCGCGCACCCGATGTCTTACGTTGCTCACTGGCCGTCAATCATCGGTTTCAACGAGGCTGTAAGTCGTCTGTCACCGCGCAGACTAGGTCAAGCCCGCGCGTGAAACGAACGGGCCTTGGAGGCCATCCACGCCCATCCCTCTGCGATGAAAGGGGTGGGGCAGTAGAGCGGTCAGCCCAGCGATAGGTACTACACAGTACCTAAGCAGCGCTGTGGCACGAGTAGCAGCTATAGCCTCAGTGATAGTGAAACGTGTGGGGAAGGGCGGATGGTAAAGGTAGTGACTTGGTACGACAGCAGTGAGGACACGCCGGAGGCAGAGCAGATGGAGCGTAGTCGGAGAGAAGGGTGGACCGGCATGAGGCGGTGAGTGTCCGGTGATATCCATAGACTAAGCTCCCTGGAATAAAAGGCTTGGACCTCATGAGTCATCTGTGATGCTTATTCCAGAGTGTTTATTACGTTTATGATATATTCACCCTTCGCTTGATAATCAAGGGGTGTACGGAGACTTCGGAGGGTTCAGTGTGCTTAGGTAGGTAGCCCAGGCGCGCCCTTCTATTCGTACCGCAGATTCGTCTAAGTCGATCCGGTAACGTATGCTGGAGAGCTAGTTAAGATCTCCAGGCCGCGGAGACGTTTGATACAAGGGATTCCCGCTGTGCGTTGTACCTTCCCACATGTCGCGAGAGAACAGGAGTTTGCGCGCCTCCGAGCCTCAAACTAGAGAAAGGGGGTACCTAATTCAGCCACCTCCACGCCCCTTGAGGACTAATGGAGAACAAGGTTCATTACGTTTAAAACCAATTACATGTGAGTCTGTTTTGAACAGTGCTGTCCGGATCAAGTTCTTTCTCTTTTAACTGACGACAACGCCCTTAAATCCACAAGCGACCAGCAGTCGAGCCTCGAGCCCAGACCATCCAGGCATCGGCACTTGAACAAGAGACTTTATTATTCGATATACACGACCGGCAATACTGTTCTAACACACCCCCAAGGATATGTACAGTCACCTCCATAAGTCTCCGTGCGACACGCCTCTGTCGACCTTTCGACATTCATGCTATATTCGTATAAATGGAATAAGCACCCTGGAATGACCAGAGTATATCCAATAAGCCATATGTGATGCTTATTCCAGAGCGATTATTCCATCCATAATCAATACACTCTTTGCTTGCAGGACGAGGCATGTACGGATAGTTTTGGAGGTTCAGTGTATCGACGCTGGAGTTCCGCCGTAGGTAGACTGAGAACACGGTCGGTGGACATGCAAATGAGAACATCTCGAAACTATCGAATTAGGAATACCTTGTTTCTCCAAGAGGCACCCTGGTTTTCTTGTTACGGCTATGTGTGACATTCCACTGCTCCGATCAACCCTCGCTACGACCACCGTACTCTGGCCCACAGTCGGGCGTGAGGGCTGACTACCTGCCATCCTTGTCCTCCGTCTCTACCGCTGTGATACTCCTGCATCCTGGCTCGACACAGTCACCCCTTCCGCCAGTGGATCGTCCCTATCGATCAGGATGGACAGGCCGCCTTCATTGTTATTGACCTCTTCTGTGTCTTCTGCGGTGGGCGTGCCGGGTTTAGACTCGGGGTGACCCATCGTTGCTGGTGTGATCTGAATGTGACGGATTTTTAGAGATATATTGGTAGATGCAATGGGCGCCGTGGTGCTAGCAGTATATGGAAAGGCAGATTGGGTGGGTGTGGTTGAGATTGTTTCAGTTTGCCAGAACAAGTGATTCGAGAGGCCCGATTTGGGCCCATGTCCGTTGCTATTTGAACCATGCGGTCGCCTTCTTCTTCCACCAGATTCTCCAGTACATGATTCCTTGAGTTAACATGACTCAGATTGACACATCTAGAGTCACAGGAACTCTGATTGCTTGTCAATGATTTCCAGGCCATACTCGTACTCCTATGATGCAGTTGCGTGTGTGACACGAACTGATCAGACTCAGGAACCTTCTATGCCAACATGTTCTCACTTACGATAGAACAGCCTTTTCTCAAAGTGTACTGAATGCAACAGTATGGTTATTAAGATAGCTATTTGGCCTTCATTGCGAAGAAAGCTCGAAATATTATATTAAGCGGTATCCTTAATAGTGCCTGAAACTTGATGAGTTGTTGCGACACGTCCGACACATAGGGGGCGCCCCTTTTCCCGTGAGTAGAGGTTGTCCAGCTGCTGCCTGCAAGGCACGTCCTCCCTACCGAAAGCTCAGGTCGGGCGACGGCCCTGATGTCTCTGAAGCTGCCAATATTTCAGCTACTCGTCGTCCGTATTCCACAAGCTCTTGACTGTCATTCGAAAAAACCTCTGCTGCGATACCCATAATTAAAGCTATGTGTTATCTAACGCGGACCGCACTGTAATGGCAAGCTACCTTTCCCAGACGTCGTACGACCACTGTAAACATAAGCGGAAAGAGGATTAAAGACAAGAAAAAGAATAGGAAGAAGGGGGGGGGAACGGTTCCCATGATCTGACTTCCCATTAAGTCTCCCGCGCTGATCGGGACGATCAGTCCTCTTCAAAGATGATCACGATATCACCACCTTTCCCAGCGACACCCTTACCATTACCCTTACCCTTACCCTTACCCGCGCCCACGTTCACGTCCCCCGCGTCATCCACAGCCCCCCCGCTCCTCTCGCGCTCGTAGAGAAACTCAGCCCGCTGCCGCAGGCGCTTCTCGGCAATCCGTATCATCTCGTCGCCGACGCGGCGCGGCAGCCACGACGGCAGGTCGCAGGCCTCGTACCAGGGGCTCCTGGCGGGCGGCACGTCCCAGCGGATCCCCTTCTTCTCGCCGTCCTCGCCGACGGTCGTCTCGCACCCCGACAGTGCCAGCATGCAAAAGGGGCACGACCGCTGCGTCGTCGGCATCTCGCGCAGCCGCGCCCGGAACAAGTTCGTCACGGCGCGGGGCGGCAGGTGCGCCGCGTAGAGGTCCGGGTACTCGTGGCGGCTCGGGTGCTTCTCTCGCTCCTGTGCCAGGTACTGCAGCGCCGCGAACTGCATCTCCGGGTGGCAGGAGCCGGTGAAGCCGCTGCGATCGGTCAGGGAGCCGACGTCGTCGCGGTCCTGGATGTAGGAAAGCAGCGGCGTGTGCAAGTGGCCCGGCAGTGTGCTGATCGTCTGCAGCAGCGGCTGCATGGTCCCGGCGAGTGCGGGCGGCGGCTTCTTGCAGCTGATGGGCTGGACGCGCTGGATCTCGCGTACGTGGCGCGCGTATCGCTCCGCAGGTATGGTCCGGCTGGTGTCCGGGGTCGAGGTGAGCGTCTCGAAGGACATGTCTTGTGCCAGGATGAGGCGGATGTACGATCTTGCGCAGTCGTGCCAGAAGCGCTGCGGGTAGCCGGTGGACGTGTCGAGCGCGGCGGCCTCGGCGTGGAGGTGGTGGCCTCGTGGTGGCCACGGCGCGTTGGCGATCTGGGTCTCTTCACCGCCGCGGAGCGCGCGGCTGTGGGCTGGTAGGCCGTTTGACTCGGTGACCGCGTAGACGGAATGGAGTCGGCAAATATCGGCGCTCAGGGCGTTCGGGATAGCCCGCCACACTATGCCCAGGAGTCGCACGTACCGAGAGACGCGCGCAATGGACAACTCCTGGACCCGGCTCGCCAGCTCCTCGTCCCGGAGCTGGCTCAGCCCCTTGTCAAGCTGCAACAGGAGGAAGCGCAGTACGCATTGGAATATCAGCGTGTTGCCCCCACGATAGTGCCGGGCGGCCCAGTCTGGCTTGGCCTCCTTCCGGCCGGATCGCCGCATTCAAGATGGTCGTTGACGAATTCATGTATAATTTTGAAATGCCTCGCGTCCCACGCCGGGTCATGCGCGAAGAACCGCTCCAGCACCTCTAGTCGCTTAGGGTTAGGATAATATTGGGGAACGTATGCTTCGTGCTTAAACACCTCCTGAAGGCGGGCGTGCAACTGGAAGCAGTGGTCCCCGAAAGCGTCTTCTGCTTCGTCCTGCTGGCCCTGGTCCCTGGGTGTAGAGCGGGCGGCGCGAATATGGGTGTATCTGTGGGAATGTGTTAGAGATAGTAGCAACTCGGCGAAGGCGCCGAGACAACGGCTCCGCTTGCAGGTTTCGGTTTCTGGTGTTGGTTCTGGTCGAGACCAAGGGGCCGCAGGGTCGGGATCGGAGCCGCAGCAGGCATTGGTGTGCTGAAGTAAGGTGGTGAGGGCGCGGAACTTCAGTCTCTTCCCCGTGGTGAGGAAAGGACTGTCCATGGCGTTGGAGTCTTTCTCTGACATGTTGAGGGTCTAAGGGTGATTTTCGGTCTGCGTACTGATGTAGGTTTGGCTCTTGTGCAAAGGAGACAAAGAGGAAAATGGGAACTGGTTGAAGAAGCGAAGAACGCCCATCCAGGTTGAAATCTGGGCTAAAAATTAAATACCTACCAGACCTTGACAGAGAATCCACCAGAGCAAGAATTCAAATTTGAGTTTCCCATGGTTGGACTAACGTTGGCTTGGGGCGTTCCTGTGAGCGGATATCAACCAGGTATCTACCTCACCTATCTGGCCAAGCACACCAAGGCAAGCCATTGTTTGTAACCTAGTGCTCTAGTGTGAGTTGGTGTAGAATTGTTATGATTGACTGCAATGCTGCTTATTGAGTTGCAACTTACCTCGCCAGTTGCCTGCCAAACACGACCATCCTGTGTCGGTTGATATTGCAGATTTGCAGCTACACCCCATTACATATGGGTGCTCCCGGTAGGTATCACTGCTAAGTATTGTACAGCAAGGTCCTCACGCCCGTTGGCATAATATGCAGGGTGGCTTGAAGGCGGCGGGCGATGGTCGATATACAGATGATAAGTAACTCGTTCACCAAGCGAAAGGTGTATTTATTACAACTGGAATGCGCGGTCTGCAATAAGCATCGAATATGGGTAATTAGACTAGATCGTATTATTCCAGGGTGCTTGTTTCATTATTACGAATGTAGCATTCGTATATAACAGTTGATAAAAGCATGACGAGAGGAGACTTGGGAGCGGTGACTGTAACACTAATTAGCACACAGCATCCAGAACATCACGTTTGACTCATGAAGAGGCAGCAGAATACGGGCATCCTAGTGCCACCATTGCATTACTATCTTGGTCTCGTCTCTTTAGATGAAGTCCTTGTTCCCGCCCGGCCAATGCGTCTAAGTCCAACCCGAATTCCCGCAGCGCCCACGCTATGCAGTAAGGAGATGAACACCAGGGACACCCATCGCAAGCTGTCAGAAATGCTGCAATCAATCCCGCTTGGGTTTCGCCTTTGACGTCGCCGTCTTCGACGTAAAGGAGCAATGGCCACCATTTGCTCGCCGTGTCCGCGGGTAAGTGGGGGAGCACACCAAGATTCCGCAAACATCGGCACCACAGCCAACCCATTCAGACATCGTGCCCTAAAAGTTCTTGCGCTGCAATGTGCTGTTATGGGCACCAGGACGAAGGTCGTGTACGTAGAAATCAAGCTTCTCGTTCTCGTAGACGTGGCCTGGCGGGTGTCCTGCCTGCGTGTACAGGTTGTCCACATGATGCTGGTGGAACGTCGCCGACTGCGTACAGTTCAGGACGTGTGGCAGCCCAGGGGGGTTAGTCAAGCGGAAAATGCCGTATCTGTGATGGGGTATGAGCAACTCGGCAACCTACGACGGTCAATAGCGGATAAGACACTTACGAAGGCTTGAACTTCGGGGCACACACGATTGCGATACTCTCGGGCATCATCACCTGGTAACCGGACTGTGTGTGGAGGTCTCTGGAGCTCATGAAGCACGTCTGCGTCGGGTGCGTATGAATCCATCCAAGCATGAGCAGATCCTCGTTGATGCAATACTCCAGCATGCTGCCCTCGTTCTCCGTCTCGCACGTGTCCGAGGTGCACTTCTGCTCAGGGATCAATAGGCACCGCACGAACAACGCGTTGTTAACGGCAGTCCCGCAGAGAATGCCGCACATCTCGAGGCCGCGCCTGGTATTCTCCGATGCGATAGAGAGGAAACGATCCCGTAACTGAGCCGGCAAAAAAATGGGTCGTATTGGTTCGCCATTCTCAAGGTATGCCGCCGGTTTGAACGTTAGGCGCTGCTGCTTTGCAGGCATGGACGCCGGGTCGCGTGCCTTGGGAGGTGGTGTAGGGCGCTCCTGTAACTGCTCAGAAGCAGAGGCTGTCCTCTCGGGATATATCTGTTCTTTGCCAGGACGTTCTGGCGCAAGGGGTGTAGGTAAGTGGCTCGGGCTGTCTCTGAACTGCGGATAGGGCGATTCTTTCGGTGGCCTCGGGGGCTGAGCAGGTAGGTCTCTCCTGACTTTCGGTTGGAGGGTGTCGTACTGAACAGGCTCAGATTTGGAGATAGACGGATAGCGATAACCGGAAGCTCTTGTATCAGACGTCACAGACTGCCGAGCACTGGGTCGTTGCGGGCGAGGCAGATCGTGAGTTGAGTCGTCAGGGCGTGGCTCTTCGCTCCCATCAAGCCTTCTCCTTGTCGATTCCATCTGTTTCCGGAAGGCCTCCTCGTCATCGGCTTGCCTATCTGCCAGCTCGTGAGTCCAGTTGTCCCAGAAACCGGCGATCCGACGTTTCTGCTCCTCCTGATGCGACACTCCGGCCTTCCTGGTAGCCTTTCTACTAGCATCTCTGCGCTGGAGCTCTCGCTGGGCTAGATCAACGGCGAGCTCCTGGTTCTCCCCTGCATCGAGCAATCGCGCGGAAGACGAGAGAGCCGGGTCTATAGAGGCATGGTCCTCGTAGGTGGAGGGGGTTTGCGACTTCGCGCGGTCGACTTGTTCTTGGTCACGCGTCGCTTGCCTTCTAGACTCCGACTCTTGCCACTCTTCATACTCCCGCTGGACAATAGGTTTTATCTTCTCGAGATTATTCAAGACGATATTGACGGTTTGGTATTGGGATTTCAGCGCTTTCTTTCCCTCGGGGCTCTTAGCCTCTGGGTGTATCTTGAGCACGTCTACCAACAATGTCGAGTACCGGAGGTAAAGCAGGTAAGCTTGGGCAAAGTTGCCTTCGCGCATGTAGACCTCGCCCTATGAATAGGTAGACGCATAGGTTAGCACCGGGCAGTGACCATGGTGTTGCGCTGGACTGTGGACGGTGGACAGGGCGCTGAGGGAGCTCTCACCTCATGGTACAGTGTATGCGCCGTTCGCAGCCAGGCCTTCAAGGGTATGTTCGTGTTGCGCTCGAAGGCATCAGCCTGGTCCGAGATCTCCTTGACACTCAGAGGCCGGTTGGGCAGGGAAAGCGAGGAGGTCATGTTGGTGGTTGCTGGGCGTCGCTATGGCGATGGCGATGGCGCTGCTGCTGCCGCTGGTGGTGGTGGGGTCGGGCGGGCTCCAGTCTTCAGTCTTCGCACAGAGGCAGACAGGATGGGATAATGTGACGCGTCATTCGCACAACGCATCAAGGAATAATATTCATCTCTGTAGGTACCTAAGAGGGGTTAGTCTAAGAGCAAGCCGTCTCGTGTCTCTGGCTGCCTGAAAGAAGGTGGTGCAACGTGAACAATGTTGATGTTTGAAGCCTCCAGCTGGCAGCCTGGATGGGAATGTGGCGCCATCAGTCTAGTGTCTGCCATCAAGGTCGCGAGGGCGAGGCGGGGCCTGCACATGCAAGGTCCCCCTTCTGCGCCACACCGCGGGGTACATCTCGACAGCTCTCATTCACCTGGCCTTCATTCACCAAGCAAGAGGTGCGTTTATTAAAAAAGGAATAAGCACGCTGGGATAAGCATGAAGATGACTTTATAGCTATAATCTACTTACGCCAGTGTGCTTATTCTAAGAATATTAACATTGTTTATCCATGTCCAAAAACCAAACGTGGCATGCTGGACGGAGACTCATAAGGGGTGACTATACCGTTCACCGCCCCAGCCACACTCATAGCCAACATTAATGTCAAAGGCAGCATTGATGGGGGGCATGAAATCATACACATGTCCTTTTACGTTGGGATTGGCTGGGCTGACCATCAATGTCCAGGGCAATCTGGCTCTATGAATTGCTTCAACGTATGTGCACATTGATGATTGTCCCAGGAGTGCGTCCGCCCGTCTGATTGCATGTCTGCCTCAATGGCCTGTCCGTTAAGAATTGTCCGACTAGATCCTCATGACATACAACCGGAGTATGCATTCTGAGCCTTTGAATGGAAGATGTGCCATTCCCAACAACGTGTGCTTGCGACTGCAACACAACACACCATAACGCATGCATTCATGCTGGTGAACAACCAGGCAGGGCACTTCCTTCACTCATCAACCCTCGTCAACCCTTCGCTGCCACCTGCCCGGGTGCTACTGGCCCAGCTGCCTGCATGCTAGCCTGCCCCTGCATGATCTCTCCTTTCTTCTTCTCGATCTTCTCTTGGATCTCCCTTATCTGGTCTTCTGTCCGGTCGCTTTGAGGGGTGTATGTCAGTCTTCGTTCAGCCAAACACTTGTGCATGGTGAGTCTTACAACTCCTTGCCGATGAATTCCAGTCGTCCTTTCACTGTGCTCTCTGCCTCAACCTTGTCTTGCTTCAACAGCACCGGTCCGACCAGCTTGTAGATGCTCTCGCCATCCCGCAGACGCTCAAATTCCTGAGCACTCATCGTCAGCTCGAAGCCCCAGGTCCTGGTTGCGGGTCTTCTCTGCAATCCACTCACTCTTTGCACTCCTGAGTTCTCTTGTCTTTGGGCCTCAAGCTTTTGCCGCGACTGTACAGCAGCTTGCATTTCTTGCTGAAGTTTCTGGTAGTCCTCGGAGAGGCTCTGCAGCTGCGCCTGGCCTTCATCCATGGTGTTTCGCTGTGCTCTTGTTTGTGTTGCCCAATGTCTTGCGATACTGTGACACCCCCTGTGGCCTCTGATATTGCGTTGCTTTCGAGGTCAAGACCACGTCAAGATCACGTCAAGATTTAGGGCTCAAATAGAGATGGAAGGAGTGTGGGAATTGAAAGTGGTTTCCAGTGGTACCTCAGGGACAGGCATTAATGTTCTGATATTGATCCGGCGTTGCTGAAGATGTTCAGCGAATTCATTTACATGCACTTGGGCGACGTGGCTGGTGAGGATGAGCTTTGTGTGGCTTGCACGTATCCTAGTTAAAATGGCTTGCAGATGGGCGTCCAATGGATAAGGGGCTTCCATGATAAGGCTGAGGCCCTGAGGGGGCGGGCTGCCAGCTGGTGGGCACTGGGCAGCGGTTCTAGGCCGGCCAAGCAACCAACGTCACAACATTAACATCGACCGAAACCACAACCGCAATTCCAATCGCTTCCAGTTTCTTCGAGCCGTCGACTGCCTTCACTGCAAACGCCTTCGCAAGCCAAGACAGCCTCCGCCGCTGGACCTGTGCGACTTGCGCTCACACCAGTCCCGGGACCGTCAGCGACCCCTTCGCGACCCTTCGCGACCCTTCGCGACCATGTCGAATACCGATTTCCTTGGTCGGGCCATCGACACGGTTCGTCGGGCCATAGACGCCGATAATGGTAACCAGTACGACAAGGCCTACCAGCTCTACTACCAGTCACTCGAGCTGTTCATGTTGGCCCTGAAGTGGGAGAAGAACCCCAAGTCCAAAGAAATGATCCGCCAGAAGACTGCCGAGTATATGGACCGTGCAGAGAAGCTCAAGTCGCATCTCTCCGACGCAGATACCAAGCGTAAGAAGCCAGGCATGGTCGGCGCAAACGGTTCATCTACCGCCGGTACAGGCAAAGGCAAACAGGATGGGGAAGACGGAGCCGTTGACGAGGACAGCAAGAAACTGCGCAACGCCCTCGCTGGCGCCATACTGCAGGACCGACCAAACGTCAAGTGGGATGATGTTGCCGGGCTGGACGGCGCCAAGGAGGCCTTGAAGGAGGCTGTCCTGCTGCCCATCAAGTTTCCACATCTGTTCAAGGGGAAACGTCAGCCGTGGAAGGGAATCTTACTATACGGGCCCCCTGGTACGGGTAAGAGTTATCTGGCCAAGGCGGTGGCTACAGAGGCAGACAGCACCTTCTTCAGCGTGAGCAGTAGTGACTTGGTGAGCAAATGGATGGGTGAGAGTGAAAGGTACGTCTATGTCTTCTGAGTCAAGTCCCATAGACCTGTTGCTGACTCACGAGGGGTGCAGATTAGTCAAGCAGCTCTTCGCCATGGCCCGCGAGAACAAACCTTCCATCATTTTCATCGACGAAGTAGATGCCCTCTGTGGACCCCGCGGTGAAGGCGAGTCGGAGGCTTCCCGAAGAATCAAGACCGAAATGTTAGTACAGATGGATGGTGTAGGCAAAGACTCGACTGGTGTGTTGGTACTTGGCGCCACGAACATCCCCTGGCAACTAGACGCTGCCATTCGAAGACGATTCCAGCGGAGAGTGCACATCAGCCTACCCGATGTTGGTGCCAGGACTACCATGTTCAAGCTCGCCATTGGAGAGACACCCACCACGTTAAAAAACGAAGACTACCGCGAACTGGCAAAGCTTGCAGAGGGTTACTCTGGAAGTGATATCACCATCGCCGTGCAAGATGCCCTTATGCAACCCGTACGGAAGATTCAACAGGCGACTCACTTCAAGGAGGTAGGCATTACGTGCCCTGCAGCTTGGTGCAATTGCTAATATGCCACCCATCACAGGTACAAATGGACGGCCAGACAAAGCTAACACCGTGCTCGCCTGGTGATCCTGGGGCGAAAGAGCTGACCTGGGATGACATCGACGGCGAGTCGCTATTGGAACCGCATGTTGACTTCAAAGATTTTGTCAAAGCCATCAAGGGGTCGCGGCCAACGGTCGCCGACGCCGATTTGAAGCGCAACCAGGAATGGACCCACGAGTTTGGAAGCGAGGGCAACTAGAGAGACAGATGGTTGCACCCTTATGGCGTTTCTGGCGTTGTACTCGGGGATCTGGCTTGTCATGGTTAGCCGCGTCTTGTTGACTGTTGAAGATACACACGATTTGTCACGCTCGATATGAGATCAACAATGCGCGCATGTGGCTCTGTGCCGTATGAGAGGAGCTGGGTCGGAGAATCAGCCCCTCCATTACGAGGCTCGAGGCGGCCGTAGACGATCATTCTGCGTACAGGCATGTGGGACAGTGGCGATGAATATACTGACATGCCACCATAGAGGCAAGTTCACCGTACTTGGCTGTCCCTTTTGAGCTCTTAGGGGCCTCGAATAAACCTGCATCCAAGCCGTTCTGTATCCGATTTCACACAAGCTCCTCATGAGGCGCGTTACCAGGGGTTGCATGTCGTATTTGCGGAAGCCGCCGCATGGCTCTATTTCTTTGCGAATGACTTTACCAATGAGCAGTTTATGTCTCATGCCTGCGTGGCAACTTTGTGGCCCGATGACTTATCTACTTTGGCCCTGCGAGAAGACAGTATGTTTGCTCGATTTCACAGCGCTTATTAGAGGTATAAAGCCAAGCCTGTCAAGAGTTCACCAGTCGTTTTCAGACAGCAATATACAGTTCTCATCTCCGATCAGAGACAGACCTCCCTTCCAGAGTCGAAATGAGGCTTTGGTGAACAAGTGACATGCGGCCGCCGCTGTCATGGATAGGTACTGGGCCCATCCAACATTGAGGTTGTAAAATGAGTATTGCGCTATGGGTAAGGCTATTATATTCCCCGTACTATCGGACCCTCGGGGCGGGCTCTCCAACGTAGTAAGCGTACGTGTGCAGGCATCCAGGCGTTTTCTAATTACAAGCCTCGTTGAGACGAATCCATCGGCCCTATCCCGCCTTGAATGCGGCCATGTGGTTATGTGAGCAGTCAATGTATGTACAGTACATTTCCATGGTCTGTCCCGTACCGGGTGTGTCTCAGGCAGGCAGCCGGCTAGAAGCTCATTGCCCGGTGGCAGACTCGCTCACACTACCATCTTAGGAGTATGGCCAACGTGAATTTCAGCCAATGAATGTGCGGTGGATTACCCCAATCCCAGCGTGAGTTCAAATGAATCCCCGAACAGAGGAGTATAGTGCTATCTAAGCAGTGCTATCTAAGCAGTTGAAATAATAATTTGCATAATAATCTGGCATAAGTAGTCATCCCAGGGCAGTTGGCTGGAATAAGCACCAGATCGCCCCTTATTCCACTGCAAATGAACTATTCAACCGCTTGCTATCTCAGCCTGGCCACTGGCCTCCTATTGACCTCGCCGGATCCGGGTCTTACTGCGGGTGGATAGTAATGGAGCAATACAATAGCAATGGTCAATGTAGCTGCTCGGCCTGCGTTGCAAGTACCATCCCCCCCATAGAAGTCGGGCATCCCCACTAGTCGGACAGCCAAATAGTGGGGTCACCACCAAAACAACCCCTTATTCACCCACCCACGAATGAAGCTATTCAGATCAGAGATTTATGGCAATGTTATCATTCGAAAGCGCTGAAGTTGTTTACTCGTACAATCGTACGAGCGCCTGAATGGCTCGCCCCGAACGGGTGTGCCTAGGCTCCTGTATAGCCTCCAAAACCTCCTCTTTAGCCGAGTCTTTGTCTTCGTCCTCTGAATCCTCTGAATCCACAGTTACAACTTCTGCTTCACCCACAAGGGCACCAGGGGTGATAGTACTACCCGTAATTAATATCTGTGTGGATGTTCTGAATTTCCTGTTAGGATTAGTGACCTTTTTCTGCTTCTTAAGCCATGCCCGCTCCAGTTCAGCCTCCAGAGCCTTGATCTTCCTATCCTTGATCACAAGCTCGGTTTCCTTAGTCTTGAACGCGTTCGTTATCTTCCTATACTTCAGCCTGGTTCCTGGAGATCTTTTTTTGCCGAAATCCATAATCTAGCGGCTCGTAGTAGGCGTCCGCTGGTCCTCTGGTTCAGAGCTTTCAGGGGTATCAAGCTAAGGGGTCTTCCTTTTGTCTTCTTGTATTTCTGGGTGTTTTAAGCACTTCTTGCGGCTGATAGGATAATATCTAGTGGCTTTGAAGCCAGAGAGGATGTTTTGCTTTCTGAAGGCAGTAGTTCTGGCTTTGTTATAGCACCAGATGAAGTTGATCTTATCAACAAGTGAGGCATCCGTCAAGGAATTCAGCTCAGAGAGGAATTTCTGGTAGTATGCCTTCAGGGCATTATAGGGACCGTTATTCAGGGGTTGTATGCCGTGACTAGTATGCGCAGGAAAGAAACAGAGCATTATGTTATTAAGAAAATATATAGTCATGAATTCGTCCTATTAACACACGTTAGACCATATTAAATCAAGAAAAATTAAAAGAAGTCCATTTAGAATAAGGAAAAATCGTATACATACAGAGGTGTGGCTCTTGTGGCCATCTAGTATCAAGAGGATAGCCTCAGACTGATCTCCTCCTTGTTCTTTGTCTGCCTGTAGGAGGAAAATATCCTCTAGCCACTGGCAGGCTATAGCATTCGAAGTCCAGCCGTTCTCTGAGCATATATAGTGCCAATTTGCGGTCTTTCGGAACTCCTCGATGAACCACTGCACTTGGAGGTCCTTTCCCTTGAAGATAATACCTGGTTTGAGGATTTTTCCAGTGACTGAGATGGTCTCGATGAAGGAGGTCCAGCTACGGCCCTGAGGGCTCTTCAGGAAGGCTTTCTTGGTAGCAGAACTACTTAGAACTAGGGAATCAATACCTGTGAATCTAATCAGATTTTTTCCGGGATTAAAAGGGGTAGATATAGCTACCAAAACCCGTCATGATGCCCCCCTTATCAACATTATAGGTGTTCTTTGGCTTCACCCAGCCGTAATATTCGAGAATTTCGAAGAACCAGTTAACTGACTTGGGCGTGAACCCCTTGAAGTGTACTGCTTGATCCTTTTGTCGACTTTCGTCTTGATCTCGGGGTTGCGGCGCTTGAAGGATGCCATGAAGGTGTCTCCTAAGGGGCCCTCATCTCCCTTCTTCTTTAACAGCTTCTTGACGATCTCATAAACCAGGGAGTGCGAAGGGGCTAGGCCGAGCTTTTCTTGGAGTGAAATCCATTTGATTGTAGTCTTTTCCTGGGCAGGGGAGAGTCTCTGTTGTTATGTGTGGGCTTCGGCTCTGGTAGGCTTGCTGTTAAGCCGATCAGACAGCGTTTGGGGCAGAACACTGTGTTTTTGAGCGCTTTTTTGCAAAGATAGTCCCTCATCTGTGATATCTAAGATAGCATTCACCATCTGATCCTCCGTATACGAATAGGGAGGCATTTTGGGCGACTATACGGTACTGTATTGCACACAGAACAAGACTTCAGGAGAGCCTCGCGGGGCCGAAAATCTCTATTCGGGGTAGCAAAGGCGGAGTAATAGCTCCCCAATCACGTAGGCCAGGAGGGATAAATTCAGCATTGGAGAAATCCTTAAGATCAGGGCTATCTATAGCACTAAATATATCATCAATAGCTTCAGTATCGGGCTGAATCCGTATAAGTGAACATATGGGAGTTTTGGTGGTGATGGTGGGGTTTGGCTGTCCGACTAGTGGGGGTGTCCGACTTCTATGGGGGGGATGGTATAACATGGTACACTAGATCCCGCGAGGGTGTAGGTGGCAAGGTGAGGCACTGTTAGTAAGCAATGCTCTCAGCCTGCTCCAAAATATGTTACCGTCAGGCTGCCTCGTCGGGATGAGGGCACGCGAGACTGCCCGCGCGACAGTCTCTTCGGTATTTCCTGGATATGTTATCATCATCGTCATTGGCGGCAGCACATTGGCTTCTCTTGCAGGACTAGGCTTTGTGACCGACCTTCTTCTGAACTGGTCATGGCTCGGAACACCACGAATGAGCCCACGCAACCTCACCGCGCTGGATCATCAGGTGGAACACTACTGACGACCCCTTGGCTGCCAACAACTTGATTCACCTCGTATGCCATGTTGTGCCACCGGTAGGGCAGCGGAGGCTACGCCTGGCCCATCTGACGGCACTTGCGCATTGATTATGACAGCTTCATAAAGGCATTCGACGGGACCAAACAAAACCAGATGTCATCGACAATCCGTCATTCTTGTGCGCCCCATCTCCAGTGGGCCACTATTTGCGGGATAACACAGCGGGAAGACCCGAACGGCAGCGGCAAAGGGTCTGACGCGAAAGGGGCTCAGTAGAGAATCGAGTAGATACGCCGTCTCGTTGAGCGACAAGGCCTGTCCAGAGTCACGAGCTTAAGACCAAACCGTTCATAATTGCAATTCGTCCGATTGAGCTGCGCCAGTCCACTAGGAAAGTCAGGGAACAAGATGGGTATGATCCCAGTATTTACAGACACCGCAGAAAACACCGATTCCCGGAACGCCAAGCCATGCATGGTCTGCACTTCCAGTCAAGGTCCCGTAGACCAAGCAAGCTAGGCCTCCGAGTGTCTCTTCTTCTTTTTCTTCTTCTTCTCCCCGTCAACCTCGGCGTCTATCGTGCCATTGACTTCACTGTGCCTGCGCTTCTTCTTCTCCTCTTTCTTGTCCTTCTTCTCCTTCTTGTCTTTAGGCTTCTTCTCCTTAGGAGTGTCTCCCGTCGAGGGCAGGGGTCCATCAATCATCTCGGTGTCGATAGCCATATCGTCGCCCTCAGCCAGGAGATCTGCCATTGCTTTGCCCTGGTACGGAATTAGTACTTGGAGTCGGGGACCAACGACAGCAGACTCACCATCACATCCGCGTTCTTTTCCGGCTTCTTGCCCGTGGCATAGAACTCCAGACGATCCTCGACTTGGCCTCTGAGGACTTCGCCGAACTTCGTGGATGGGTGCTCTGAGAAGTTATCAATTCTCGACGCGATCGAAGCCTAGCAAAGCCATTAGTTAAAGGCACCTAGGTACTTGGTAGGCAATAGAAGAAGCTGACCTTGTTGGCCAAATATCTGGAAATGCGACCCTTGTCCTTCTGAGCGGCACGGCCGATGAATGAGGAGTGATAAATCAACCCGAACTTGGGTGTGTTGCTTTTGGCTAGAAGTTTGTTAGCCACGAAACTGTCTTCGACCACCGAGGATAGACCAACTCTTGAGTGCACTGCGACATCATGGTTAGTAATGGCTCTTTCAGGATTGGCAAGTGGTTAGGAACTATTGGGGATGCGTATGCAGTGCCCTTATGGCCAAGCTGTCTCCATAGCAGCAGTTTCTTCCCCGTTCGTGATGCTCTGGGTTAGAGCAGCCTCATAATGGATTGAAGCCACGGTCCATCCCAAGATAGAAACTCCCATAGAAAGGGCAAAATTCCCGAGAGTTAACAGTTGGGTAGGAAAAATTGGTTACTTACCGGAAGAGTGCTTTTTCAGCGCCGAGAATCTGGAGGGTGCTGGCACTGTTGTAATGTTAGTAACAACTCACGAAAATGTTGCTGGGTATTGCGCAGTTCAGTGCTGTGGAGTGAGAAGAGATGGAAAAGGGGGATGGGTAGCCAATGAGGTGACAGGACGAAAGGAATCGGAGGCAGATGGGGATGTTACTCACGGATACTTGGCCAGGTTGGTCAATGACTGTAACATCTAGAGTCAGCATTTGTGCTTTTGAGATACAAGACGAGTACTCGGGAGATCCGGTCGTGTATCAGGGATTACGACTGCCGATATGAGGAAGGGCGGAGGCCGACAACTGGAGGCTACTCACGCCGGCTTTCTGGATGAGCCTGGCAGCAACGACCTCTCCGATCAACGTCGCCAGGTTAGGAGCCACAGTACTCATCTTCTCCACGAGGTAGCTGTACAGGCTTCGGCGATATTCCACCAGTTTCACGACCTTTCCACTGAACGTTTCGATGTTGGTCATGTCGACTACAATGAAGGGTTAGCTCAAATTAGGGTTCCCGTGATTTCGACGGTGTGGAAACAACGCACCATCCGAGATGTCTCTGCCCATGCTGATCTTGGCGGCATCAACGATCGCTTGCGCCTTCTCTTCATCTTCGTTGACGATGCCCGCCAGCTCGTGGAAGTCTTTGTCGCCCAAAGTCGTCTTATCACCAATGAAAAGAGCGAGCTTGGCGTAAGTGAGATTATCCGAAGCAATGGCGTACAGTTCTGGGAAGTGCCAGCCGTACCACTCCCGAACTTTTTGGGAGAACAGATTGACACCCTTATCCAGGGAGTCGAGTACGGCTATAGCACGTATGATGTGGTTGTCGTTCTTGTGCACGTTGAACTTTACCTTCGCTCTCGAGAAGGCGTGTCCAAGACCCAACTGTGCTCGTTCTTCGTCGCCCTCGGTGAGGCCCTTCAGCAGCTTCGGTGCGTGCAGGCGGACACCTCGGAGGAGATCGGCTACCACCTCGCTCGTATCGCCGGTCTCGCACTCGACGCCAGGGAACACAGCGCGAATAGATCCTGCCAGGTTCTTGTCGGCCACTCCCAGCACAACCTTCTGTTTCTTCGCCTGCGGGATGTTCAACTCGATCGCAGACTTGAGGTAATCGGACATCATGCCTTCGGAAACCATGTGGATTTGCTGCAGCACAATCGCGAGTTAGCCCCGTGTCGACACCAGCTTGGCGTGAACATGAACATAGCGCCAGCTTGAGTACTGACCTCAAGAGCGTCGGCCGCGTTTCTCCAGGGTGCGAAGTGCACGAGGGTGACCATCTTGCCGAACTTGGACAGATCGGCGGAGGCGGCTGCGACTTCCTTCTGGTGCAGGGCGACGACATTCTGCTGGTGGACGACCTTGAAGATGGCATAGCCGACCGCTGCTTCATGCAGCAGGTAATCTATGCTGGCCATGGTGCGCGCGTGGGTGCAGGTGGTGGTTCGGTGCGGTTGTTGCGAAGTGGGACATGAGGTTGAGGTATGTATCTGGTGGTCCGAATTTTTTCAATTCTCTGGAAGCTCTGCAGTCCCACTTTTGATTGTCTGACACGCACCTCTTATCGTCGACGAGGGCCAGACCAATTGACCAAGGTTCGCAGCAAACCCCAGGTCAGATGTGGCTGCACGGCTTCCTTGATTGTGGCTGGTTTTGATTTGTGTGGCTTGCGGCCGGCTCCAGCACCGCACCGACCAGACCTTGCAACATTGCGCTCATTCGATCATGTCGGTCACCCACGTCAAGTGTTGAGACACAGCGTTTTGCTTGTCGTATATCGGCTTCGATAGAAACATTCGACGACCCACAAGCTGCATCAAGACTGAGAAGTCTCAGTGACCGTATCAGAGTGGCCGACCGGAAAGCCAGTATGGAACAGGCTCGCCGTTCTCTGGACGATGGATCTATCGTCAGGCAGGAAGACATCGACAATGCTAGCCATCTGACTGCCGCTCAAAGCACTAATCTCGGTAATGCTCTCAGCAGAGCATGGGGCCTGTACAAGGAGACTTCCCAAGGCCGTAGTGAACAGGACTACCGCCGTGATATTCTGGAGCGCACGAGCGATAGCATTAGGATCTCTCTGCGAAAGCCCAACATCAGCTCGTTCACGACCAAGCGAACCAGCCCGACTACTTTCGTGATCCAGGAGCGAGACGCTTACAAAGAGCATCCGCTTATTTATGCGAAGCTACATCCGAAAGCGGATGTAGTTGTGTTGACTGATACTGGGTGTGACGAGCCTGATGAGCAGCATAAGACTGGTATGTACCTGCTTTTGCTTATGCTCTCTAATCAAGCCTCCCCGTCTCGTCACACTCCATGCGGTCGAGACAGTCCTGTAGTACGATCGCGGCATAAACGCAATACCATGTAGAGATGCGTCGGAAAGACGCGGTATCCCTTCCCAGTCATGAGCTTCATACAGAGATCTACTTGGGTTCCATAACCTCCCCAGTGCACCATTATCCTACAACTTTTCGCTTACTGTACCAAATAGCCCGCTACATCCATCTTCGCGAGTATCTCGAGCATTGCCCAGTCTCAGCGAACCATGACAAACCCATCAATCCAGACGGCAAACGCAGATACATCATCATTCAGACGCACTGCCACTACGACCACACCTTCGGCATCCCGCAATTCTTATCCTCTCATGGCATCGAAATTGTGGCCTCAGCCGCCGGCAGAGACTTCTTCGAGTCCGACCTCACCAGAAATGGCGAATTCGAGCACACAGGCAGACCGACACCTGACTACCAGGTCAGCAAATGGGCGGAAGCCTTTGAGCAGCTCAAGTATCCCTTCCATCAGGTCGACGAGGATAGGCATGTCGAAGTTGATATGGGGATGACGGTCCTTCATACGCCTGGGCACACGCCGGATGAGCTCGCCTGGTACGATCACGAGGAGATGCATCTCTATGTGGGAGATAGCTTCTACCGTGAAGGCGAGGACGGTTTGCCTATTATCTTTCCCGTGAAGGGAAGTTTGATCGAGTGGGTATTCTCGATGCAGAAGCTTGCTGTTTTTGTGCGAGGGGAGAATGCTCGAGCCGCCTCCGTCGTCGCCACCTCTGAGCAAACCACGGAGAGCGATGAGGACGACTGGGTCCACATCCCACAACCAACCAAAGCGCGAAGAGTGCTCGTCTCCTGCGCGCACCAAACATACGCCGTAGACAGCGCAGACGTCCTCGCAGAACTCGAAGCTTTCTCTTTTCAATGCTTTATTGGCAAGGTGCCTGTCGTCGACTCCCAGACCTTGCGAGGTGAAACTTTCGACACTTGGAGGGAGAAAGGAGACGATAGGACGCCGATGAGTATTCAAGCGCCGAGGAGGTTGATGGAGGAGGCTAGGAAGTTCTTTGGCAGTAGACCTGGTGATGCGTCACGGATGCCGTTCGTGTGGGAATGAGAGTGTAAGAGCGGCATGCCAGCTAATGATTGATTGATTGTATTTAACGTGGGGGATCGCTCCTCAGTAGTGCAAACCACGCCTCCCAGAGCCTCTGCATCGCAGGGTTGTGGAGGATTCAAGATAATAAGTACAGTCAGTCCCGCTCACGAGCCCATCCCCGTTGTTGCGGCTGTATGACTTTGGGGTCATCTATCTGGTCCCTCAAGAACAGCTATCTATCGGGGGCAGATTGATGAAAAGAACTTGCTCTTCTCAACAAATCTTGCCCATTCCGTGCTCCTCTCCCCTAAGTATTGTAAACAGGCTGCCCTAGGCGAGTACCTGAGCAATAGTCAGTTTTTCTTAAGCCTCTTACAAAAGAAAATGTGTTGTGGTGTTTTCTTCTCACCGCAGCTGCAGTGGTCATTCGAGTCTGTATGCCCAAAACGTTCATGATATCTAGCAAAATCGCCATGTCCAGATCTGGCTGCTAGAAGTCTGTATAGAGTGCTCCTTTTAAAAGATATAAGGTCCCTTTTAGTTACTGCATGCGAGTATACTTCTTGATACCTAGGTTCTGATTGGTTTTTTTATCATTAATCGAATTCTTTCTTGCCTTTCTTTTTAAGATCTCTCTTTACCCAAGAGATTGTGAGAAGGTTCGTCGCGTCCGTTTCTAGCATGGCACCCTCTTTTGCTAATGTGTCAGCAACTTCATTACTATTGATATTTCTGTGTCCAGGAATCTGTGACGGCTGTGGCGGCCTGCACAGACCTTCCCACATGACAAGTGGATACCTCCCAATAGGGGAAGGATCTGACCAGAGGATCCCCTTAAAGGGGCAACCTCCCACTGTACCTATCTCTCTCTCTCTCTTCCTTTCCTCTCTAGTCTTGATATTCTCGTCAATAGAGTAATAGCTGCTTGCTGCCGGCCATGTCCCAGCTCCTCAGTACGCTCGCCGTGACAGAATCCACTTGACGGTCACTCCAGGAGTGTGTGCTGTGGCGAGTTCTTGGAATCGTAGAAAAATGATATGTGATGTCTCGGATAGAGTCCTATTGAGCCCATCTACCACTGACGTGTTGTCCAGGCAGACATATAGCTGTTTTCTCATCCAATTGCCCTGGCTATTGCAAGACCTTAGAGAGCGCCATGGACTTTAGTATCTATTACTTCTGCTTGTAGAAGTCTGTCCTTTTTCTGATATACTTCTTGTGTAGTGCCGCCTTTCCTGATAGTGTAACCCCATCCAGTGCGGGTTGTGCCTTGGTTGTCCAATTGTGATCCATCCGAGTAGATGACAAGGTCAGTGTTCACGTTTTTCCCCCGTAGCCATTGCTTGAAGAGCTCTGTTTCTTTGTCTTTGTCCTTGCGGATTGGGGGCTTCTTTCATGATGGCTTGGTAAGTGTTAGTCTCTGGAAGTCAGGGACTAGTTGGAAGCTCTTTTGTAGCCTTGTTGGTTCTTTGCGAGCTTGTATTTGGAGCCTGCCAACAAGAGGGTGTCTCTGGTCTATTTGTCTGAGTCGAAGGCCATGACATCGTCTTATTGACTCAGTAAGAACTCTTATTAAGAGAATCTGTGATTCAAAGTGTAAGATATGTCCAGGGTGTGTTTTTTAGACTGGCAAGATAGCCCTGATCACTGTTTGTAGTACAGTATCTATTGTTCCAAGAAGCCCTTTAATGCGACATGCTGATGTCCTACCTAAGCTCCCAACTTTTTTGATTCTGGGGTATCAGGCCTCCAAGCCGTGTGTAAGAATAGGGATGACATAAGCTTTTACAGCCCTCCTGGTTGATTTTACTGGAAGTCCTTTGACTGTGTTGTATAATCCTCGAAGGTGATTTATTACCTTATTAGCTTTCTTGGCCCAGTGGGAAACGTGATCTTTGAAGTTTAGTTTTCTATCCAGGAGGACACCTAACCATTGTATGGAGTCCTTTACTGTTATGTTCATTGTCCCGTGGCGGACCGGAGGATTATCTGAGTTCTTTTTCCGTAAGAAGTGCATGACCTCGGTTTTGTCGGGGTCAAATTTCAATAGCGTTGCTGTGTCTCCATTGATTGAGCAAATAAAGATTTTTAGAAGCCTCTTTGGCTGTTTCTTTAAGGTTTTTTATAATGCAGAGAGTCGCTAGGCCGTCTGCGTATCTAAAGCGTCTCCTTTTCATACCGAGCCGGGCACAGATTGGCTCTGTATACAGCGTATAAAGGTTTGGAGAGGCTGGTAAGCCTTGTGGTAGCCCACAAGTGAGAGCTTTTATGTCAGTCGGCATGCCAGCTAATGTTTTTGCTTTGTAGCTATATAGTACAGTGTTTTCGGAGGTGGACAATATATTTCCGACATAAGAAATGATCATAACACCTTGCAGTGCTTACAAGCAGCTAGAAACTGAAGTCTATGCCCTCGTTTTAGACATTATAAAGAATAAACGGAACTGAGCATTTAACCTTGACTTTTTAACTCAGATGTCTTCTCTAGAGTCGCGTGCTTCCTGGGATGATGATGACCGTGTTATAAACCAATCAGCCTGCTTTCACGGGGGCATGGAATATGCGCACCATTCTGCCGGCCTCTTGGTAGGGTTGGAGAAACGGTGGATTCCGAATCGACGGTCAGGTTTTGTTACCTACGGCCGCGATGCACCGCACTGGCCGCCTGATGCCATCTGGAGAACGTAGAAATGCACCGAGTCCCAACCTCCGCAGGCCAGAGGAAAACCGACTGGGGAGCGTCGACGCGGACTGGACTTCTGCTGTTATAATCCCGAAGCACGGCTGGGAGCTCATTCTCAGAGTGGTCACCGTGAGAGGTATGTCACTGTATCAGCCAGATCAACCAGAGGGAATTTCGCTGTTGGAGATGGGAATGCAAAACGTTCGGGACCCTGTCATCGTCTCATCCCCGGAGAGCTGAAGCCCGGGGAAAGGGTATTGGTGACCACATGTTGCATGGTTTGAAGTTGTTAGATACTCGCACGAATGATGTCACGTGTGACGGTGCACAGCTGTATCCACCTGGTTGGATGCTGAGTCATCAGGTCACGTGTAGATTAGATAAGAAGACCAGGACCATATGTGCTACAGCCTCGGCTGTACGCATGTCACGATGCCTGCGGCGTTGTGTGGGAATCTGGTGTTGTATTCCGAAAATAACAAGGTGAGGAAGGAAAGGGAAGCCAGGAAGGTGGTGTGCGCAGCACACACCTTAAGTGGTGGTCCCGTTCCTTCCTTATCTAATCTATGCGTGACCTGATGACTAAGCATTCATCCATCCAGGTGGATATGGCTGTACACCGTCACAACGCACACCTGTTCCTTTTCTTCAACCTTGGTCATTCTGGTAATCAACATCCGTGTATTCAACAGAAGTCATAATGGAACCTATCAGGGCAAAGAAGAACAAAGTTGACGTCATATACAATAGGGGGCGAGACACAATTTTAATAGGCTGTAGACCCTGTTAAAACAACCAAAGTTACTAGAGGATGCTCGGACCAGGTGCACCTTTTAAACGCAAGCATTCCAAGGGCTTAAAAACCAAGACTTAGTTAAAACTTTAACTTGGTTGTTTTATATGTAAAACCTTACTTTTCGACCTTTAATAACTTAATTAATTTATAATCGTATAAAGTATCGAAATATATCATTTTTAATGGTATCGGATCATCAGAGTCAGAACATGGGGGTGATGATCGGTCTAGTGCGTTGCGTTTTATCCATGGGTCTGGGAGACCAATCTAGTACTAAATACACACCAAAATACAAAGATGTACCCATCTCCAGCCAAAGATCCCTTGTCTATCACCAATGAAAGCCACCTTTCCTAGTGCTTTCATCCCTTTATTCTGCCAAGGTGCCTGCTTGACCCCTTGTCAGCTGGCAGCCTCCCTGACTGCCACCATACTGCCACCACAATCCTCACAAATGGGTTTTAAATCTATTTTTTTTTAAATCTGGATTTTTAATCGTAAAACTCAAAATGTCGATTTTTTAAAATTTTCTCGACCGTTAATCCGTGCGCCGCTACCAAAACTATATAAGAAATAACCAAGTCAGAGTTTTAATTAAGTCTTGGCTTTTAGGCCCTCTAAGCGTCAGCAAAGAAGGTGCACCTGGTCCGAACATCCTCTCATAGGTACCTTAGACGCGGTCTTGATCTTATAGTGATCATGCCAGTAACTTATGCAAACAGCCTCTAACATTAGACATCGCAATCACCATCATCCAACATCTCATGGGAAGGAACTTGCAAACGTGACGCCAGTCATAAGATTCTGCCATATGGGGGCGGCGACAGAGGCGTCTTCACGTCCAGTTTTTGGCGAACTCGACAGCAACATCACGCACTCCGGTCCGGCCAAAGACGCGAACGAAAAGGTGTCAACCGCCCAGAGTAACGTTATAACACTCGCCCCAGCGACGCGACCGTTTTCTTTACTGCCCAGAGGCAAAAAGCGCAAAGCCGAAGAAGATCCGCTCTCATTTCTTGACATCAGCGATGAGGACCCACGACTCGCCCGCGTCACAGATGACTGCAATGCCCTACGCCGGAAAGTCTGGGACTTCCTCGAAGCCGAGTCCAAGCCTGTCTCTTATATGTCAATTCTTCTGAGAGTGCGATACAGCGCACTCCAACGCTTCTTGTCGCAGTGGGGCTCGAACGAGGGGCTCTTCAACCGCGTGCGCGAGAAAGCTTTCCGCTTCTTCAAGAAGCGCGAACTAGCCGGTTCCCCGATGCCCATCAATAGTGTCGACAAGGATAAGGAAGCAGCGCTGCTGGATGTCAGCGGCGTCGAAATTGCGAAGGGGTTTAGGAGGAAGATCGAAGTTTACGACACATGTGACGATGTCCGCTCAAAGCTCATCTCCTACTTGACGAAGCCCCACGTCAGCCGCGAAGGCCTTATACAGAGCCTGAATGAGCATGGATGCCTCCCGGGAAAGGAGAGGGTTACACTGGAAACATTCATCCGATTCCTCTGCAAACACGGGCCGACCGAGGGCAATAGGAGTGCCGTCTTCTACGCTGGTTACGTATTCTTCGAGAAGATGCGCATCCGCGACGGTAAAGAGAAAAGCAGATTTCGGTTGAAGATGGAAGAGGCATGGCCCAGAGGGGTTGACCTGAATATGAAGGGCTTCAGGAACGAGAGACACTACGATCATGACTTGCCAGAGATCGGCCAGGATGAGTTCGGCCGAGTCACGACTTACTGGCGGTTTGGCGGCGGCATCATGACAGCGGAGAATATCGATGGTATAAGAGTGACGGGCAGGATAGCGGACGACGAAGAGTTTTGTTGGGAGAGCGGTGATGATGATTATCCGCTATATCGCAAGACGATGGACTGGAAGGAGGCCGACGAGAGGGCTGGTCAGTGGCTTGATTACGGGAACGAGATTGACTGGATGCTTTCGCGCAACATACGCGAAGCAGAAGCAGGAGCAGGAGAAGAATGCAGTGATGACGGCGACTCGGTGGACGATGGCCAGACAGAGAAGGATGCTACAGAGAGCCCCGCTGAGCTAGGTACTCAGTAAGGAACTCAACTCGCGTAAATGCCAACACTGGCTGAGACGACCAATGTCAAGATAGTTGTATTCTGATCTGAATTTCCGGTGAAATGATCGAAGAGTGTGCTGTCCTGTCCGCGGGCTTGTATCCTCAAAATGTAGTTGTAGTGACGCCTTGATAGTAGAAATATTGTTTGACAAGTCTGATGGTAATTTGCGTATATGCTAAATGCGCCGGCTCTATCGTTGATCACGCATGGAAAACGTTTCAGCACGACAATTGGCTTTGATTAATCACGGTCTGATGTGTAAAATTGGTTTGAATATCGTACACATCGGGGATTCATTTCTTGAAAGCTTTTATGATTACACCGAATCCTCACATTCTCCATGCTGTACACAAGGCTGTATTATTTGTTATACATGCAACAAACACCTGAAATAAGCAGATTTTGCTGTCCATCGCACACTTGTTGCTTATTCCGGGTGGTAGGGGGGGGGGGCTTATTCCATAGAGATGATACCCCTCCTGATGATTTTTTCAGGTTGTGACACTCCTAGAAGCCGAACTGCTCTGCCATCCAGTCAACGAACGTGGCGCAGTTATTTTGGTCGGTGCTAAAGTCGATGTGCTGGTTATCCTCGTCGTCTTCGTCCCCCTTCCATTCTTTAACTGCGACAAACGTTAGCACAATTCTGCTGCGTCTGTAATAAGCACCGTGGAATAAGGCACGATAGAATGCTTTGAAACCAAATGCACTTAATCCAGTGTGTTTATCCCAAATCGGAGACTGTGGTTCGAGGAACTTACTCCAATCCTCAACCCGCTCAACATCTTGGCCATCAAGCTCGCCGAGATATTGAAGATTCGATGACTTGGGGGCTATCCAATCCTTTTCTCCGATATAGGTCTTGCTGCCCATATAGTACGGATCGTACATTTTAAGGTCATACATCATTGCCTGGAAATCTAGCTTGTCCCTGAACTTCTTGACCTGGCCAACCACGATCCAGGCATGCTGGTAACCCAGTTTGTCAATCAGCTGCTTCATCTCTTCTGGAGCCTTGCTGTAATAGCCATCCTTAGGCAGGGTCTGCTTGATGACGTAGTAGCCGTCCTCTTGGAGCTTCTTGTTTGTGAGGGCGTTGATGCGCTTGTAGTTGTCTGTCATTTCCTTCTCTTTGTGCTTGGACTGCTTCTGCGACTGGTCGTCCGATGGGTGTTTAGGATGGTAATGGTTAACAGTTTCACATGACGAGTACCTTTTAGGTCTATACTTTACCTGTTAGAAACATGCAAATAAGGTATACATTACCAACTGTTGAGTTCTATAATTATCTGTAATGGTATCTATAACTACGCGATGGTTACTTCTCGTTATCTATGTATTACTAGTAAGGTAGTGGTTACTATATACGGCCCGACCCATAAATTCTGGACACCTGTATTAGACTCGCCGGCCCCCTGCTGTGCTTGTAATTAGATCATTGCGTCATCCTCTCTCGTCAGTCTCAGCTGAATCTCAGCTGAACCAACAAGCAACAACTGTATTTGGCGCTTGCTTCAAGCTTGGTTCAAGGGGAGATGTTCATTAGACTCTCAGACGAAAGTTGCTCAGCTTGTGCCACGCTCCAAGGTGTCTCATGATGCCATTGCTGAACGTCCAGGTTCGATGGATGCAGAAGTCTTGACGCCTTCGCCCCGTCGTCTGACACCTGACGACTGCGCTATTCACGGCACCGAAAGAAGCATCTCTCATTCTCGGCCCCTCCAGCTGCCAAACGCTATCGGTGCCTAACTCAAGTATCACGGAAGAAACAGACGCCTATTGACGACTAACATCCTTCATCATGGACTTGACCTTAGCGACCAGAAGTATGGCAAGCTGGAAGGCAGGAGGGGAACTTGCCCTGTCACAAATCATCCAGCGCATACATGGCGAAATCGACGAATATTCAGCACTGAATGAGGAGGAGAGGTCGGCGCTCGCAGCGACGCTCAAATCGTGTGCCCTCGACAACAATGCAGCCGGCATGACTGAGTCAACGTTGCGCGCTCTCCTCCAAGCCAAGGCCGCGTGGCCCAGCCCCGCCAGTAGCGTGGTACAGCTCATGTTCGATATGATGGCCTATCTCAGCACGATACCTTTCCCGCCGCCGTCGACGGACATGCTGCCAAGGAGCCTATGTCGGGACCATGTTACCCGCGCCTTGGTATGGCTCCTCCCCAAACGCGCCGACAGCATCATAGAAGCGAGCGACGTTGGCCGGGCCCGCACCCCAGCAGATCACCGCCGTCTCCTCTTCCAGAGCCTGGCCAGCAGCCGGGTCGAGAACCCGACGGCAGACTACGATGTCGCAGCGGCCCGCGCTCGAGCCATGCGCAACGCTTACGACATTCCGCGGACCTCGGCAGCCAGCTTCGCAGGGCTGAACCACGACAGCGATGGTGATGAGATGTACCACGATGTCCTGGATGTCATGTTCAGCACCCAGCCGCGCATTAGCAGATCTCTGGCCCCCGTCGCTCGAGACCAGCTCCGCCCGCTCGCCAAGGAGGTTGTGGCCGGGCTGGACTACGATGCTCCTCGGCTGTATGATTTGGCCATACCACAGGAGCGACTGGTGGCACTGTTGAGGTTATTGTTGGCTCTTAAGACTGCAGTGGGCAAGGAATCCCCCGAATGGCCCGACTTGGCTATATTCGACGCAGCTGCTGCGCGTGCGGTCGCTCCTTTCATCTCGGACGCCGGTACGGGGATTATTACATATTCGTCGTTTGACGATGCCCTGAAGACTGAGGTACGTTGGACTCTGATGCCACCTAGTCAGTGCTATCCTTGGCTTCTTGGCTGACAATGTTGGATCATAGCCCAGCTTGTTCACACCACTCTATCGCTTGTTAGAGCAGATTTTCCTGGATAAGAAACCACCTAGGCGGTACAATCAGCCCTTATAAGTCTCCGTACGCGCCATGTTAGAGCAATTCCAGATCACACGTGAAGATCTGGAAATACTAGAATAAACAGACAGACATAAGCAGCTCATGGCTATAAAGTCATCTTCGATACTTATTCCAGCGTGCTGATTCCTTTTTTAACAAATGCACCTTTCGCTTGTTGGATGAGAAGTGTACGGAGATTTGTGAGGGTTTAGTGTAGATGAAGTAGAACAGCCAGGAAGAAAAGTAGCTCGGTAACATGAAGTTAGAGGTATATCCATGTTGAACATTGTCTCTGCCTTATGTTGGCCGTATATCCTGGGATTCTTGTTCTTAATTCTTGACTATTACTGCGAGCGGGAGAAAGCGGTGGTCGACATGACTTGATGGGTGAAGGAAGGCAAGCAAGCTAGGCAGGAGTTACACCCCGGTAGTCTGCTGTGTGTGAACATCCCCAATTCGGATGGTCGAGGAGGAGCGGAATGGCCAATTGCACGTTCTGCGGCGTGGTCCAGAGGAGATGGTCGTTTCGTTGTCCAGAATGTTGTGAACCGGCTTGTGTATCATGTAAGACCACATACTGTTCTCTCCTTAGATAGTGGTGGCCCCTCTGTTTGCCCCAAAACTGAACTTCCAAAGTCTCCGAACACCCCTGGTTCAGCAAGCGACGGGTATATCTACTGAAAATGGCATAAGCACCCTGGAATAAACATTAGAGTTGAGTTTTTTGGATCCAAGGTGCTTATTACAGGGAGTTTGTTCCATTAATCTGAATAGCGTTGATATTCAAGACATGATAGAGGCATGCCGGACGGAAACTTATGATAAGGGGTGACTGTACCTACCGACCTTAGCTTATAGGTAGTTGAACAGACGGCGGTCGCTACCATAATGGTAATCTCCTTAGATCATTATTCTCTTTCACGACTGTATGCTGCGTGAACGCCGGCTTCCAGGCCAACCGAGGCCTGTAACATGGTCATCTGCTCGTCGCGACCTCGTTGGTGCTTCGGAGCCTACTCTTCTGAAGAAATTAGAGCGTGTCAGCTGAGTAAATAGCTCTCTTACCAGTGAGTGGAGGCCAAAAGTTTAGCTAACCGCAATTTCGATAGTGTTTGCCCAAGGCAGCGCATGTTGGGTTACGAGGTCAGCTGTCCAAACATGAATGTTTGCTAACTGAAAAGCAAGGCGTGCAGTAAAAGGGGCACGGATGTGGCTGAGTCGCGCTCGTGTAGTCACTGCCACACTTCAGCCACGTCAAGCAACGTCATCAAATGGGCTTCGTTTCGACCTTCCAGCAGCCAAGCTCCCGATGTATCCGCGAAGTACTTCATGAAAGTCCAGGTTTGTCGACGTTCAACGGCTCAAAGGAACAATTTGCTCAAAAGGTGACCATCTCGGTTACGTTGAGTACTATCAACCCGGAAGTGTCTCATCGCCATCCCAGAAATAGAGACAGATGACATAGTTGCATGAATCACTGGGCTTCCAGGCGTTGCCACTACTTGTCCTATCAAGGCCCAGGCCACGCTACTGGATCTGAACCTGAACCTGAACCCGGACCTGAAGTGTGATCTTGCTGAAGTTGAGCTGTCAATGTGAACAACTCATCACTGTCCATATAAACACATGTATAAGACCCGACCACTCGTCCACATTACATGCCATCTCCCAGATCCCTCATCTTCTTCACCATCTCCGTGACAGTATTACTAGCCGCCCTTCTGCTGAGCAACGCCTACCCCTCTTCAACACTGATCCACCTGTGCGACATACCCAGCTTCTTCCCCCCCCTCGACGGCCAACATGGGAGGCGGACCAGACCAGTACCGCACCGTCGCCTACTTCGTCAACTGGGCCATATACGGCCGCAAGCACCGGCCGCAGGACCTGCCCCCCGAGAATCTGACGCATGTCCTCTACTCCTTCGCCAACGTGCGGCCCGACTCGGGCGAGGTGCACCTGACGGACACGTGGGCCGACACGGACATCCACTGGGACGGCGACAGCTGGAACGACGTGGGCACGAACCTGTACGGGTGCATGAAGCAGCTGAACCTGCTCAAGCGCCGCAACCGCAGCCTCAAGGTGCTGCTCTCGGTCGGCGGCTGGACCTACAGCTCCAACTTCAAGCAGCCGGCCTCGACGCCCCAGGGCCGCGCCACCTTCGCCGCGTCATGTGTTGATCTCATCAAGAACCTCGGCTTCGACGGCATCGACATCGACTGGGAGTTTCCGCAGAATCCCGGCGAGGCCGCCGACTTTGTTGCGCTGCTGCAGACCGTGCGGGACGCCATGGATGCCTATAGCCGCACCCTGCCGACGCCGTACCATTTCGAGCTGACCGTCGCCTGCCCAGCCGGCGCGAGCAACTACGACAAGCTCGACATACCCGCCATGGACCGACTGCTGGATTTCTGGAACCTGATGGCGTACGACTACGCGGGCAGCTGGGACCAGACCGCGGGCCACCAAGCCAACCTGTACCACTGCGCGCAGAACCCGCACTGCACGCCGTTCAACACGGCAGCCGCGCTAGACCACTACACGTCGCGCGGCGTAGCACCGCACAAGATCGTGGTCGGCATGCCGCTGTACGGCCGCGCGTTCCAGGCCACCGACGGCCCCGGAACACCCTACAGCGGCGTCGGCGAGGGCACGTGGGAGAACGGCGTGCACGACTACAAGAAGCTGCCCCTGCCGGGCGCCGAGGAGCGCATCGACCGGGAGGCGGGGGCCAGCTACTGCTACTACCCGGGCTCGCGGACCATGGTCAGCTACGATACGGTGCCCATGGCGCGCGTCAAGACCGAGTTCGTCAAGGACCGTCGGCTGGGCGGCGCCATGTGGTGGGAGAGTAGTGGCGACAAGGAGGGGCCCGAGAGCCTGATTGCGAACGTGGTCGATGTGATGGGAGGGCCGGCGGCGCTGGACAAGACGCCGAATTGTATCGATTACCCGCAGTCCAAGTATGAGAACCTACGGGCTGGGTTCCCTACGAATTAGGGTTATTCAATGAGCAGGCATCTTGCAAAGAATAGAGAAGCATCATTGCATTGGTATTTATAGGCAGACGACTGGATATGGAAGCGAGGAGATATCAAAACTGCTGGGTTTCAACGTTTTTGTTGGTGCCGCATCTTCTTGACCTCGCTCTGACATAGGTAGGATGGAGCATCAGGGTACGTCCCGTAGTAAGATGTGCCGTAACACATTTCAGACGCATGGCGCGATTAGCGAGGCTCATCCTTCGCATTTGAACTGAATGACCGTACTGAATGAGTCCAGCATCGGGAACATGATAAGAGTTCAAGGCATGGAACTCAGACATGTACAGCACTTGCGATGATTGATATTCATCCATTAATCGGTATGCATTGAGTCTAGCAGGTGATCTGTGTCCCATCCATCATTACTTCGTGTAAACTGCTCCACATGTTCCGAATCCCTTCATCCTATGCAACCAAGTCCGAAGCGTGGGTGGGATGTGTTTACTGCTTGTCGAAGACGTAGGTCAGGTGGCAACGACCACAGTACTGTCGGTCCTGCATGGCGGCCATGAAGACACCGGCACCGCACTATTCGCACCGCATTAGTACATTCCGTCAACGTCAGCAGTGTAGAGGTTTTGACTCACCTGTTCGGCAGGGCACTCGCGGCGCAGACGTTCGATCTTGCCGTCGCCGTCGACCTTGTAGTACTTGAGGACAGCCAACTTGGTCTTCTTGCGCTTGTGCTTGATCTTCTTGGGGGTAGTGTAGACCTTCTTCTTGCGCTTCTTGGCACCACCACGCAGACGCAGCACGAGGTGGAGGGTGCTCTCCTTCTGGATGTTGTAGTCGGAAAGAGTTCGGCCGTCCTCGAGTTGCTTGCCGGCGAAGATCAGTCGCTGTTGGTCCGGGGGAATGCCCTCCTTGTCCTGGATCTTGGACTTGACATTGTCGATGGTGTCGCTAGACTCCACCTCGAGGGTGATAGTCTTGCCCGTGAGGGTCTTGACGAAGATCTGCATGATTGCCTACTGAGTGTGAGTAAGTATAGACAGGAGAGCTAGGGTAGCTAGGGTAGGGAGGAGAGAAGGGCAAGTGTATGCTCCATGCGAAGCGGTGCATGGTGATGTGGGTTGTGATCGAGTCGAGGCGGAAACACGGCGACGCAGGCATGCGACATGACGAAAGCTTCGCGCGGCCAGAGCAATGCGGGTATTGAGGGTATCATGGAATTGCGATGGCAACGTTGAAGGGGTTCCAGGCGGGATGAGGGTGTTGCGACAAGGAAACACACGTACCTAGACAATATCGTATTGTCTTCCTAAGCAATCCTGGAGATGAGGTTTGGTGGGAGAAGAGGGAAAAGTTCGAGGTCGGAGAGCCGCGGATAAAAGAGTCTGTGTGGGGGACCAGGGCAGCGAATGCAGGTGGTGGGCACTGGCCGGTGGCTGGCGAAAGTTCGGGTAATCGCACTTGGGCCACCTGGACCGCATCAGGTATGTCACGTGCTAGGGTTTTCGCGGGATGATGCCCTCCCGGCCTGCTGCCTGCCAGCCAAAAATTCAGTGCCCCCATTTGCCAAAGCCCCAAGCCCCGCCCCGCCCTGGATTGGACCAATCGCCTGCGCCAGTGGAATCGCCATGCTCTGATCATTTTCAACTGCGACCTGCCCACCAAACCCTTCCCGAAAATCATCAACCACCAACTTTCTCGACACCTCATCAGAAGTCGACGCAACACCGCCATCATGGTCAAGAAGAGAAAGAACAAGTACGTCCTCCCGCACTGCCCCTCCACTACCCACGCTCCGGATTCTACGAGGATCGCGCCCGACTTCGCACATGGGCCCACGCATCGATGCTAACCTGCCTGCTCCTACAGCGGCCGAAACAAGAAGGGCCGCGGCCACGTCAAGCCCATCCGCTGCAGCAACTGCTCGCGATGCACGCCCAAGGACAAGGCAATCAAGAGATTCACCATCCGCAACATGGTCGAGTCTGCCGCCATCCGTACGTCTTCCTCCTATCACCCGACGACCCCCTACCACTCGGAGCAAGATGTTCATGACCCGGTCGGGACACGCTGGGACCTGGATAGATCTGGGGTTGGATCATGTGCTGTTCACTGTGGGCTATGGATTGTGACTGACAAGAACTTTGTGCGCAGGTGATATCTCGGATGCCTCCGTCTTCTCCGAGTACACGGTTCCCAAGATGTACCTCAAGCTGCAGTACTGCGTCTCGTGTGCCATTCACGGCAAGATCGTCCGGTACGTCGACCCGCGAGGGAAAGACTACGCGCTGCTTTTTGAGCTGCGTATGCGCTTGAGAAGAGCCTTGGTCGAACCTCGACACCCCAACATGCCCCGAAGTCCTCCGAGAATCGTATTAGCTGACAGACCTACGCAGTGTCCGTTCGAGAGTTGGCCGGCGCAACCGTGCTCCTCCCCCGCGTGTGCGATACAACAAGGATGGCAAGAAGGTGACTCCCACTCAGACCGCCAAGGTGGCCGGGGCTTAAGTGCTTCGTTCGGCGTCTTTGTCTTTCGGCGGAAAAGGACTGGGGATACTCCGGTCCTGGGATATGGGTTCACTTGCATGACAACGGGTTTCTGGCATGATATCACAGATAATGACCTAAATGAATCGAGTCATACTGCCATGACCATGCTCCATCTGCTCCAAACTGACTGCGCCGTTACGTGTTCCACTGTTGCTATGCACGATTTCCATCTATTTGGATGCCTTGCCAACCGACTTGATGATTACCCTGTTCTCTTGTCATCTTGAGGGAGCCTCCGGCATGCCTGTCTACCTGCAGCATACGCCACAGTCTACCGTCCTCCAAACATTGTGCTTCCTGCCGCCGCTTCAGATCTCGGTCCAGCGCGGATCCGCTAGGATGGGCATACAATCTTGGAGGGCTCGACACAGCCAAGAAGAGCATCGACCATTATCATCATGAGAATCTCACGATCTGCGGTGGCATATGCAGCCAATCACAGTCATTCCAGTCAATTCGCCCCGAAATAATCGCTCAGTCCAGGTAAACTTCCAATCTTGCCCCCCAAGGCTTGCATTGATGCCGTTACTAGCTAGTGGTCACATGAATTCGGCCGTTCAGTGTGGCTGTCACCTACCCCGGTTCCAAACTTGGTGATGTCTCGGCTACAGTGCTGCCTTATGTCCTCCCAACACAATCCCTTTTCACTCGTTCTGGGCGCCTACAGTACCAGTGTAACGGTGGTTAGCGGAGCAACTCTCGTCCGAGACGGCGTCACTTGATGAATATTCATGGAATCTTGGGCCTGGGCGGCTTCTAGCAGCAACTAGAGATACACAAGCCGGTTCTTGCCAACAAATTTGGATAGACTGAACTTCCAAAAGTCTCCGTACATCCCTCATTCAGCAAGCGAAGGGTATGTTTGATGAGCTGGAATAATCACTCTGGAATCAGCGTTGGAAAGGGCTTGTTAGATCAAGCCTGCTTGTTCTAGGGTGCTTATTCCTTTGACATGAACGGACATAGCGTTGCAATCTAAGCATTGATAGAGGTATGCCGTACGGAGACTTACATATGGGGAGTTCACGCATCTGCTGGCCCCATTCGCTAGACTGGTACATGCATGCTACAGTGAAGATGCTAGTGTAGAAACCAGCACTGGCTCAGCCCGGCAGGTGAAGCCGAACGCTCAGTGTCTCGTTTCTCCTGTATCAATGCTGGGTATGTGACGCGTTGAAAACTCGCAACCCCTTTCTTGGCCTGCCCCTTATCCATATCATGGTAATCCAATACCTCCGCGAGGAGAAGACGAGATGGGTGCGTACGCTTCAACTAGACAACCTCTCGGGCTCGGTTTCCTTTCCATGCAGCCCATCAGCTGAGAAACTATGGCTATCGAGTCATGTTAAGCAACCGCAGATATTACGAATCACCCCATAGCCTTGAAAAGTGGCAGGATGTCTTTCTCGACCCAACAAACACTGCCAACCCGGGTTGCTGCACTTGGCTACCTGGTAGCGAAGGTCAGGGGTGGACAGTAGTTATTCCAATGAACGGGCTGCCGTTAGAACATAATAGCCAAAGTCTGTTGCTCTGGGCCCGGCGGTTTAGGAGTTAACCGTAAGAAATATCAGTAACTTTAGAAACCTACCCTCCTAACCTCATTAGGAAGCCATCCCGACGATTTAATTGGCTGCGCACCGCCCACCACATCGCAAGTACTTCAATTTGCGTGCGTTTTCCACTTAACTAGAAGTACCTAACATAATTTCACTGGGTAACCACGTGGTTAGGATTAGGGTTAGTGGTTAGGGTTAGCCGGGGGTTTGGGGGGCGGTGCGAGCCCCCCATCTATGAATGTGTCCTTTTGATCGCAGTGGTGGTGGTGATAGTGGTGATGGGTGGTGTTGTTGAGCTTTAGTGGGACTGAGCGCTGGATACACCCGCTGTGATTGGCTGATTAGGAGGGTAGGTTTTAACGGATCGGAGGGTAGTTTTATAAAATTACTGAAGAAATATGCATGGTTACCGGATAAGTTGGCCAGATAAGCATCGTTCGGTCACCGGACTCGACCCGTCAAGACTTCCTTATATCAGCGATGTAGTGACTTCAAGTTATCGGACGTACATGGTCGTATCGAGACTGAGAGTTGCTCTCATCCGATGGCTCCAAGGTAGTATTGAGGGTCCATGACAGCGCACGCCGGTGTCACACCGGCGGCGTGTGGTTCCAGATGGTCGGGTGGCCCTAGGCCGTGCGGCCCGCGACTTATATCTAGGCCATGATATCTGAGCTACATAGGTAGTGCGCACTGACTAGGAAAAGCTTTCGCGAGTCAGTGGGAGCCATGATAATCTAAGTAGCCTCATTCTCGAGTCACCTTGTCGATTCCCAGGTACCACAGAGTCGGCGCTGTCACGCAGGGGTTCCCTTCTAACCAGCCGCTGCGAGGCGATCTTGCTGCTTGGCAGAGTGGACGTCCATCTGCCGTCGCGCTCGGACCATCTAAATTCAGAGGCTCTTATCTCTATAGTCTCATGAGCTGGCGCAGCATGAGGATATCTTATGCTTCTTCCCGAACCGAGCGAACCTATCCGACGAGGCGGTGATCAGTGGAAATCTTCCAGCGCTGGGGCAGTTGCCGGCATCATCATGGTATCTTGCAATAGGAAGCGAGTGCTCTTTTATCTTGGGCGAAAGGCGAACTCAGCAGCCAACATATCGATTGAGAAAGTACCAATATACTGATTGATACAGAGAGTCCATTCAAGACCATCTTAATTAATACAAGAGGGCAACCATCACTAGGTAATCAATACCATATACATGAAGTCCTGTGCCCCTCTAATAGAAACTCCGATCAGAATGCTCAAGGCTAAACAATCAAAATACCGTCATAGTGTCAATAGGTCAACGTCAGGCCGAAGATGACCTAAGCTCCGTGCTTTCTTGGGCCACTAGAGACGGCAGTCTGGAAGTGGTTGTCGCGGTTGTTGATGTTGTTTCCGTAGCCGCGGCTGTCGACGCTCGAATCGCTAGTCTGCTCAATTTCCCGCGTGACGTGAATCATGCGGCGCGTCGACCGTGAATCCTCGGGATCCACAGGGCCGTCTTCCTTGTCCTGAAAGTATTGCTCGTTGGAGCCTAGCCTTGTGCCATCGAGCGTGTTTTCCAACTTGTAACCCTTTCTGCCAACGCCACTTCTACCACCGCCACCAATGGTCACGAGGTTCACGTCGGTGGATCGACCGGGGGTCTTGCTGGAGGACGACTTGGATGGCGAAAGGCTGGGGAACAGACGCCGCAGCATGGGCAAGGAACCGGCGATGATGCCGAGATCGCACTCGAACACCGTAAGCAGCACGATCTTGCCAATCTGGTAAAATCGGTCGTGGGGCGTCGTGTAAGCCCAGGTGTAGGTAATGCGAATAGTCGTGGCTACCGAAGCAAACACACCGAGGGACAGGATGAACATGGTGAGAATCTTGACCCGGGGCGCCAGCTGGATATGGCGTAGCAGCAGAATAGGTGTGAGGGCGGTAGCCAAGTCGGTGAAGATATTGGTGGCTGACACGAAGTACGACACGTTAAGGATCACCGTCTGGCCCGAGGTGCAGTCTCCGGGGACAGCGCCCCAAGCCGCGGCCACGGGCTTGCACTGGAATATGGCCACGGGCCACGAGATCTGCCAGGTGATCCAGGCCAAAGAGAAAAGTCCCCAAAGGATGTACTTGTACTTCCGCTGGGTAGCCAGACGCAACATGGCCCAGATGATACTCGACTTGATCAGGGCACCGTCCAATACATAGAGGAACTGCCAGATCATGGTCCAAAGTCCCAGATTCAATTGCATTCCAACCGTAATCACGTCGTCGTGGGATCCGATGCCACTGACTGCGAGCACGCAAGCTGAGGCATTGTGGCCGACGTTGATAATCTGGAGTGATGGAGCACATGTCAGTCCCTACCCAGGGCCTCGACATAGAGATAATAGAAGAGAGGGAAAGGGAGCCACTCACCCATCCGGCAAGCATCAGCCAATCATCCACTGAGGTAGTATGCGTCAAGTTGCGCACATAGAATCGTAGAGCGACGATAATGGTCGTCAAGATGGTCATCACGATGGTAGTAACCATCAGCGCCAGAGCCAAGCCCTCGGGCTGGATGGGCTCATACTTGGTGGTCGTCAAGTCGGTGGCCATGGCTGCGAAAAAGGAAAGAAAGAAAAATCAGGAACAGTGGACGGCGGTTGGAGAACGCCTTCAGATATCAACACCGCTGTCACCTCCTCACAGCAGGTATAATTTCGAAGTGCGGCGCGGACCAACGAATAGAAGAAAAGAGCCTAACGTGGAACGAATTACGAGGCCGACTGGTTCAGCCTTCTCTATATGAAGGCTTGCTGGTCTTCCGCACCCTGGGCGGCCTGGGACAAGTACTAGAGGGAAGCCGTCTCGCGAAGGGGCAAAAAACCTCCAACTCGTCAGGGGCCTGACAGGGAACAATAAATCGTTACCATACTGATCAGTTCCTGGGTCGGTCCCGGTATTAGCCTATTTCTCACGACATGGGCCCCAACCAGGATTACATAAGTAGATGTCCGGGATGGGCAGGTAAATCGTAGCAACTCTCCGCAGAATACTGGGGATTATCTGGGTCTCTACATGGTGGTGGATGATATGCTAATAATAATGATGCACCACGAGAAGTGACAATCGTACGGTATGAGGTTGTACAGTATGCCACCACTGTAGATGATTCACGTACACGAAAGGCCCAAGTGTATGGAGCGGCTACGATTTACCTTGATGGTGATAACCGTAATTCCTTTCCATCGGGAAGTCGCCAGCAAGAACTTCTGATTGATGAACCTTGGAATATGGCCGCGGCCCGTATTCTTTAGCTTCTGAGGAGTAGCTGCCAGGGCTGCAGCTTGGGGGGCAGGGGGGAAGATCCAATACTAGTTAGTAGTAGGTCGGCCAGATCCGACGGCACAGAACCTACAAAGTACTGTCACATCTCGACGGGACAGTGCCTAATCTCGACGGCATGGGGTTCTACAAGTACAGTAGGGGGAGCCGTTGCCCGTTGGAGAGCCGTTGAGGTTGGCAGGTTGGTATCATACGTTGGATGACACGACACAAGGACAACCCAGTTGTCTTTGCTGCTGGGACACTGCTCATTGGCAGCCCGTGACGGGATGAGACCACCCTATCCACCATCCATGCAGCAGCAGCGGGCTTTGCCCGGCCCCACCGCGGCTCGGGCGCCCAAATTCGTAGAAGATCAAGTTTCACCAGCCCACTTGCAAGTAGCCTGCCATAGCCTGCCCAACCCAAAACGGCAAAACCTGCGCATTTCTATTACTGTATACTTAGCTGACGTTAGGTCTCCATACCAAGATGATAGCGCTGTGGGTTGGCGTTTCACCCACTTGTGTCCGGTTTCTCTAGCATGAGTCTAGAACCCAAGTACGCTTAGCCTTATAGGAGGCTGACTGCACGACATGTTATGCGCCATGGAATTGCAGACAACAGCGGTGGTAACCCTTGCAAGACCTCTGGTTTCTACCTACACAGTAGAGAGCGTTTCTTGGTCCGGGTGATTTTGTAGTCACCTGTAGCCACCAGTCAGGGCTTTGTAGAAGGATCTCTCGTCTGGATCGTCGTCCGATCTCGGGAACGTAATAAGTGGGAGTGGGACCGGATACACCTGTGGCACGTGTCGTGGTATGTAGCCTCGGGGTCGCAGGGTCGTGACTGAAGAATGTCCAGTAGGAAGTCTTCACGAAACACACCCTTACACCGCCGTAGTAGTAGTACATGGTATTATCACCGTGCTAGCACAGTATCGAATGTGGCAGGCTGCGGGCAACAGTGTTGGTTGGCAATTTCCAGAGCTGTGGACATGGCAAGCATGGATCAAGCGAGATGACTGGTGACCAAGGACTGGTGACCAAGGACTCGCTGTGGGCGCCGGGGCATACTGTATATCCACCCGCATTGCAACGCCGCTACTGTACCTAGTCGTTCGAAATTGGGGTCGGAGACAGGCATGGAGGCTCTGGCGCCCGGCAATGCAATGGCGGTAAACAGGTGCTGATGTGTATATCAAGGAGCAGGGGACACTATGGAATCGACCCCAACTGCCTGGTGCCCTTGAAAAGAGCATACGACCTGCTGCCAAGCCACGATTGATACCACAACAATCTGCAATCCATTGCATTACGTCTTCTCCTCTGCAGGGAAGGAAAAAAGAAACGAAAAACAACACAGGCAAACAGCAGTCATGGCTGGAACAGAGGCCCCAGAAGCACTCCCTACCGTTCCTGCGGGCATAACCGCCGAGTGGTTGAGCCGCAAGCTCGGGCACAAGGTCGCGTCCATCGAAAACACCAGTAACATCTGGGGAACGGCCAGCAAGCTGTTCTACGCCATTACTTATGAAGACGGCGCAAGCAGCAACAACGGCGAGAGACCGGCTCATATCTGCATCAAGGGGATGTTCGACCTCAAGTTGGTAGAGGACCAGCCATGGACCGTCAGTCTCGCACAGCGAGAATCCGAGTTCTTCTCCAAGTTGGCGCCCACTATCAACAATATGATCTTCCCCAAGTCGTGGTGGGCTGGCAAGACCGAGAACCAGGGCCTCGTCATCATGAGCGACCTGACCAAAGAGGGGTGTTCGTTCCCGCCTGAAGTGACGTCGTATCCTGTCGAGAAGATCATGAACGGGGTCGAGCAGCTGGCAGGTCTCCATGCCCAGTACTGGGGCCAGAGTCAGGAAGACCATCCCTGTACGGAACCCCTTTTTCTTTCCCTCTTCGGATGCTATGTCCCGATATGGAGCTAACGCGACGTTTACCAGGGATCTGGAACAACTACGACCCGGCCATGACATTCATGTGCAGTCCGTGGAATGAGTTGGTGCGGGAACCGAACCGGCCCAAGCTCCCCGAGTACCTGATGGACGGGAAACGCTGCAACGAGGCGCTGGGCCGCTATTACGCGGAACGCAATCCGCGCTTCCGTACGCTGCTCCATGGCGACACCCACATGGGCAACATCTACTTCACCGCCGAGGGCAAGATCGGCTTCCTCGACTGGTCGGCGTTCCACTTCGGATCGTGCTTCCACGATATCGCGTATCACATGACGTCCACGTTGACCGTCGAAGACCGCCGTGCCCACGAGATGGAGATCCTCGACCACTACCTCGCCACCTTGCACCGACTGGGAGGGCCCAAGTTTGACCGTCACAACGACCCCGAGGTCATGGTCGAGTACCGACGCTCCTTTATGACCAACGTGATCTGGATCATCTGCCCTTATAGTTTGCAGTCCAAGGAGCGCGTCGATGTGTTGTGCAAGCGTACTGTGGCCGCCTACGACGACCACAAGGTCATTGATCTCCTTCTCAGCCAGCCGAAGCCTGCTGCTACAGCTGCGGCTACTGCCTGAGTTTTCACGTGAGACATGTCTGCATGGCATCGGGGCCAACATGACTACGCCAAGTTACATACAGACAAAAGGGCGTAGATAGGTAGCTTCCGTATAACCGAATCTGACTTTCTTCGTCTACCTCCTGATTTTTCTCGCTTCGGCGGCAAGTCCTGATCCTGCGGTCGTAACATTCCCGTTTCACCGGCATGCGTTAGGCCAGGGGCGTTCGTGGTGGTTCGTAAACTGTGCTAGTACCAAAAGAACGTTAACTACCGATAGAAGGAAGAATCGCCCCTATTACACAGTCTTGGCGGACCTGGGATACGGACGGCCAGACGGCACAGGAAGTGAGAAGACAGGGCACGGAACCCTCGCCTGGTATCCCCGCCCAGCTGAAGCACCCTTGCTCTCGGTAGGCGTAAGCGGCGGCGGTAATACGACCTGAGCTGCTGTGCTACCGTCGTACAATCGATGCCCCTCATGGAGTTATATACGCAACTCAGAGACTGTTATAACTTATCAGGGGGATTCACTACATCGGGACATACGTACAAACAGTCGACAAAACCTATCACTTGCACCTGTTGCAGTTGCGATGTCGGTGACCGTGCACACTGGAAAGCACTCAACAACAACCAGGGGTCCCCGGTGAGCCCGGTGGGGGGAGGCCGGTAAGGATCCCGGCCGGTGAGTCCCCATGTAAAGAAAATCCTTCAAAAGTCCACCCATTATTTGATTTCTCCGACCACTTCGAAATTAACACTGTATGCGTCCTGAGCCAGATTAACGGAGCCGAGAGCCACCAACTGGGGAATGTCTGCCTCTTTCGGGTAATAATCTGCGTTGATCAGGGGGTTCAGCTAAGCCATGCGAGCCATGATCGCACAGATATCCGACGTTGGAGATCTCTGTGAGCAAGTTCAGAGATATCTGGGGATGGGCAAGTTCACCTCAATTCCGGTAGAGCACTCGAAGGTCGATCGGTCTGGACACAGGGGTTCACAAGACTAGTCGGGTTCTAGTCCGACACGGCTGTGTTCTAACTTCTCTCGACTTGCTCGGGTCAGCTATTTGCTCCCTTGCAAGTAGATATCAAGACCAAAGTCATTGTCAGCAAGTTGAGCTTTTGTACCATGGTTTGCCACTTTGTGTGAGTGGAGACACCCTTTGGGGGAGATAACAACGTCTTACAGGCTTGGCCAACCCATCATCGAAACCATAACATTCGGTATGCGGATGATGGCGTAGGCGAGAGTGGTGCGCAAAAGCGGCCATTGTGTAACGGTGTAAGAGGAAGCCTGCGCAGTTTCGGGATATCTTTCTTGGCTGACGACAGTCGAAATCTAGCGAGAAAGAGTCATGGAGAACACCGGTAGTGTTCCCGATAGGACTCGGCGTAAAACCCGTAACGTTCTGGTCCTACTCTTGGCTTGGGTGAAGGGGGTCTTGGAGGGGCTTGGTGATCTCTAGAGAGAGTTTCTTTGGGAGGCACAGTGTCTCTCGTGCAGGCAGAAATGAGAATCCGTCATCGTCTTTACAGTCATCGCCTTAATCGTCACCTTCCTCACCTCCTCATCCACTGCGTCGGTAACCTATAAAAGGGCAGCCACTGCGTCGGTAACCTATAACAGGGCAGCAATCTGTGGCCTCTCTTATATGAACGACTTCTACTACCCACCCTGGTTACCGTTACAGTCAATATGGCACCCATGCTATCCGAGGTATTCTCCCTGGCATTGAAAGCTTGTTGTTCAGTTCCGTGGCCATTCTTTGCTGACAATGGAAACTTGAATAGACCGAGAACGCCTGTATCAGAGAGACTCTATCTTACTTTGTAAGAGGAGTGACCGGCGGGCGAGACATAGACGAGGATGCCCTCACGGTGACGAATATTGACAAGCTCCGGGCAACTGTCACGTCACAGTTGAAGTCGACAAGTCTCGGGGATCATATGGATCTTATCAACTCCAAGAACCAGCTCAACTACTCGTGCTACGTGGCGGCTGACTTTGCCAATGCGCAGGGGTTCGACTACCAGGTCGTGCACGCCATGCTGACCATCTTCTTCTTCCACGCCGAGGACATCCTCGAGGACAAGCCCGACGTGATGCACAATCTGCAGCTCAAGCTGGCCACCGGCGAGCCCCTCGGCGATCCGGTGCTCGACTGGTACGCCAGGGAGGTCACACCGCTGCTGTGGAAGCACTTCCACCCGCTCGTGTCCAACATGATCATCGTGGCCTGCTACGACTTCGTCAACGGCATTGGCGTCGAGCAGCTGGTACGGGATGCCCCGGTGCACGATCAGGCACCGCAATTCCCCGAATGGCTGCGCTTCAAGACTGGCCTGTCGCCTATGTACGCACTCCTAGCCCTGGCGAGACACTCGGACGTGACGCTCAAGCCCTCGGGTGGGTTTGAAAAGTACGTGCAGACTGTGCCGGACGTCGTCGTGTTCACCAACATCGTCAACGACGTCATCTCCTTCTACAAGGAGTTGTTGGCGGGGGAGAAGGGCAACTACATCGACATGCGGGCCGAGAAGGACGGCGTGGATGTGATCACGGCGCAGCGCAAGCTGGCGGACGAGGGGATCGCCGTATACAACCGTGTGGTGGCCACGCTCGCTGACGAGCCCGAGTACCGCGCCAACTTTGAGGCCTACGCACGCGGCATCACCCATTTCCATACCTCGTCGCCGCGTTATCGCCTCCGGGAGTTGTTTGGGTCCAACACCTAGTGCCAGATATAGCAGCAATACAACCGATGATCCCGGCTTTGACCTGTAGACAAAACTAGCTCATGTAAAGTGAATGCTCAGAGAAGCGCAATATAATTACTGTAAAAGTTCGTGATATGAATGTAGACAGTTCGCTTAGGTGCTGTGATAGATAACTTGGTTTCACCCCATAGAGTATGTGGCTGACTGGCGCAACCGTACCTAGGCACCAGGACCAGATATTCAGATAATGTTGAATGTCAACGAACAGTGGCAATGATAGAAATGAAATTGTAAGAAAGAAACCCGCAACATATCGAAATCAAACTACCGAAGAAGACTGTACACTAGCGTATCTCCCCCATTACCCTCATAACAAGACATAACGAACGAATCCTGGAAAACATACCCCTGACCACCTAACGCCTCTGCAGTGCTTCCAACCAAGCACGACAGCATGATTGACCGAGCTCGAAACTAGTCCTTGGGAGGTTAAAATTCGCAATCCCGACACGCTGTGCATGCGGCACCGGCATGTGTAAGTACTTGACCGCATGATTCGCACATAGCCTTCAACTCGCCCGTGCAGTTCGTCGCGCTGGACGCTTCACTCGCCGCGGGTGCCTTTTTCTCGGCTAACATTGGCTGGGCTGGGGGAGGCGCCACGTCGATCACTGTTCCGTCATAACCCTCGCCGGGGTCGAAGTTCCCAGACTCAATCCCAGCTGTCATAGGAAAGGGGGTGGTCATCGTCTGGTCGCCATAGTAGCTATGCACTTCGCCACCTGAAGTGGCGGGACTATCGGGTGCTCTATAGGTCGGGCGACTGTCAGCGGTATGGTTGATGGTGGAGCAGGGCTTGGAGGGTGGCCCACTGGTTATCGTCCTGTGCTTGCGAGGTGTTGCTGGCGTCAACCGTCTCGTCCTTGTCCTCTCTATAAGGCAGGTCAGCTCCATTGGATCGCGACTTGAAAGTGTACAGAACATACCCAGCGGCAGCTGTGCCTTCGTTTTTGTCTGATGATTCGGCCATGATTTGGGATGTATGCGGATTGGTTGAGGCGTTCAGCAGTATAGTCGTAAAGCAACTTGCTTGATGATTTCCTGGTCCAGTTCCAGAGAATCTCCTGTCTTTTTATAAGGCATGATGCTCCTTTCCCTTCTCTGAACACCAACGCCGGTTGGCCCTGTATCTAGGGGTCGGCTTGTTGGTTGGCGTAAAGGTCATCGGGTGACTGGGTCTCGTGGACCTGTTTATCGAAATCGTGTAGTCCTTTCTTTGTCTCCTTCTCCCAACTGACTCCGATCGAGGTCATGTTGTTGCGGGAGTCGCTTAGGCCCTCGTCGCATGAGACGCGAGCAGCCCGTATCCGCTGGCGCTGGCCAGTTCGCAGAGGAAAGGTATCGTCCAGGGAATAAAGGCATTGTTCGCGTGCTCAGTATATCGTTGTGCGAGACCAGCAGGGCCGCAGCTTCGGTTCCAAGGGGATGGACGTCTATAATATCGCATCAAGCACACCTTGAAGTCCAAGCCGATAGGTGTACCGTGGCGTAGGCAAAGGCAGCCCCGGCTGAACGGACTCGTCAGTGACCAATGTAAGGGGAGCTCTTCAAATACTCTAGGCACGCACCATGTACAGTGAAGACGTTCGGATCAGCCGGATCGAGCATGCCTCCAACACGGTGTCAACGTGTCCCGTGAGACCAAAATGTTGGGTGGAGATAAAGAGCAAAAATACCAAACCGTGGAATGCACGACGTGCCACAACTGGGATCGTGTACCGAGGGGACCAACCCGTTATTAGTATATTGTGCCACCGTGAACAAAGCAAAAAAACGAAAGGCATATACTTCGAACAACCAGTGGTATATATCCGCCAGGGGCAAGCAAGTATGAAACAAGGTACATTCAATTCCCAACAGCCCAACCCACGCCGAGGCCTCGGCTATTCATTACAACGGCCTACCCTGAAAATTCAACCGCGTGCTCAGTCGTAACTCGGTTCGTCATTGTTCATTCATACCACGCCATACAAGAGCACCCCAGACATGCTTGCCATGGCTGACGCACTTGTTCCCGCTCACGAAGTCACCGTCTGAGCAGCGCCGCCCTGTCTTGCAGCCGCACTACGGGTAATAAAGTCGCGGTTCTCAATCGTGACGCTCTTGGTCATGTGGTTGACCTTGTACACACCCACCAACCGGGCGGCAAGTTCGAACATGTTGTTGCGCAGAGAGATGACGACGAACTGAGCGTTCTTGGTGCGCTCCTTGATGTAGTTCGCCACGATGGACACCTAGACACACACAAGTCAGTCATATGTAGAGACATCGATATCATCTCGCTACTCACATTCCTGAAATCTAAAGCGGCATCAATCTCGTCCATGACATACAGCGGAGTCGGCTTGTAGTGATGCAACGCAAACACGAGCGCCAGACTCGACAACGTCTTCTCACCACCACTGAGGTTGCTGATGTTCTTCCAACTCTTCTTCGGCGGCATAACCGAGAACAAAATGCCCTCGCTGAAGGGGTCTAGACTGTCGACAAGCTCAAGCTCGGCGTTGCCACCCATCGTAATCATCTGGTACATCTCCTTCAGGCGTAACGAAATGGTGCTGAAACCCTCCATGAAGCCCTCGAGTCGGAGTCGACGGAGGTCATCACATCGTTTCTTGGCTGAGTCGCGCTGCTGTACCGCACCGGCCAGATCAGACGAGCGCGCAGCGTGCTCTTCGACACGGCGACGGTACTCGGAGAGGACACTGACATCAACGTTGACATTCTGTGTCTTCTCTTCAAGGGCAGCAATCTCAGCCTTCAGGGTCTCCTTGCTCATGTCCTTCAACTCGTCGTCCGTGAAGCGTGGAAGTTCCTGCGGCTGTTCTTCCGGTTCCTCCTGCTGCTGCTGCTCTTCTTCTTCCTCGCCTACGGCCCGCTCTTGACCTTCCTCAGTTGGTCTCTTGGCGGGCGTTTCGCCGCTAAGGTCGCTCACGTTCTGGAGAACCAGCTTGTTTAGCTTCTCATCCCAATAGCGGAGACGTTTCTGGTTCTCGACAAGAGCTTTCTGGTTCTCCTCAAGCTTGTTGCGCATCTCGATCTCGACCGCGCATGTCTCGTTGAGCTCTGATGCCTTCTCATCTAGTTCCGCCTTCAAGGAGGCAAGCTCACTCTTCTTGGACCCGAGCTCCTCTTCGGCGGCCTCGACTTGGGCGGTCAAGGACTCCGACTTGCTTCCTTGGTTCTCGACTTCCTCTTCGAGATTCTCGAGGTCCCGTATCGCGGCCTCCAACTCTTTGGTGGCCTTGGCGTGGTCTTTCTCGAGCTTGGTCTTTGATTTCTCAGCCTTGGCTCTCTTCACCTCGGCATTGGACGTCTCTTCGTTGTGAGAGTATATTTCCTCCTTGATGGCATCGACCTTGGCTCGTTGAGCACGGAGTTTTTCTCCACCAACTTCCATGATCTTGTCTTGTAGTTCCTTGATCTCAGCCTCGACACCCTCCGTCTCGGTGTGTAACTTCGATACTTCCTTGTTTAATTTGGCGATATCCTTCTCCAGGGCGGCCACTCTGTTGTCGTCGGACTGTGAAGGTTGGTGTTCCTTGCCCAGCTCTTTCACACGTCGTCGAGCGTCGGCAAGGTTCTTCTCAGCACTCCGCACTTCGAGACCAATCTTCTGCATCTTGGTATCCAGCTGAGGGATCTGATCCTTCAGGTATCTGAGTCGTGTCTCGAGTTCCCGCTGGTGCTCTTGGAACTCCTGGAATTTCTGCTCAACAGTATCGCGGTCCGTCTCCAGCTTGGCGACCTGATTCTTAGTCGTGTCAGCCACGAGCTTGCTCGACATCAGTCCCTTCTTGACGGTGTTGCCACCACCAGACATGGTACCGCTCTTGTCGATGAGCTCTCCGTCGAGTGTGACCACGCGCCATCTTTTGGCACCATACGCAATCCGATTCGCTTGGGATAGGTCTTTGGCGACCAAGGTATCTTGTACGGCATGGTAGAAAGCAGGACGGAATTTGTCGTCTTTGGCCGTGATCAGGTCGAACAACCGTGGCGCATTCTCGGGTGTCTGGATGGGCTCCATGCCTCGCACGCGCAACTTGTCTAGACACATGAAATTGCCTCGTCCAAGGTTGGTTTTGCGTAGATACTCGATACACTGTTGTCCGGCGTCGACTGTATCGGAAACGAAGTTGTCAAGGGCGCCACATGCGGTTGAGACGGCCACGTCATACTTCTGGTCGATGGCACCAAGATTTCCAAGACGGCCGTGGAAGCCATCAATTCGCCCAGATTCCTTCATCCGCATCAAAGCTGTGAGCACGTTGCCGCGATTCTGTGTTTGCGAAAGACTCGACCGGGCCTCGTCCGCCTTCTGCCTTGCATTCGACACTTTGGCACGTATCTTGGGCTCGATCTGGGAGAGGTTCTCGAGTTCGCCCTCGACCTCCTGGGCCTCTTTCTCAAGGCTGGCCTTTTCTGATTGACATTGTTTGAGCTCTTCCAGCTTCGTGGTGCGGCTCTCCTCGACGGCGGCGATTTTGGCCTCCATCTCCTCGAGGGCCACTGCTCCGGAGTTGGCCTTCTCTTCCAGAATGGTCTTCTCAGACTCTGCCACCGCAATAGCAGATTGCTTCTGGTTGATCTTCTCTTTCCAGGGCTCGAGAGACTTTTGCTTGGCGGCGATTTGGTCCGAGAAGACTTGTGTCTTGCCCTTCAGGCTATCACGGATGGTGGCAAGCTCGGCTTCTTCTTCCTGCATCTGCTGCTCAAGAGACGCAATCGCCTCGGCCCGAGATGTGATATCCTCGGAGCACTGCTCGATGGTGTCATCAGCTTCTGTGCTAGACTTTTCGGCGTTGGTTATGGTCTTCTCCAGTTTCTTCTGCTTGTCGGACAAGAACTTGCGCTTCTCGTCGAACTTGACTCTTTCTTGTTCGAACTTGGAAACTTCCTTTACGAGGGATTGCACATTCTTTTCCTGCGACTCGAACTCTTTGCTTCCCTTCGAGTAAGCCTTCTGAAGCTGCTTGATGATCTGTTCGCTGCCTTGGTGCTTCTCGAGCTCTGCATCAAGCTGCGCCTGCATCTGACTAGTTGCTTCCTCTGTGACAGCCACATTGTCGTTGCACTCGCTGATGTAAAGCTGGTAAAGTGCTGACTGCTTGAGGGCAAGGTCGTTCTCGTCCCGAATGAAGGCCAGGGCTTTGTTCTTCTTGTCCTCAAGGCTGTTCTTTTCCTTCTCCACGTGCTGGACGCGGCCACTCTTCTCCATGCAGATCTCGTTCAGGGTCTCGACTTCGGTAGCGGACTCTTCAATAGGCGTCTTGTACTTGGACGTGCCAATAATATCCTCGAGGTACTCGAGAAGGCCATCTTCGTGCTCATTGCCAGCGTTGGGCTTCATCTGGGCGATGGACTCGACCTCACCCTGCAAGATGAGAAAACGCTTGTGGTCGAGGTCAACCCCACGATCGCGGAGAAGTGTGGTCACAGTGGTGAAGTTGGACTCTTTGCTATTAATGTAGTACTTGCTAGAGTTGTTCTTGAATGCCTTTCGCGAGATGACGATTTGTGAGTCGGGAATTACTTCCGATCCACCGCCAGGCTATCGAAACGTCAGTAAACAACAGTATGGGTGAAGTATTGATGGCGCGTGGACTGACCAAATCCATGACTTCCTGAAAGTGAACGGCGACCTCACAATGGTCAAGGTTGGGGTATGCAGCAGAGTTGTGAATCAAGGCAGAGATCTTGCCCTGTCGCATCTTGCTCGCGCGAAATCCGAAGACGAAAAGTAGGGAGTCGATAACGTTGGACTTGCCAGAGCCGTTGGGACCGACGACGGAGGAGAAGGAGGAGTGGAAAGGACCGACTTCCTGACGGCCAGCGTAACTCTTGAAGTTGTTCAAGATGAGATATGTGATGACAATGCGAGGCTTGGGGCCCGTCTCTTCGACGACGGGCATAGCCATCTGGCGCGACTTCAGGACAATGTCCATAGGCTTCTCTAGAATGGTGTCCATGGCTCGGATGGGCTTCACTGTAGCGATAGAGTCGTCCGCCGATGTTCCCGGCTCGTTGATGCTCTTAATAGTGATAGCGGCCAGCGGTGTACCGTGATGCTCGGACGGTTCTTCGGATGGCGCGGGCGTGGGGATGGATGCGAGCGGTTTCGGGTCTGGCGTAGCCTCTTTGCTGGCTTTCCTCGGGGCAACACTCTTGCGCTTTCGGGGCGATGGTTTCCTGACGGGCGACTCTGGTCCGATGACAGTGGCATCACTCTGGTCCGGGTCGAGTATCTCGCTGGGCTCGAGGGAGGCTGGCGCGACACTCTTCCTCGAGCGACCTGCGCGTGGTGTTGGGGGTGCAGCCGACTTTCTCCTGCTCTGGGTCTGGCGGCGCGGACTGCGCGAGGCGGGAGCTGGTTCGGGCTCAAAGTCGTCCTCGCTCTCTTCCTTGACCTTGGTTGTGTTGGCGCTTACGTCGTCCTCGTCTTCGGATTCGATAATGGCAGCGCGCCGTGTCGCTGCCGCGCGACGGGATGGTCTAGTGGACATTGTCGGCGCTGTTCGCTGTTCGCTGTGTCGAGTGACTACAGCCTCATCCGGTGTCCTTTATTCAATTAGACTCGTGATGTTTAAGTCGTGTTCCTGTCGTCGCAATGTGCCCGTCTGGTGTGTTGATTTGGTGATCCGTAGGAGGCGTGAATGTACTTTAGGTATGGTCGAATCGGGAAGTAAATATAAACAAACCCAACCAATTTCCAGGTGCTCCAGTGCTGCCGGTATCCCTGTCAATGCGCTTGTCATCCCGGCGTCTTAGCGCGTTTCCAGCCCCACGACACGCTGTTAGTGGATACCTGCAATCCCGGAGAATATCCGTCGCTGCAGGTGGTAATCCGAATCGTAGGTTGCAGCTCCATTTGAGGCTCTGAATGCCTTCACATGCAATCACATGCAACACTGACACGGACCCGGCATCCTGGAATAGCAGACTCTGCCTCTGGGGCGTTACCAGTCGCCCACAATGATGGACATCTCCAGGTTCGACCGCATATTCGGTCCTATGAACCCGTTTCCCTACAATCGCAACATCCTCCAGCGGATCGAAGCTTCCCGCCCCGATCTTGGAGGCTCCCTGTTCATTGATCGCGTACTCAAGGCCTTGGATCTCTCCCAAGGTAAGGCACAACCTCCTACGGGGTCTGTCGTGCAGGTGTCCCTGGCTAACGTCGCCTATAGCTACGACAATCTACCCGCCCAAGAATGAAAATGCCCTCCGACAACTGCACAAGCACATCTGCGAGAGCAACAACATCACCGACCGCCACAAACTATCCATCATCTACTATCTCCTCCTCGATATCGACGACCAGAATACACCTGGTGAGAGCAAGAACGAGAGCAAGGCCGACTCGTTTGCCGAGCATGCCGGCGTGCCAAACAAGTACCAGATCTTCATGAAAGGTCTATGGTACATGGACTCCCAGGACTTCGAAAGGGCCCTGGAATATATGTGCCACCCCTCGTTAATCCCCGAGTTCGCCGACGACATTATCACCGTCTTGGTCCGCCATGCCACCGACGACCACGACTTCACCCTCCCTCTCGCCTATTACCACACCGTCCAGCCCGTCATTCAGTCCTCCCCGGCGCTCCATCTGCTGTTCGACTCCCTTGCGCGATCCAACGTTACCGAGGCGTACGAGTTTTCCCGATCGCATGCCGACATCATGCGCCGCCAGCTCTTCCAGCGACTGGTTCTGTCCGTGCTCGAATCTGCGCGCAATGACGAGGGTGCCGAGAGGGCATTCGAACTGACCAGCCTGCCGTTCGACGCCGACGAGGAGAAGTGGTTCAAGGAGTCTCTGGAGGGCAGCGAGGGCAAGAAACTGAAGTTCGCCAAGGACACCCTGCTCATGCGGAGGATTGCCACTGGGAATGCTTCCCTCGGAGGTGAGAAGGGAACCTGGGCTGTGATCTTGGAGGGTTTCAAGACTGGTAATGGCGGCCGCGCACAGGGCTTGGTCTGATGGCACCTTTGAACTCTGGTGTCTTTGTGTACTTGAAGTGTGGCATAGCGTTGGCGTTGGGATCTACAGGCTCACAGTGGTGGTTTTGACACTTTATGCGTTATTTTGCGGTCAAACAAAGGCATACAGCCAGTCCCCTGGAACTGCACGTATTTTGCTACCCCCTATTCAAAACTTGGAACTCGTCAATGGTCCACTTGAACTGTGATTTGCACCTGCGTAGTCACCGCATTGAGGGGCCGACTCATGATGGTGTAGAAGATGTGCGTAGAGCTGGCTTTGTATAATGATCCCTAAACTGGGAAGATCTGTTGTATACCATCGTTGGCTACGAATTGACTATCAAGGCCGCCCCCTGGCCGCCTATCTCAGCTCAGCAACTGCGGCTCTTAGCTTGCAAAAGCTCACCTTACAGAACCTCACTGTTGGAACAGGCTTGAACAATCAATCATAATACTCGAGTATGGGGTCAAGGTCATGATGTTGCTGATGGTTGGATTGGGAGGTCTAGCTGGACCTGAAGGTCTGGCTAAGTAACCTCGCAATCCGGTATCTATCTCTTATCTAATCATACATGTGGGTCTTTGTATAGATGGTTTGCAGGCTGGAATTGCATAGATCCAACACTCACCTTGTAAAACCTCCACTTGTAAAACCTCCCCTTGCAAAACCTCCCCTTGTAAACCTTAGCTTTTTAAACCTCAGCTTTTTAAACCTCAGCTTTTTAAACCTCAGCTTTTTTTCTAAACCTCGGCTTTTTGAACCTGAGCTAGCAAAACCTCAACTTAAGCTTATAAAACCTTAGCTTGCAAGACCTCGGCTTGCAAGATCTCACCTGTCCCACCCACGAACAACCCTTACCACTCGCCTTATCAAACTTCAAGTCCATTGCCATGCTCAAGTTGTGGAACTTCAGCTCCCACCCCATGACACCCGGGGTCCTCTCCCATTAAACCTGTGGCTCATCATCACGCGCCCACAATCTCGGTAGGAAACTGGTAATCCGAGCCCTGGCTTGCTCTTCGACTTGAGGACGCAGTTCAGCCTCGACCTGGGGACGAAGCTCAGCCTCGACTTGACGTTTTAGATGAGCTTGTAACTGAGGGTGGCGGCCGGCCAAAGCCTCTTGTTGCCATTCCTTCCGAGCTACCTCAACTTCCTGGACGACGTGAATATCGAAAATAACCGCTTCGGCCCTAGTACGCAAATGGTCCGCTCTTTCTGATGTCAACTTTGTTCCCTCAACTTTGCGCAAATCAGCCAGGACAGCTTGAATCCTCGAATCCAAAGCTTTAGCTTTCTCGGAATTCCCGTCTCGATCCTCAAGCTCATGGAGTTCAGCTTCGGCTGCTTCGACGATCAGCCGCAAAGCCTGCAGTTTTTCCGCGTTCATCTCCGACATATCGCTGGGGCTGAGGTCGTCCGTCTTTCGTTTCTTGCTACCATCAGGTCGTCCATCTTGTGATACGCGCAGTCTTTTCTTAGCTAACTCCTGCTCGTGGGCTCTTTTGGCATCGACGACGCTGTTGATGGTGGCGTCAGGACGGTTGGCTAGAGCTGCGTCTTGACTGTGGTCGATTTTTGTTGCAAGACCTGGCACCACAATATCAACACCGTCTCCGGCCCGAACTCGTCGGAGTTTGTCCATTTTCACATCTGCTGGGTATCTGTTGATTATCCGGTAGCTTTTGGCCATGACCTCTTTCCGAGAAAGCAGCTGAGTGAAGGTGAGCTCCTGGGTGGGGTTTTGGATCTGAGGTCTCGGCCTGTATATGGTCTCGACGCTTCCAAGCGACTCGGTGACCTTGCTCACTGATCTTGCCTGATTCCAGCCTGGGCTGGGGGGCTTGAGGTCTTCGGAATCAGCCAGGTCTGCAGCGCTGAAGCAGGCATTCCGGGTTCCGCTCAGACCCCCTGGGGTCAAATATCCGGTAATCGTCATGTCCTGAGACTCGAAATCCTCCAGCACCTCCTTCTCGAAGTCGAAATCCGGGATATGGTCAGAGTTTCGGGCAAGTCTCTCGGCTGCAGCCCGGGCAAGGTTGGGGTAGAAGGATAATCCTGACTCTTCAGTGGCGCGGATGATGGGAGGTATCTGAGCACAAAAGCCCAGTAATGAAGGCACATTAGCCAGCTCCACACCAAAATCTCTGTGCCGTTCGGGATGCTTCTTGTAGTGAGCCCACCAACAGGCGTAGACCACGAATTGTGACCAGGTGATGATATTGGAAGTTAATAAGGCGAAACCTGCTCTGAGGCTGGCCGTCAGCTCCCAGCTCATGTCGTACGAGGCGAAGACCGGAATTCTGTCATAAGGGAACGTTATAACCTCTTTTGAGGTTTTTCAGGTGGTGCAAGCTTCCACTTAACCTCTTTCAAGGATACAGGTGGTGTTGGCTGTCTACAGGTGGTGTTGACTGTCTCCAGGTGCTCATCTGGACGAGAGGAAGCCAAGGGCCACCCTGAGCCCATTTGTTCGTTCTGACCTTAGTTGCGGATTCCCAATCTTCCTTCTCCAGACCCGGGGCTGCAAGATCACCCGAGATCACCTTCTTGACCTGCACATGCGTGTCCATGCGGTATAGGGAAATGAAAGGTATGAAGTGTAGTGCCTGGTGTCGATTTCTTCCCGAGGCCCTGAGACCCGACCCGGGGCCTAAGGTCCCGGTCAGCTCAACCGGGGGTCCTCCAACCTCAAAGGTTGGGGATTTCCCGGCAGCCCTCTGAACAAACACTGGATATGCACCGGTAGGATCAAATCCAACCAGGCAACTGTTCTTGACTTGCTCGACCTAAGCCATTCTGTCGGTGGACAGCTGATCAAATCCTCGAGGGGCCACAGCAATCTCGGCATAAGCCCATTCGTCGGCAGCGGACACGGTTTCAACTGTCTCCTTGGGGTCGCCATCATCAGGGACGACCGGACGTTCAGATAGGGGAGTCGACATGTCGAAGTTATGGTGTCAGAGTTGGATTTGTGCTGCGCAACGTCGGAACCTAAGTTCTTAATAATGTCCGTCACCTCAGGTCCGCCACGGACGGATCCCCTGGATTGGCACCTAACATTTGGGTTGGTCAATTGAAGTGTAGACGGGTTGCGATGAGGTTTGTGGTGCGGTACCTAGGCACCTCTTCGTTTGGAGTTGAATAGGAGGTAGGATAGTTCAGGGGTAGTATATTTGGCGGGCGCAAACAATTGTCGACTCGGTGGACCCTCGGTTGCAAGAAAATGAGGGCATGAAGATTCAATGAGCACATTCCGAGTACGTATTTGTCTCGGGAACTCGAACCTGAGGTCGGATTTGAGGTGCACCCTCAGGTTGGGTCGCTGTGGATGTCTGAAGCTGTTGTTGTATTGGCAGTGTTGCGGAAGTGACACGGGGAGTCTAGCACCTACGGGCGGACCAATGTCAGACTTGCTTGCATCTCCGAGCTGAAGGTGATCTATGCTCAAAAATGCTCCAGGAATCCGAATCTGAAGCCAGAAATCGAATACGCCTTCAGGTTGGGTGGTTGTGGTTGACTGAAGTGGGCAGCGTGATGCAGAAATGAGAGACTGAATGTGGGCGTCCACAGGCTGCGCGAAATGTCGACGTACCTACGCACCTTACCTTCGGAAGGTACGCACCTGCCTTCGGCACACAAAAAAATTAATCATGCGTCGCTGGTGCACTTTGTGATGATTCAAATCAGGCTCAGTTTGACCTGAAGGATCCGAATCAGTTATTGTGAGGGCGGTCTGCTGTTCCAGAGCGTTGTGGTTCTCTGATAGGGAAGGTGCGTCGTGAGTGTGGAAGGATGGATGTGAAATATGTTCACAGGCGGCCAAAGACATTTACCTACTTCCTACTTTGGTCGGGACCTTGACTTCAGCAGCCACTGTACTAACAAGGTAATGTTCAGTAGGCGGATGTGTATCCCAGGCTTGTTGATGTATGAAGAATCGAACCTCGTATATGATGAAACGTTATATAAGTGAAAAGGCCAAGGGCCTTGCCTAGTGATGCAACAAGGTAAAAAACCAGAACGGAGGGCAGGGAGGGCAGGGAGAGCTTCGGGCGTGAAAGCGCTGCATTTGGCTGGAAATCCAAGTGCGTGCCTCCTACGTTGGGCCTAGGACAAGCCATCATAGGTTGTATCGACCATCCAAGCCGACATATGAACTGGAACCGGTCCGTAGAGCAGGCGAGTCAGATCTAACCAGGAATATATCGGGCAAGGTGTAACTTAACCCACGCTCCGATCTCCATGCCTGCAGCTGGAAGGGGTTCGTTTTATCAAGGTCTCAAAAACTACATTCCTGCCGTCTCTCGGTGGTTTCTTGTTGCGTCGATGGCGGCATATTCAAAGAGGCCAAGGTCAACTTCGAGGTCCACCTTCACCGTAGATGCGGTGTCGATGCTATCGATGGACCCTGCTGATACTTAGGAGTCGTATGGTTTACGTCAGCTCTGTCTGGCGGAAATATTAAAAGAAGACAAGATCCACGGGACTGAGGATATTCGTAGCGCATATATGGCTTAATACATCACTGCTTGCGGCATACACAGTGAAACTAGAAGCAGCGAGAGCATGTCGTTGCCGGGCGTCGATACTGCCAGTACCGGTTCTGTCCTCGTCATCAAGAAGAACACCAGCACGGGCGGCCAGATCATGTTGGCGGTAGCTACACAAGCACGGCGACGACTGGTACGGTTTGATGTTAGTCTCGCAATTTTACCACGAGGGGACTGGTATCTTCTCACCATGACGGGCTGAAACGATGTTGGCGAGGGGAACCTGCAAGACAGCCCAAGGGAAGTTGAATCATATAACCAATGCTAGATATATCTTCTGCGGGTAGGTCTCATTGTATACTAGTCGGTAGAGAGCAGGACTGTGGGAGACGTAGACCTTTGCCGTGATTTCATATCAACAGCGACTAAAATCGTGCATCTAATACCACTTGAGAGAATACCTTGTTGGTAATTTGTGGATCGATAGCGACGTCGGCTTTATGACCAGCACTCGGGACAGCTTTGAGACCACCATTGATGATTCAAAGTTTGAGCAAAGACGCCTGCTCAAAGCTGGCTCGTAGAGCTGGGCAGCGTGCTGGCAGATCTGGACTGGCCTTCTCGTGTGACAGCTAGGCAGTGAGCAGAAGAGTCACGTGTGCCAGGGGCTGTGGCTGCGCCGAGGTACTTACCTTTGTAAGCACTGGCTGAGGCACTTGCCAAATGGCATCGTGGTTGCGATAGCGTTGAGTGCTTCGGTTTTGCGAGTCGCATGTCGGGCTCGATACATTGGCCCACGTTGAACTGCCTCGCATCACTCAACAACGACAAGGTAACGTTTTGACACCCGGCCTGGACAGTCAATGCTTCAACTGGGCGAACAATCGGCTACGTCCGTTATGCAAGTGCAACATCAGAACGAGATATTGCAGTGAGAACGGAGTGCAGGCGACGGATTGCATCAGTCGATAAATTCGCCGGGTCCGATCTCGGTTGAGTGGGTTAGTCACTATCGCTAGGCCTTGCTTTGCCTAACAGTGTCAGACAGGAGCCAGACCAGAATCTGACGGTGGTTGGTTCACCCACCACTCCACAGCGGTGTGCAGCCGCATGGAATATATCTCCGTGTTCAACAAAAACTTGCAACAATCCGAATTGGTGTAGGGGTTAACATTTCACGCTCTCATCACTGAGTGTTCCGTGGAGCCCGGGGTTCGATTCCCCGATTCGGAGTTCATATTTTTGCAACTTTACTTTCGTAGTCGATATCTGGATGCCTTTGTCAGACATAGATTGACCCTGTTGGATTGGGTCTCTCTTTTTTAACTTCTGCATGCATGCCCGCTCATGATACACGATACACATGACTGAATAGCTGTCGCTTCTGCTTTATCCACGGGCGACTCACGACTCACTCAGCGCAAATACGACAGCGAGGGGTATTTGACGACAACAGCTGTCGGTAGGGATACAATGGGGCCTCAATCTGGACACCCTTAAGGCCTCGTGCTTCGACCCACCAGAATCCACATGCTACCATCGTGTCGGGGCCGGCTGAGATGAGGACTCGAGATTCATCAAGACCTTCATATGACTCCACGTGGGTAGCTGGGTAGGATGGACAGCTATCAACAGCGGCTTGTAACATGGACAGGACGACACAGCAAAGCTACACGTCGCCAGCATGCGTCCCCTTATTACTTATCCCGTCTTCACGAAACCGATCCCGACCTGGGAACACCATCGAGGTCGGCCGAACTCTTGTTCGAATGCGAGCTACGAGCCGCATGCCTCGGCATTGTCCAATGGTCCACTTGGTGCTATTTGATGCCGACGGTGACGAGAATGGCAACCTAGGGATCACATTGGTTCCAGCTGCACCTACTCGTCAGGTCTCTAAGCGACACCTGACGAGTAGTTGGACAGGCGACAGGAACACCATGTGTAGCGTCAATGGGTGCCTCAAGACACCAATCAGCGACTCCCGCCGCATCGTCAGACACGAAGAGCGACCATGTGTCACCACTGTCAGTCTGTCAGTCTGTCAGTCTGGCACCATGGTGGTAAGATTACACCTTACTGCCAGGGATCAGCGTGCGAGGACACCAAGGTTCCCAGAAGTTCCGACTAGCTGTCGCTAGCTCATATTGGTGTGGCCCCTGGGTTATTATTACTATTTTAATCCTGCCCTTGCTAGATAAAAGTGAGCTCTTCCTCCGATGTCTCGTACACGGTTGTTTGAGCGACTGTCATACTTCACGTGGCAAACCCCAAGTTGGCTTCAAGTACCCGACACATCATGACCCAGGCCCTGGGATATCCCGCCGCCAATGCGGTACTGGCCATCGTCGCCTTGTCCCTGGTCTATCTGGCTTACAGATGGGCCTTGCCGAGGCCACTTCCTGGTATTCCTTTCGACGAGAGCGCTAGGAGGAGTCTGTTTGGCAGTCTGCCTGAGATACAGGCTCATATACGCAAGACGGGACGTCTTCGAACTTGGATAGCAGCGCACCCTACTCGCCATAACTCTGCCCTCACCCAGATCTGGATGGGACCCCTCTCGAAGCCCGCCTTAGTCCTCGCCGATTTCCAAGAGTCACAGGACATCCTGTTGAGGCGGAACAAGGAGTTTGATCGAGCCCAGAGGAGCGCGGACATCTTCGCCGGACCTATTGGCAATCATCACATCGGCATGACCTCCTCAGATCCTCGCTTCAAGGGAAACAAGGAACTTGTCCGCGACTTGATGACCCCAAACTTTCTTCATGAGGTGAATCTCGGATAAGCCATACAGACCGTCATGCGCTCACCAATATCAACTACAGGTTTCAGCACCGCAGATCTATGCGAAGACCATGACTCTCATCGATCTATGGACTCTCAAAGCGGGCGTGGCCCAAGGTCGTCCGTTCAACGCCAGGCGAGACATCTTCGACGCAGCTATCGACATCATCAATGCCGTTACCTTCGGTCTGGACGATGATCTGAGCACGGTGAAAAAGCAGTTGGACACCTTGATGTCTATACAGAACCTGGAGGCCGCTCCGGTGGCTGCAGACGGATCAATCAAATTCCCGGAGCTGCCCGAAATGCCTGACATAGCCGCTATTAATGCAGTGGGGGATCACGTCGGTGACCTATTCAAGTCCATATATCCGATAATGTACCATCGTTACAAGGTGCTAACCAACCGAAAACTGGCCGAGAACATCGCCCGGAAGGACAGGCTAATCCACGCCGAAATTGATAAGGCTGTGGTGCGCCTTCGAGATGGCGACAGTGAGACGCGCTCGGCAATGGACCATATACTGCAGCGAGAAATAAACGCCGCGGCGAAATCAGGTCGGGAGCCGGTTTTCCATTCCCCAAGGATTCACGATGAGGTGGGTTTGTATCGACTGAAGGAAACAGCTTTGTGTGCTGACTTGGCCGCAGCTCTTTGGGTATATCGTTGGAGGCCATGATACGAGCTCAACAGCTTTAGCATGTAAGCACTTCTCCGAGGTTACCATACGAATCCCTACCATGTCTCAGTGAGGTAGCCAAGACAGGAGTCCGAGGTCTGCTTTGAAGACCCATCCTCGACGGTTTACCTCACCTAAGTCATGCTAGAAGTTCTCTTCGGCTAATCGTCATATTCGATACAGGGATGGTCAAGAATATCGCCAATCACCAGGAGGTTCAGACGAAGCTTCGAACTGCCCTGCGTTCCGCATATGCAGCCGCCCATGCCGAGGGTCGTCAGCCATCGGTCGTCGAGCTTTGGAAAACACCAGTGCCCTACCTCGACGCCGTGCTCGAGGAGTCTCTGCGTGTGGACGGCCCTGTCCCAATTAACCTTCGAGAATCCAAAGTCGACACCTATCTCCTCGGCCACGAGATTCCCAAAGGCACTAGTGTCTTCATCGTCGGAAACGGACCAGGCTTCCAGAGCCCTTCCTTGCCTGTGCCTGACAGTGTCCGCAGTGAGACCTCGCGCGCAAAGCACTCATACGGGAGCTGGGATCCTGCCGATATGCACCTCTTCAAGCCCGAGCGCTGGATGAAGACCGGCGAAGACGGAAAAGAGGTATACGACGCGCATGCAGGTCCCATGCTTGCCTTCAGCCTGGGTCCCAGAGGCTGCTTTGGTAGACGGCTTGCATACCTCGAGACTCGCATCGTGCTAGCGATGCTGGTCTGGAACTTCGAGTTCCATCAGCTCTCAGATGAGCTGAGCTCACACGCAGCTTACGATAAGATCACGACAAACCCCAAATATTGCTATGTTGGTCTGTCGAAAGCGAAATGATCGCCAATGAGATTGACAGATGAATAACACGCTGGTATTCCACGTGAAGCGGTGATGATTGAAAGGCAGACTGAGCACGTACTCTCCTCCCCCTTCCAGAACCTTCAGGTGAATGTGGCGGAAAGCATACATGTACCTATGTAGATAGACTGTTAGACAATTGTACAATAACAACCCCACCGTACGACTCATTCGGTATTTGATGAGGGAAGATTTAAGTCTGCCCTTGTGCTCTTGTAAACTCGAAATCCAACAATGGAATCAGTGCGCTTGGCCACCTACAGCATCCACTCTACATACCTATCTACCTAAGGTATGGCTGAAACCTGGTTGGATATGCGCCGCCAGCAGACTGAGAGGCGCCAATGCCATTCAATCAAGACCTGCATCTTCAATACATATTGAAGAGAAACTCATTGCGTTCATACAATAACCCCATCAACTGTCCTTCTCATCATCGACCACTAAAGCTATTCGACACCTGAGAAACATTGCTTCTTCCATCCTCTTCCCCTTTTATCACGGAATCGGAAAACATTAATCCAGTCTATATCCACCCGCAAGCGTACCAACAACATGGCCTCGTTCATCATCGGAACATACCTCCTAACAACAGTCACCCCGACAGCGGGCTGCTCTTACGGGACGGTGGAGTACATGGTGCCTCTGCGCAGAGGCGCATGGCGGCCAGCGCTACAGGGAAAAGAAAAGCAGGAGAAACAAGAAACCGAAGAGAAACAGGACATACAAGAACGGCAACGGGGACGACGAGAGCGACGCCGCACACGACCGCGAGAGGTTACATAGGAGCTCCAGCCTACGCTGTACAGTCGTCTGGGAGAGAACCACGAGCCGCGGCCACGATCGCGATCAACAACCGATATGTACTTGTCGTTCCATGGTGGATGTTGGGTGAAGGGGCCTTGTTGAAGTATCCTGCTCGCGCATCCCATCGCGTGGCTGCAACACACAAATCACCTCGTGAGGCCCCTATTCTCCTGCAATCTGGGTTTGGGGGGTAAACGGGCCTGGACTACACCAGCCGGCATGCGCGAGGCATGACCAACATATTATGACCCCGAAGAGGCCAATGCGATCTTCGTGTCCCCGGACTGGACTGACCTCAAAGATACCGTCAAATGGCTTGAGGAGTATACGCACGTTGCGGAGGGCGTCGCGGGGAGACAGACGGAACTATTTGTCTGCAGGGGCTACTTGAGTCCTGCTGCATGCTACTGGAGGCTTTGATCAGGGGCTGGAGCTCGGCTGTGCAGTTGGAAGATGAGGGATGGGAAGAGAAGAAGAGAGGCATGAGTTGGGATATGTTTGCTGTGGGCCTTGAAGAGTGAAGGGCAAACTGAACATCGGTGAACAGATTGCCCCCTACCCTCTGACTAATACCGTGTGAGCGTGATCTGTGACTCGGCAACTAAGAGTGAGCCTTCGAGAACATCGTTGTATGGCTATATAGCTCTCCTGGGAAGAACCTTGTGCAATTTACAACTTCCTCATTCGGTCATCACCGCTGTTCCGAATTCTGCTGATTCTAAGAATTTGCATTCTCGCCTGCGGCCTCCTGGTCTCAGCCCAGAAACAATCTCACTCCCTACTGAGCCGGGTTAGACTGTCTTTCCGCGGACCTCGCTTTTGCCTACATCTTACGTCGTCTTCTTGACTACCCCTTCTGACGCCAAAACTTCTACTTTCTTATTGAACCCCGTCTAAGCCCTCACGGGTTCAACAAGGTCAGCCCGCACTAGGTAAGGATTCACGGCTGATCTGTTCTCTCGGTACGTTGGCTTGTCACGTATTTCATGGTTTTTTGGAAGACACCGCATGAATTCCAACCTGACGGACACGCAGTGCCTGACGATGTTCGGATTCTCCATCACCGCATCGTCTGACCTTGCATCATGTCTAGCTCCGAAAGGTATGCCAACTTCCTTACTCTGCAATTCCTCTGAAAGATCACTAACATCTGCTCAAAGACGAAATGAGCTCCGGGGGCTGCAGGGCGCTGCCCGTCCTCCCCCACGATGGCATGCCCTCTTGCTCGGACGGAAAGGCGCATTCACGAGAGACCTGAGCGGACGAATCATGACAGACGCCCTTGGAAACGTCCGATTTCGCTACTCGCCGAGCGAGCAGAATTTCCCTATCGACTCCAGTTCTTTCGAGCATTGGCCTATTCACATTGGCATTGCCCCGCAACTACCTTTACCCCGAATCGCCGTCGTCTTCTTCGCGCCGGTGGTGAATCATGCATGCTACGACAAGAGGGTTGTCACGGAGATAGCGTGGTCGATCTACGACACACACGAGAGGTGCTACGGCGCACGCATCAATCCCCGCCAGACTTTTCAGCGACGCTCGTCAGCTGGAGATCGGGGAGTTTCGGTCCGTATATTCACGAAGACGTTTCATAGGATTATCATCGAGACAGCCGATCACCACCCCGGCACTTGCGCGAATCTCCTCCAACATACGGCGCGACCGTATGACTTTGTGTTCGGAAAGTCAGGATTCACCAGACGCTCCGACATTAAACAAACTCTCGAGCAAGCTTTCGACATGGCGCGTAAATGGAACCTGAGCCCAGGGCAGATTGCATCTGGCGCGGTTCGGCATGTCGTCCACATTGGATGGGGCGATGAATTCCATCATGCAGCCATTCGATCCACGGACTGGTACTCTCAGTGTCTCTGTCTTGAACAGTGGGATCTGGAAATGCACCATATTATACGAGACCGGTTTGACACCCAAAAGCCATCATTCGAGGAATGTCTAGAATCTTTGGGCCTGCCTACGAAGATCAACGGCTACAGTATCGCCAGAAATGCCGGCAATCAGAGCGCCTTCGCCATCCACCTCCTTCTGGCCTTGTCTTTCCTCACCGCAGAACAGGTAGAGTGCCTCAAGGATCAGCAGAACTTACCCTTGCTTGATGCCAAGCTGGGCAGTGAGGAGGTGCTCACGCATGCCAATGTGCCCATCGGCACACCGCGTACCAGCCAGCGTATTGCATACACCCATCAGCCACGACCAACCGTGAGCACGTACCGGCGTATCGATCACGACACCCCCTCTTCGGCTGCTACATATCACTTGGGACAAGTCCCGGATCGTGTCCCTGACCGATACAATGCCGACATGTGCTTGCGGGACCAGAGGAGCTAATATTAAAGACCAAGAAAGGGGACGGAGTATTGGAATGAGGCTATGTTTGGTCTCGAGTCGTCGCAGGCATCAGCGCAGTATCCATGCGGCCACAGCTGGGGTTCTCTGCCAATGTCGAGCATAGTTTTCTGCTCTCGTTGTTCTACCTCGGATCACGTCTGCGTTTGCGTAGGACAAAATCGACAGACCGATATGTGCCACGGTTCGGTATGACTGACGCAGCCGCTGCACGACGACTGGGAGAAGCAGGGCCAGATCGAGCCCCCCCGTCCACACTTGGGAGCGCCACATCCTGAAGGAGATAGCGAGAGACATGAAGCTTGAGGGATTTTGGCACGGCGGAGCCACCTCGCGTGGTTTTGACTTCCTCAACGTCCGCCTCGAGGACTCATGCAGAGCGCGGGCTTTCTTCACGACGTCGCCATCAACGGACTGCCCCAAAGAGACCTGACGAGTCGGGGATTCCAATACAGTGCAATGCGGTACAAGTCCGAATCGGAGCGGACGGAGCCTGCGTTTTAATCTGGAAGGGGTGGAGGTGCAACGACGGTGTTCAAAATCCCATAAAAGTAGCAACACACTATCGTGAGAGGAAATCGGCCAGATTCGTCTCAGCTTCCTGAACGATACGAAGTTACACTTGTAAAGACTCAGAAATTGTATATTTAATTGATCTCGTCCGCCACGAGATCTGGGTTTTGCATCTCACCATCTTTTTTAGTGTTGCGCACGACCGCTCTTAAGTCCTAATTCCCGACGCCATCTGACATGGGGGTAGGCACACTCAGCCCGTAACATCTCACCCCCCCTGCGGACCACCCCCCCACGGACCACTCCACACCACACCACTCTCATTCAGATGAAGCCATCTACAACCACCACAGTTGCTAAATACACTAAGGTCGTGGTGTTCTAACCATAATACAGCTCCCAGAATCCGATTCCGACCCTAAATCTTCACCAGGGACCTCTTGTGGGACCTCTTCGCCTGCAGCGGAGTCCCTATAGACCCTCCTGTTCCTCAGCTCCATTTTGGCCTCCCTTATGTTAGCCATTGTGACGAATCGTTCCCCTGGTGTTGGTTTGACTGCTTTTCGAGTGGTATTAGCCTTTTTAGCCACTTGAGTCTCAAGCAGCTCATATTTGGCCCGTAGATTTGTAATGGTAGCAGCCTGAACATCCATGGCCTTGCCAGCCTTTTGCACCAACAAGCGCTCAGAGGGCCCCCCAAAGGAAGGGTCCTTTCTTTCGAGCTTTCGAGCACTCTCCCGCAAAGCCCGGCTTCCAGAGGGTGTTGTGAGAATGGGTTTAGCTACTATCTTGAGAAAATCTGGTGTTGTGGCTCGCTCGGAAGCCTTACGGTCCCTCTGGCGTGCCCTGGCCACCCCCTTGTCCTCCAGAATCACATATTTCGACTTCAATGCCTCCGCTCTGTTGCGAGGAACAATCCCAGTCTTTTTCCAGGCAATTCTGATGTTGAGGAGCGTCATTGTGTCCTTCCGGGTCTGCTTGTAACACTCCAAAACCTCCTCCTTAGATGGCCTGAGTCCCAGACGGCCGCTGGGCGTCTCCTGGAGTAAGGTCTTCAACCTCTTCTTCACCAAATTGAAGACTTCCACATCTAATACCTGGACTACATGGGAGCAGTGAGGTTCATAAAAGATCAACCATACTTTATTTCTCAAGCAGGTGGCTAGGAACTCATCATTCGTGTGGGAGTCGTGGCCATTACACACCAAAACCACCCATGTGTTGCCGTGGACCTCCCGAATGTGAGGAATAAAGATATATTGAAGCCATTTTAACGCAATAGGATTCGAGGTCCATCTATTGGGCGACGTAATAAACCTCCAGTCGGTGAATTTGTCCTCGTTTTGGTTGCTAAATCACTAGGCTTGTACGTTAACCCCTTTGAGAATCACCAGCGGCGGCAAGGTCTCACCAGATCCGCTCACACACTCTAGGGCAGTTATCTATTCACCCTTCTCGACCCTTTTCTTCATAGCCACGTTGCCAGAGGCCTCAGAGACCACCCAATGGGAGTCCCCAACCCCCTGGGCGATTCCCATTTCGTCGACGTTGTACCAGCGTGCTGGCATGAGGTTAACCACGTCAGGGGCGTCACACCGATCGAAAAAAATGTTGATATTTGCCACTGTAGCACCATTCACTCGGTTGTAATCGATAACACGAGACTTCATTATCTTGAATTCCGGGTTTCAAGACAGGAACTTGGATGCCCAATTTTTCCTTAATTTTCGAGCATCCCTGGTGGCATGGAGCATCCGCTGGGCCATGAGACGGAACTTAGAGACCGCCGGAGAATGCCCTAGCCGTGCTTGCCCCAGGGCCCAGCTTGCCAGCTTATGTTCGAGATACGGTGAGAGAGCCTGTTGGAGAGCGCTGGTCTCATTCCGCGTTGGGATGCCAGAGATTCGTCGGTTGACGTACGAGCGACTGATTTGCCATTCGAGGGCTGACGAGCGGACTGGAGCTCCGCGTTGGATGGCCAAAATGGCGGCTTCAGCTTTTATTTGACAGTCGTAAAATAACATCATGAGATTCAGCAGTGGATAAGGATTCAAATAGTGTGCTTTGTGAAAAAAAAGATGCAAAAGTGATGGTGTAGATGGTGGATCACCATAATCCTGGTGGTTGGTGAATTACGCGTTTGTGGGTCAGAACGCGCTGGTCCGCGGGGGGGTGGTCCGCAGGGGGGTGGGAGATGTTATAAGTTTCCGTACGCGCATGTTGGAAGACTCCAGATCACCAGTAGGATAATGAGAAATACTAGGATAAGCATACAGGAATAAACAGCTCTAGTTTGATACGTCACTCGCAATGCTTATTCCATAGTGCTTATTTCGATTCGACTTTTTTTAGTTTTTTTTTACCGTTGTTTGCTGAACGGGTGGCGTAAGGAGACTTATGGGGGCTCAGTGTAGCATAACATTGATTTAGAGCGTCTTGTTCTTTGTTGTCTGTATATTACCAGATCCGGCGTCGCACATTGTGGGATCAAAGGTTCAAGCTGGTAGCGAGGAAAAGTCGACCCATGGAAGAAATGAATGAATGTTAAATACCAGTATGTAAATCTGGTACCATGAGTTATCTACCGCCAATACCGCCGAGATTTGGAACTCTAGCAAACCTCGAGGAGAGCGCCTTCAACGTGGTGAACTACTTCTTACAGGATGAAAGATTCGAGTACGTCCAGCTAGCTGGCACGCCAGGCGCGCAGGGTGGTGCGCTTCTCTATAACGAGAGGAATCTAGATGGCAGCTTTTTACGACAACTCATCGTCAAGTACTACAACTCGGAAGATGACACAAAAGCCGAACAAGAAGCGGAGCAAGAGGCGAATATACTCACCCAGCTGATCGGAGCTGAGCCCGTTGTGCAGCTTGTCGATAGTGGTGGCACACTTCTCGGAGACCGCTTAGGCTTGGTTCAAGAGTACATCGGCCATGGGACTCTCTCAGATGTCTTCCTCAGGTTCCTCAGACGTGGCCAACCAATACCGAACAGATTGCTCTGGAGCATCTTTTTATGCCGTTTGTAACCCTGCCTGTTGGTCGTGCATATATATAGCTAACTCTTCGTGTAACGTGGTGCGGGCATGTATCGCCATGGAATACCCCCCTGCGGAACCAGTAGGAACGCCTGCACATTCAAAAACAATCCCACCTCCCGGTACAGCGACAGCTAGCATCTTGCATCGAGATATAGACTTTGGCAACGTCATGGTTAGCGGCATCGTCCCCGGCGAACGAGAGCATGCCCTTGGTCCTCTGATTAAGGTTCGATAACCTGTATTAATGGCTGGCCGAGAACAAGCTGACTGGCGTCAGTTGATTGATTTTGGAATGGCTATCGTGCACGGAGATGGTGAGGGGTAAGTCAAATAGCATCGCGTCGACTCAAGCTTGCCATTCCCAAGTCACAGTAGCCCGAAGGCGCCAACACAGACTCATTTAATATCAGCTTGTTGCAGACCATGTGGCCATCACTAACTTGCTCTATGACATACGCCACGGAGGTAGAAGATGACAACATAGCGACGTCTGATATCGACGCTTCGTTGAAAAGCTCGACCAGTTCGACGGGTGGAAGAAGAGAGAACCTATTTGATGTTGCTACTGTTCGTTGAGTCCAAATCATCTGACATTGAAGAATATATTGCAGTCAGCTGATCTCAGGCCAGCTCATGATGAATTTGCAGCGGGCTCGTTCGACTTCGTCGGCACCCCTCGAACGGTGACCGTTACAACCAAAGGAGGTCCTGCCAACATCACTACTGAGGCAAACATTGCCATTGACAGGGCACCTATAACGAAATGACTGAGAGACTTGACTTATAGATGTTTGGCCTCAAATCCAACAGATGCTCCCTCGCTCGAGGAAGCGCTCGAGATCTGCCAGGATGCCGTCCTTAACAAGACAGAAAGAGACTTCACGGAGCTTCCTAACAAAGGTATTGACGAGACGGACGACAATGTACGAAGAATAGTCCAGGAGTTCATGTTGGATGGCGATTTTCAGACTACTACCCGAGATCACACTGCCAACGAGCTTGCCGAACCTGGACTTGGGGCGTAGTAGGGCTCCGATACGCACTAGAAGTGTAAAGACCCAGAGGTAGATAGCGCTGAACTGGACGACTTCAAATCCGTGCATGTCACCTATCTTAGCAGAAGACAGTTGGCATCCTCGAGAACATGCTCCACCAAGATTAGGGCGTAGGCGGTCCACCCAGGGCTTCCGATTCGGAATGTGAAGTCATTGCGCACCAACCAAGCGCATGGCACGAGGATTCCACGCTTCGAGATGGGTCTATGCAAGTCAGTTGCAGAGCCTCGGGAGCTGCCAACCCAGGGGGTACAAGTTACAGATAGTCCATCGCAGCAGTCTTGTTGTAGTACGAAGCCCCCTATATAGGCAGTCAGGGGACGGAATAGGGGTATGGCGGAACTAGTTTACGATAACCAGACCTAGATTACAACTTGACCACACTTAACACCGTCTTGCCTACGCAGTCGTAATATGGCACAAATATACGTCTCCATTGACAAGCACGAAGTGCGACCTTGAGCTTCTCTGTTCCAGTGACCGCCACATTAGACATTATCCCTTCTCGAATGAGCACTACTAAAGCGCAGCCAACAGGAGATTCACAGCTGATTCCTGCCTGCCAATCGACGCATTATCGAACGGCCCCTGCCACCGAAGACCGTAGAAGTCCGACCCATTGCGGGCATTGGTATACGCCGCAAGCGCATTATTCTGGATGTAGCTCTTGTAAGGATGTTCCTCAATGACAGCATCGAGCTGTGCAAGGCCCCGCATGAACGCCCCCTTGAAGGCCGTAGTGTTTGGATCGCAGTCTGGGGCCGTGCCACACGGCTCCGTGAGGATCCCACCGGGGGACAAGATGGCGCTGTAGACTGTGGCATCGGCTATCTGCTGTGCAGTCTCCAAGAGCGATGTATTGCTCGTGGCTTTGTACAATTGCGTCAAGCCGGCGATTAGGACGCCTTGATTGTACGTCCACGTTGTGGCGTTGTTATTGACACAGGCAGTATTGTCCGTCAAGCCATCATTGACGAGATTCTCACTGTTGATCATACCACTGGCCTTGAACCACTCCCACCCCAGCAGGCTCTTGTTGAGGTAGTACTCCTCGCCAGGGATGAGGTTGTGCAGTGTAGCCGTCAGCTCCAAGTACAGCTCGTTGCTGATCGCGTTGTGGTAAGTCCCATTGGGGATGTTCCAGATGAGACCGCCGCCACACGTCGTCTTGTTCCAGTACTGGAACATGTATGCCTCGTCCTCCTTGGCAACGTCAAGGAACTCGACGTCGCGCGTGAGCTCGTACAGCGTTGTCAGGGCCAGAGCCCACCAGCCCGTGTCGTCGGTGCTGTCGGCGCGGAAATCCCCACCGCCTTCTGGCCACCATTCTAGTGGGGCCCGCTGGATGTTGAACGTGTTGTAAGCCACCGGAAGGTATTCGTCGGAGCCCGTCTTGAGCATGTAGTCCGCGACGGCTCGCAAGGCGACGCCGCTCTCCCACCATGGGTCGTTGTCCCAGATACCCGTCGTCTCGTTGTAGAGGGCCATCATAGCATCAACCGCCGCATGTGTCGCGTTTACGCCGGGGACGCTGCTGGGTGCCTCTCCTGCCACGGCTGTAATAGAAGCCCAGACGCAATATACTGCTAGTTGCAGTCGTGTCGAGCCCATGGCTCGGGGAACAACAAAGCGCATTGTTTCATACACGGTGAGCGACTCGCTGAGCGTCCCAGAAATCGCAAACGGAAAACGAAAGACCTGATGTAGAGGTAACAAACCAACACCCCAGAGATTATCTTATATATAGGAATAATACGCCGTCATCGTCGGATGTCCGGGAAATGAGCTAAGACATGCCAACGATAAGCTCGGCCCTTCTCAGAAGTGAGATAGAGGTCGCCCTATTCCGCCTCTGCCCCTGAATTCGTGCAGGTGGCCGCGGGCGGAGTGGTTCAGTCGACAATATCAGGAACCTGAAATCGAAGTCCAATCAGTCACGGCATCTTGCCCGCCCAGAAACGGGATCATGCTGGATGGGCATATGCAGGTGCTGTGTGTCGACCATCAGGGGTGGTTGATTGGCCAGGCCGTTTCATCTTGACATGTGCGCTTACGCCCGAACATACGACGGTCCTTGAAATGGTCGGGTGAGCCAGATGTATACATACCTAGGTAGGTGGTTAAGGTTAGACTATTTATGTGGCTGAGATATAGGTCACGGCTCGTAGCATCAGTTACGGAGTAGAACGCATCTCTTTGCATGCATGGGTGTGAAGGGCCTAACTCTGTAGGCAACGTGCCTGAAGAACCACGACATTACATGTGTGATGCTCGGTCAGGGGCCGTCACTCTGCACCCATCATTCCAGTCTATCCTCTCATGTGCGAGGTATATAACCATTATTGCGTACACAACATTCAGGCTCACTTCCCCTCCTGGGTTTGTCACATGAGAAAGGGAAAAGCAGGGAGCGGATGCCTCCGCCTCGTAACGAAACCTGTCGTGACCAGACCAGTGATTTGTAAAGGCTCCTCTGGCGGGCTACAGCACCCAAAGGTGATACGGATGGAGCTGAGCATAGTAAGAAGGGATCTGGATCGCAAGATAGCTATATGTGATACACCCATAGTTACCAGTCACTCCATTGGACGCGCTTCCGACCTTCAAGCCGAGCACCGAGCAACGAGCACGCAGAGGACATTGGTGAAATCGAAAGTTGCCATGCCGAACCTGTCAGAGACCGACCGCCTGGCTATGCAACGCAAGCTTTATGCCCGTTATAAGCGAAGACAAAACTCCCACACCCCTTCTGGTCTTGATGATTTGTGTCACTGATGAACAAGCCTTGGCATCTGTACCCAACAATCACTAGCCCTTGCCCACAACCTCGGGGCGAGCATTTCTTCGTAAAACCGTGAGCCGTAATCTACAAACTTTTACAATGCCCGTATTATCGCCTATGCCGGCTTTGTACAATCCATCTCGCTGTCTAAGTCCCAAACGCCGCGCTGTTGACGTGCAAAGGCCCAACTCCCTTACTTGTCCAGCCCGGCATATGTGCTCAATTGGTTTAGCAGCTGCGTCCACTTCGGACTCCTGAGACTGTGTAATGATCTGAAGAGACTTTCTCGTGTTGGCAACGCATTCGGCGGTATACTCGCAGGATCGTTTGGATCTTTCGCCTTCTCGCTCAGTCGCCTTAGCGTCGAGATACCACACGTAACGATGTAAAGCACATCCACGTCTTCGCGGGGTTGATTCCTGGCATTTCCACCCTGTCGTGGCGTCGGCTCTGCTTGGGTGCAGAGCTTGTAGATGAGGCGGAAGAGGTTGTGCGCAAATCCTTCACTCGAAGTGAGCCAAGATCGGGTCACCCTAGTCTCGTAGCCCGGTGCCAACTGAGCTATGATATCGGCTGCGAGTAGGCCTTGCATGAGTAGAGGCTTCCGCGCTTCAACGAACGAGGGGAGATTCGCCGGACGCGTTTCCTTATTCTGGTCCGGAATGGGTGAGATGGCGAAAGCAAAGGTGCGCGTGAGAAGCTCATAAGGGAGAGAAGCGGTAGCATCGGTGGCGAATATGATCTTGTAATGTGTCCGGTTCGGTTCGTCTCGAGCAAGTAGCTTTGCCAATGCATCGATGGCGTGCGGTAGATACACATGGACCGAAGGCTCGAAGGGCGAGAACACGAGCTTTTCTGCAGTCACGTTCGGGGCGGGCGAGGGGGCAAATGCCAACAAGAACTGGAGGAGACACAACGCTTGTTCACGCCCAGGTATTTCCACACACCCGGCGATGTTGGAAAGCAGGACTATGACATCTTTCATGAAATCCAGAGCATTCTGGGCAGTCCCGAGCAGGTTCTCGTGTGTGCCTAAAGATCGAATTACACTGCAGAGGAATTTCGTAACCACTTCGTCGGCCAAGACTAGCTGATTTGGCTCGTAGAAGGAGAGGTTGCGCATGATGGTTGTGATGGCGAGCAGTCGATCGGCAGCGCGTTCAAGCTCGTAATCAGCATCTCCGAAGACAGGGACTTTGCGAAGGATATACTGCTCGCCACGACATGCCCTCACGACCTCTTCATACGAGGTCAGGTCGATCTCGTCTGCCACGGGCTCTGCTTTTTCAGCAAGCAGATCGACTTGCTCTTCGGCAGTATCGATGAGAGACTCGACCAGGTCCTCACAGTGGCGCAAATCGATCACGAGATTCGGCGCCACCTCCGCTGTGCGTGTTACAGACGCGAGGGTATCAAGTGCCATTCGTATTTCTCCATGTATACCGCACTGTAGACTTTTCGTTAACGCATGGAGATCGATATTCCCAAGCTCCTGGGGTGGCGGTATGTCCGGTCTCCATTTCTCCAACTCGGAACCCAGCCGGGACATCACGTCCATGTCGAAGCCGCCATGGCCTGACATGTGTAGCTCCCGGGAACACGGCACGTATACGTCGGGGTCCGTTGCAAAGGGACCGGGAAAAGGCAGGGCTGAAGCACCATTAACTTGAGCACTGTCCGCTTGTTGCTGTGTATGTGGAACTGAAATACTCCCAGGTTTCCCTGCAGGAATTGGCGATCGCATAGGGAAATCGCTGCTGGCAGGAGTGCCTTCGATGCTTCCCGACATGCTGTTCCTCAAATGGCCTGACGGGGCATTGGCTTGCTGCTGAACCATCTGAGGGTGGTTGGGGGTCGAGAAGCCATTGACATTCGCCTGCTGCACTCCCGGGCCAGGAGCCATCTGCTTGACGGGAGTTTGCACATGTTGCTGTTGCATATGAGGCTGCCCCGGCTGCCCATGCTGCTGGGGTGACATCTGTCCCATTCTTTGAGGGTTTCCCTGACTGGAACCGCCAGGCATACCACCAGAGCCGCCCGCCTGGTGCTTGACCTGTTGACTTCTCTGCTGCATTGCCCATGCTTCTTCGAACTTGAGCAGATTCCTCTCGTAGATAGCTCTTACTTGATTCGGGGCCGACGGAAATTGTTGTGGGTGGAACCCGACAGATGCTGCGACTTGCGGCCACCCATTGCTTGCGGTGACAGCGCGATACCCTTTGAACTTGGAGACATTCTGAAAGAGCTGGAGTAGAGCTAGTGGTCGACCTTCAATGATCGGGTTCGTATCCAGCGGAAGCTTGTGCATGCTCATGAACGTGATGAGATTCTTTAGGAATCCTTCTGGATTTGTGCCTCGCGGCACCTGCGCTGGTTGCTGGGGGCGCATGGCCCCAGGTGGCATCTGACCATTCTGCATTGGCATTGCTTGCCTGGGCATCATGCCGGCCCGACCCTGAGCCATGCTCTGAGCCATGTTCTGTGCCTGTAACTGCGCAGCCATCTGCGGCATGTTGGCTTGCGAGTATTGCTGTTGAAGGCGCATCTGATGCATCATGATCTTCTGCTGATCCATCGTGGAGTGCCCTTGCGCCGCATGCGCCGCCTGCATCTGTTGCATGTGCTGCATGTGCTGCATCTGTTGTGGTGTATACATCTGGTTCGGATGCATCTGAGGCATCTGGGGCATCTGTTGCATTTGCTGGGCCATCTGGCCCATCGGATGGGGCATCATCTGTGGCGCCAAGTGATTCTGAGCGGACGGTGGCCTCGCGGGCGAGGGAGAGGGCGCATAGTTTGGGTGGAAGCCTTGTGGGAAGTTCGGAGCATTCATGTACATGCCTGGTTGAGGCGTACCGGAGTGCTCTGATGGAACCGGTGACGCCTGCGGGCCGAAGTGCTGTGACGCTGGCGAGAAGGGATGTGGCGACGCGGTATTAACGCGTTGCGGTACACTCCCCGGACGCAGCTGATTCCCAGCCATGACAGGCGATGGAGACGCAGTGGCGGAGCCATTGGGTTTTAAATGAGGATAGTGTTGAGGTTGGCCAGGATTTTGCTGCTGCATCGCATTGGGCTGATAGCCGGGGTACTGCGCTTGCTGGGGCGTGTCAGCGCGTGACGTCGGAAGCATGCCTGGATTCTGACGCGGCGATGCGCTGATGCTGTCTTCTCTCGGTCGGGGTCGTTTCGAGGGTATAACGGGGTTGGTTTGATAGACTGGATTCGCGAACGAGGGCGAGGCGTTGCGCATCTGGCCGTTCTGCATGGCGGCGGCCATCTGTTGAGGATTGGCGAACTGCTGCTGGCCCGGGTGGCCGGGACTGGCGAACTGGCCGGCGCTGGCCATGAACGCCGACGGATCCATTATGCCTGCTCCTGCCATGCTGTTCGGGTCGTTCATGTGCGCGAAGCCGTTGCCATTGTGGTTGGGGACGGCAGCGGCCTCGTTTATCCAGGAGCTCATGACGGGTAGAGTCGCGAAAGGGAACCCATCTGACTATACTCAAGCGACGTCAGCAATCAGAACGAACAGCAATGGATCCATTGAGATGGAACGATTATAGGTAGAGACTGATAGTGTCAAGGCTGAGGATTGTCGCGATGGGAAGGTCGCGTCGCGGGTGTGGACTAATAAGGTGACCGGTGCGTATTTGCGGTGGTGCGGTCCTGCAGTGCGATCGGGGGAGGAATATCAATTTGAGTTGGTGGCAGACAGACAACCTGGTGGGCAGTTGATGGACAGGTAGGGGCCCACAGGGAGAGTAGGGGTCACAACTGAGGTTCTTTCAGTGGCTGGGGGTGATGGCACAGGGGATATCAGCGAGTAAGATAGTGGCTCGAGCAGGGCGCCGGGCTTCGATCATCCACTATTCCGTCCCAGTACAGGCAGTCCATCATGTAAAGTACCGCACATAGTGCAGCACAGTACAATGGGACGGTGTAAGTGGCCGGCGCGTAGACTTTGTAGGTACGTGGGTACCTCCAGGGACGTAGTATGTCTGAATGAAGCCTGAGACCGCGCGAAACACTCACTGACTGGCCGGAGGGTTCACGAGGAGGGACAGGCAAAGCAGTGACGGTATCTCTCTGTCATCAGCATCAGCGCCTTGCGTGCTGCTGTTGCTGTTGCTATCGCTATTGCTCAGGCCCGGCTCGACACGTTTGATAGGCGACAGTCTGCCTGTAACCAGATAATCGTCGTCTGCGTGTGTCCCTCCTAGTTGGATAGATGAATTGGCCGATGGATGGGCAAATACGATAGGCGGTAGGCAAGGTGTAATGATGGCGGCGGCCGACGTCCGTCCCGGCTAGAGACGCATCGGCAACCCGAAACAGATGGCCAGGGAGATGGGGACCGGCACTTGACGGCAGTGTCACGAGACAACCTCTCGCTCCATCCGATAGACTTGTTCGATACACACCGACAGGCCGGGCCGGGGTGGAATGGGGGAGTGGGAATGCGATACACGAGTGACAAGTGACGCGGACAGCGGGAGGGAAGCGTGAGTGGGAGAGGTCTTACCTAACAGGTCGGTTGGCTGGTTGGGTCGGTCGGACCAGGTCCAGCGTTGAGTTCAGTCCAGTTCAGTTGAGTTGACTGAGCGAATGTTGTTTGCCTTTTGCCTTTTGGGTCGCGAATAGGCCGAATAGGCGGACGGGCGGACGGGCAAATTGGCACGTCGGGCCAGGCAAGTCAGGCAGGCAAGTCAGGCAGCGGAGAGGAAACACGACGGCTTTCTGGATGCTCTGGGTTGCGCTGGCTGCTCAGGTGCTCTGACAGAGTGGCAGACTGGCCGGCAGTGGAGGACGGGCAGACAAGACGGGCAGACAAGGCGGCGGGCAGGCGGGTGGGCAGGCGGACAATCGAACAAATGAGCGAGCAAGCGAACACGAGCTGGATCAGGATTTTCCTCGTGGTATGAATCCCAAGGGAGAAAAGCGTGTCCTGCGCCCAGCAACGCTAGTCCTCGAAAGGTCTAGATGGAAAGAGGAGGGGGTGCACTGTGCAGATAGTTCCAATGCGATAGATTGGAGGGTAATGTGAGAGGTGAGCATTGATTGGTGGATTGCGAGAGCGAGGCACGACTGCGACCGGTGAGATGGACGGGAGGGTTAGGCGAGACAACCCGTGCTGTGCCCTTTGTGAGGTCGTCCGGGTGGGCGGAGGGGAGAAAGGGGAGGTGACGAGGCGGGGCGAGGATGAGAGACGAGAGGATCAGGATGAGATGAGATTGCTGACATCTGATAGGACGAAATACTTGCGAAGGGTGGGGGTGCTGCTGTTAGGAGAAAAGGGAGCCGACAGCAGAAGGCCAGCTGCCAGGCAGCTGGCAGCCCCGGACAGAGGAAACAACCCACGCTAACTGTTCTGAGCAGATATTGTATGCATTGACCCGAGGTCCGACCCGAGAGCACGGACCAGGGGCTGCAGCGGCGCATCCACTTGGGGCTAGCCTCAGCTTTTCTTTGACTGCTTCGTTTCCGACTTACCAGAGAGGGTTGTGCTCGCTCATCAGCTAGAGTCAAGACTTGGACGGTGAGACGTGAACAAAAAGTAGAAGAGAGAACAGGAGGGGAAACATGAGAGCCCAGAGGGAGCATTACCATATATGCAACTTCGCATGAGCAGGTCCCTTTCCGGCGCTCGCATCCGGTCTAGGTCTAGGCCTAGGCTGGCACATGGGACAACCTTGACCCAAGGTTGAAGCCACAGCCTGGAGGGAGGGAGCATCCGCCCATCCTGACAGGCAATGAATGACCGTGATGTGGTCGGAGAAGCCCTTGGGTTCTGGGCAGCACTCCGTTCGCTCGCGGTGCGGGTGTAGTGGTGTTCTTTAGGAGTCCAAGATAGCCATCTTCTGGGATGGTGGGATTCTTGCACACACAGCATTCTGGGGATTTGTTACGCCTGTGACGAGCCCCGTCGTGATAAGCCCGGGAGGTTTATGCCAGCGTCGGTACCCATTCCAGACACAAATAATCCCCTAGGATATGCAGTCGGTCCAAAGTGGCTGCTTGGCCAGACACACGACCAAGATGACGTTCAACCGGCCAAGTTGAACGCTCCAACCTCTTGGACGGAATGTTCGACGACGTGCCGCAACGTAGCTCGACCATCGGCATGACAGTGTGAAGTTTGTTGGTGCGACGGGTCGACTGCAATAGTATCCCTTCAACCTTGCGAACCGTGATCAAGTACCGGTGCATAGCAATCCGAAGTAGGCAGCCCATGCTCGATCTCTCCAACTCTGGCAGAAGGGAAGAGGATCGTGAGTATTGAGGCATCCTCTACCTTGTCAATGACCCAGTTCGATACGAGCTCCCTCAATAGAATAAGCCGCCATCCGGGGGTTGTTCCACTCAGTTGCCCACGGAATGATCTGGCCCAAGATATAGGTTCCGCGAAAATATAAAACCGACCGCTTGCCACAGTCGACATGTTTTCAATCAGTCCCCTGCCGACGAGACCATGGGTCAGAGGCGAATGATCAGTCAAACTCGGTTGACTGACGGGCTGCAGGGCTGACTATGCTGACATGCTGCATTGCATTGGCGCAGGACTGCAATTGGCAGCGAGAAATACGCATATGATGGCTGCAGGTGCGGCCAATGGGATGGTTCCGCTCATCCATGGCTGCGGGTTTGCAAGGGCGTGGGTTATCCCAAACGGGGAGTCTTGAGAGGAAAGACCAAGCCAGCCAGCCAGCCAGCAATTCCTGCGTGGCGAGGACGAGGATGAGCGTCCCAGTAGGAGAGTCCTACAATAGGCCGTTTTCCCTCGTACTGTAGTACTTTGGTGCCAAAAGGTATCTCCGACTGCGTCCGTCTCGCTCCCTCGGCATCTCCATTTAGGGCGGGCCGCCCCTTGGGCCTCTCCCAACTTCTGGCTGCTGTCTGGTGCGTACAAGTTTCAGGTGATTGCATGCCATGGAGGCAGCTGTAGTTGCTTCGATGCTCATGAAAGCCCATGTGTCTCAAATGACCGACTGCCCGATGACGAGCGGGCTTGAGGTGGTTCCTGAGTCGCTGTCCTGTGGAATCGGAATCATGGGCGCCGCTTCTCTGCAGGGCCCCATTCCCAGCCGACAACGTCTTTTGGGTTTCTGGACCAAAGTTTCAACGCAGGTGCCACGAACCATGTCGAAGCGTGCCAGCCTGGTAGGAAAAAGAGACCAGGAGATGAACTGGCAGGACAGAGACGCCTGGCATGGCGAGTTGATAAGAAGGGGGATGGCGAATGACGATGGGCTTGTCGCGGCTTGCGTTGGACCCTTGCATTCTTTTTTCTGGGTCGTGGTCATCCCGGTCATCAATCAATCCGCCGCCCATCGTTGGCCATGGCCGATATGGCCGCACATCCGTCTGCGCAGCGTTGGGTGCCAATTCATCGCGTGTTCCGATAAGTCTGCCTGAGTTGTGACTGAAGCTGCTGAGCGGGCGCGTATGTCGCTAAGGTTGCCTCCTGGCCACTTCCACAGCAAAAGAGGACCTCCGGGTGTTGTCCTCTTCAAACGGTAGCAGTCCCTGCCCAGGTGGTGGGATATTACGGTGCATGCTGATACCGTCTTTGGAGTGTTGGCTATTGGTGGGATGTGGGATGTGCACTTGAACGCAGCTGAGACAGAACATCCACAGAAGGACAGGAAACAAGCAGCGTCTCTGATGTGAAGAGAGATGAAGGAGGGAAGGAAAGGTGCGAGAGGAGACATTCGAACGAAGAGAAGTAGAAGAGCAAAAAGAGACGGGCACAAGGGAACGGGGGGGGGGGGGAAGGAGTGGCAGACGGGTACATGTAGGAGATTGGGGAGGGAAACGGAGAAAACGGTTTACGTGTTGGATGGCACCGTATTGGACCGCTGAATCCGGCAGGGAGTGGGAGTGGGAGTCAGCGATGGCCCGATGGGAGCAGGAAGAGGAACACTGTTTTACTCATGTTTTCAGAAGAGATGACGGGAAGACTTGACATTGTATCATTCGTCAAATCAATGACCGTTCATCACTGCCCATCTGCCCATCTGCCCATCAGTGGTCGTCACATCACAGGGTTGGACTGAGCCTAGTACCGATATGCTCCGCAAGCTCCCCGAACGTGCGAATGCTAATAAACGCCAGCGGAGAGAAATGACAACAAACTCTGGCAGGTCTCCTTCTCCTCGGCCTCCTTCGCTGCATGATTATGGTTATCCTCGGGCAATACTGGACAGGATGGCAGGTACATAAGCTCGGTAGTCAAGCCGTCCAGCCCATCGATACACCCATTATTCGTCTCATCCTTTTCCCTGGGCCTCCAGCCACTGGGCCGATCAAGCAATGAAGGCACGCATGGAAGGTACCGAGATTAGACTTCGGCCTCCTGTGCTTTTAGATATGCACACGATCTGGTACAAACATTCCACACCACAGGTTAGATACTTGGGGGGCATGGTTGCGCTGGTCTGTACGACCATGTTGCAGGCCGACGGCTCTGGATGGTGGGTGGTCGACTCGATGGGCTGACATTGACGCGACCCTCTGCTCTGGCAGTCTGGGTATGATAGCCACGGACATCTCAGGAATGGAGTTTGCCGTCCCCGCCCTCATCATCTCTTTCTCGATGCCGTGGGAGCTTGGGGGCGTACCTACCTTTGTTAGTCATTTCCTGTCCGATCACGATCATGGATTCATGGTTCCTGGGCCGCCTCTTTTCTTGCGTTGGGTCTAGGTTGGTGTGATGGGTCCACCACGCCCAGCCGATGATAATAATAGGCGCATCGCAAAGGACACCAACACGTTGATGACCACACACACACACATACACATGCAGCTGAGTGTGATTTAGAACTCTCGTCTGCCGACACTTTTGCTTGCTGGCAAGCATGTCTCAAGCGTTGACCATCCTGTGCGACGAGATCACACATAGATCACTCCGCTGACCCGCCCCGGGGCCAACAACGCTGATGCATCCTCAATGATACGATAGAAGTAGGCTGCCGCTTGGCTCTCGCTGGGAGGACTCTTGTGTTGTAGCTCAGCTCGAATATGATACAACCGCTGCCTGCACTAGCAAACTGTGCGGCGGGGATATTTGAAGAGACGAGGTGTCGGAACGGAAGAGGTGAGACAGCAATGCGATGTTGGTTACGCAAACCTTCCGTCGCAATATGCGTTGACTTGTTTTCGATGACAACGGTCAATCGGCTGTCGTCGACTGCATTCACGCCACCAGCCGTGTAAACGGTGGATGGTGCTTGAATCGGAATGTTCAGCTTCCTATGTTGCATCGTATCGTTGGGCCTGAGGTGCGGGTGAGGGAAGAGAACCTTGCTTGGGCCGGGATTCCCGAGAGTTCGGATGTCGAGCTAGGACCCCGGCCCGCTTCTAGTGATACTTTACGCGGTACCTCACTCTCACTCTCACTCTCCAACCTCACGCCCATCACTGTGATACTCTACGCGGTACCTACTGGCAACTCGCAATAACGCCGGTGCAACACCCTAAACTCAGCGCCACCATCAGTTGGAGTCCCAAATCCAGCAATCTACAATGCCAAAGAGGAAAGCAGCCCAGCTGGAAGCTGAGCCAGACACCAAGGGTCTGCGAAGGTCGACGCGTCGAAAGTCAAGTGCCCTAGACAACGCGCAGGCCGACAGCTCGGCGAAGGAAACCAAGACCAGACAACCGAAGCCACAGAAGCCGAAAGCCAAGAAAGAAGATGTCCAGGTAAGTGGATATGCCGATATTGGGTTGAGTTTCTGTTCTCCGCGAGGTTACATACATCTGGCATACTTTACTTACTATTATCGTCACAGCCCACGCCCAAATTGCAAGCCAGGACCACCAAGCCGGCCAAAGCCCAGGTGTCTGCGGCGAAACCTGAGACGAACGACACGACGGGCTCTTCAGAGAGGTGGTACTGGCTTATGAAAGCCGAGCCCGAGACCCGGCTGGAGAACGGGACAGATGTCAAGTTCTCCATTGACGACCTGGCCTCACGTACGGAACCTGAGCCTTGGGATGGTGAGTCGCTCCAAGCAATATTCACACGAAAAGTGACATTAGGCCTGGATTTGTATGACAGCTCATTCGAATCATCAAAGGCTAACATACATGCCAGGTATTCGCGCGTACGCGGCGCGCAACAACCTCCGGTCTATGAAGAAAGGCGAGCTGGCTTTCTTCTACCATTCAAATTGTAAAGAACCGGGTATCGTGGGTACAATGGAGATTGTGGAAGAGCATTCGCCTGATCGTATGTGCGCTTGCTGCCTCGAATATTTCCTAATCTCTAACACCATCATAGTCTCTGCACACGACCCCAAAGCCCCTTACTACGATGCTTCATCCAAGCCCTCAGATCCCAAGTGGAGCGTCGTCCATGTCAAGTTCCGCAGCAAATTCACCCAATCCATTGGGCTCAAGGAGCTCCGCGAAATGGGCAAGCCGGGACAGCCGCTCGAGACCATGCAGATGTTGAAGCAGAGCCGGTTGAGTGTCAGCCGGGTAAGCCCGGCGGAATGGGAACACCTGATGGACGTGGTCAAGCAGCGGGGTGGCGAGACTCAGTAGTCGTCAATTTGCCGCTTGCGGCCGAGATATCCACATCGGTATCGAACTCATCAAGGCTTAGGCAAGGTTCGATGAGTGTATTCGAGAACTGTGCGGATGCCCGAGTCCAAGTCTTCGGAAGATAGTATACCCTCCATCCACGAGGCTGTCTTTTCGGCCAACTGGGGCTTGTTTGTCGTTGTGTCGAGTGAGGACTTCAGGCGAGCTAAAGCTTCCCTGAGAGCTCGAGGGAATGAGGGCGCGTTTGGGTCGACATTGATCAATGGTTGTCGAATGTAGCAATAGCACGTGGCGGAATCGTTGGGGTACAACTCGACCATGGTATCGAGGGCGTGTTGCACGATCTTGGACTGCGTGGAGACCTTGGTGAAGTTGGCGAAAAGTTCGTAGAATCTTTCGGCCACTGTGGCATTGAAGAAGCCCTGCTTTCTCGCTATGTCGAAGATGGCAATAGGGATAGCACCGTCCAGCGCAGGATTACTCTCGAGTGTCTTGGTGGTGTCGAAGTCAAAGACCTTCTTGGTCGCTGAATCGTCAACATCCGGTAATACTAGTTGGCCGTTCTCGTCGACGTCATCATCGCTGTCATCGCCGCCCAGCTTTATCTCATCGTCGCTGTGTACGGCCTGTTCCTTGATCGCCTTCTCAGCACCACCTTTCTTGCCTTTCCGGGTATCCATCTTCTCCAGCCACTCCATTTCACACCGCGCATACTCAAGCCACACGGTCGCGTCCCTGGTGCAGAAGCGAGCTCCACGCATGAAGAAACCTCTTGCGGCCTGCATGTCCCCACTGGCAGCCGATCTCCGGCCAGCTATCACCCACAACTCTGGCTTGGCCGGGTGCATCCTCAGCGCTCTGGTCATGACCTTGCGGTACCTCTTGGTCGCTTTCATGTCCCTCGCATAAGTCAAGTATTCTTTCCAGAGGTCCAGGTTTCCGGGATGCCTGGTCACAGCTCGCTCCAGTATGCCAAAGACCCTGCCCTGGCCAGTGTGCTTGGACGAGGTGCGAACCTCTAGTCTGCGGCATCTCTTAGTACGAAGCGACTCCAGTGACTTTTCCCAAGCGACGTAGTTGAGCCAGTCGGCAGGCTTGTTCCCCGGGGAGAGGACGAGGTGTTCGAAGTCGGTGCGCTTGCGTACGAGGGAGCGGATCTCGTCGGGAGAGAATATGGACTTGGCTTCGAACTCGCGGAGCTGGGGGACTGCGCGCTCGAGGTAGTACCGAGCCTTTTCGGGGACGCCCGCCATGTTGGGCGATTTCTAGACCGACTAATATAGGGCAGTGGGCGAATTGACAGTATGCAAGGTCGCTCGCTCAGGGCAGGAAGACAGGAGGAGTATTTGCTGGTTGAGTTGTTGGCGTTTACTGGAGCAAAGGAAAATGTTCGTAAGGCTGAATGAACGGAGTAATTATTTTATCTGGAGATGCGCTAGGTAGTTCGTGGTGGGGGTATCTCAAGAGTCAAGTGGGGTAGCTGCTGCCGGGACTGAAACGGCAGAACGGGCGCGGCCAAACGGTCAGACGGTGAGGCTCAGTGAGCACTGACCACCGGACAGGGAATTATCATTTATGCAGGTTGTGACTCGGGATGGGCGGAACCCAGATGACGTGGTGGGTCCTGCCGCGGCCTGCTCGTGCGGTCGTGGCACGAGGCCGACCGGGATCTTCCCCCATTACTTCAGTCTCCAGCTTCGACCGCGACTGCCGGACCACGACCACGACCACGACCACGAACCACCAGTGACGACCACCACGCGACCGAAGCCAAGGAGCCAAGAACAACCTTGCCATCAAGACGAAAGAACTGCATGACGGGATACTTATCCCACCGTCCAACCTTCTAACGCGACACCGTCCCGCTTTTACCGGCAGTCCGGAAGCATCGCGACTTTGTCGGCTTCATCTTCTCTCCTGCTGTTTACTTTTTGGTGCTACTTCCCAAGCCAACCGCCATTTAGTAGATACTTCTCCAAGCTCTCGCGCCTCTTTTGTTTTGTTTCTCGAGGTCTATATGAGACCCAATCGGCCGCAACACGCACCGAACCGACGCAATGTCCAAGTACAAGGACAAGGAGACCGGCGCGCTCGTGTCCTTCAATGCTATATGGGTGTCGTGGATCCATACCGTCCTCGCATACTGTCAGTACACACGGAAACACCCCTCTGGTCGATCTGTGAAAGTTTGACCGAGCTGTGTCTGCTTGGACAGACAAGGAACACTAGCTAACCGCACACTCCTAGCCGCCTTCCTGAGCGCCCTGACTATCGGCATCTACCTCCATTACCACAAGATCGTCCAGAATGAGCACTATGGCTTCCCAGACGAATGGTTCCCCTCCGTATCCGCCACTATTGGTGATCGATATCCCGAGCGATCCTTCTTCATGTTCTTCATAGCTATAACTTCCGGTATGCTACCCCGGCGCGAACATCCGGAGCCGCCGGTCGAGGCTCAGGCGAACCTGGCCGTCTCGAGCCACGGTCATGGACGTTACCTTTCTGTGCATCGAGGGGCAAGGTTGGACGAGAGAATGCAGATGTCCAGTAACTGATCATGCGCTACTCCATAGGTCCACGATTCGCTCTCGTTGCGCTTTGGTATATCCTGACAGCGAAGCGAGGCAGTGCTCTCCCCAAGTTCGTCGCGGCAACGGGGCTATTCCGAACCCTTACTTGTGGAGGTTGGGCCTATATCACCTCAACCGACGATCACGATTGGCATGACATCTTCATGATTTCCTATCTCGTCGCCACCCTCCCTTGGACCGCGGGTTGTCTCGCATTGAGCCCACCGAACGCAAAGGCCATCAAATATCGAAAGTACCTCGCTGCCGCTTTCTTCGGCACAATCCCCCCTCTGGTCTACTACTTCATACAGCACAAGGTCTACCGTGTGCCAGGAGGTCGGTTGAGCAGCCTCTGACTAGGCCGTACATCTGCTAACCCACCATAGCATACTCCACCTATGCCCTCCTCGAATGGTCTCTAATTCTTTACGATGTTGCTTTTGATGCCGTCACTGCTCTCGATTTTGACACTTTCGAGATTGTCATCAAGGATGTAAAGGGTCTCAGCAACGGGTACGTACAACAGCTTCCCAGGTAGACATGTTCCCACCTTTACCATACTCGCTCGGGCTGCACCTGGTTCTAGCTGCTGGTTCATCATTTACCATGTGACGGCGTTCAATTCATCCAAACTCACTCAGCTACAACTTGCGCTTGTATGAGCATCTTGCCCAAGGCAACTCCGTTGACTTGTCCTTGGGGTTTTGAGATGGGGGCCGCACTGCCGTGCCAACGAGCTTGGGCAGGCCAGTCCAGTCACTGCAATCGCCTCTACGGCATTGCCCGGCCAGAATGGCACAGTAGTGTTTCATCAGAGGCCGCCTCGTCAATCAATTTACACCGTGCCCGGATGATCAGTGCAAACAAGCCATTTCCTTCACGAGATCATTGACTTGTTATATGTGCACTGGTTGGCTAAAATTCAAGGAACAGTCTTCCGTCGTTGCAGAAATAACCTGTTTCTTTGCCAACTAGAGGTGCCCCGGCCCTTCAGGGTCCGTTGATCTACTCACCGAATTTAGTCCCTCAACTATGGCCTATGAAGGGGCCAGTTTCAGTCCGAGCGAGTATGGCATTGGGTACGGCATTGTTGCGAGGCTTGTTCACCACCGTCCTAACTGTTTTCAGGAATGGGGTAGCATCACGACCAGCCCTAAATCTCGAGAAAGAAAGGGAGAAGGCAGTGGCAGGTGTGTTCGATGCCAAGTTCTCTTGGGCTGAGGTCTTGGACACTGCTGCTGAGGTATATCTCGGCTTTGTCTTCTGGTCTATGCTGACAAGCTTGGGTGTGGTTATCTGGTACTTCCCATTGTGGCACATGGGTATCTCGGGTTATGAGGCCTTCGTCATGTCGACGATATCGCCTTTGCTGTTGGGTATCAAGCCGATACGCTCGTTGGTCATACATAACCTGCGAGCCTGCCACTTCCTATCACTCGCAGGACTTGTTGCCTGGCAGGTCAAAGACCCAGCCTATCGACTTTTCACGGTGGGCTTTGGCGTGGCGATGGCTTGTCTCTCGTGGGCCGCTACCCTGTTCTCTGAATCTGTACACAAAGCCCGGCTCGAATCCAAAGTGTTGGCTTGGACAGTTGGCCTTGTCATGTCCTCGGCTATCAAGTTCGCCTGGTGGACGAACAACCCCATCTGGCCCATTATGACGGATGCCAACGGCGGTCACAATGGTACTGGGCTAGCACTGGCTCTGTTGGCTGTACTGCGGTTTACCAGAAAGGCGCCACTGAATACTGGAGCATTCGCAGAAGATAGGCAGACGGGCACTTCCCTTCTATCTGCTTTGGGCATTGGTGGCTTGTTCTTCGGTCTACACTCTCTTCTTTCTGACACCAGTACGATGATACTCTGGGTGTGGGAAGGCTATCCCGTGCGCGGCCCCCTCGCTGTAACCCATGGGTGGTTCACAATCGCGGCAATGACTGCTGGTCTGTTGACAGGTATACGGCAACCAAGGCTGGTGAGCACATGGACTGTCTATGGCGTGGGGTGCGTTGGAGCAGCCGTCCTGACTTCGTACGCCAACTGGTTCGGCTACTACGGAGGTCTGGTCACAGCTTTCTATCTAACAGCCATCGCAACTCCCATGCTCACTGTGGCTTCTAAGAAGAGCCCAGCGATCACCTATGGCCTTGGATTCTTCGTCTACAACATTCTGGTCCTCTTCCACGTTTGGGTCGTTGCGTACGCCTTCGTCCCTGGGGGTCCTCTTGTCCGGGAGCACACTGAGTGGATCATGATCGCCATGATGCTTACGCTTGGAGCTGGAGTGTTCAATCTGACTTCAATGAACGCTCGCCGTCCCGAATCCCACAAGCCAGCATCACTATCGCGACATCGGAAGTATCACACTCTAGCCCTGGGTGCTGTAAACGTCTTTTTCCTAGCTGCAGCATACATGCGCTTCCCAGTTAATGACTACAAGCCTTACCACGCGGACTCGAGGGTTTTGACAGCCGGTATCTGGACAATCCACTTTTCCCTCGACAACGACATGTGGTCTTCGGAATATCGCATTCGCGATCTGATCAAGGAACTCGAGATCGACGTCATCGGCCTCCTCGAAACAGACCTCCAGCGCATCATTATGGGCAACCGAGACACGACGCAGTTCCTTGCCGAGGACTTGGGTATGTACGTCGACTACGGCCCGGGCCCAAACAAGCACACGTGGGGTGCGGCTTTGCTGTCCAAGTTCCCGATCATGAACTCAACACATCACCTGCTGCCATCGCCCGTAGGCGAGCTTGCCCCCGCCATCCACGCCACTCTCGATGTGTACGGCGAGCTAGTGGATGTCTTCGTCTTTCATTCCGGCCAAGAAGAGGACGAGGAAGATCGTCGTCTCCAGGCCGAATACCTCTCCCGGCTGATGGGTGCGTCGCCGCGGCCGTCGATCCTGCTTGCCTATCTCGTCACCAAGCCGCTTCAAGGCAACTACAACACCTACGCCTCCAAGCTCTCGGGTATGCACGACGTCGATGCCAGCGACTGGGATCGTTGGTGTGAGTATATATTGTACAAACAGCTGCAGCGCGTGGGCTATGCACGAGTTTCTCGGAGTACCATTACAGACACCGAGCTCCAAGTTGCCAAGTTTGTCGTACCACGTAGTGACGAAGAGAAGGCGGAGGTGGCGGTTGTAAATGGTAACTTTGGAAAAAGGAACCGCCGAGTTAATGAGCACGAAGTTCTCGAGGGCTGGAGGTTCCCTGGGCTGTTCAAGGGCCAGGGCGTCCGGGGTCACCGGTATCACGTGTGGAGTGAGCCGATATATTACAAGCCTTCGTGACTTGATGACCTGGGGCGGGAGAAATGGTAATGAGGAAGCAAGAGGCATTGAATTATTGACTAATGAGGAAGGGTCTGGACTGTTCCGGGAGCGGGATCACGCTTCGCTGTATCATATATCCCTAATTGTACACTTTGTATAGAATCCGGAACGGCATTGGAGGTGCGCATGATAAACCCAACGTATCTGTAGTCACTTACGTGACTTTGATTGGACTACATTTGGCGCTCGGCCGATGACCGCCCACCCAAAAGGTGGCTATGCACTACTGAACTACAATCTATCTCGTCTGACATAGCCGACCGCCGAGCTGCGATAATCCAAAGATTGGTATATGCAGACCCTGTCTACACAGCTTGTTTGGCGTGGTTGTTCAACCACCGCCTCTAGCGAGGAGAGGCCGGTACACTCAGCCCTCATAAGTCTCCGTACGCGCATGTTGGCAAGATTCCAGACTCCGGGGAAATACTGGAATAAGCGCCCTGGAATAAGCGTCAAGTATAGTCATAAGGATCGAATTGCTTATTCCGGCGTGTTTATTCCGATTTGATGAATATACTGTTGCCTGCTGGAAGGGTCGTGTACGGAGACTTATGAGGGTTCAGTGTAACTGGTAAGTAATTGCCAGCGCCGGGAAGTGCACGCCGTCGGTCATCGTGTCCACGCGTTTGGAGGCTGCCTTGTCAGGGTATCTCGTGATCCATCTCTTCGATCGGCTCGACGAACCCTCTGAAGGCAGTCTTCCTGATGACCCAGTCCCTCACGGCATCATCATCTCCATCCCGTTCCCGTTCTCCTCCCCCGATGTCTCCCCTGTGCCCTCGACCTCGGCGTCTCCTCGCCTCAACCTCCAGCGTCCACAGCATCCCCCAGCCCCGCGGGTTCCGGATCTCATAAACAGCAACACCAGCATGCAGCAGCATGACATTCCTCCACACCGCCTCGCCTAGCATGCGCTCCAGCGCCTCGGCGGCCATGGCCGTCTTGGCCTCGTTGCTGCCGCGCGGCAGGGTCCAGAAGGGGTGCGGGCGGCCGTGCTCGCTCGAGCCGCCGCCGCGCTCGAAGTGCTTGCACAGCGCGATGGCGCCGGATGACATGCGGCTCTTGGGACGTGGCGGCGCGTTGAACGACTCGCGCAGGACCTGATCTGGCGGCGGCGCGGTGAAAATGGTGCCGTGGGTGCGGAGGAGGCCCTGTGCGCCGTAGGCGGCTTCGCGCGCGGAGGGGTGGGTGGACCAGGGGAGCAGCAGGGAGCGGTACATGGGCGGCGTTGTGTCTTCTTGCATTTTGTGTTTTGTGTTAGGGTAGACTGGATGGATGGTTGGACTTGTGAGAATCTCCTTTGAGCAGCTCAGGTGTTCGCACGCAGCCACCCCTCAGAAGTCTCCGTCTGCGCACCTTGGTTTCTTGTCCCAAAATGAGTCCCGAGTTGTGGGATAAATACACTGGTATCAGCATATGGATTCCGAGAATATTATCTGTGCTGATTCCAGAGTGCTTAAGCCACACGAAAGAGAAGATCAAAGAGCAGACATAGATGAAGAGCCAGGCTCCCGCTAAAACAGACTTCATAAAACTCGAAAGGAAGCTCCTTCGATGATGGTGCGCCAGCATGTGTTATAATAGGACTTGGCAGCTTCTTATCAAGGCCTATCACCATGTGACTGACTACCTTATGCGACCCTGGACTTCCAAGCAAGGCCGCAGGAATCATGACCCGTTGATCTTCATGGAAGGCACCGGCGCATTGAGGGTCGGTCACCTCACCCCAAATATCGCACATTTCGAGCGCAGTATGGGTAAGCGGTCTCGTGCGTGTGAAGAGTGCCATCGTCTCAAGATCAAGTGCGATGTGACCACATCGCCTACATCACCGGCCGCCGCATGCGAGCGTTGCAGCCGTAACAACCTGGAGTGTGTGCCGGCAGCATCTCGACTCCAGCGCGACCGCATCCACGAGCTTGAGGCTCAGGTGCAGGAACTCAGAGACGCGCTGCAGGCCCACCAAGCAGATCAACCACCCTGCCGGAGGACCATCTACCGGTACAGGCCGTGTTATCATCCTTGGACACCTGCATTCCGCCGAGCAGACAACACGACCTGCTCCGCCTCTATGCGCACCAGGCGGGAGCCGCGTGGCCAGTGATTCGCCTGCCCGTGAAACTGGACCGGGTGCGCACCGAGTCTTCAGTCCTTCTACATTCCGTGGTGGTGTGTTGTTTCACGCAGGAGACGCAGGGCACTGGACCTGATGTGCACGATGACCTCGTGCGAGAATCAATGCACATCCTGGGCAACGAGCTCATCGCCAGGGGACAGAGATCCCTCGGACTTGTACAGGCCCTGCTCGTGGCTGCTTTCTGGAACAAGTCCACGCGAACATGCCAGCATGGGAGTTGCTACCAGCTGGTCCAGCTGGCTGTTGATATGGCCATCGACCTGGGCATTGCTGAGCCTTCGCTGCAGCCTTCCCCGGCGGCCTACTTCAGCCGGCACGAGGATCCGACTTCACTCGAGGCACGGCGTACCTGGCTTGCGTGTGTCGTGGCACTCTCGACATCGTCCATCAGCACGCGTCGGCCTCCTGCCATCCCGTGGAATGCCCACTACGAAGACTGCCTCTTCCACCTAGAAAGCAGAGGGGAGCCATCCGACATGCTGCTTTGTCAGATTGTCCGCATCACCCAGTTGATCGGAGAGATCTCTGATCACCTGTGCCTTTGCCAGTTTGCTACCTATGTGGCAACGACTACAGTACTCATGGTAAGATCGAGAACCTGACGAACAAGGTCGATCTGGGCGGCTCAGATTCCACCTAGCCTTGCATCGTCGCCGACGCTCAAATTGTGGCGACATGTAGCCATGGTCAATATTTATGAGGTGGTGTTACACACGCCTACAAACAAGGCATCATTTGCAGCACCGTTTATTCCAAGCCGCGTTCCCGTCAAAGACTTCCCCGTGCCAGCCATTATCATCTCCTCTCGAGACAGCGTTGGGATCCATCGTCCAGAACTGCCACGCCGTCATTGCCACGGCCGCCGAGATGGATCCTGCCCTGGGTCTCAGCCTTCCTACCTTTTGCCTCGCCCCAACTGTGCTTTACTCTCTCTTCGTGCTGGTCACCGCCCTGGTGGCGGCTACCGACCTGTCCAACACCTACGGACAGTGTCTGGCGAAGGACGATTTCCGCATCGAACAGTGCGGTCCGAAGCTGCGGGGCCTGACAGCTCGTCTGAAGTCTCTTGATCCCACGTCGAGTTGCTATACGACTCGCCTGCTTGACGCGACGGGGTGGCTCAACGAATGGTATAATGACTACACTGCTATCCTCCAGCGATACGAGGCAAACTTGGCTAATCAGAAAGAAGTAAAAGAATAACAAACTGTCATTTACTAGGAAAATAACTGTATGATCTGAAGGACTGCTTCCCGGTGTGCTGACAGAATCGGCAAAATCTGGCCGTCTCCGCTCCAGGGGGGGCACTTCGCTTCTCAGGTTCTCCGCGTAGGACTCGAGTCGGCCAATTTTGGCCGTCTCCACTCCACGAGATGTCTTTGGAGATTGGCGTCGGCGTGTCTGGGCAAAGGCTGTGCAGACTCGAAATCCATGGGCCGTGAAGTCGATGATGCTTATACTTGAAGCAACGACATTGAGAGGGAAGAGTTGGGATGGGTGGACTTTCACTCCATCGTACGACTTCGACTTCACAGGCGACGACTGGGTCTTGGCTGGCCGCCCTGGTTGTCAGCACGCTGGACCAAAATCCCATGAACCGAGGGAGGCTGGAGCTGTCTTGGAACAGCTGTGATTCAACTCACTCGATGATATAAGGGAGCGGATGTCGTCGACTTCTGAGAGAATGAAAATAGCATCACACAACTCGCTTCATCCCCTCCTCTCTGAGCAACGTCCATCATACCACTCGCCGCATCGGTTCTAGATCCCTTCATCATGCGTCCATCACTGTTGCCTTGTGTGTTGATGGCTGGCTCCTGCCTGGCCCAGGGTGATCTTGTCGCGCTTCTCGCCTCCCAGGACGACCTCAGCACGTTGCTTGAGCTTGTCAAGCTCGTGGACGGCCTTGCCAACACCCTCTCCTCGGCTTCCAACATCACTATAGTGGCACCAACAAACCAGGCGTTTGCCATTGTGCCATGGGACATTCCTGGAGGTCAGGCTGTCGAGCTTCGCAACGATACCATCGCCATCGGAGCTCTCCTTGCGAACCACGTCTTCAAAGGAGTCTACCCAGCAGGCCTCATCACAGAGACTCCGGCTTTTTCCCAGACCTTGCTCGACGATTCGTACATCAATGCTCAGCAGCCCTTCTCCAACTTTACTGGCGGTGCTTACAATGGACTCTTGAGGAACGGAGATGACGTGTGCATCCTGTCTGGCGAGCAGACCATCTCTACCGTCACCGAGGCGGTGCGTACCCCCTCCGTTCACCCAAGCATTCTAATGTGCGCTCATCTGACTCTAACAGCAGAACATAATGCTGGGTGAAGGTATCACGATCCACAAAGTCGACACGGTCCTTTCATTCCGGGCGCCGCTCTAGCTCTTCACCTTCCGCGCGGGCTATCTCGCCATGAACGCCGCGCTGGAGGCTTCTCAGCTGGGCTTCTCCCTGGGCGAGACAGGAGCCGACATCCAAGGCCTCAAGATCTCCGACTTCACCATCTTCGTGCTCACCGACGAGGCCTTCGAGTCCATTGGCTCCGTGCTGGCGTCGGCCGACCTCGAGACGCTCCAGGACGTCCTTCGCTACCACATCAACCCCAGCAGTGTCATCTTCTCGCAGTCCCTGGGCAATGTCACAGTCCCCTCCCTCCAGGGCCCCGACCTGACCTTCACTGTCCTGCCCGACGGCTCAGCCTGGGTAAATAACGCCCGAATCACATTTCCCAACACCATATTGTACAACGGTGTCGCGCATGTAATTGACAGGTAAGTCGCTTGCACCCATCAGGCACTGTATATACTCACATATTCTCCTTCTAGTGTTCTCAGCCCTGGACCCTTCGACCGATCCTCTCTAGAGCCGTCCACTCCGGCGTCTGACCGAGTCGCCTTCCCGGATGCTTCTTTTGTCTCGAGCCTACCTTTCTCAAGCATCGCTTTCTCGACCGATCATATGGCTTACTCCACGACGCCTGTATTGCTTCAGACCATTGCTGCCGTCTCGCCCCAGCAAGCCGAGGCCAACACTACGACGACAAGCTCCAGTGCCCACTGCGGGTGGTAGTGGAATCTTGCCCCGCGCTGCTTTGCCCCTTTCCGTCGCAATGGGTATCGCTGCATTCCTGCTTTAGGGGTATGGGCTTCTAGGAAGGAGGATATGATATCTCTTGATGATTGCTTCTGGTCCAGTCTAGGGATGACCAGGCCGATGTTCCTCATCCAATCTATTGCCCTTCGCGTTCACTCAACTTCATACGTACTCATAGCTAATACATCTATCTGCTCCTCTGGCTTTGTTATACTTGCGTGAACTTACACTACTTAGCAATGAGTGGTTGTACTCGGAACGATGGGGACTTTTACCCGCGACTACCAAGATCGCCTGAAGGGGAAAAAACGAAGAAAATAAAACATGCCGCCTTGCCGTGCTTACCAGCACAACACGATGTGTCTGGTCGACCAGCGATGGCGAAAGTTCGTGATTGATGGCGGGATGTTGTCTGTGGCGGAGAAAGGGGCCGTGGTTGATAGTCATGGGGCAAAACCTGGGTATATCAATCTCGAAAGTCTGTCATGCCATCTCACGCCCAATTCCTCTAGACGGTAAAGGAAGGAAATAGAAACTATTTCAAGTGATTGACTGGTCAAATTTGACACTGTTTCGTACTGGTCAAAATCTTGTGCACCTGTGTAGCTGACGTTAACCGTTTCGACGATGTCGTCCAGTTCAGATTCCAGCGAAAACCCCCATACGGTAGATATCTTATGCCTCTGGGCTGTCCGCTATAGCAAACATTTCATAATATACAGTACAAGTAAGGGTACTTCGTTCGTACCTAAGGTTGACTCATGTACCCCATTACACGGCTTCGGGTCGGCTGGAATCCAAGAGAGGTTGTCCTCAACATGTATCGCTTGGCCTTGCAGCTTACTCTCCTCCTGTAACATGTGTGCCTGCTCATTCTGAAGCCCAGGTGCAGATGGTCCTCATCAAAGTTTATGCCTCAGGTTATCTTTGATGTATTTGTCCGCGATTGACAGTCTCATTGGTAGTCCTCCATCTTGGGCAGCTTGCCTACGTGAAGACTAGGCCATCTAGGACAACATGGGTATCAGGTGAATATCTGTCAGGGCTTGACCGGAGGTTCATTACGCATATAAATTTGCTTTCTACAAACCAACTGTGATAATTACGTGGTGTGGATTCAGGTTGTCCTAGATACTGTCCGTATCTTGCTCCGTGCTGTGTGATTGTACCTAGGTAGCTAACATCACGATTGCAGGTACAACCCCCTGTACTCGAGGTATGTTTGGCAATCATAGGTGATGCCTTCCCCAATGTTTGTAGTGATATTGCTAATGTTGTGACTTGATACATATGGTGAGCCCCCTACTCGCCAGGAATAGGGGTAGCGGCGTTTCCCCTTGATTGGCTGGCACTGGTTCTCTATCTACTTAGGTCCGCTCATCTTGGGGCTAGGATTGACTTTACATCCAGTATTGGGCTTGAATCAATTTGCGATGGATGCGTTGGGCCTCATGATTGTCCTGTGGCAAACGCTGTACCGCCATGGACTACAACATAACAGCTGGGGGCTCAGTGGCAAAGCCCCCGTAATGTTCAAGTTGCCTTCTGTCCTGTCCCTTACATTAATGTATGTATAGATCCAAATGCTATTCTCATAAATTGCTCCCGTGTGGGTGTAGATGGCTCAGTGCACCCACCGTGAATGGTGCGATAATGTCCGTCGTGCACAATGTTACCAGCCGTGGTGCATTGGCCCATCGGCCTCCCCCATTGTTCACCCCAGGCCCTCCTCGCGCCTGCCTTCCATTGTGAGCACCCGCAAACAATGAGAAGCACCCACCAGCTGTTCCATTGTCGAACAGGTGGCACTCTTGCTGTCAGCTGCGGGTTGCCACGTGCTTCTGATTGCTGCAGGTGAATCGTCCATAAAACACCACGCGCTGCACCGCAACCACTTTCCACTTCTCTCATCCCACAACCTTTGACACATTCCCCTCTGCGTTCTGAGGTACTTCCCTACCACTTCCTCAGTGTATGATCTGATCAATCCAAGGTCAAATCTTGCAGTATTCTTCCCGTATACTTGCTTTGTATTCGCAAGCACGCCATATATCCCGCTGCAGTCCATACGCAAACCACACCCAACTTGCTACCTTGGCGTCACCATGTCGTCTTCTGATGCCCGCGTGCACTGCGATGTTGTTTGCAACGTCTCCAGTGCTCAACCTACCAGTCCTGCGACCGCAGGTAAGCACAATCTGAACTCCTCTACAGTAACAAAGTATTGGCTAACGTGCATCAGATACACTGACTGCCGAGAACATGCAGCCTGCTGTCGCACCGTCCCACCAGACCTCGGATGATCAGCTTGGGGTCTGCGAGCCGGACACGACCTCTGACACCCAAGAACCTACCAAAGTGCAGATGACCACCGACAGCGCTGAGCATGACGCCGTCAATGAGCCCGATCTCAAGGAACTCGACGCTATTGAAGATCATGCTATGCCCAACACCGTGGATAGCAACCCGTTGGCCAAGCACATCATCGGATCACCTACTACACCCACTACCCAGGCCGGCGAGTCCATTGTTCCTGAGACCACAGTGAATGCCACCGCAGCCGCTACGGAGGAGAACAAGAACGATGTCCACGATGAGCAGATTCTCACCACCAGTGACGACAAACCCAAGGACATCAATTCCATTCGAATGTCCACCAACATGAGCACCAAAGGTGGCCAGCCTGAGATGAGCGGACCCAGTTACGCCCCCAACATGCCTATCGCTAAAGTCAACGAGTCCGAGATCCACGAGTCCAGCGAAATATCCACTGCACCCGCGATTGCAGTTGAGGAGCCCGAGACCCATGAGACCACCGAGGTGCAGGCTGTTGTTTCGGAGTCCCAGCTGGTGGTAGACAAGTCTGTCGACATGACTGCTACGCCTGATTCCCAGGGCAGTCCTGAGACCCATGAGGTTGCCGGAGACCTCGTGCTTACCAAGACCGACAACCTTCTGACCGATTCTGCAACCAATACTCCCAGCCCAGCTTCGGCCCATGAAGACAAACCGAGCGCTGACGAGTCTACCGGCTCCCAGAAACTGACTACCGAGGCCATGTCTAACAGCTACGAGTCTACCGGACAGGAGAAGAGTGGATGGGACGAAGTGGTGACGACAGATGACAAGCAGGAGATTCAGAGTTCGACTGCCACAAACGTGTCTCCGGCCAAGAAGCAGAACGCGGACGTGATCGCATCCACCCGCGATACCTGGGATCATGCCGACAAGTCTGGTGCCGCTCCCGGGTCCATTTCGGCACAGCAGCTCCGAGCAGCATCTCTTGCGGCCCCGATCAATCAACCTCGAAACATATCGGTGTCTGGTCCTACCACTAAGCCTCAGAAGCCCCTTTCCCCGACCGCACCTGTATTCACTTCCCAATACAAGAAGCCGGCTGCAGGAGCACGCGTTACCGAGCGCTTTGAGGGGGCGCGCCTCATTGTCGACCAGGAAGAATTCCAGCGAGATTGCAAGCGATGGGGCTTAAAGGGGTTGAGCGCTTCCCGCTGGAACAAATGAAGAAGATGCACAGAGGACAGAGCGGCAGAGGGCAGCATATGTATCATGTGGTCACGTTTGTCATGGCAGAGGCTTGGCTTTCCTCACATTGCTGCCACATTGAGCCAATCTCGGATTTGCTTGGTTGGGTACGGAGTTCTGGAAAGGGCTTGATACCCTTGTGCCTTTTGGTAGCTTTCCCAGATGCTGATAAATCACAAGTCTTGTTGTAATCTATCAGTGGTCTGGGTGGTGCTTGATTAAAAGGTCGGATGGAAAGGATTCCATCCGAGATGTATCTAAATACCTAAATTACAGTGGTGAGGTACCTGGGGCAACAAAGGGTTGCCAGGCAGCCTTCATCAGGTAACCTCCAACATATCTGGTGGGGTTACCAGAATACTCCATATGGGTCCATGCACTGGATCCACACCCTGGGTTTGCTTGATGGCATACCAGGAGCATTTGATGCCGGCTTGGAGTCTCTGGACATACTCACAGTCGGATTTCTTTTCATATGAACATCTGAGCACCAGTAGATATGACAGTCGCAATGCTACGAAGTTTGAGTCCTGAAACCCAGTTTTAGTGTGCCCAAGCTATGATCTTGAGGTGTTCTTCGTCCTAACTCTATTGCTTTCCTGCTAATGATTTTTCTATGGCTCAAGCCCTTGCATCCTCGCCCTGGCACGCACTGCCTCGGGCATCTTTGGAGGTGCATATCCTATCCAACCCCCACTGGATGATGTCGCCTTTATATCATCACTCAGAGGTTCCTCTGAGGCAAGCAGTGCTCTGTAGTAATATGTGAGCGAAGATAGTGCTCATGGTCATGTGGTGTCTTTCGATTCGTAGCCTTGCCTGCTCCAGGCCAAGCGTTGTATGGATCCGAAGACATTTCATCTCTTGTACGACGCCGTCTCTCGAAGGGGCATAAACCTCTTCTTACACTATTGACCTATATGACGCTGATTAGATATTGGCCACAGACGTTTCATACTTGGACGTCACGGCCTCGCCACGGAGGACCATTACACTTCTTGTTCGCCTTGGTAAGTCTGATGCGCAGAAATCCTGCTTCGACTCTGAAATCCATTACTTAGAGTCCTGCTATTTGTACCTTGTTAGAATTCCTGATTTGCACCTTGTCTTCACAACCTAACTGCCAGCCAGCTACAATACAGCCTCTTATCTTAACATAACTGCACTACCTAATAACTGTGCCGACAACCGCACCGAAAATCGCGACGAAACTTGCACCGACAACTACACCAACAACCTCGATCTAATAGTAAGCTATAAGCTTAGTGGTTAGCCCGCTGCCCGCTGCCAGCTGCCTAGGGAAATAAGGATAGAAACAAGGTGCAAATAAGGAATTCTAACAAGGTGCAAATAGCAGGACTCATTACTTAAGTACCTTAGGTATCTACTTTACGAGGGCGGGCAATTGCAAGGGTTGCATTGTGACCTTGCAGATACTGCGGCACGATGCCGAAACAGCAGTAAGAAGTACTCATGAAGTCAGCGAAAGCCTCGCCGCTGAACCAAACCTAGAAATGTATTCTCAGCACTTCATGAAGAAGACCAATCCTCGCATCGTACCGCGCTATGTAATCGCAAGTCCTTAGATCCTGCTGATCCCAACCCACAATCTCCCAAACCGCCATACAGAGCCATGGACCTTGAGTCTCAGCAATCGCAGCCATGAGTCTGGGCCAGCGCACCGCCTCGCTCACCATCGACATTGCGCGTCAGGACCTCCACGCTGCCGACCACAGCCAGCCGCGCAAGACCGACGGGCTCATCCTGGCAGTTGCCTTGTACGCACACGGTACCACGAGCAAGCCCGTCTTCTCCTGAGGCACCTATTCGAACCGAAGGCGAGCAACAACCGTGGCCATCCTGCTCTTTCAGTCTTGCGGCGCGCTGGAGGAACTGGCTGGTACTGGGTATACTGGACGGAGAGCGGGCGAGTGTCGAGGCGCAGAGGCGCACGGAGGCGAGGGGAGAGAAGGAGAAGGACGGGAGACATGTTTCCTTGCCGCCGACGCAGACAAAGGGCGTGGAGGACGTGGTTCGAGGGTGATACGGCGATACTCATCAGAGGTTGATAATGATATATTTCACATTGCGTATTCACAAAACACGTAGTGTGGTATGAATCGGGTTCGGCCGAGAGGGCGCTTTCCTCTTCGTCGCTGGGACGTAGGCATAGCCACCAAGCTGATCGTCCTTTCTTGACCATGATGATCCAATAGCACATTAGCTTCATTCGTTGGCCCCCAGTGTGCTAACAATGTGCCAAGGTTCCCCGGTCAGGGGTCATACATTGCTAGGTCCAACGGGCAAGAGGAGTAGCAGTAGTCTGAGACGCTAGCTACCAAACAAGCCTTGTCTGGATAGCAATCACATCACATTACAACTCTGCAAGACGCGGTTGGTTAAACTCGTGATTTTGTTTCCCTTTCCATTTGTCCCTGTTCCTCGGCTAGCGCTCAAACACGATCCGACGGCTGTACAGGCTTCATGTCTTCCGTGACGTCGTCCTCGACCCTCGCTCTGTAGGGATTGGCTTCCTGGCCTCGCAACGATCGCGCCAACGTGTCTAGGGAGTTTCGGGAGTTGCGGGATAACTTTGCGGGAGCATGCAAGTCGTCGTTGCGGAGCTGAGGTCGAGATACGGGTAGCTGAGGTTGCTGGTTGTTCTTCCTGGGTTTACCCGTACCCGACGGAGCCACATCGAAACCGTAGTCCTCGAGCTCCTGGTTGGTCTTGGGCCACTCTGCCTTGTCCAGTCTTTTACGTCTGAAGTGCAGATAGAGCAGGGTTACGACGACAACGAAGAGGAAGACACCACTAGGAGACGATATACCCGGTCAGCAGATGCGCAGCTTTGGTGTAAGCAAGGTTGGGCTTGTAGATAGCTTACACGGTAATGCCAACGACAATGGCTGTTTGCTTCGAATTGGAGGAGGGCTTCTCGCAGAGGTTGATGTTGGGCGAGGGATGGCACTTGTCGGTGTCGTCGCGTGAGAGGAGCATTCGGGCGAATCGGGCGAGGCGCGTCGATGGCGCTGCCTGGTCGACTTGACGATGCTCCATTGTTGTGTCTCGGGCCCGAATCTCTTCAACTGGGCACCTCGGTAGATGGACAGAGGGAGGTCGGGGGCGTGTCGCGTGTTTGTGTTTGTGTTGCGTGCAGTCGGTCTTTCCTCGTCAGGAATCCCCGGTGTTGCCCCTCGAAAGAAGGGGAACGTTTTCAAGTTAGGCGAAGATGTTGATAAATGAGAGAATGTCGCCGTGGGGAAACCGAGGTAAGGGAAGAAACGAGTGCTGAATCACCAATGGCAGAACAATTGCAGACGCGAGCACATGGTGTGTCACGACAATGAAAATGAATGGATGAATTGGTGAATGGCCTTGTGTTCCATGAATGGGGAATGGGAACGGGAATGGAGATGGAGATGGGAAGGGGGCTTGGGGAAGCTGAAGCTGAAGTCCGGCGGCGGGACTGTGACAGAAACGGCCACGGCCACGGCCACAGGGCGGCACCGGCATGCACGGTGCAGCCCTGAGGTCACCAGGTGGTACCTTCAGGCCACTCACAGCGCCCAAGTGCACCCTGCAAGTACATCCCCGGGCGGCGGTGATAGACGGGGTGCATCATCATGACCCCCTGAAACGGCTGTATCGGTACACCCAGCGCTCTGATTGGGCGCTAATTCCCTGGCTCATCTCGAGTTGCCTGTTTCGGAATCGAAATAAGCTTCGCAGGGATTGAGCCAGGCTCAGGCTAGGACCGCTAGGCCTGGACCCTGCATCGACTTGTCTCCCAGTCTTTGGTAGGTGGGTAGATGAATTCATCACTCCTCCCACTCTGGCACTCTCCTCCCTCCTGAGGTTTGTTTTCGAGATGATTTGTAGCCTCTAGGGGGCGTGACAAATACAACGAGACAACAGACATTGAACCAACATTATCGACACAACAGTAGCATGGTACTGTATGGTATCGGACTCATGCCGGATGTATCTGTTTCACCCAAGCAGCGTGCTACAGTCGCCCCCATAAGTCTCCGGCCGGCGAGCAGCATTTATAGTTTCGGACATCGCTTTATTTATATCAAGAACTACACCAGCGTGGGGAACGGGCATCGACGACATTCACACATAAGAACCGGTCGTGTACTGGAACCGTGGGTGTGAGTGGACCCTACGATGGCAACGATTTGTCTTCATTATCACATTTCAGCGAAAACCCCCATACAACACCAGACCTGGCTTTCAATTGCTCTTAAGTCTTGAGCTCACAGCTACTTTGCACACCACTATCGAAGCTTGAACATCTGCTGGACCCGGGGTAGGTATGCTGCTGTACACGAATTGATGCCAACCCTCAATGCTCGCAATGCTTGAGCCGAGCCGAGCTCCATCGCGGGATGATGCCCAGCGGCGGCGGCTTAATCCCGTCTCCATCCAACATATTGAAGTCACGCTGCGATGCTAGCGTCAAAGACAGTTCCCATGTAGGTAGTGGCACGCGGCATTGCGCGGCCGTGCGGTCCTCGTGACACGGTTGAAAGTTTACGACCAGGTCCGAAACTCTCGGCATCCCGCGAGTAGCCGCCGCCTTTGTGCTCCCGAATAGGCAAGTCGGCGTCATCTTCGAGTCTGCTCGAGTCTGTCAGTGGGCTGGCCATTGACCGACCCGCGACCAACCGAAATGCCAGCAGCAAGGCATCTGGTATGTAATGGCAGGTCGGGCAGTTGTAATTCAAAGAACGGCCACCGGCTGAGAGAGCAATGGAGCATATTGACATGAGACTTCGGTTCTGAGTTTGTTGAGAACTTTACATTGGAACCCCGAGCGCAGACTGATCGCACTACTCCGCAACATTGTTGCTCTGACCACACTGAGGAAACAAGAGGGTTTGGTTTGGTGAACACCCGAGATTGGATGGAAACGATGGCTGCCGTCCACCTACAGTACATCCTGTCCGCTATTTCGCTGTTGGGGCTGGCCTATGTAAGACATCCGGAAACAGCCACGTGCGCCATGGACTTACATGATGTTTCAAGGCCGCCGGAATTGTCGTCTACCGATTGTTCTTCCATCCGTTGGCGAAGTATCCCGGCCCGCTGCTGGCCAAAATCACCGATGCCCATCAGTTGTATCATGCCTGGAAGGGCGACCGGCATCTGCAGTTCTGGCGGATGCACGAGCAATATGGTGCGCGCGAAGTCTAGATCCCTTCAAAGACTGAAAGAGCAAGCCAACGTGAGAATTTGGGATTTGCTAATGCCGCATGGATAGGCAACATCGTGCGGTTCGGCCCCAGTAGCGTCTCCTTCAACTCCAATACTGCCCTGAAGAGTATATACGGCTTCAAGGCCAACGTGCGGAAAGCCGAATTCTATGATGCCTTCGTGCATCCGGCGCCCAATACCCACAATACGAGGGACAAAGTGTTGCACGCAAGAAAGAGACGAGTCCTGTCGCAGGCCTTTTCCGACTCGGCAGTGAAGGAGATGGACCGCTATATACTCGCCAATGTTCGATCATTCTGCGAGCAGATCGGACTCGGGGCCAGAGACGAGCGAAAGGGCTGGACTGACACCAAGAACATGGCTGACTGGTGCAACTACCTGGCCATGGATATCCTCGGCGACTTGTGTTTTGGAAAGGCCTTCCACATGCTGGAGCGGCCTGACAACCGGTATGCCCTGGATCTGGTGTCCCTCGCCACGACCAGACACCTGATCGTGAGTAGCGAGCTGCCTCACCCCTGCAGGCCGCAGATACTGACAGCGTCAAGTGCGGAACGATGCGTCTGGTGGAGAAGCTACACCTCGACAAGGTCCTCTTCCACAAGATTGCAAATGGCCGAGCCAAATACTTGGCCTACAGCAAGGCACAGCTGGCCGAGCGCACCAAGCTCGGCGACGATACTGACCGTAGAGACTTCTTCTATCACCTGCTCAAGGCCAGAGACCCAGAAACCGGACAAGGTTTCGCAACTCCTGAGCTGTGGGGCGAGTCGAATCTGCTGTAAGTTGACAGACGGCTACCATGCGGACACTTGACTGACCGGATACTCTAGGATCATCGCTGGGTCGGACACCACGTCGACTGCCATGGCAGCAACTCTGTTCTATATCGTGCGCAGCCCTGTGGCACTGCAGAAGGCAAGCGAGGAGGTCCGGGCGAAGTTCAGCGACGTGGAGGAGATCTGCCAGGGCCCAAGCCTGACTTCGTGTGTCTACCTCAGGGCCTGCATCGACGAGGCGATGCGTATGTCTCCATCCGTGGGCGGCATCGCGCCTCGTGAGGTTCTCCCTGGGGGGATAACCATCGATGGAGAGTTCATCCCTGAGGGTGTGGTCACCGGCACGCCGCACTACACCATCCACCACAACGCGGCTTACTTCCCGCAGCCGTTTTCGTATATTCCCGAGCGGTGGATGGCTGGGTCCTCCAAGAGCTTCGGCGGGGTTGGGGAAAGCACCTTCACCGAGCAGGACGTCGCTCTGGCGCAAAGCGCGTTCTGCCCCTTCTCTGTCGGGCCTCGGGGCTGTATTGGGAAAGGACTGGCATACATCGAGATGATGACGACTATGGCCAGAGTCTTGTTCCTGTATGATCTGCGCAAGTCGGCCGGCTTTGACCCGGCTGAGGGCAGCATGGACCTCGAGTGGGGTCGCCAGCGAGTCGACGAGTTCCAGCTGATGGACCAGTTCACGAGCTTGAAGAATGGGCCGATGGTTGAGTTTAGAAAGCGTGTGAGAGGGTAGGAGTCGAAGTATGCACCCACACTGATGCCCGGTGGATAGCTTGATAGCCAATGCTACCTCCCTTATCGATTCGACTTGCGGAATATAGCCCCTTGTGCCTCGGATGCCCGGTCTGGTGGCATCGTGATGATGTGTGAAGTCTTACCTCAACTGCCTGCGTGTGCGAACCATGTCTAACTGCTCTTTGAACCGGGACAATGGAACGTTATTGCGTGCCACTCATGAGCCGTTTCAACCCTACTTTCATCTTCGTCGACCACGGATAGCGCTGAGATTGGCGACTGACGTGACCCTATTTTGGAGGGCGAAAGCAGGCCCCCGCTCGGTCGTAGATTTGCCTGCCAACGAGCAAGTCGGGTCTCGTCTTCATATCAAGTCTGCGTCATAAAATTACGGTATGGGGGTGATCTGCCGGCAGTGTGGATGAATGAAGTACCTTGTCCGCCGAGATCCATGCAGCCAAGCAGCCAACGCCAATGGTCGAAGTCGGCATCTACAGTATGGGCACGCACGTCGTCTCCAGATTCTCCACCTGCACCCTCTCCTCCATCACTAAGCCTTGTATATCCCTAGGTGGTCCAGGAGGTAGCTGCTGTCCAGAGACTAGTAGTGATACTATTTCGCAAATCCACAAGTTGTGTGATGCTCTCTTCCCTGACCCCAGTACACAAGACCCTTCGATGACCATCTGGCCATGTACTCCTGCAAGTGTTGCTCACGATGCGTCGCCAGAAGGCCGATTTTAATGGAAGAGCGGTAGACCAGCTGATACTCTTCCCGAAGAGTGGAGCCTTATAACCTCGTGTTCGTTTGTGTTGCTTCGACCTCACCACAGGAACTCATCTGAGAGGTGGTGAATCTCGGTCTCTCGGTGGAAAGATGGCTCGCGACTTCGCTTTGAGCCTTGTATTGCCCTTCTCATAGGCATGCCTAGTACCACCGGTGTGAGGACGTATGAGGCCAAGAGCTTCCATGCAATATCCTCGGATGACACCTAGGAGACCATCGCGATGCTACTGCACAGAGGCAATACGAGATTGACCCATAACACAACGTGCCTATATAACCTGCCGCACCCGTCTGAAAAGGGTCGGTACCTTGCAGGAATACCTGTTCCAGTCAAGCCAATCTCGCCAATATGGTGAAAACATTGTTCGGGATTTCTGTCGTTCGTCTGCTCGCTCTGAGCAGCAGCCTCCTTGCGCTTATCTCCTGGGCCTCGTCGTTGACGCTCCAAGATGACCGGGCCGCGGCATGGCCTTATGGCCCGTTTTTGGTGTCAGGCACTGAGATGAAAAACTCGCAAGGCGACAGCATCGTTTATGCCGGCACGAACTGGGATGGCCATGGTGAAGTGATGATTCCCGATGGTCTGCAGTACCAATCAGTCGAGTCTGTTGTGAGCATGATCAAGAGCCTGGGAATGAACGCCATCCGCCTGACGTATCCCATCCAACTGGTCGACCAGATCTACGACAACGGAGGCAAGGATACCACAGTGCAGTCGTCTTTCATCCAAGCCCTTGGACAGACCAACGGTACTAAGGTGTACAGCCAGTTCCTTGCGAAGAACCCATCCTTCAACACGAACACAACGCGGCTCCAGGTGTTTGACGCGGTGGCGGCCGAGTGCGCCAAACAACAAATCCACGTACACCTGGACAACCATATATCAAAGGCTACGTGGTGTTGTTCGACCACAGACGGCATTCGTGGTTCGGAGACAGCGACTACAACGTCGCAAACTGGGTGAGGGGCCTGACGTACATGGCAAACCACGGAAAGTCGTGGACCGCGTTGACATCGATATCGCTGCGCAACGAGCTCCGCTCGCCCGACAACAACGCGACCCTCAAGTCGGAGTCGTACAACTGGCGGGACTGGTACACCTTCATCAAGCAGGGCTCCAGTGCGATCAACGCGGCGAACTCCGACATCCTCATCTTCCTCTCGGGCTTGGACTTTGATACCTGGATCACGCCTATGGTGCAGGGCACGGCGATGACACCCGGTACAGCCACGTACAGCGCGGTTGACTTTCCGGGATACGCCAACAAGCTGGTGCTCGAGATCCATAACTACAACAACGACGCGACGAACTGTTCCAGCCTCCAGAGCACCTTGTACCACGACGGGTTCCAGGCCATGCACCCCGAAGACTCCGAGGCCGTCAACGTGTTACCGGTGCTGCTGACGGAGTTCGGGTTCGAGCAGACGTCGACAGAATGGCAGCGTACGTATGCCACGTGCATCGCGAACTACCTCTCGCAGCAGAAGGCGGGATGGTTCATCTGGGTCATATCAGGGAGCTACTACATAAGATCAGGAACCCAGGACTATGACGAGACGTGGGGCCTCCTGACGCACGACTGGTCGGCCTGGAGGAGCCAGTCGTACATTGATGGAGGTCTGAAGCCATTGGTTGAGAACACAGCGAAGGGATAGATGTGTCTATGTGTAGGTACTTACTTGGAGAACAACGCGACTGGAGCCGCCTCACAGATTAAAGAATTTCCACTTGGAATTCGTCAGACCTATGTGCTCTCATGTGACGAGCTGCTTCGTGCAGCCGCGCAGAGCTACACTGAACCCCCATAAGTCTCCGTACACCACCGGTCCAGCAAACAACGATATATTCGTCGAATCGGAATAAGCACACCAGAATAAGCATTAGAAGCGGCGTATCAAATCAGAGCTGATTATTCCTGTCAGCTTATTCTAATATCTCTAATTTTCAACGTGTGATCTAGATTCCTCCCAACATGGCGCGCAGAGACTTATGAGGGCTGAGTGTACGTGACGATGACCCGTAGTAGGCCGAGCTGAGAGAGTCATAACTCAGAGAGCGTAATAATATTGCATGGCTCCCATCAGCAGCTGCGCTGTCTTGCGACTGAGTTGGCCCAAGAATAAATTGCCTGGTACTTGACGTGGTGCCGGTGATGCAGATTATTGAGTAGGTAGGTACCTAGTTGGGGCCGGAACGCGAAATGACTTCCAATGCAGAGCATATGCAGCCATCGGGTATTGGCCGCGAGCACACAAAGCGGGGTTTGCGTTGCACGGGGCTTCTTCCTTACTAGGTACAACTTCACCTCCATCCGTTGATCGCCAGCCGCGCTCGTGAATACCAGTGCAAGGCTGACGATCTGCTGAAAAGGCTGCAGATCCCGAGTACACTTTCAACTTTGCATTGCCGCCAACTTTTCCTCTCCCTCTCCCTCTCCCTCTCTTATGCCCTTTCAACTTCTCACCGCTACCTTCATTTATCACCCAACCAAGCGACGCCTGCAATGGCGCCCCTCTGCAAATTCTGGCAACAAGGAAACTGCCGAAATGGATGTACGTGTGATTGATCTTTGCTACGCGCATACGTCCAGCCTTGCATGTCGCGTTCTGACTTCAATTCAGCCAACTGCAGATTCGAACATTCCAACGCGAACTCGAATCCCTTTGGAGCTCCCAGCGCCAATACAAATCGGTTCGGGGCCTTGAGTTCTGGTTCCAACAAACCCCAGGACATGTCGAATCCCTACAAGGTCACCAAGGATAGCATCAAAGTCGACCTCGCAGACGAACGCCCGACATGGATCATGTCATGCTATGGTCCGGGAAGAGACGCGCCCGAGCAGCTGTTTGGAGGATATCCACGAGAGCAAAGTCTTGAAGAGGTCATGATGTATATAAGGGGTTCGGAAAACCAGCAGCAAGCTGTAAGCTCCCGTCCAAACGGTTTTTGGGACTTGCAGGCAGCTGACGATCACACTAGATGACAGAAGTCATGGGTCTCTACAATCAAGCGGAGCAGCAAATCCAGACAACCCTGGGCAATCTTGACGGCGCAGTACAGTTCGTGTTGGCCGGCGAGAACAACCATCCAAACCGCATAGATATTTGCAAGCAGAACGCCGTAGCGGGCGGTACTAGCGGCGCCTTTGCGAGGGATAGCGTCCAAGGCGGCTTCTCGTCCAATCCCCTTATCTCGGCTCCCAGTACCAACCAGAATCCTTTCTCGTCGGCTCCGCAGGCCAGCCCGTTCGGAGGAGGGACACCATCGTTTGGCCAGCCCTCAGGCCTGGGACAGAATCCCAACCCGTTCGGCGGCGCACCGTCTTCGTCCCAGTTCGGCCAGCCCTCTCAGATGGGCGCCACCGCATCCGCGTTCGGGCAGTCTTCGCAGATGGGTGCCGCTGCTCCAACGTTCGGCCAGGCGTCGCAGGTTGGCGCCAGTGCTCCTGCGTTCGGCCAGGCGTCGACTTTGGGTCAGAAGCCGAATCCGTTCGGCGCAGGTTCCTCGGGACCATCTGGCTTTGGTCAAGCTGCTCAGACTCAGAGCGCGTTTGGCCAGCCTTCGTCGTTGGGACAGAACCCAAACCCGTTTGGTAGCGCAGCTGCTTCTGCATCACCTGCCCCTTTTGGTCAACAGCCTGCTGCAGCTACATCAAGCCCCTTCGGTCAGCCCGCTGGGCCTGCTTCATCTTCCCCATTTGCCCAGCCAGCAGCCGCATCATCTAGTCCTTTTGGCCAGCCAGCAGCTTCGTCATCTGGTCCTTTTGGCCAGCCAGCAGCTTCGTCTTCCGGCCCCTTTGGTCAGCCGGCAGCCAGTAACCCCTTTGCGCAACCAACGCCGGCGTCGAACGACCAGTCCATGGATACTTCAGCACCTGCTCCCGGTGCTAGTAATCCATTTGGCCAACCGTCGAGCTCTGGTCACCAGGCGAACAACGCATTTGGGGCGCAGCCATCCGGTTGTGGCACGGCGGCACCTAGCAACAGCAATCCCTTTGGACAGCCTCAAACACAACCACGGCAACCACAAGCCGGGGCTGCCTCAACAGCGAAAAGCGGTCCATATCCGCCGGGAAGTACGAAACAACACCCGCCCATTGAGAATTATACAACTCAAGACATGAATGGCCGGATAAGCTCGTTCAATGGCCGGCCGGTGATGTGGAAATGGAAGGTAGATGACAAATACGTGGACTCCTTACCCCCAGTGGACCCAAGTCAGCAGCAGAGGGACGCAAAGGAAGGCAGGAGGCGGGACCCCCCTGCACATGTACCTGGCATTCGCAAGCCGGACGGGAGCTGGATGAAGGTGTTTTTCCCCAATGGACCCCCTGCCTACAATGAGGACACGGAACCGGACCCAGCCGAGTACGAAGGTGTTAAGGCCGCTTATGCTACTATGGCGGCCACGGGAAGATTTGAAGGGGACGTGCCGGAAGTACCGCCCATGAGAGAGGACTGCATGTGGACTTTCTGATGCGGGTTTGTACGCTATGGCACATGCGATTCTTACATGCGTTTCGGGACTCCATCATTGAAGTGGTACCAATGGCGCATTGGACGAGCGGAGGTGATTAGATTAAGATACCCCTGGAATCGGCGTCAAGGTCGTCTTTCAAAAGGACTGGATACATGCTGTTTGTATGAGTATATTACCTGAATGAATACCCAAAAACCCTCTTAAGCCATCACTCAAACGCTATGCATGATATCGTAGCAAAGGGCCCAACGTCGTACCGGTAGATGTCTGTTGAAGCCTACCGGACCGTTCTCTCCTCGGGAGTCGTAGCTCACATTGCTGTCATATTATTGTCAACAAGTCTATACATTCGTATAAGCATCTGCAATGGGCGATTAATCAAGGAGAAATGAGGTCACATGAACCGGTTACTCGTATCTAGACACGACTTTGCATTTCAGACTTCTCATTCGTTCAGCACACATAGAATGCGCCGACGGGTATCTGGACGGTCTGGATCTGGACCGTAGCTGGACATATCTGGGCCTGTGATGGCAAGCATTGGCATGTAACCATGAGCATCCGGTTCCGCGCATATTCCTCCACCAGACAGCATCTACCTGCGTGACCCCATTTATGCGGCGATGGTGACTTCGACCTCGACACCGGCCTCGATGTTGACGATGATCTGCTTGACGATCTCGGTCGGCGCGTTCAGGTCGATCAGGCGCTTGTGGATTCTCATCTCGTAGCAGTCCCAGGTCTTGGAACCCTCACTGGCAATGTCTGTGTCAGTGATTTGCTCTGACGACTCGAAACGTAGCAGCTGCTACTCACCCGCAAGGCGTCTTTCGGGTGGTGACCTTCAGGATCTTGGTGGGCAGGCGGACGGGGCCCTTGACGCGCAGATCCTTGCTCTTGGCTCGCTCGATGAGCTCGGTGCTGACCTTCTCCAGACTGGCGACCTTCTTGGAACTACTCCACCGTCAGCGGCTGGGGAAATTTCAAGGATGCTCGTCAGGCGCGGGGTTCTCACGAAAGAGTGATGCGAATCTTGTGGGTTTTCTGCGAGAAATATATCAGTCTCGATGCCGCAGCGGCAGGCGGGAGGGGCAGTAACGAACGGGCGCGTCGCCGAAGTCCTTGTCCTTGTTGTACGACATGGTGTCTGGTCTTGGGTGTCGTCGACGAGAAAAATCTGGTAGATGGGAGAAATTGCGCAGATTGGGTCCTTCAAGACTCGAACGTTAACTGTACGCAGCGGCTAGAGTCAGTAATGTGACAAGCAGGGTGGGGTTTTGGGGCATTACTCACGTTACGGCAAAGTGAAGAAGGCCTGAATCATAGATGGTTACAGAGAGAAATCGCAGCGTCTGGCGGAGAGAGTCAAAAATCGGTGATCCAGCTGGAGTTGTGGACTGCGACCGCGCTTTATCGATAAGGGCTTAAGTAGACTGGACGAGGTATCGGCAGATCTGTGGCTGGCAGGTGGCGTGCCAAGTGGCTCGACTGACTACCCGGCAGACGGCTGGTGCCCCTAGGCCTAGGTATCCACTTCAAGTTCCGCTTCGGGCGTCATCACCACCAATCATTTTTCAGCCCATTTACAGACGGCGGGAGTCATCCGGTAAGCTGGAGGCTGAATGATGATGATATCGATACTGATAATGCGCCGTTATTTATGGTCATTGTCTAAGGTTCCGTACATTATATTAGAGACCCGCGAGGCCCTCTCTTCTCCCTGACCAGTGCCCTGGGGTTTTCACTACATCACCTACTCTTGGTCTAGCTGCACTGCTCGTCTCACCCGTCCGTTGGCCTCAGCCCGACACCATGCCACCAGCGCTGCCCTCGTTTGCGCCCTTCCCCGAGGCCCCATGGAGGGATCACATCGTACCCGTCGAATGGGAGGCATGTCTCTCCAGCTGGGTCGCCTTAGCAGAGTCACACCTGGCTTTACCCGATGACGACTTCGCTCGTCAGGCGTTGAAGGACGAGTCCGTCACATCATTCGCAACCTCCTTCATGAAAGAGGTGGCAGCAGCAGGTATAACCATTCTGGGACTATCTCAGTCAGCCACTTCGCTATTTCGCCAGTGCTTCTACCTGTCCTCACGGCTCTTGCGCATGCCGTCTGCGCCGCCCTCGATCCTGCAGTGGGACTTTCTGTCTGACTTCACTCGGGTGTACGGCAAGAAAAGGACATCCGCTCTCATCCACAGCATCTCCCAGAAGCCTGCGCTGGCAACCTCCCTACAATGGCTAAAGAAATCCTTAACTCTCGCACTTGATTCTGGAATGAAAGGGGATCTCAAAACCCTTGAAGTGCGCCTGAAAAGGCTGAACCATCTCATCCATGCATCCTCCGATACTGCAGCATTCTTCTTGGCTGGGAGTGATTTCTTGGATGGGCTCATCAACTGCTACAAGGTCATGAATCCACCCCTAAGAAAGACCATCATCACCACCGTCTATCTCTGTCTCATTGGCTTGACCGAGGGAGAGCCCCCAAAGTTCTCCGTGTTGGCTGACCAGCTATACTCTCTCAAGGCGGCCGCTGATGCCCACAAAGCTGGCCCCCTGAATGCGAACGATTCCATGGTGGCCGAGTTGGTGACGGTGACGCCTGTCCTCAAGCAGGTGCAGCACCGTTTAGAGACGTCCTCCTCCTCAACAATCACCCGCATGAAATCGGTCATTTCCTCGCTGGAAGGTTTCCGCAAGCCTGGGGGTAATATCCGACCCAAGCGGCTCGTCAAACGGAAAATCGATAAAGGGAAAGGGATAATGATAGAGGTTCAGGACGAGGTTCGAGGCCAGATGCGCATGCACCGTATGAGCCAGATCTCCCAGATACAAGACCTGTTCCCGGACCTCGGGTCAGGCTTCATATCTAGACTCCTTGGTGAATACGAAGACAATACTGAGAATGTGATCGCACATCTACTCGAAGACTCATTGCCACCGCACCTAGCTACCGCGGACCGCACTAAGGAGTTGTTGGTCTGATCCTATTCCATGCAACTGAAGTATGCTGACTGAGTACACAGATCCCCCGAGAGAACGAGGAGGCAAAGCCATGACATCGCACCGCGCTCTACGCCACCGCAAATTCCTACGCGTCACAATGTCTTCGACGATGATGAGTTCGACAAGTTGGCTGTCGATGTCTCCAACCTGCACTTTGGCAAACGAAATCCTGGACGAACGGCAGATGATCTTCTCAGAGATCGCTCAGGTGCTCCGAACAAAGCCGCAATTCTATTGGCACTATCCGCATTTGACGCGGACGACGACGAGCGAGATGATACATACGATGCCGCCGATGCTGGTTTCGTCGTGGATGACGGCCACCCCGAGGACGCTGATGACCAGAAACGGAAAGACGCGAGCGAAGAAGCACTATTCAGTTCATACCAATCAAACCCGAAAGCCTTCGATAGAGATGCGACAACGCGACGTAGCGATACCAGGAACAAGTTGAAGCAGACCACTGGGATGACTGACGAAGCTATCGAAGGTTGGGCCTTGATGCTCACCCGAACGCCTCACCAGATGAAGCAATTAGAGATGAAGTACAGTGGATTTGGTGCAAGTCAGCCGACCTTGGCCCCAACTTCCTGGCGTGCCACCCCGGCTGGCTCAGGAGCAGAAGACTCCGATGTTGACGGGGGCGGCCACTCCAACTTTCAAGGTCCTCGTGGTCGTGGCCGGGGCAGAGGACGCGGCAGGGGCGGCGGGCCGGGTAGGGGAGGCAACGTTGCTGGCCCCTCTGGGGGGAAGGACACCGAAAGTGCCCGGCGGCGCAAAGAAGCGAACAAGGGATCCAGGGCGAACCATAATCGACGAGACCAACGTGTGAAGAAGATGGGCCGCGGGGGTTTCCCTGGGTGATCTCAATGCTCTCTCTGCTTGTTGCACAGACGCCGGCCATCAGCTCCAAATCCCATTGTCAATACAATCCACAGTGGAATAAGCAGCCATCAAATGGTTATGCCAGTCACTTGCCAATTTCTCTTCTGACGATTCAACTGTATGTCAACCTCCAGGACACCTATGCGACTCTTCGTCGCTTGGCTAGTTCTTGACTGCTGGGCGGCGTCAGCGGTATGGGGAGGGCCGCTCGCTTGCCCAAGGCGACACGGCTCATGTCTGGACACCTTGCTTCGTAAAGATCTTCCTCGCTCAAGGATTGTGCATACGGGCTTCGCAGTTCCGACATTCCAGGAGAGTCTGCCTGAGGCGTGGGATAGAACGCACGGATGGGGGCCGGCGAAACCACGCCACTGAAGGACGAAGTTGCGTCGTCTGGCCCAATGTGGCGGACTAAGTAGGACTGATCTTTCGGCATCGCTAGCTCAGATACCGATGTGAGATAGTTGTCGTGCTCCCCTGCTCCTCCATCGTGCATGCCGATCATTGACATCAAGGACTCCCTTGAACTGCGTCTGCTGTCTAGGTATTCGCGCAAATCGAAGCACTGTCTGCAGATTGGGTAGGTCGGCCAGCGGTCTGCTTCGTCACGGTATTGTGGAAGCTGGGGTCGTGATTGCTGGCCGCACCGCTCCTGAATATCGTCGAAGATGTCGGATATTGGTGTGAAAAAGGTATGCCTTGGCCCAGGACCAAAATACTTACTCCGGCCCCATAGTTGACCGATGAGAGCATTCGTTTCACTGTCGATTATGGCAGCACCACTATCGCCTTCAACCCCGATTCCACCACGTATCCATTCATCTTCGTCTTCAGAAAGCTCTGGCTCCTCGACGTACCACTCGCGGGAGGCTTTCCCTGTGCCGTTTGCGGATCCGTCAACGTATGCGGGCACCTCACATACCTGACCCCTCTGATAGCCCGAGGTACGCCCAGTCGAGCAGACCACCGCACCTGGCACAACAGAGCTCATCGACGTGACAGGAATCTCTCGTCGCTGTGTTGTCGTAGGGAACTTCCTGAGAAGGTTTGCCTGGCGACTGCCTGTGGAGATCAGGATCCAGTCGGTCACAACGAGTGGAGGCTCCTTATCGCTGTCCTCCCAATACGGGTCATGTGTGATTCGCGTCGTATTCAGGTCATAGCCAGAGGTTGCCGTCAGATTACCGACCCGGAAGTCTAAGCCTTCGCCGGTTAGTGCGTCGTGCCTCTCATTCGAACACTGAGCGCGGTCCGCTGGCGACGGGTGCTCGACTGTCACAGGGAAAGCTCCTTGACTTGCGCTCACAAAGGGGTGGAAGCTTGCGAGCCAATAACTGCCGCCGCCGATGGTTATACATGGTCCCAAAGTTGCAGTCGCCTCTTCCCCATCGTTGAAATTAGCCCCGATGCTGTCTCCCATACACGGGCTGATGTACGCAAAGGGATTTCGTGGCGAGCAGACCTCATCGGGCATATCCTTGCCCAGGCCTCGAGCCCACACGAGGCGGTCCACGGCCCCCGTCGAAAATACGAAGGTGATGGTACTTCGGTAGGTTCCAGGGAGCAGATCTCGAACATGGCCCGCGATGGTAATTTTCCGAGCCCTTGTGACTACCCGCCGCGTCATGATGCATATCCGCCGAGTGTTGGGCTTGCTGCCCCGGCTCACGCTGATGACATGGCCGGGCCCGCACCATTTGGGAAGGAACTCGACGAGGAATGGGAGGACACCGTGCTCCCATACTATCGGAAAGCTTGTCGACTCCAGCAACCTTGGTGTACGGCTTCTGGATGATCCCGGACTCTCGACCACTCTCGGCGTGCCTGCTGGATCATTATTAGTGCTATTGTCCAGTAGGATTGCGAGGTGAACTTACCATTTGCTCTCCTCAACTTTCTTTCCGTGACCGTCCTCACCTGCTCTCGACATCGCTTCTTGGAGGTCCCGATGGACATCTCCATCTTCAGGGAGCTGTCTTCCGCTGGTACGGTCTGCTTCTCGATTGGCCTTTCAGCGGAAGAAGCAGCATCCAAATCACCTGATGGGTAGGGTCCGGCCTCTAAAAGATTGGTCGACCGGCACCTCTGTTCAGCGGCAACCTTTTCACCGCCATGGGCCCATCTGAGGTGGCAGTCTAGTAGTTCGCGGGTTCCAAAGGTGCTTTCGGCACAGACTGCCACAGGGCACTCCAGCAAGTGCTCACTCTTGACGTGCCAGTTGAGCTCTTCCCGGGTGGCAAAGCCTGCGCTATCGCAAGGGCCATTGTTGCCCCACAAGCAGATGTGCGAGTGCCCGGTGCTTGTATGAGCCTCCAGGTCTTCGCCTCTGAAGAATCTGGCCTTGCAATGGGGTGCTAGGCACACGTACTCCACCGTTTCGCGGGGCGATGGCTTGACCACATTGCGAAGAGGGCTGGGACCACGAGACCAAGAAGAGGCATTGAAGTTGTCCGATGTGAACTCGGTCTGGATGGGAGACCACGCAGCGGCAGAGCACACGGACGACGTCCGCGACACGGTCGACGGGGGTGGCGAGAAGGTTACCGAGCTCGCATTGCTCGGCACGATGGTCGGCACGCCATAGGATGAGGAGTCAGACACGGCGATCTCGGGGAACTTCTCGGTGTCGTCGTACAGACCGCTTACACCCAGTGCAAATGGGGCGAGACCGCCTTCTGACCACATCGAGTCGCGGTGCGTCAGAGGGTAGATGAGCGACGGCTCATCGTACCGGACTTGGCTGTCGAACAGGATCCGGTCCATATTGCCACTGTCTGGGAAAGGGATCGCATTGCCGTCTTTGCTAAGACGCCCATTCATCCTGGAGCGCTTGGCGGCCCCGAAGGGATAAGTGGGTTCCCGATTGACGCTCATGGCTCCGTTGCCGTGTGTCTGGGGTTGTCCGGCGGCCGGTAAAGTGGATTTGTTACGCAAGTTACTAATAGACCAAGGTGGTGAAAAGGGGCTCAGATCAAACCAAGACTTTCTATAGATCTGGCCAGGGAACTTAATTCTTTGAGGGTATATTCGAGGGTGGATTCGAGGGTAGATAATTGTTATTCGTCTATCGAAGGGGCTGAGGGGAACGGCAGGTCAGATAGCGAGGCCTCCCTCAAGGCAGCAAAGTCGCAGCAGTGCGGCGCAGCAGAGTGGTTCGCACACCATTCAGCTTTTTCGCACCCTCACCTGTTCGCGTTCCCTGTTATGATAGAGTAGGATCGATCGAGTTGCCTCGCCTTGGCTCTTTTAGGAGGGTAACAAGTCTGACCGGATGAAGTACTTAACAGGCCCATTAGCAACGATTTGGTACTATGCGGGTACCTATCACAGCCGTGTTAATTACACCAGATTCACATGTCGATCGATCGAGTCGGTTCCACGCGCATGGCAAACCTCGATGCGGTACACCGTGGGGTCTCCATTCCAGGTTGTCACGTGTAACGGCCCCCGATGTCTGTGGTCTAGGCTGGAGGCTTATAATTAGCCCTGGGATGTTGGAAGGAGGGGAGAAATGAAGTCGATGTATCCCGACGGAAAGGAAGTAAAAGACACACGAAGGGGTTGTTGTTAGCAATAATGAGCTTCGGCGAGAATCAGGACCAAGTGTCGAATTATATGTGCTGGACATGCAGCTATTACGTGACGCATCCTGATGTGTTACATTTGCGTAGTACTTTTGGTAGACATAGTCACCCCCATCTAAGATCTTTGACCAGTGTAGGGCCTCGGTCTACTTAGACATGACGGGACGAGAGCGCCAACCGGACCCGGACACCGTCTCGGACCAGCCGGCATGACCCATAGGCCGTGATTTCACCTTGCAGCGCACCCGTCGGCTCGTGATTTGTCGCCGGCGCTACCGGCCGTGACGAAGGCACTGATGCAATGGATCATTCGTATCACGGATGGGTTGATCGAGAACGTAACGTATTATTTAGCCAATGTCCACAGCCATCTATGTGAATACCGCTGAGACTGCACCATAAGGCCGTCTCAAGGAACTGAAGTCTGACGATGGAACCTCACGAGTTTCACCGTCTGGAAAGACGGCGCCGAGATTGCTGGAGATTGAATTGTTGTTGCGTAGATGCATCAGCCTGTATCAAGACATCCATACCCTCTATGTACTGAACTGCATAGATGCGCACCGGTCGTTGAGTCGTTGGATCTCGACGTATTCTGCAAGCTGAACAGCGTGTTATGGTCCCGGAACTGGGGTCAAGCTTGGGTGCGTTGTTCCTGGCTCCATCAACACTAAAGTCGGAGATTTTCTCGCGCCATGTGGTGTTGTTGCCATTACTTATTATCACTAAAAGATTGAGTACCGGTTGCCTCCAACCCATTGCAGCTGTCCATGCTAGGTTGTTGATACACCGCTGGGACAGACGAAGCGTAAATTCGACACACTTCCAACCTCCCGAGTGCCTCAATTCATCAGTCACCTCGGCTCGGTGGACGGCAGTCTCAAAGTGGCCTGAGAGTCCTGAAGCCCGCCTCGCGCCTCGCGCCTCGCGCCTCACTTTCATCGCATGACAGACATGCGGACTTGTTGCGCAGGGTCCGCGTTTTGAAGGCTGATGCCCTAGTAACGCTGTGAGCCTATCAGAGGCGAAGGAGAGCACAGCAGGTGCGGGGCTGCGGGGATATCGGTACGAGAACCGAGCGCGGTTCGGCGGTCGGTTGCAGCTGCCAGGGCTGCCAGGCTCCAGGCTCCAGCAGTGAGTTGAGTGCCCTCCAGCTGACTGCCCTGACACAAACAACATGAATCCCGAGGTCAATGACAGTGGTCTTATCACCATCGGCCCACGGCCCAAAGCCCATCATCGCGTTGCCCATTGCCCAAGGAAAAGACTGTCGTGAAGGATGAGCCTCAGACTCGGTCACCACCCACTGCCTATCCTAGCTGTGTCGCCTAATTGGGTTTGCTACCTACCTCAGATTATACCTACTAACCTTAACTACCAACCTTGCTGTCCGTCACGGCTGGGCTCCCATCTTGTTTAATTCCATCACCATCTGCAAGCTATCATCGCCTTTACAACTACCACAACTACCACAACTACCACCACCACATATGCCATCGCCCAGTGTCTCTTCGTGCGCCGACCTCGAGTTGCCCGTCCAGGCTGTGTCCAAGCTGATTGCCTACCCGCATTTCACCTATTCCTAGCCCAACCAGTCGTGTTGATCGCGTCGCATGCCACCATGGAGGAAGACGAGAACACCCGTCCCGCCAGTCGGTCACCCGAACGAGCCGAAGACCAGGAAAGGCACCATGACGACAGCACAGCAGCACCAGACGCCACCGTCCAGGTGCTGTCCGAGATACAGAATATCCCCTTGCCGCAATCGCAACCGCGCACGCCCCCCGACGACAGCAGCTTTGTCGACACCACCAAGCTTGACCGCGACGACGACGACCATGTCGATTCCATGACCGACGAGGAGCAGGTCAGGGCACACCTGCAGGACGTCGAGTCGAGCTTCATGCCGCCCATATCACCCATCCGGGTCACTGGCCCTGAAGGCGGCATCGACGATACTTACCTCTTCGATGGCGCCGCCAACAAGCCCTCCGCGTCCGATGCCCAACCACAGTCGCAGCCACAGTCGCAACCACAGTCGCAACCACAGTCACAACCACAGTCCCATCCATCCCCATCCACGACCCCGACGCCGAACCAGACCGAGCAATATGAGATGCCTGGTTCTTTCGATACCGCCACAACCACCCCGAAACCCAGCCCTCCCCGCGAGTCAGCGCACGCCACACCCCAATCGGAAGAATACTCGTCCCTGCCAGAGCTCCAGCCCGATGGCTCTCAAATTGCCGACGCAAGCAACACCACATCGTCCCTCGAAAACCTTTCGTCTTCTCCCACGGCTGCTGTTGCTGCTCGTGCCGTATCTAACGCTATATCCACGGCTGGCAACGCTGCCGGCCCGGACACCAGCAGCCAATGCGAAAGTACAGATGTCTCAGCACAGGATAGCTCCGGCATGCAGGGTCCCAATGATGGGTCTTTCTCTGCTGGTGCGCCTACCATGCACAGCCGGAGCTCTGAACTGAACCTACCCAGGCTCTCCACCAATACCGAGAGCCTCTCAGGCAACTCCCTCAAGGTCGGAAAGCGTCCCAAGTATCTGCGCAGCAGGAACGGCAGTGAGCGGTCCTCCACCTCTTCATTCCTCACCAGCGACGATGTCGACAGCGACACGACAGTCGGCCTGGGCGCCGACTACGCTCTCCAGTCGGGCGGTGCTGTTCCTGCCTTTGGCTTGACGCGCAGTGTCAGCAACACCTTGTCTCGCTCAATAAGCATGGGCAGCGTCGCCTCTGGATTCGACGACGGCCCCGATGCCGCGCGACTCGACCCCTTGGAGCCTCTCGAGGAAATCGATAGCCCACGGTCCGACCAGCGCCAAGACGACCTCCTGACGACCCCAAAGGCAAAAAGGGGACCTCTCAACGCGCCTACGGATACCGTTATTGCCAGACATGTCCGCAATGTGGAAGTGCCCGAGTCGCTCGCCGAGGTGTACAAGACGAAGGGTGGCCTATCCACGCCCCTCCAACCGTTTCGGAAGATGTCGGATTATACTCCAGCACCTAGCACCGCTGCGCGCAGTGGGAAGAGCTTGACGCTCAAGGAGCAGTCGAGCACGATCGAGCGTTTGTCCAAGGAGAACTTCGATCTCAAGCTGAAGGTCATGTTTCTATCCGATCGCCTGGACAAACTATCCGAAGAAGGTGTTAAGGAAATGATCTCGGAGAATGTCGAGCTTAGAACGGCCTTGGCAGTCACACAGAGGGATAACAAGATCTTGAGGCGGCGGGTGAAGGAGTTAGAGAAGCGGCTCCGCGACGAAGAAGACCGCCCGAGTACCGCCAAGAGTGGGTATTCGTCCGATGGGCAAGCGACCTCGGCTTTCAACCAGGATGCTCAAGATCTCGAAACTGAAGTGGTATATCTCCGAGAACAAGTTGAAGAATACGCGAACGAAATGGAGAGGCTGCGGACCGAGAACATGTCCAATCAGTTCGAGAAGAGGAAGCTAGCGGAGACAGTCAGGTCGATGGGAGACCGGAATAGCGAGCGTGCCGGCGAAGGCCTCGGTAGACAGGAAGAGGCAGACCTATGGAAGGATCTGCTCGAGCAGGAAACGGCCCGCCGTGAGCAGGCGGATGACGACAACAGGAAACTTCGCGACGAGATCTTCCGCATGAAACAAGAGGTGAATGGGACTGCGCCGAGCGGCGGTGGGCTGCACCACACCACAAACATCTATAACATCACACGAAAGGCCAAGCCGGTGTCACCATCCAGGTCGCGTCCCGTATCTGGTCTATCTGGAGATATTGACCAGGGTAACTCGCTGAGCCAGTCGGGCACCTTGGTGGAAGATATTCGTCGGGAAAGCGAGCAGCTGCGCCACGAGAATGCCGAGCTGCGAAGAGAGGTTGGAGCGCAAACGTCCATGCTGACGTCGCGGAATCGTGAAAAAGAGCGGCTGTACCAAGAGATCGAAGAGCTTAAGCTGATCCAGCGGCGAGGCGGGCCAGCAACATCCACCGTGGATAGTCTTCTGGACCGATCGGCATCCAGGGTTGGTGCCAGAGCTGGTGCTCATGAACGATCGACCTCAAGGGGAAGCGCCCGCACGAGATACACCACCACTGTGGAAGATCCCGACCGCGAAGAGCTGGAGAACAAGATGGCAGAATACCGTGACAAGATCAACGAGCTCAAGTTCAAAAACCAAGAGCTCCAACGTGAACTCGAGACATCCATGACCGACTTCGAGGCGGCCATGGAAGGCTGCAGACAAGCAGAGGACAATGCCGCCAGCCTGGAGGAAGAACTTGAGAATCGCATCAACGATCTTATGGCTATCCAGGCAGAGCGGGATGAAGCGCTGCAGGAACAATCAACTCTAGAAAATGACTTTGAGACGTTGCGAAAGGAAGCCCAGGAGGAGATCGACGCTTTGGAGGCCGAAGGCGAAGTGAAATCGGATGAGATTCAGAGGCTTCAGCTCGACCTTCAAGATCGTAACGAGAACTTTGATGCACTCCAAGACGAAATGCGCAGCATGAGCGAATCCCTGATCAGACTTGAGGACGACCAAGATAACAACTTGAGAAGGATCGAACAGCTCGAGCTGGAGCTAACCGAGTCTAACAAGGAGCTCGAGGAGCTCGAGGCCAAGCTTCTCGAATCCAACGACAAGGCCCAGCGGCTTGGGGTGCAACAGGAGTCCAGCCAGGGCGAGATCGCCTTTTTGCGCGAAGAGCAAGAGGGGGACAAGATTCGCATAGGCGACCTCGAGGCAGCGATCGCCAACGCTGAGCAGAGCATCCGGGACGAGCGCGACCGGTCTAAGGAACTGGAGCAACGTCTCGCTGGTGAACGCAAGCAGCGTGAGATTGTGGCCGACCGCGAGAAGGAAGAGGTGCAGCAATTCGTCAACGAGCTCAACCGAGAAGCGTCTACGGCCAAGGATGAAGCCAGGAAACTCCGCAAGAGTCTGACAAGCAGGGAAGTGGAGGCAACCGAGTGGAAAGAGAGACTTATGGAGCTGGAGAACAACCTGAGAGAGGCACTAGGAGACTTGAACGGGACACGCTCAAGTCTGCTCAAGGTGAGACATACAAACGCAGCTACGGTGACACCTAACTAACAGTCCAACAGTCGATTGCCAAACTCCAGCGTGAGCTCGAGAACACGGTGCGCGAACTCGACACCACAAAGAGCTCTCTGCTTGAGAAAGACCGCATCATCAAGCAGCGCGATGGCCTGCTCGAGTCTCACGCTCTAGAATCTCGGAGGCTTGCCGACATGCTCGACAAGGAGCGCCAAGCTCATCGCAACACCAAGAACCAGCACGAGACTTTCCAGCGCACGCATCAACACGTGTCGCGGACTGTCGACAGCCAGGACTCCCGCATCATCGAGCTCGAGACCAGTCGCGCGACGGACAAGAAGAGGATAATCCAGCTCGAGACCTCGTTTAAGGAACAGCTCGCGGAGCGTAACAACCTCCTCCTTGCCCTGTGGACGAGGCTCTCGTCCCTCTGCGGTACCGACTGGGCCCACAACCACAGCCTGATTAACGGCCGGGCTCTGCCGTCGCTCGAGTCCATCTCAACCATGCTGCCCGGTTTCAGCAAGAACCTGCTGATGGCCGTCAAGACGATTGAGGCCATGGTCGGCAACTTCCAATCACGTGTCAAGTCGGTCGAGCGTGATCTTTGGAAGGAGTACCAATCGCTGGAAAACAACCTCGAGCTAAAAGCGAAGAAGCTTGAGCGTCTCGAGACCATCATACGCTCGGGGGTCGCATCGGGCAGTTATGAATCGCAGGCCAAGCTATCGCAGCTCGAGTCCGCCTATCGGGCGCTGAAGATTGAGAATGCGACACTTCAGCGCGCCAACGACGCGCGAACCCGTGGCGCTGGCTATTTTGACCGGTCAGTTTCCAGGAATGCCACCAGCAACGGCTCTCACGAAGAGCTGGTCGGGGGTGGCAGTCCTTCACCTTTAGTGCCAACTGGACCGATCCGCCAGGACTCCAAGATTCCCCGCAGCAAGACAACCCATTTAGAGACCACTACGACTAGCAGAACCAGGAACAGCAGCACGGCTCGTAGCTCCTCTAAGACGGGGGTGGTCGACCTCGAGCGTCTGGGGACTTCCAATGGCGATGACGCTGCTGGAAAGGGGGGTGACGAGACCCGATGGATGTTCAGGCTGCGCGAACTCGAGCATAAGCTGAAACACGAGAGGGAAGCCAGAAACATGGATCGAGCATCGGCAAGACAGAGGATCCAGGATAGCGAACGGCAAAGCAACGAGCTCGCAGCCGAGCTGGTCCGCGTCAGAAGAAGAGGTGGGGAGTAGCCAGCGCTTCCACCTAGGCAAGGGGCGGGTCACGAATACTTGGCGGCGCGATATGAACGATAAATGTGTATTCCGATGGCCAAGTGCTACGAATACAGAGGCGGCCGGAGTTCAGGGACACGATGTAAATCACAAGGCTTTGGTAGTATCTGTATCGGCGCGGCGATTACGGCGTATTATGGCGTCCCGATGGGACGGGACTTATCCCTGGCGTCTCGTGGGTATGGCTACGGTGGTTGTCTGCGAAGCTTTGTTTTGTCTGGAGGGCGAGTACGATATCGCAAAACAGCAGTGAGGGAGGGCGCTTGGGACGTTGATTACGGCCTTGAGTCAATAGACGTATGCTGCAGTCTTATCGAGCACTCCGATGCATTCACAAAACAAGGTATATCGACCGACCACCCGGAGTGTTGTCCTAAATATTTCCGGTCGATGAAGGTACAGGACCCCAGTGCCGACAGCTCGAGTTGACCAAGGCTGCACACGCATAAGCTTATGTGGCTGTATTTTCTGTTCGGGTTTCAATGTTACGGGTTACCCGTTGAGTCCGTTCTCGGTGTCCAAATTTCACTTGAAGTGCAACACTTTTTATTGTCAAGCTTGGAACTTTGTGATACACGGCGATAAACCCTCCTATACTGTTCCTTGTAGACGGGAGGCTCTTGCAATCAAAATGTGCCTCGTCTACATGAAATGAGGTCATCCCTGATGGCTGCTATTCCCACGTCATGGTTCCCTGCATAGCTTGGAGGTTTAGGAGTGAGGACTACATAAACCACGGAGAGACCAGCTGCGTATATACAATCACCCCCCATAAATCTCCGTCCCATATTCCTCGATCAATCGTGGGTATCAATACTATTCTCGAATCAATGTAATAAGCACCCTGAAATAAGCAGCATTCATCTAAAAAGCCGTTTTTAATGCTTATTCCAAAGTGCTTATGTCATTATAATAAGTATCAGTGCACAGGTTCTCTGACCACATCACTCATTCTCCTGTTCAAGCACCCCAACACCGTTTAATATTTGTCTCCACTGCCTTCGTCTTCTACGCTCTACCGCCGAAGATGAGCAACCAACCCTCTGTGTCCAAACACGGCACCGAATTCAAAGTCATCGGCACGGCGCTCTCCCGCACTGTGGTACCCGCGGAGAGGCTCTTGTTCTTTAGTGTCAGGGATGGATCATGGATGGGAGTCGCTGTGCAAGGCGTCGGGGAGGAAGTCCCAGATATTCCATGCCCCAAGACCAACGACCGAGAGGCTATCCATCGCCTGGCTAAGAATATCTTGTTAAGGGACTGATGAAGTGGCTCCAGAGAAGAGCTGCCCAACAGGGTAGGAAGCGGGAGCAGCCTCCGCAACGGAGAGAAGACCCTGCAGGATCCTTGTTTTGATATCGTCTGCAAGGGGTTGACAGCACGCAAGGCATGGGAAGATGCATGCCACGGCTTTTCCTGATACTTGTCGTCCTGAATCCAAGTGGTGGGACAACCGTGCTGATGTTCTCGTCCAACTTGAAGAAGGGGTATCAGCATAAGTAACCAATATCAAGCTCTCTCGTGATAGCCATCACTTAGTAGCCTCGCTCAGACGATAAGTAAGTCAGGACTGGAACTCTGATGGCCATATTGATTATCGTGCATGCTTACTTGGACGTCATTGGCGCGGGCTAGAGTCACCTCAGAGCGAAGCCCGCTCGGCCAACGGCGACTGAATGTCCCGGAGACCGTCCTATATGCAGAAAATGATCATCACACACATCCAGCTCGTTGTTTCCAAGGAGTGGAACGTGGAGCTGAGCAGGGGTCTCTTCTTCTGGAAGATGATTAAGGCTGAGGCTAACGATAGACTAAGTTACCGGCTACCTGGTACGGCCGAGTAGTGTCAAAACTGGTGTGAGTATGATCAATGCGTTTCGGCCAATATCACCGACATCAGATGACACCCAAGCCCGTGCCCGGGTCCGCGTCAGCCCGAACACTGATTTCGTCGTTTCAGCCTTCAGCTCCAACCCCCAAACCTTCTATCTTTATACAACAGCTGAACCGCTCATGTTACCTATTGGCCTGGACCGTACCGTATCAATGGACAAGCGGGGTCTCTCCCCCTATTAGTGATATGTCTAGCACCGGGGCTCGGTGCTTGACGACGACCGGGCCCCGTGCTTGACGACGAGGCGATGATCCGTAGATTGGGTTCTGGGCTCAACACCCCTTAACCAGATCGTCATAGCTGTGGAGAGGAACGAGAGATGCCTTTATGATGAGGACTGGTATCCGACCTGGAGGAAGCGACACCAAATGGATATATAAGGGTAGCAAAGCTCGCCCTTCTCAGAGTCTAGGTACCATCTTCCACACCAGCATCGCACATCTGCCTAGAACCAGTTCATTCACACAAAGATTCACTCTTACCACTGCAAACGACTGCCCTCCCAAGCCTCCACCAGAAGCCCCGACACAAACCCAACATGCAGGCCTTCAGCATCATCGCCGCCGCCGCCCTGGTTCTGTCTACCACGACCATGGCTGGCCTAGTGCCCCGAGGAGGCGGTTTCTATGCGAGCTGCGGCGCCCCCCTTCGAGGCGGCGAAGCAGGTACTGTGACGTTTCTATGCCCGAACGACGAGGGCAAGACGATCCAGAGCATCCTGAACGTCAACCAGTGCATCGGCAACCAAAACGGCCAGCTGGTCTTGCAGGCGGGGTGAGTGTCAAAACTTCCAAGATTCTTCCGGGTAGTTATCTACTGCAAGTCCTGGGTTTACCTTTTTCTCGTGAGCTGACTTCGGGACTGGACAGTGGTGGTTTCGTCGCCGGGTGCAAATGGGGCCAATGCGCCATAGGAGCCTTTGACAGCGACAGGGGTTATGTCAACACGGCGCTGAACTGCGCTGAGTGTGGTGATGGCCAGGGAAACTGGGTCCAGTCGGCCATTGATCTCAGTAAGTCCCAACTGACAACTTTTTCTTTCTGAAGTCGGGGATTCTGATATTTCGCTCTCTAGACGATTTCGTTGTTAACCGCAATGGGCTCACCATGTGCTTTGACGTCGTGTCTGAAAAGGCTTAATGCCAACTGATATGCCCAGAATACAACATGGCAGTCGCCCCTGTGGTATGATTTTACATTGTGATGCTACGTATCTAGGGCTTGACTAGACGTTGAGCTCGACGACGGCGGCCCCTTCGATGTGAGCCTTGTACGGCTTGATCAGCTCTTGAAGCTCACCGCCTGGACCGCAATACCGCTCCACAATCTCGGCGCTGCGGCCGATGTACATTTCCGGGTTCATCATGCCGTCGAGTTCGTCGTGGACCGGTGCAAAGAACTCCGTATTCCGGATTCTTGCAATCAGGTCGTTCGGCTTGCCCTCCGTCTTCACGACATGTCCAGCTTCGTGAGCTAGAACACGAATGTGCTCGTGAGCTTCCTGCCGGGATTTTCCCTTGCTAACCATACGCACTGACAGAACGTTAGCTAGCTTCCGACGGAGTGTAGGGCTATGCATTGCTTACTGATGATGTTTTCTGTCACCATGAATGGGAGTTCGGCCATGACTCGTGCGTGCGCCACCGGCTGGTACACTACCAATCCGCTGGTGACCGAGTCGAGACTGAGGAGGATGGCATCTGCAAGCAGGAATGACTCCCTGCAACAAACCATGTTAGCAATGAATTGTCCTCCAGGAATGTGGGTTTAGCGGAGCGGCTGAGATCGTATGCCACGGAGATGAATGCTCGGGCAGAAGTAAGCGCTGCGAGGAATTCGTTGAGGGGTCGTGCAAGATGCCTTCCCGCACAGTGCCGCCGATCAAAAGGTGCAGCTTGTATGTTCGATGGTATGGTGAAAGGGGTAAGGCGAATAGTTGCTTACGGGATATCAATACGACGTATCGCGCTGTCATCAAGCGTCCGCTCTGTAAAGTTTAGGTTAGTCCCGCCATAGTAAAATGTTCCACGAAAGTAGCCTCCTTGGTCAGGAGGTTGAGCCCGTATTTGTTGTCGACATGGTTAAGCGAGCATTAGCTACGTACCCATCCTGCAGCGATAGTTAGCGGTCATCGTTTCCCAAGTAGTTCAAGTTCCATACAATGTGGTACCAATACAAGACGATTGTGACGAGGGAAGGAATAGGCAGGAAAGAAAACAAAGGAGAAGTTTGAGTAACTCACCACTGATCACTGTGTGTGTTTGCAAAATTCATAGGCTTCGAGCCCAAAAGACGTGAGAGACTGTAGATTCTTTCAGACATCATCGGATCTGCAGCATATGGTGTCAATAATCACTTGTCACGGTGATGACTCGGATGCCGTAGGTCGATCTTATCGCCAATTCGACGCAAGGGGGAGACTGACTTCTCTTGTAGGCCATCGCAGAACTGGGATTGAAGTCAGTGAATACCAACTCAAATCATTCATTGGCCGTCAAAGAGGTCTCTTCAGAATAGCAAAGATTTTCCAAAGGCCGTTGAGCCCAGGGTCTAGTGTATTAGATGGTACTCACGATCCAATTTGATCCTGCAGGATTCCTAAGTCAGTCACATGGCGTAGTACAACTTCAACGTGGCACAGATCGCAGCAAATAAGCAGCTCGGAAAAACGGCTCCGTGGCAAGGTCGGAATGGGACAACTCACTTTACCGAATGGTTCCTCGATCTCTTTCCAAGACGCCAGATGGCGAAGGTCGCCACATATCTTTTGAGCCGTAGGGCCCAGGCCCGCAACGGCATTGCCGATGAGTACTGCAGCGTGATAAGCAGGTGCTTACTATAACGGAACCATATTGAAACATGTTGTGTTCCCGGACCGAACCTGGTAAAGGGGTACGAGAGGATACTTACAATCGACCTTCCTGCTGTATGTCTGCGTAGATACTGGATAGCAAGCTGGGAAGCCAGCCTTCTTGCAGAGAAGTTCGTTGAGCTTGTCACACTTGGAGGAATCGTTCTTGAAGATCTCCATGAACGAGGCTTGGGTGCCAGTCGTGCCCTGGGCGCCTGTCATGTGTCAGTGTTGATTGAAGATTAGGTCAGCTGCGAGATGGTACCTCGAAATTTCAGTCCGTCTCGGACGTGCTGAATGTTCTCCAAGTCGAACTGCAAGTCCTGGGCCCATTGGGCTGCCCGTTTCCCGATGGTAATCTGTCCTCGAATGAGAGAGCTCCTTGCCGAGTCCCTACTTCCAGGCTGTGAAAGATAGGGAGCGGGATAAGTATTGGTTACTTACAAGTTGGGCTGGTAGGATTTTAGGTCAGTCAAGGCATCTTCAGTGACTCCGAAAGCGGAATGCTTACCAGGCTGGAGGTGGGTGTAGCCCAAAGTAGGCTGTGCTCGTGTGAGTGCAAATCGAGTCCGTGAGAGCGCTAGGCTAGCTTACCGTCGCCTTCCATTCAAGGGCGAACTTGGCCAGGTTCGATATTACTTTGGCCAATTTTGGGAGCAGCAGGTCCAGGGCGTTCCGCATGAGTATTAGCTCAGCGTTATCAGTGACATAGCAGCTCGTGGCCTGGAAAAGAGAAGAGGCGAGTAAGCAAGTATGGCCAGCCACGCAAAGATAGCAATCATCAGAAGATAGAGAAGCTCATCTATCAAAGACTCACGCCGTAGTGAATGATACCGGCGGCAGCAGGGGCCACCTCGCCGAAAGCATGGACGTGGGCCATGACATCATGCCGTCGCCTCTTCTCCTCGACGCGGGCAACCTCGAAGTCGTTGTCGGTCAGGGTCAGGTGAGAGCGCATCTGATCGAGGGCCTCGTCGGTGATGGTGTCGATGCCGAGCTCCTTCTCACTCTCGGCGAGATAGAGCCAGAGCTGTCTGCAGACGACGTGAGTCTCGAGTCTCGAGTCTCGAGCGGTGCCGAGGTGTCTGGTGTTTGGGCCGGCTTACCTCCACGTCGAGTGGCGGGAGCGCTGACTGAACAGCTGAGACATCTCACGGCTGCAGTAGCGGGTTGTCAGGGAGGTCTGGTAGTTGTCGAAGACGGACGAGCCGAGACTGGCCGTCTTCTTGCCCAGCTCCAGGACCTGGGCCTGGATTTCCGTGACGTGATCTGCCATGGTGCCGTTGATTCTGGAGTCTGGAGTCTGGAGATCGGTCAGCCGCTGCTGTTTGTGGTGTACTCGGTGCAACACACCGGTACTCACGTGGTGTATAGGTGTACTAAGGATAGGTGGTTGTGGCCAGCTGAAATCCGTGCCCTTGTAGGTACTGCACTGGGATATAAATGTTTCCCTCCCGGCTGTCGTCCCCAGTTTAATTTCTGCAGCTCACAGTTTTTTTCTCATGTGGTCATGCAGGCCCGCAGAATTGACTCGGAATCCAAGCCACGATATGAAGGGTCAGCCACAATAACCCCGCCAGGTTCAACCGTTCAACAGCGCGGGGACGGGGACCCCGCCAATGACGTGCACATCTAAGGTGAATAAGGTACGTACCGTGCATGTGGCTGTGGCTAATATAGTGACTGCATGATTCAAGATCCCAGCAGCCCACAGACATGGAGTGCGAGATAACTTCAGTGCAAGAACCACAACAGCCAACTTTACTGACTAGATAACCTCTTTTCGACACAGCCAGGAAATTTGGTATGGCAGTTCGGGCGCCTCCACGTCCGTACCGCGAGGCGGCGGGGTCGGGCGTCCTTTTCCGAGTGCATCTTAAGCGACTTCCACCTCCCCCTTTCCACGGGGTCACCTTGGCGTTGAGCTCTGCTGCTTTGGCCAGCTGGTGTCATTTCTAACTCGGCTCCCTTGATGGTGCTCGGCCATGGAGCCCCTTCATTATTATCCAGTACATCCAACACGCCATATTCAGATTCCTTAGGGCCAGCGCATCTATCGTCGTCTTCGACGGGCTATATCGCATTCCTAGCAGCAACGTTGTCCGACGTGGGAGACCCCGGATACGTGGCTCCACATAACGACTAGTCGCAATGACCCTCGTCTCCATTGCCCAAAGCTTTTGATGCCAGATCGCTGGCTTCCACACATCTGGAATTCCGTGCTTCGTGGGTTCGCCCGGAGATGCCTGAGTGGTACACTGAACTTGCAAGTTGCAAAAGTCTCCTTACACCCCTTGTTCGGCGACTAAACGGTGTATTCATAGGAGGTGGAATAATCGTTCTGGAATAAGCATAGAAGACGGCTTATGGGATGACACCTGCTTATTCTAGGGTACTCGTTCGATTAATATGAGTGTAGCATTGGGATCCAAAGACTAATAGTGGCATGCCAGACGGAGAGGGCTGGGTGTAGCTCAAGCAGTCGTCTGACACAGAATGGGTCGCAAATCTCACGCATACTGATAGATATCTCTCACATTTGGTGGGTTTACTCTAGCTAGAAGGACTGGCCTCTGTTCACTTGCAACAACACTAAAGGCCCAGAATCTCGTTCGCCTTGGCAGCGATAGCCCTTGCGCCTGGGCCATCAGTATCAGCGGCAACGAGTTTTTCGAAGCCGAATGCTCGCAGTCCATTAGCACCGGCGCATGAACGGAGGTACTCTTCGGTAGGCCTGTTGACATGGTTTGCCTCGCCTTGTCCACCTGGGAAGTCCGGTCCAGGGATACCGTTCAAGAAAGCGTTCTTCTGGCGAAGGAGATACTTTGCATTTGACTCGGTAACAGGACATATCGGGATGTACAAGACACTCGAGTCCATTTTGCCCTTGTGGACCTTATCTACGGCGTGAATTGCTTGTGGACTGTCAGTTGGGGGGCTGCTGGTGAAGGGATCAAGGGGTCTACTCACTGTCACAGTGCCACACCACGAAGTCGCCGGGCTTGACTTGCGGCATGTGGATCATGGTCTTATCGAGCTCGAGGTGCGGATGCAACTCTGCGTTGAGCTCCTGTCCGTAACCAGGCGTCGCCCCTTGAAGCTCACTCGTCATCTCGGTGCCCGCAAACAGCCAGTTCTCTGCCGCCAGGTACTCGTCGCCTTGGGTGTCTTTGGCTTCATTGATGGGCCGGAAGAAGGGACGAAGGAGCAAGTACGCCACTGACAGTTGAAGCAGTGGGTTCACCATCAATGTGCCCTCTAGCGGCTTCGTATGGCTCATGCTTAACCAGCCCTGAAACATACGGAGCATTGAGCAGGCTCCCAGCCCGTTGTAGTTGTCCATGACTGCAGATACTCGCGTGCTGGCATCCCACGGGTCAAATTCTTCCCATGACCCCTTGAAGATCTTGTTGTAGACCCCACCGAGCCCATATCCGTGGAGTTCCCACCGCTCGACGCTACCTCCGTCGATGTGAGGACCGAGTGCGAAGGTTGCGTCGCCGGGTTGTCTGATGCGCAAGCGGTCTGCATATGCCAGCGGCTGCGATGTGGAGATGGCACTTTCGGGGTCAGAAGAATGCCACAGTTCCATGAGCGCCGTTTGGACTTTCAACAAGTTGGGATGAGCTCGTGAGCGGGTCTGCGGGCCTGACCAATACAGCTCATAGACTTGCGGGTTGCCTTCTGGATATGCTGGTCTCTGTCAGGCCGTGTTCTTCGCACGACAGAAGTGTGGCAGTCTCACCTTTAGTCGAGGGGTTCTGGCGTACATACTCCTCAATTTCGCCCTTGAATGCACGAGCTTCGTCTTCTGGGATTACGCCTCGGATGACGGCGACTCCTCTCTTCCTAAGCTCGCCACGCAGCCTCGTGAGATCACCTTCAAGGTCCTTGAACTCTAGGCTAGGGACAATCTGTGGACCTTCTTTCGCAACCGTCTCGTTTTCGCGGCTGAGCTGAGCGAGTAGTCGTTGCCAGCTCGCAATAACACGATCCTCGTGGCCGCTGATTAGTGTTTTCTTGAGCTCAAGGAATCGTTCAGGCAGTGGCGGTCCGCCTTTCCCGGAAAGAGACACGAATGAGTCGGATATGTTGCCTTCCCTTTTGTCCTGAGATTGAGGCGATGCCATCATCAAGGAACGGGCTCGGGAAACACTGCGTAAAGCTGCCCTTGAAAGAGGCAACGCAGCCCAGGTCGGTATGGCGGGAGTGTTGGCGATAACCCTCATGATTCGAAAAACGAGAACCCCCTGCCCCCTGACCCCATGGCCCTGCGGACAGACGCGTTTATATGATGAGGCGCGAAGAACGTCTTGCGGCCGCTGGAAGTGCCAAGGGCCTCGGAGCTTCTGCTTACCGTTTAGCGCTCAAGTCATCTGCCAATGTGCTCATCGTTGGTCTGACACCGTCGGCCATGGTGCAGACATCTGCAGACAGACTTCGTCTACCTACGAGAATGAGCAGAAGGCGGGGGGAGGCGGACAGGCGGACAGGCGGACAGGCGGACACGATAGGTTGTGGACTAGCCAGTCCCGACGTCGGAGCTGCCATTCTGAGCTGGCGGCGCTGCCCGGTGGGTCCCCCTTATTCCCTTATTCCCTATCTGGTCATTGTCGGAGATGCCAAAACAGGCTACCCCGACAGCGGACCCTGAAGACCGACCCCCATTAACGTCTCTGCGCCTCTGAGGCACTTCACATTTGTCGTTAATCTCACCACGTCCTTTGGTAAAATTTCCCTTACTCTGCAGTTCCGGAAAGAGAATGCGCCCCGCAAGCTGTCCACGAGCAGGCGGAGGCGACATATCCAGCCCAGTGCCGCCGTTGCAATGGTGAAGTTTGTGGAATCAGACACGTCGGGTCTACCCCTGAAGCGGAAGCAGGTAGCTCACGCCTGCTCAAAATGTCGCCAAAGGAAAAAGAGGTGTACGCATGTGTCAACCCTATCAACCCTGTCACCGAGCAAGGAGCCCCAGCGTACTCTGACTGTTCGTCGCAACCAGGCACTGTCGCCTAGCAGTCTTGCTACCACGCAGCCAACCTCCCCTTCATCCCACCATGAGCCTGGGACCTCAGAAGGCCACGCCCCAAGGTTTGTCGGTGACTCGAATCCCGAGGCTATCTTCATGGAGGCCACCAGCCTCTGCCTCCACCGCGACGTCTCGGCTCCTGGAGGCTTCGGCGTCTGGCAGTTGGCCGGCGTACCCGCCTCCGGCTCGCCCTCGAGGCAGGCTGTCCAGAAGATATTGAAACCATATCTGTGGAATCATTGTCTACCCTGTCTTCCACCACCGCCGGATTACGCCGTACTGCAGCGCATATACCTGCAGAAACTAGATCCCATATTTCCGATTCTTGGCGACATGTCGACCGCCTCTCCCGCGGACGAGGTATCGAGGATTCTACCCCAGCAGGTGATTAGCCTTGCGGCGGCGGCAGACCCCGAAGCTACCCAGCATCTTCGGTTGAGTCCTGCAGGTGCCGTGCTTCCTCGCCATGAATTCTGTGCTTCACTGTCCAACTCGATCCAGACGACACTGGACGTTGGCTTGATTACAGACCGTATCCTCCTCACTCGGATCACTGCCGCCTTGTCGCTGTACACGCAACCTAGCAGCCAGGAAGAGGCCGACATTCCTGCGCTGCTCAATAGTCGTGCGGTCCACCAAATGCATGTCAGTACCTTCTGTTCTCATGACCTCCTATTGAGAACGCGAGTTTCTCATAGTCGTAGCTTCTGATCCCTTTGTCTGGTCGGATATGACGTTCAGACTGCTCGTCTGACTGCCCTAAGGGATGATTGCTGACTGGAAGTCGGAGATAGACGCTGGGCATTCAAATGGCCGTAGACGATGCCAATGCGAAATGCGAAATGATACGGACCTTGTTCTGCTGCCTGTGGGCTCTGGATCGCCTCAACGCGGCCTTCTACGGCCGCACCTGTCTCATTCACGAGAGAGACGTGGGGTGGGACTTTGATGACTGTATCGAGAGACAAGCACCACCATTCCGTTTATTCTTATTGATAATTGGCTTGCTCGATGAGGTCATTGGCCTCTACCGACCTACCAATCGACACGAAAAGGCCACACTCATCGAGCTGCCCATCTTCGAACAGATGATTCTCGATGCTGGTGCTTCTCGGGTATCGAACTCATGTCTGGGTGAGTATGGGACAGACCTACTTGACGCTATGTGACGAACAACCCAAAGCTGATCCCTTCTGAAGCCTCTCTAGAGATATTCTATCACTCGGTAGCTATACTGTCTAGTCAGTCACCGGCCGATGGGACGCGTACTGCCCTGCCAGCGCCAGCGACCAATAGCCGGCGGTCGCTGGCAGCGGATCGAATAACTTCCATTGTCGGAGGGGAGTTCCTAGATCAGCTTTCATATATGCCCTTCATTCCCTACGGGGTGTCATTGTCGCTATCCGTATCGTATAGGAAGATGCGACACAGCAAGATCCCCATGTTCCGAAACCGTGGGAAGCAGGCGTTCAGGGCGAACACGATCCTCCTCAAATCACTAGACGACACATTCTGGACGGCGAAGACCATCGTGGAAAAGGCGGAGCAAGTTCTGCGGGAGATGGACAAGGCCGTCGCGTCACTTGCGCAGGAGACAGGACTGACAGAGTCATCCAAGAGGACGGCAGAGCCAACTTCGCATAGAGAACATCAACCGTCGCAGTCGGCTACGGTTGACCCTGCAGCTCACGATGCTCTTCAGGGCAGCAGCGACTGGTCGTTTCTCGAAGCAGCCCCTGATCTGGATGTGTTTGGATATTTCGATCCGACATTCGACCTAGGCGCTGTGGATGCCGCGCTCGAGGGGAACCTGGATTTTGGAGCCTCGTCGAACTGGTTTGACTGGCAGTGACTGTGAGGGTAAAAGCAAGCGATTCGGTGAGGTCGCAGAGTCACACAGTATGGCAAGATGCCGATTTTCATGGTGCCACGCAAGTGTCAGCTGCCCTTTGATGCCTTCGTCTACCATTCTGGTGCTTTTCGCTCACCAGAGATGGAGCGCAAGGTCCATTATAAGATACCTCAGTCCGACCCCTGTCTTAGTAGTGAGAACCACATACAATTAAGTATCATCGGGGAGACAAGAAAATATCGACTGGAATCGATGGCGAGACATAGATTCTATCGACGTCAAGATTATAGCTGGGCTCGGTTATGTCTTGTGGTGCCTCTTTTCCTCTATTAATTCACACGATGTCAACTGGACAATCTCTCCCCCTTTGCCTGGCTCATCATCATTTTAATTGTACGATATCCGATATAGACTTCTGCCCGCTTCAGAGACAACCCTCCACGGTCTTCAATATCCGCCACCGGGAAAGGGCACATCCGACTATCCTCGCTGAGTCTACCGCCGTCGACTAGGCCCACTTGGACGCGATCACCGTAGGTACCTGGCTGTCTCGAGACGAAAATGCGATTTCGATACAGAGTATGTACAACGCGGGTGGCTTGTGATGTGTACCTACATATATAACCTTAGGTAGGTACAAAAGGCAGGTCGAACCCCGCAACACCAGGACAGTACATTCCAGGACCTCACTCAGTGAGACCTGCATTACCCCGTGTCTCCGTGTCTCCATGTCACCTTGCAGAGACTCTTACATGCACCACATGCACCCACGGCAGATAATAGTACGCATACCCAGAGACATGATCACGCCGTCGTCTGCGTGAGAGCCCTACTTCTTACCGTCAGTCAGACTGCGAGTCGCTGTCAGCCATTGATAAGGCTAGCAACGGGTGCCGGTCCTGTCTCATGTGCCGCTGTGCACCTGGCAACTTGAGTTACTCTACGCCATCGAAAGCGCCAGCATGGAGGCCCCGGATACCATCTCGGTCACTCTCCCGCAGATCGCCAAACTCATTGACTACTCTCTCCTGCACCCCACCATGACAGACCGAGATATCCTCGCCGGATTAGAGTTGGCCAAGAAATACAAGGTTACTACGGCCTGCGTCAAGCCCTACAGCATTCCCGTCGCGAAAGACGCACTGGCCGGGTCCGGCGTGCTGATCTGTGCCGTCGTCGGGTTCCCCCACGGGAGCAGCACCACGCACACGAAGGTACTGGAGGCCGAGGAGGCCGTCAGCGCCGGCGCGCACGAGATCGACATGGTCGTCAACGTGGGCAAGGTGCTGGGCGCCGACTGGGAGTACGTCACCAACGAGATCCGCGCCATCAACGACACCGTGGTCAGGCACGACGCCGCGCTCAAGGTCATCTTTGAGAACGACTTCCTCGACGACGATCACATCGTCTACCTCTGCAAGATCTGCACGTCCCTCTCGGTGGCTTTCGTCAAGACGTCGACCGGGTACGGCTTTGTAAAGCAGCCCAATGGGTTCTACACCTACCGGGGCGCCACGGTGACCCGTCTGAAGCTGATGAAGGCGAATGTCGGGCCCGAGGTAGGCATCAAGGCTGCTGGTGGCATTAGGACCTTGGACGATTTGCTCTTTGCAATGTCCTTGGGCGTCAACCGAATCGGCGCATCGGCAACAGCGTCTATCATGGAAGAAGCCATCAAGCCCGGCATCAAGAATACACCAACAGAAGTACCGTTGGTCCCGATGGTTGGAGATGCCGAGGGCGGGGAATATTGAGACGAACCAGTTCAAGAGCCGCTACATAGTATCATTGGCGGAAACATCTGCTTCTTCTCTAATTGTGTGGCCTATAATTGATACCACGACTCACTCCAGCCGCAGTAGTAAGGCGAAGCACGAAGATAGGGCTCCATAACCAACACCATGATTGGTACGGACGGTCTAGATCAGTGCAAGTGCTATAAGGTGTATAACCATGCGACTGGTAAACGCATTACCAGTGAGGACAAAGCGAGTCTAAGCCAGGGAACCGAGACACGGCATCAGAGTTGATATGAATGGTATGCTGTTGATGCTCTTCAGTTCCTACTTCTCGTTAAGGTGAGGGATACACAATATCAATCTTCAAATATGTGCCTGTATCAATAGTCCCTCGCACACGTTGGCACGGCTTCTCAGTCCCCTGTTCTGGGTACACTGAACCCTCATAAGTCTCCGTATACCCCCGTCCAGCATAACGGTATATTCGTCGAATTCGAATAAGCACACTGGGATAAGCATTGAGAGCGATGTATCAAACCGGGGCTGCTTATTCCTGTATGCTTATTCCAGTATTTCCGACTATCCTACTGATAATCTGAAGTCTTGCCAACATGCGCGTGCGGAGACTTGTGGGGGCTCAGTATACGCCCCGCGCAGATAGACCTTTCCGCAATACGACACAGAGGTGGAGTTTATAGTTTCGACAAGAAATGCATCAGGTAATCCTTCTTGCCGAGGGGCACGCCCTTCATCCTCAGAATGTCATACATGGTGGTGACATGGAAGTAGGCGTTCGGCAGGGTGAAGCCAGTGACGAACTCCACAGCGCTGCACTTCACTTCCCCGGTTGGTATAAGGATCGAGACCGTGTCGGATGGCTGGACCTTGATAGACTCGGGCTTGGTATCCGACAACAGCTTCAACATCTCTGAGAGCTGAGTGTGGTACTCTTCTTGGGGTACTGCAGGATCGATGTCAGCTGTAACTCGTGGCCATTCCTCAGAGATCCCCTGACTATCTACATATGGTTGTGTAGAGATGAGTGAGTGGTGGTAGGGGTTTGCATACACGCCTCTTTCTCCAGGGCCGGGGCTTGGAGGTCGGTGAGCGTCTCGAGGGCCCTCCTGGCCTGATTGATGGTGATTACGATCTGTAACCCCAGCGGCAGCATATCATCGTGAATACGAGCCTCCAAGAGCTCCGTCACGGGGATCTTGTTCTCAACGGCGAAGTCTTCTGCCTTCTTCAGGAGGCTCTCTTCACATGCGAGCATGTTGGTCAGCACGGGGATGCTGAGGTCGTAGAGCGATGCCATGTTTGCGAAGGAGGTACTGATTGAGCGTTTGGAGCCTGGTCAACATGTACAAAGTGTGTGTGCAGTTGCTTTCGACTTTGATATCAAAGGGGCGAGATCTGAGGCGGAGAGTGTGTGCGTGAGAGACACGCCCCATCCACTGTTTAAGTATCAGGGGCGGCGACTGCTGATGCACTTGCTTGCATTGACTACCTACGTTGAATTCGCTGCTTTTGATTATGCTGCAGGTCATCGTGTCCCTCAAACAGCCTCGGCCTTGGTAGATGTGTAGGTTCAATCAAGGCGAGGAGCGAAGGAAGGCAATCTGCCCCGTCACATTTCTAATCACCGCCTGGCTTATCAATCAATCAACCAACGCCGCGACTCGCAAGATGCACCGCTTACCAATTGGAAGTACATTGCCAGGAGTTGAGGATGCTCGAAAGTGTCCAAAGACCTCAATACATCATGGACCTTACTGTGATTAATAAGTTTGGTCTTGAACCTCCTGGAGGCGGGGCTACAGGGGGTGAGCGTGACAGAATGAGGGATAACTTACCCCTGAGACAGCCCACAGCTCCGCATGCTCGCGCTCGCGTCGATGGCAATCGACCACGCTTGGGCACATTGGCTAAGGAAGCTACCTTGTTGAAGCTATGTGCCGACGGGTCGTGCTGTACCATTACCATCTCAACGCATCAATTTCAGACCACCAACAGGAGTAATGACCACTGATTGAACTCGGTGGCCAGCTATCTCTCCGCAGATGCTGAGCTCACCTGCTACATTGCTGTCAGGGATGAGTGGAAGCCCGGGGGAAACAGTGTCGTCAATTCAGTCGCTAACTAAGAGGGTACTATACAGACTGACTGCCGCAAGGTCAGAGGGGAGACTGGAGACTGACATGACTAAGAGTAGAGTAAATCATCGAAAGGGTACCGGAAATCACCTCCTGCAGTACACCGCAACTGCACACCGCCACCGCACACTCATTCCGCTCCGAGAGCAGGGGCTCTGCATAGTAGTCCGTCACGTACCACCCACCCGGCCAAGGCTAATCCTTGGTCACCCACAGCCAAACCACAGGCTTCTGTCCCCACTGGCCGTTGCGCGAGCCGTCCCAACCCACCTGCTTCAGCGTCTTCTTCAAGTCCTCCCGCTCATCTCCCGCGAAAATCATGCCGCGGTACCACTGGCCGTTGCCGCCTCGGAGCACCTCGCACAGCTTGTTCTTCTTGGGAACAGAGTCGCATGCGCCGAAGCCCACCATGAGCTCGCCGATGGTCGTGTTGACGGGGATGTGGGCTGCGATGAAGTGAAACGACATGCCCGAGCTCCGCCAGGGTGCCCGTGAGGACTTGATGATGTGGACCTTGGTATGCTCGCCGTGGAATACGTAGCCGTAACCGGGCTCGCAGCCCGCGCCACCAGTCGAGTTGACCATGTTGAAGCCGGCCGTTGTGTAGTCAACGACCGGGTGAGGCTGGGGCAGTCGGGCGGGGGTATTCTGCCAGAAGGGGACAGGGGGAGCATAGCCGTTGCTGGGCACAACATAGGCGGGACTCAGTCCATTGGGCGCTGCGGGGATCGGGTAAGACTGCTGGCCCATGGCATAGGGGTAAGCTCCCTGACCCGGCATGAAGCCAGCGCCGGGGTAGGCAGCCGCGTATCCTCCGGTAGGAAAAGCATTGCCATAGAAGGCTCCGGCACCAGCGGCGCCACGGCGACCGTCCCAGCCGGACTGCGAGTTCCAGCCTTGTCCAGACATGGTCGCAGGGAAAGGGAAGTTGGTCAGCGGGGAATGGGTTGCAGGAACGGGGCCAAAGAAAGCCTCGACGTCAAAGGGCAGAGGCTCGGGAGGGCCGGTCTGGTAGAGGGTAGGGTGAGAGTCGATGTCGATCTGAAAGTTGTAGTCGAGTTCTTCGTACACAATCTCGTTGCCACCGGCGTCTAAAAGACACTTGGATTAGCACAGTAGGATCAGGTCGAGGAAGGAGAAGAAAAGGGCACGACGGCAAGGACTGGGCGGCCTAGCAGGGGAGACTTTGCTTTATTGATCAAGCAAACCTTACTATGAGTAAGCGGTGATGGGAAAAGTGGCAGACTTACCAAGGTCAGTTGCGTCAGTGCCGGGGACTCTGCCCGACTCAGCGATGTTACTGAGGAAGACCTCGATATGCCAGAGCTCGTTATCCTTGTCGTCGTAGAAAGCTCCTACAACCAACCAGGCCCAGGATCGGCGGGACGGATGAACACACAAGTGTTGCCCTATGAGGAGTTTTGTGGCAGGGTAGGGCAGCTCAGCAGTGGTGGACTGCTCGTACCGGGAATCCAGCTTGAGGGGGGTTGAGCAACCAGGTCTGCGCCCTGGTCACCGAGGAGTCAGGGGTAGTTGGGGAAGTTGGGGGCAACAAGAATCCAGGTCACAAACTAGGCTCGCTACTGTCGTTTGTACCCGAGCTTGTGTCTGTCACTAACGCGGTAGAATGCTGCTGGTACAGAGGCTGAAGCTTGATGATGCTGACGATGCTGAATGTCCCAAATGCTGGTGTAGGGATGACGGGCAGAAGGAAGAGAGTTGGAGCAAGGCAGAAGAAGGCCCAGAGATATGTAGACAATATAACAATATAGACAGGATCTGTGCGCATGGTCGCCTGAAGGTTCCGGCACCGGTCGCTCAATGAGACGATCGAGACTTGACTCGGCAGCGCATACAATGTGTCAATGCATCCCAACTCATGATCCTCCCCCTTCAGTTGAGACAGTTGGACAGTCAGAGCTGACCGTATGACTGGGAAGCTCTGACACCAAGCTGATGTTCCTGGCCCAATCGGCGGCCTGCGCAAACAAAGTATAGGGAAATTGGATGTCCAAATGCCCAAAGCTTCTATCACATAAGGTATTCCGCTCTTGTGGACAGTGTGTCCAGAGCCTCCGCCCTTTCTAATCTTGATTGCTCAACATGAATGAGCAAATCGTTGAACACCAGTCGCATGTTCACGGATGCCGAGTCGGCGGCAGCTTGTAGCCTGACCGCAAGCTTGGACTGCAGGACGAACGCCCACTGGCTGCAATTCTGCATGCAGAGGCGAGCTGCGGGAGGTATTCGATCTTGTGTGTTTGTCATTGGCACTAGTCTACACGAGACGAAGTCACCAGGACCATGGCTGACTGCAAACAGTGCGCATATCGCCAGCTGGGAAGAACCACGGCGGACGCCAGGTCACAATGACAGCCGAGTACCGGTCGGACTCTGCTGAATGGTTCATCCTTCCGTCACCGTTGAACAATGTTGGTGTAGTCTCATAGAATTGAATGATCCTGAGCCTGTGCGCGGCAATCCACTTGGAGCACCTCTTAATCTTGCGCTCCCAATTCGATGTCTTGGATTGCCATTTGGCACGGTGTTGATGAGTCACCATAGCGTTTTCCATTACTACCAATTTAGCATTCGGCAGCTATTGCGTCCTGGAGCGCACGCCTCGCAAGCAAACTTGCAAGTTGCGACCGGGAAATGTATGCGTCTTGCGGACTGGTGCTGCATTCTGGACCGTAACGTAGACCCGGGAAAAGCGCCAGATGACGAAAGGTGTCAAATGATTGCAGGGAAGCGTGATAGTGGCTCTAACTTCGCTCTTTCTGGCCCTGGACATCTGTCCAGCAGCTTTCATCGAGCATTTAGAAGAGCAATGCCGGGATGCCGCGACGCATTGGGCTATCTCGAACTCGTTGAACAGAAGCATCGCAATATTGCTTTCGTCTAGGGGGTCCCGTGAGTCGGCCTGTAATCATTATAGCCTCCGTGTGCTGACCAGCCAGAACCTGTCTGTTGAGAGCAGCTCGTGGACGTCGATGTGGCGGAGAACAAATTAGGTATGCGCTGCTGGGACACATTGAGACTCGACACAACCCAGCAGACTGTTTGGTGGCGATGACCCAAGGAAATCATGTTGGGCTTCCGTTGCCACATGGGACCTGACAATGCGCCTTCAGCCTGCGGTGCCGTCTTCCTGCTGCACCATGCGTACAGCACCCCCTTTTCGCCCCTCCTCGACGTCGCTTTTGACCCGCCTCCGCTGCTCGACGTCGAAGACGAGGTTCTTGAGATAGACCTCAGCCTGTACTGTCGCACTGTAGGCGACGGCGCTCCAGCTCCAAACGTTCCGCTTCTCGGCATCGGCTCCAGCGGCAAGGAGGGTTCGTAGGACGAGGAGATGGCCATTGCTGCTGGCGAAATGCAGGGCAGTATTGCCGTCAAGATCGGCTCTCCGGACAGCCGTCTCGGCGCCTTCGGGCACGTAGGTGAGGAGGATCTGGATTACGGTGTCGTGCCCTCCCACGCTAGCTTCCATTATGGCATCCCGGCCTCGGATATCGTGTCGGAGAATGGAGGACGGGTCGCTCTCGGCGAGAAAATGGACGACTTCGGTGTGGCCAGCCGAGGCTGCTAGCATCAGGGCGGTCTGGTGTTTCTCGTTGAGAGCAGGAGTGGGAAGCTCGTGGTCGTGGGCAACGAGGACCTTGCAGACTTGGAGGTGGCCGAGGCTGGCGGCGAGGTGGAGGCTCGAGTTGGAGAGACCGGTGATGGAGTGGTCCGGATTGTGGATGAGATCGGGATGGGACTTGACAATGCGCTGCACCAATAGGGCATCATTGGCAAGGACTGCTCGTCGCAGCCTCTGCGATGGTTCGATCCTGGAATTGGCCATGAATCAGCTGTGGGCTACCAATGTGGAAGTTGCACCTTCAAAGGTTGGCAGAGGTGGAATTCCCACTCGGTGCAATGACTGACATGATCGCTGTTGCATCCAGAGCCGCACTCACGGCTGCAACCCTACAACAACCTCGAATCCCAGCCGTGCGCAATGTCGTCGTGGCATCGGAACCCGACTCTTGAGATCGATGCTGGTGGCTAATGCCGGAGTACCTCGTCTCTGGAAGTGTTGTCGATCAAGTACCGATTGATGTGCTGATTGTGACGGCCAATTGCCAAAAGCTCTTGTGATGGTTCAGGACTTCCCATGGGTGTTGTGCACTCTGGCGGCATATCGCCGATGGTGCCTTGTACGAAGAATATGCGATGTGAATGTTGAAGTTGGGGAAGTGACTCTGTCGTCGATCAACACACCGGTGGGTTAACATAAGGTACAGTAGGTTTGGCTGACTGGCAGCTGGCTGACTGACGCCAGATGTAGAACAGTGGGGTATGCCGTACAGTGCTGATACTGTACCGGCTACCACCTGCGTCGCGTCTCAGGGGTATGAAGCATTGGTGGTGTTATCTTTATTGACAACCCTTCAACCCTTCAACCTAGGTGACAACCCTTCAACTTTGTAGGTGTCATTGGGACCCATGACTGAACGACCTGTCTTCATGAAGTGCATCTGTCGCGCGACAACTCGCCTGCCCGTTACTCAACACCGCACACGTCACGACATCACATCACATCACATCACACGTTGGAACCCGACGCCAGATCAAGTACCATACAACTGTGGGCGTGCAGGATCTTCACGTATGCTACCTACCTTAGTCATCTAGCTACAGCATGTGCTTCCTAGTAGTAATCAGCCTTTATAAACTCTCACGTCTAAATGCAGACAACGACATGTAAATGAACCCTTGGTGCACAGAGAGCAGCGCTCACCTTCTTTGGGAGTTGGCCTATCGGCCACTGGATGAGTACAAAATACATTTACCTTCCGACTACTTAAAAACGTCCGATCATCACCAAGGTAGCATTGGCCCTTGTATAAATCGTCTGGCCTTTGTTTGCAAAATGTTTAACGTCTTTTAGAGATCATCTAATGTATACAGCGGACGCTTGTTATGTCCATGAGACGAAATGCAGGGGATGATTCGTCTGGTTTATAGGGGAAACATCGTCCTTATCCATGTTCAAGAGCTAATGGCAGATATATTGAGGAACCAGAACTGACTGCTTACCTACACAGATTATCCAGGGACTTGGTCAACAACTTCGAGGTGACTACTTCCGACTAGGAACCCACCCACCGCCGTGCCAGGCTTGAGGCGGGCTAGGCTGCTGCCAAGGCACCTCCTTGCTACGGGGAGCTTCTATACTTTATCTGCCATGTATTACTATTCAGATACAAGGAAAGCTTCGCGGCAGCATGTGCTGACATGGGTTTGGCCCTACAGTATGAGGAGCTATGCTCTGTCGCCAATAAGACCGTACATAAAAGTGGACCAGCGAACGACGGCCTGATGAGGGAAGTCAGCTGATGAGGTGATGGGCTATGTTTTCCTCTTCGTTCCAACTTCACACTCGGCGCAACACCACACGACGCAAGATATTGAACTACTCGGTACACTTCACGCCCAGCCCCACGTCCGATACCACCGCTACTATGCAGCACCTCCTACAGAACCTACCCCCTGAGCTGCTGGCGGCCATAGTTGAAGAGCTCCCCTGGGAAAGCCGCCTGTCACTCAGCGCCACGAGCTCCGTCTTCCGTGCTGCCCTGGCGGCTCGTTTTTTTCGTGCCATCGTGGTGTCGAATAAGCCTGGCACCAGTCTGGATGGTCTGCGGGCATGGGCAGAGAAGTACGGGTCTCTAGTCGACGAGGTGCATTTCCTCGGGTCGCGAGATGGCTTGGACAACACTGTCCGGGAGACCTCCCAGGAGGAAGACGGCGTTCACCGTGGCACGCAGTGTCTCCTCCCCACTCTGCTGCAGGGCATACTCTCTGGCACACGCCTCTCACAAGCAAGTACTGTCAGGGTCTCCTTTGACTTCGACTTCAATCGTGGTCACGAGCCTGGAAGTGACTGGGAATCCGAGAGCGAGTTGCTTGATGACGACATCGATTCAATATACGTGTTCCAGGTACCTGAAGAGACATTGCAAGTCATCAAGCACAAGGAAGACAGGTATCCCTGGCGCCAGCTTATGGCAGAGACATGCGCTACATTAGCCCAGAACCAGAATGTCAGGAAGTTGGTGATGGAGGAGCTAGTGCCCAAGCCCACGTCTACTTTCTTCACTACGGCCTGGTCCTCTTTCCTCGGCCAATTGGACGTGCTGGACATATCAGGAATTTGGAGCGAGGATAACGGCGCAGGATGGCACGCGAACACCTTGGACGGCTATCTCCATTTTGAGGCGCACATGGGCGACTATTTCTTCGAGCATGCCCGAAGTCTGAGACACGTGAGGCTCTCCGCCGCCTCGGCGACTGCCTTTGGAGTTGACGGGAACTTGTTCGACTGCGCGTTGCCACTGGAAAAGTGCCACCTTCCGCATCAGCAGAGGCTTGAGCTTCAGTATATGCTGATAAGCCCCAAGCTCGCCGATTTTGTGCTGGTCAAGGGCACAACGCTGCGGAGTCTACGGCTGGTTGACTGTCATGCCAATACCGATGCGGACCTGGACCAGAACCGGACTTTCCCGTGCTGAACCGCGAACCACATTTTGAAGCCGGCCGACATTCAATCATCACTTGGATCAGTGTGACGCACACTGTCACATGCGCCTGGTTGTTGTTTACTCAGATGCCGTCTCTGGAAGGAGCACAAACCTCCTTAATCAGATATTTTTCCGGCGTTCGGACACGACACCCTCCTACGACCAGAGTGGCAGAGGGGTGGCTACTTGGCAGCTTGGCAGCTTGGCAGCCATTAATTCTTCCGTGTGGAGACCGGCTTCCGGAGTGGACGTGAAGTTGCAATATGACTCTCGCCGTGTCTTCCCCATTCCCACCACTCTGTATGAAACCATGGAGGATCGACAGGACCTGGTCCGGCAACCCGGGTGCCAACCCCCATGCGGAACAACGGAGGCAACGGAGGTGAGCCGGTTCTGGCGCACCTGCACATGCCCGCCAAAGAGCCAACAAAACGATGCTGGATCTAGTATTCGTTGCGACGCGCGACAGGGCGCCTGTCCCTTGGCAAGTTGGAATTGAGGTGACGGCACTGATGATCATGGGAGCCTTTCTCCCTGGAGCCCGCATTCAAGTTCCGAGGACAACTGTCCGTCTTGAGCAGGTGTTTATTTATGATCACTGAAATCCGACTCTTGCTCGCGTGGACGAGGTGGCTTTGACTTCATCGCTCATCTTCGTACCTTTCTGCGCCCTCGCATCGCACGCTTCGCCATGGCGTCAATGAATTTCCCACCATACGGCTCGCCGCTCGGAGCGCTTGCTGCGATAGCATGTCACCTCTTGTAAGTTCCGCCGATGGCCGCCCAGGTCTAGTTCGTATGACCGCCTGTCCTCAAGTGAGCATTCGGCATCGTGGTCGTCGTTGGTACAAAAGAACGTGGTTCGCCACAATGGGTTGCTGTGTCGCAGTGTCGCTGTGTCGTTGTGTGTGTCTGTGTGTCTGTAGCATACCTGTCAAGCCTCGACAACTGCAGAGTCTGTGGATCGCTCTACGCCCGACCCTCGCGATGAGGTCTACGGCTGCCCTTGGCGTGGTGCTTGCACTGGCTTCAGGCTCAAACGCTCAGCAGAGCGCATATGGTCAATGTGAGTGTCCGCTGCCGTGTGGATTGAGCGCAGCGTGCTGATAATAAACGAGGGTGGCGGCATAGGCTGGACAGGACTTACAGCTTGTGTTACTGGGTGTACCTGCGTATCGTCGAACAGCTGTAGGTTTTGATCGCAGGATCCCAAGAGCGTGGCACTGAACTTAAGCCACAGACTATTCGCAATGCATCCCAGGCACAGGATCGATGACACAGACTACACAGACAATCCTGACCACTTCCGTGCAGTCGACCAGCTCGTCTAGTACCCAGCTGACCAGCACTAGGAGCACAACCTCGGCAGCACCGACTGGGACATCTGCTCTCGAATGCACCGGCACTTTCACACCAATCTCGGCTTCCGAGTACGTGGCGGCCATGAACCCTGGCTGGAATCTGGGTAACACCTTGGATGCAACGCCAGACGAAGGCTCGTGGAACAATCCGCCCGTCGTGGCCGAAACGTTCGCGGACGTCAAGGCTGCCGGGTTCAAGAGCGTGCGAATACCGGGTATGATGGTTGAAACTAGCTATGGAAGGACATGTGAATAGGTACTGACATCCTCTGGTGATGTAGTTACCTATGCCGACCACTTCACCGGCAGCTCTCCTGACTGGACTATCGACCCGGACTGGCTGCAGCGGGTATCCGATGTGGTCGACATGGCCGTGGACGCCGGACTATATGTCCTGACAAATGTCCACCACGGTACGTGTTGTGTGACATGAATTGATCCTAGCTGGACCTTGGGCTAATTGCTGACCAGATTCGTGGGAATGGGCCGACGTGTCAGCGTCGGGTGCGAACTTGACCATGATCGAAGAGAAGATGCACCGGACGTGGGTCCAGATCGGCGAGACTCTGGGCTGCAAATCCTCCATGGTGTCTCTCGAGCCCATCAACGAGCCCCCAGCTTCGGATGCCGAGGATGGTACAGAACTAAACAAGATCAACGGAATATTTCTCCAGGCTTTGGCCGAGTCTGGAGGGTTCAATACCCAACGGGTCGTAACTCTTGTCGGCGGTGCCATGGACAGTATCAAGACCTCCGAGTGGTTTGTGGCCCCTACCGGATACGATAACCCATGGGCCCTGCAGTACCACTACTACAGTCCATATGACTTCATCTTTAGCGCTTGGTATGGCTACTGATCGACTTCTGCGCGTCGTGCTGACGAGATCTGCAGGGGCAAGACGATCCTGACCGACTCGGACATCGCCACCATTGAGGCCGACCTGGCCAACATCCGGGGCAACTTCACCGATGTGCCTCTGCTCATCGGCGAGTTCGACGCCAGCCCTATAAACTGTGAGCCCGCTGCTCGGCGGAAGTACATGGACGTCGTTGCTCGAACAGCCAAAGAACTCGACACGGCGGTCATCCTCTGGGATAACGGACTGGACCACCTTGACCGCGATACGCACACCTGGAGAGACGTTCACGCCATACAGATTCTGATGAATGCTGTGGCGGGTGTAAGCAACAGTCTCTCGGATGCCACAACCGACGCGGCGGCCACAGAGCAGTCGAGTTCCGCATACTTGTTCCACAAGGTGGGCGATGCTGTGGCCGACCAGGCAATCACAGTCTCCTTGAATGGCAACACTCTGGACTCGATCGCTACCGACGACGGAATGACCCTCACTGCTCCGACCGATTACTCCATCTCGGACGAGACTATCACTTTTACATCGTCGTTCTTATCGCAGTACGTGTCTGAGACAGCAGAACCGGGAACCAAAGTCGACCTGACTCTAACCTTCTCCGCTGGTGCCACGGCCGGCGTGACCGTGGCTCAGTGGGAGCTCCCGACTCTGGCTTCAACGTCTTCCACCGCCGTCGCAGGCGCCGATCTGCTGATCCCTATCACCTGGGGCGGAATCAACGAGCCCGCTGCTGTGAAGATGCTGCGGAGTGACGGGGACTATCTTTTCGACGACTGGACCCAATATCTGGGACCCCTGCAGGCAGCCTACGGCACCTATTCGGGTCAATGGAACTGGGACAGTGGCGATCTGATCTTGACCTCTACCACCGTCGCCGCTGTCATTGCTGCACGGGTGCCCACGACCTTCACGTTTGACTTCTTCCCTAGGGTCGCTGGGAACTCGTTGAACTACACGTTGAACGTTTAATGGCAGATTTGGGGACAAAGCCGGATGCTGGCGGAAATCGGGGACATGCAGGGAATACAAGTTCTCTATGCTCTTCTTCCTCGTATATATTGATCCACACGTACATAAGAACGTCTCTCCAACTCATGTGCAATTCCCAAGCGGTGAGCCCTTCCATGACAAACCTCTACCGCCGCCAAGTACCCAAAGTCATGCCATTCTATGTTGCTCACTGCATGTGGTAAAGAGTAGTCGTTAGATATTCGAACAATTGCCTGGAAATACTGAACCCTCAGAAATCTCCGTACATTCCGTACTCGGAAGGTCTCCGATCTCAAGCTCCGTGTATAATCTATGGAATAACCACTTTAGAACAAGCATTAAGCTTGGCTTGATAGAGTTTAACTGCTTATTATAAGGTGCTTATTCCACCGATTATATCCCATCGAAAAGAACACTTTAGAGGTGCGCGGACGGAGACCTATGGGGGGTCACTGTAGCAGATAACCCAGGGGCAACGTACTGGTGTACCACTTGAATGCTGGTCTTTATACAGCGATCATGTTGTCTGCCGCTAGGATAGCAACACCAGTCGCGCAGTCAAAAGGAACCAGTACCTTACACAGCGACTCCAACCTTCCCTGCGCAGGGGTTCCTTTAGCTAACGTAAAGTGAAAGGCGAGTGGCTGCCACCCGGAGTCCGAATAGTCAATCCGTCATAATGGTAGGATTGGTGTTACCACACCCAGTTGTTCGGTGGCTTTGATGGCACCACCTGAATACAGTGATGCCGATGGTCCAGACTGTCTGCGTATCTCAGGAAGAGGAACAAGAGCGAAGGTCTACCCGGCCATTGGTGAATGATCTGGGAAGGGGAAGTCCTCATTAGGTAAATCGTCTTTTCAGGAGCCCCTGACAGGACGCGCAAGTGCCCTACCATGATGCTGTCGGACCGTCCACTGCACCCGCACCCGGAGATGCATTGCACGTTGTCTTCACGTTACATCTCACCAACCACCGTCTGGTTTAGGAATTGGGGCATTTGTTGAGGCCCCCGATTGCCCAATCAGAGCTGGCACGCCCGCGAGATAAGAAGACGAAGAGAATGCATGCGAGCAGCGCACCAGGCTCTGTTATCAGTCTATGGCGTTCATCCCCTGTTGACGCCACCGGGAGAGTGCATCATTGCAGGTCGACTGCAACCTCTACTCACCACTTGGGAACTCCGTGCTGTCCCGACTAGTAAGTCATAGCCTGCCGCTGGGGGCGAGGTTTCCTATCCCGCTGCCTCCTGTTCCTTGATGCCAACTGCTCAGGCTGCTGGCAAGCGTAATTGTACCTGTACCCATTCAAGCTCAATGCAGATTACAGCTTAGCACTGAAGGCAACAACCTCTGAGCAAGTGTCAGACCATCGTGCCAGATCTCCTGAATTTGAGCGGCTCACCTCCTATTCCAATGGCTGCCCCTCAACCAGCGACGCTTGCCCTTGACGGCAGCGACCCTCGCAAGCCTTTGTTCCAGGTCGACAATATCACAACCGATGCTGCACGCGTCGAATACGCCAAGGGGAGGCCAGTCAGTTTCGAAGAGTACATGTACCATGCCGCAATCACTCGTGCCGAGGAGCAAGAGGCCAATGCTCGTTTCATCGCTGCTCGGGGCCCGAGGACGCTCAAGAACATCATCAAGGGGAGGTTTACGAGGACGAAAGACCCACAAGTGCCTTCTGGTGAAGTGGCTGGCTCGCTGTCAGAAGGGAATACTGGAGAGAAGGGCGGCTATGTCCAGAACGACAGCATGTCTCGGTATGGAGTCACTCCGGATCAACGAAATACCGTCAGTCGAGCTGTCAGAACTGCTAGCTGGGGAACCATCTTCTATCTGATTACGACTGATATTCTGGGGCCGATGGGTGCACCGTAAGTCATGTTCACTGGGCGAAAGCCCTGAGCGATGACGATACTGAACCGCCAACAGTTGGGCGTTTGCGCAGTTGGGGTACGGGCCGGGTGTGGCGCTATACACCGTCTTCGGCGTGATGAGTTACTATTCCGGCTGGATTCTGTGGAAAGTCTTCCTCGCTCTGGACTCGGACAAGTTCCCACTCAGGGGGTACGGCGACTTTTTCTTCAGGATGTTTGGACCGTGGGCGAGGCACTTTGTCAACCTTGCACAGTCTGTTCAGCTGCTGCTCACCGTGTCGCTCTTGATCATCAGCAACGGCCAGAGTATCTCGCAGATCAGCCGTGGGACAGCAGGAGGTTCCAAGGGGCTTTGTTTTGTGGCTTGTCTGGTCATTTTCATGGCAGCAGGCTTGATATTGGGCCAGATCAGAACCCTCCAACGACTGGGATGGCTCGCTAACCTCTGCGTGTGGCTGACCGTCGCCACGGTATTGCTAGTGTACATTTTCCCTGTCAACGATAATGTGAACGTCTGTTACTGACAGATGAATAGCATGGGGTCTGTTGGGCACGGACCAAATTACGCAGCTGTGGAGGCGAGCTTCGGGTTTCCACAAGACATGCCCATAAAGAGATTTGCAGGAACGCCGCCTCCGGGACTGGCCTCGGGGGGCTCGGGCTTCGTCGGGTCGTTGAACGGGCTGAACGTCGCCGTATACGCGTATGGAGGCGCCATGTTGTATGCCGCCCTGCTTGCGGAGATGAGGTACCACCCAGCCACTCCACCACGGAGAGAAGAGATGCTGACGTCAACTAACCTAGGCATCCCATGGACTTTTGGAAGAGTCTACTGATTGCCGAGATCTTCATATACACAGCTTACGTGTTCTTCGGCATCTTCGTATACTCATACGAAGGCCAGTATTCGTACAACCCAGCGGTCCAAGGCATTCCGGTATACGGCATTCAGACCGCCGGAAATATCTTGAGCATTATCTCCAACCTCATCGCAGCCGTGCTATACAGCAATATCGGCCTGAAGGTTGTGTATATCGAAGTATTCCATGAAAATTTCGGGTTCCCGCACCTAACGACCAAGATGGGTAAGATCTGGTGGTCGGCATTGGTTCCAGTCTACTGGGCCCTGGCGTTCGTTGTGGGAGCAGCTGTACCGCAGTTCTCCTACATTGTCGGCTTGGTGGGAGCCCTGTTCATCCTCTCATTCACGTACACGTTCCCTGCTTGGCTGGCGGTAGGGTTCTGGATCAAGAAAGATGCGATGATTGAAGGCGAGGAACGGTTCGACCCGGCGACGAACACGTACAACTACGTCGATCAGGGCTGGAAGCGATGGAGGCGGGGGTTCATGAAGAAGCCGTTCTTCAACACATTCAACATTGTCTACTTCTTCGGGGCCTTGGTGACGTGTGGGCTGGGCTGCTACAGCAGTATCGTAAGTTTGCGCCAGGCTTTCGAGAGCAACATTGCGACTAGCCTATCCTGCACGCCGCCCCTATAGCTACTTCGACCTGGGAAACTTCAATGTCCCTGTATATTCAGGAACAGGTGGACAGCAGTTGTCAAATAGTTATTTGGGTAGACTGCGAATGCCAAAGCCGCTGCGTGTTTCAAGGCAATTTACGCGTCTCGAACATGACGGGATCATTGAACCGCCGTGTGTTGTGTGCTATCGTCACAGCTGCTCCTAAATTTCGTGGGTGAGGATCTCATAGTCTCTCTCATCCCAACAGGACAGACCACAAGAATTCCGTATCAGCTATTCTCGTCCCGATCCAACAATCTGACGAGACGCACGACATCTTTACAGTTGGCAGCTTTGGGCGAGAAGGCCGTGGGTACACCCCGTCCATCAGGGCAGATCGCAGTATTCATCCTCAATAAGCTCAGCGGCCCATGGACAGAACAGCAACACGGCGCAGCTTTTGATGGGCGATATATTCGCCTCGCTGGTCGTGATCCGGATTTGTATCCGTGCCTGCCGCGGGACGCCTTGATCAGATGCATCATTCAGCAGCCCGGATATCTTTGGTTGTTCTTGTCCAACGTCATCAAGACCATCATTATGGAGACCTCGATTTCCTCCTGGCAGTTCACTTCTTCGGTTGTTGGGGTTTCGAGGGTGGCTTCACTGCATCCGGCGGCGATCCGCGCAACGAAGTCCGAATTTCGTCGATGAAATGGTTCAGGAAGCCAGTCGAATCTGCGCTGGGGTCCTCTAGCACATCGTCGTTAGATGCAGTGCGACAGAAGAAAGCCAGCAGGGACTTGACATACTTGTAGCCTCTCCTTGCCGCATGGGCTCGTGGGGGTTGCGTCCATATCTGCGGTCTTGTATAGTATCGTGGATACGCTGAACGCCGCGGTGGAATCTAGGTGACCGGAGAATCTGCGCAGAAGACGCCGGTTAGGTTGGAACCGATGAGAACGAATCGGTTCTCCGTGGGCGTTGGCGTATCTACCTGTCTAACGAGATAATCCTACAAGAGGTCAGCGAGGGAACGACGAGTCAAGGGCGGTGCTGGCTACCTCTGCCAGAAGGAAGGCCTGGAGAAAGAGGCGCGGACTCATCTTGAGTACTGATGCGTCTATGGTAGATCGGATGCCAGCTTGCAAGCTCAACAACGGCGATGATATTAATAAATATAATGGATATGGCTGTTAGGTAGTTTCGGTCATGGCTTCGGTCGCCACATTGTGCCTTTGTGGTAGCGGAACCAGAACAGAGATCTATCACAAGTCTCGGTTGGGATGATCTGTATTCTGGTTGGTGCTTGGTTACGTTCGGATGGGAAGGATCCCATCCGAGAAGTATCTAAATACCTAAATTACAGTGGGTTGGTACCTGTCACCTGGGGCAGCCATCCCAGGTAAGCTTATCGTAGAACGTGGGTCCAGTGGCTGGGATCCACAACATTGTGCTGACGCATGACGGAGGCTTCCTTGCGACTCAGTAAGTGCAAATACCCTGTACAGAGATACGAAAATCGAGTTATCCGGGACTGCCTACAGATCTGATAGGTACACATGTAGTTGCGACTGCTTACAAGGCGCTCAAGTACCACTACCACTACCTCTCGAGAATAATAAGCTTTACATAACGGACTTATGGTCATAAAAGCATAGTCATATCATCCAAGCTAGTACACCAAATAAGCCGACGAGGTTGTCGTATTTGACGGCGTGCGCCGGGAAAGGAAACGTTGACAAGCACTTCAGGACATTTGCTGTGCGCAACAGACATGACACGGGCAGAACGGGATAACGGAGACAATCATCAATCTGGTCTACATCAGCCCTGACCCGGCAGCTGCCCGAGTAACTTTCTGATAGTCCGTTTGGCGATACTTGAGTATCTTTTCGCCGGCAACGGAACGGGTCGATAGAGAACAGAGCCGGGTTCCGGGCCATGATGGTTCCAGTAGCCAAGCCCCGGTCCACAGCTCGGGGTATCACGTGCAGTCGAAGGGAAAGCGTCGGGTTGAGGCGGCTAGCTGGTCAGGCTCGTTTCCCCTTCCAGGTTAGTGTAAACCAAAACTGGGATGGAAGCTTCGGCTGAAGAAGGGTCAACGGCGGCGGGTCGAGGCAAGGGGGAAAGAACAGGCCCGGTCCGCCGCTCAATACGGAATACGGGCAACAAGTCGGGTGGACCTCGGAGGGGGAAGGGCTCAGGGCGTGGAGGGGCAGAAAAGGAAAGGAAAGAGGCGTGGAAGGAATGAAAGACAACCCCACCTGCCCACCATGAGAAGATCACAAGATCAAATACTAGGTATCTTCTTGGAACAGGCAGTTGAAGCACCTTCACCTTCGCTACGGGGCTGACTACGATAGGTATGTGCTGTCGTGGGCCACGGACTTCATTTGTCCAGGTCAGGTAGGTGATAGAATACCGGTATGACAGTATGGTTTTACATAAGGTAATGGAATGACAGCTCCCTGTTGGGACTAACCTAGCGGACGACGATTTCTTTTGAACTTTCAACTCCCAACTTCCAAAGCTCCCGTCTTTGCTTCCCACCTGTCTATTTTTACACAATAGTACAGTACGTATAGGCAGTTCTTTGTTGGCAGTTGGACTCGAAAGACAACGACCGTACTCGATTTCCGTCGCAGTCGCAGTCGCAGTCGCAGTCGCAGTCGCAGCGAGAGATAACCAACAACCGCCTCGAATACCCGACCTACACACCGACACACTTATTATTAAAGCGCCGACCGACCATGAACACCTCGATGATCAAGTCCAAGTTCCTCTCCCAACCAGAGGACCTTGGCGTCGTAGCTGTTGGCTTCTCGGGTGGACAGGTACGCTCATCTACAAACGTGTATACTCTGGCTGTGTCGCTCGCCCACTGACCATTCCCGTGCTTTCAAGTGCAAACCCGGCGTCGACGCGGCCCCCTCGGCACTGATCGAGTCCGGCCTGCTCAAGCAGCTGCGAGACGAGCTCAACTACAAGCTCCATGGCGACGAAACCGTCCACGCCTACACCGACCTGGTGCCGAAGGAAGACCCGCCCTTCCGGAACATGAAGAACCCCAAGGCCGTCAGCGGCGTCACGCAGCGCCTGAGCGAACAAGTCTACACCCACGCGCAGGAGGGGAGGATGGTCCTTACGCTGGGCGGCGACCATTCCATCGCAATAGGGACCATTGCCGGCACCGCCAAGGCCGTGCGCGAGAGGCTCGGCCGCGAGATGGCTGTCATCTGGGTGGATGCACACGCCGACATCAACACGCCCGAGACGAGCGACTCGGGGAACATCCACGGCATGCCCGTCAGCTTTCTGACGGGTCTGGCCAAGGAAGACAAGTCGGAATACTTCGGGTGGCTCAAGGAGGACAATCTCATCAACCTGAGGAAACTCGTGTACATCGGACTGCGCGACGTGGACCCTGGCGAGAAGAAGATACTCCGCGACAACGGCATCAAGGCGTTTAGCATGTTCGATATCGATCGGTATGTTTCCCCTATTATCACTGTGATTCCCCAGTCGTCCTATCCTTCCCCAGTCCTCCCCTATCCTTCCCCTGTGATGTCTGGCGTTGACGCGTGTATACCGCGTAGGCATGGGATCGGTCGTGTGGTGGAGATGGCACTGGCGCACATCGGCACCGACACGCCCATCCATCTATCGTTCGACGTCGATGCGCTGGACCCCATGTGGGCTCCCAGCACGGGCACGCCTGTCCGTGGTGGACTGACGCTGCGGGAGGGTGACTACATCTGCGAGAGCGTACACGAGACGGGAAGCCTGGTGGCCATCGATCTGGTCGAGGTGAATCCGAGCCTGGCGGCGGAGAGCGACCTGGGAGCGCACGAGACAGTTAGGGCCGGTTGTTCGCTCGTACGATGCGCGCTTGGGGAGTCGTTGCTGTGAGTTTGAAGCGCAGGCGTCGTCGGGCGTCGGAAGTCAAGTGGGTAGAGTGTAGCCGTCTCTTTCTGTCTTTAAGAGAGAAGCCGCCGATGGCGACAGCAGCAATGCAATACAGGTCGAATCATGCATGGCGGCAACGGAACGCGCGCAGCATGAAATACAATTCGCATTGTAGCACCCCAAGCGTGAGCCATACCTATGGCTACCTTACCCAAACATCTCGAGCACACTTGGTGGTGTTTTGCAGTAGAGAAGACCGACCGGAGGTGGTCTTTATCTCTTCCAGGCTTTGGAATACTCGGTGGGAACAACTGCCGGTTGCTGTGCTGCTGTGCTGCAGTGCTGCAGGTCCCTCTCTCCAATCATAAGTAACCCCCCGGGCGACGGGATGGAGTCATTGCCATTTGGAAGTATCCCGGCTCCAGCTCGCGTTGCTGGGCGGACTCTAGCGTTGTCCACGGCTTCCCCCACAGTCGCACATGCTAAACAGCAGTAGTTCTTCATCTGGTGAAGTTGAGGCGAATGCGCCTCCCGTCTTGTGCTCTGATGCCGTCTCAAGTGAGATGACGACCGACTCTTCTCGTCGTTTGCCAGACTGGATCAACCTCTGGTACAACGGTAGAACGAATGCGCCGCGAGGGAGAAGATTGAATGGTACAGATACCTACAGATACAGATGCGGTAGGATCGAGAAGGTAGAAGGATCCTTGACCCCGTGTTGTTCTTAAATTACGGCCCATCCCACCAACAACAAACTGCAACAACCGACGCGGCGCGCGATTAACATCCGCCAGTCTACCTATCTTCGTTTTCTACCTCACACCTTGCACCTTGCCTCACGATCCTCTCCTGGTCCTGGTCTTGGTCTTGGTGTTGATTCTGGCCTCTGCTTTGCCGTCACCGACTCTGGCAGCCCGCCGATCCACGGTCCACGATCCACGTATCGCATTGTCCCTCGCTCTACGTGTACATCTCTCCTGCGCCCGACCGTCCCAGTGGACGCCCATCGGTCCCGCGGGGCAGCGCACTTGCATACGCACATCTCGTCGACCCAATCGGCTGTCCATCTGTTGACCGACGTCTGAGCTGGCAATTGGGCGGCATCTGTCTCTCTGCCCTATCCAAGTTCTCGTCGTCGTCGTCGTCGTCGTCGCGGATGCGCATATTAAATACGTCGACATCGCTCCTCGACCACTCGACCGCTCGACACTTCTTGCGGCCAGCGTCGCTACTGCGCAACCTCATCTTCTCCGAGTCCGAGGGAACAGCCGTGGGGGGGATCAAGACTGTGACTATTGCAGTTGGGGTGATTGACTGCAAACCCTGAACATCGCGCATCTTCCACATCGAGTCGCAAAGAATCTCGTCTCCGAGACCTCCCACCTACCTAGGTAGCCACAGCGAGACTCCCGGCCGCAAGGCAAACAACGACGACGACCCTGTGTCTAACAACGACGACGAATCTGTGTTTTTCGATCCAACCCGACGAGCATCCAAGCCAGTCTTTCCACGACTCCACGGGATATTCGTTCGTACAATGGCCGCCTCTGAGACCACGGGGACGGGCTCGCTCGTCTATGAACGACGGGTGGCCCGCGTCCATCGATACCACTGGCCCGCTATACAGTTGAATATCTGGATGTTGATCATGTTGGTCGCATCTTGCCTCATCATTGGCGTCTTCGCCACCTTCATCAGCACTCAGCAACAACTCGGACTATATGTTCCTTGGTAGGCCCTCCTCTTCTCTCTTCTTCCGGCGCCCGCCGTCGGGCGTTGTATCGGGTTGTCCATCAATACAGTCCGCCACTGACACGAGTGGCCATCGCCTAGGTACTTTCCTTACTTCATCACCGTCTCCGCCTTGATGGTCGTCTTCATCATCATCTTGCTATGGCTGATATCACAACGTCGCCTGCTCCCGTCCATCGTCGTCATTGGCGCCTTCATGTTCTTCGTCCTCTGGATGGTGGGCCTGGTCGTCGTGAGCATAGAGCTCTGGGGCCCTTCTGGCTCCGTCAGCTCCAATTGCGACCTACTGGTGTGGAAGGATACGCCCATGGGCAACTCACAAACCACCTTGGCCTGGCTGGAGCAAAGATCGATATGTAAGTGCACGACCATAAAGTCGGCAGAGGACTGTTGGGCATTGTACTAAAACCCTTTCGAACAGGTCAACAATGGGAGGCCGTTTTTGCCTTTGCCCTGATAGGCTGCATATTCTTGTTGTGGATTATCATAATGGCAGTGCAGGTCTTTTATGATGATGCCTGAACATCATCTTATCAGTACATTACCAACGGCAAAATGGAGTATATTTGAAATATGAAATTTCGTAGTTAATTCAGTCAGAATGTATCTACAAGGTTCAAGTGCGCTTCAGCGGCAACGACACAATAAAACGACGAATTCGAGGTTTTCTGCGCATGTCCCATGTTTTGGCGGAGGTTGAAACCACACTTACCACGTGGTTATATATCCAGACCGCGCTAGATCGTGATTGTTCATGAATGTATTGACCATTGAAGCTATGATATACTATCCTCTTATCAGATTCGAAACTCCAATGCTTCGAGTTGTGGCCTCCCTTACCACAAGACCCTTAAGCAGTGCTACTCCTAGTTTGAGACCTTGTCCGGTACGTTCTTGCTGTTGCGGCGTCAGCAACCATATCAAGTTGTTGATGCTGCGGTCGCACTCACCCAGTTTGCTTCTCGAAGGTTTCGCGAATCTTGTCGGTGTAGCCCTCGGTCTTTGAGTCGTCGAGCTTGTTGCCCATGTATTTATTATCGACGTAGTTGAAGGCTGTTGGAAACCACGCGTTAGTCGTCTGGCGGTGCTTATCCGACAGCTGTACGTACCTTTGTCACCATAGTCTTCCTTCTGAGCAATGGACTGCTGGCCTGCATTGCCCTGAGCCTTGTCGGTAACCTTCTTGAGCATATCCATATTGAAGTGGGGTTGGACGGCTGAGGGTGACTGTTGATGTTGTAACTTGGGTAGGTAGTTTGAAAAGGGGTTGGCTTGGTAAAGTTGAAATGGAGATCATGTAGGCCAGATAGACCTAAACAGACACGCACACGCATATATATACTTTCGCTGCCATTGCCATCAAGTAGCCCCTCAGTGCTTGACATATGCCATGACGTCCCATGCCCTCCACGAAACTCAGCTAGTGAGAGCCTAAGTCGGGCCTCGAAGCTAAGGTAAGCTTTCCTGTTTCTAAGAGTGGTTCGAATGTTTTCTCCGAGCATCTTAATTTCATGACTCGTGCTAGTCTGTGCACGTCACTGTCCCGGCTTGAAAGAGCGAGGCTTACGACAGCGTACGTCATGTGAAGATGGTGCTCCGTGGGGGATCGATGGGCAAGCCATAATACTGGGTACTATCTCGTACCATCTGCATATATATGATCTAGGATGTGAGGATTATCTGAATATACACATGGCGGCTCTGCCTTCTTCGATGGCCTTCAAGCCTATAGGGTCATTGGAGGGTGGAATTGGTCGATGACCAGCTCTCCGTTCTCGGCTAGATGAACCTGGCCCTCAATATCGTAGGCGGTAACCTACAGATGGTGTTCGTTACCAGATGGGTTGTCCGTGACGTTTCCTTCGAGTGCGTAGCGGACCTCCTGAAGATCCTGGCATCCAAACACTCGTAGTCTTTCCGAATATTCAGACTCTGTTTTCCTTAACGACAGGACCAGCCGGAAAGCGCAGGATAAGGCGCTTTCCAGCTCTGCGCTGGTAGGTTTCGAGGTCTCGAGAGCAAACTGCTTCTGTGTAAGTGCGACGAGGACGGTCTGTAGCGGAAAAGATGTACATGCGTCCCGTTGCCGTCCGTAATTCGCAACGTACTCGACGCGAAACCACCAGAACCGTTGGATAACCGCTCAAACAGCTCAAAATCTTTGTAAATAAGTGGCACAACCCGTTGAATTCGGTCTAAATTGACGCCGTAAATTTGCAATACAACATCATCAACAAATCTTGGGCATTTCGGGACACAGCCTATCAAGCCAAGCTGGCCGTGGATCCAAAGGTTGATAGCCGCGAATAAACTCATGCGATTCAATACCTTGCCGCCTGGGTTGGGCAATGTAATGCTGCTGCTTGCTCCGGGCTCGCACCCAGGAGCGGCACAACAGGGGCGAGAGGGCCATTCACTGATTCGACATAGTCCCTATGCAATGACATGAGACTTTAAGGCTGGCTCCTGTCCTACAGATGCGTACAATATACCTACCACCATCCTCCACCATGTATCATGGTCATTGGTCCAGATAGGAGTCAGGACGAGCAAACCGAGCATCACGACCGGGTTTGAGGTCCGAACAGTGTTGTATTCAGAACCGACTATAATGTACCTGAAGATATGCGTCACTCAGTAGTCTGCCTCTGCTGGCCAACCTCCCACACCACTGACCCAGCGACCTTTCTCCGCTGATAGGTATACTGCAACCGACCTTGCTGGCTCGAAACAAGCAAATATAATCGTACAGACAAGCCCGAGCACGAGTCGTAAAGCACGACATCAGCAAACATGGCTGGCTCTTGGTAGCATTTCCCCCTATCCTAACGCGGATGGGAGCTCCTGAGGATCGAGATACCATCTCGTACCAGGTCAAGCCGTATGCCCATATTCTTCAACCACAATCGTAATGATATAGGTATGCGGCCGAAAGCCACTTGATGGAGAACCGCTTTGCGCGCGCGCACTGGCGTCGCCACGCCATCTCGAACCCATGCGTAGCCCAACCAAACGCCACCACCCAGCCTGACACCGTCGTCTGATAATACACCCATGATAATTCAACGCAATGGCAGCTGATAATTTCCACTCCCGGGTATGATGAAAAAAAGGAAGGCGAGTTCCAAAACGCTTGCTCTCATGACAATAAGTCATCTACCCAACCCATTGTTTCTCTTCGGTCGTCGCTGATGCGAGCATATTCGAGGAGTAATCTGAGAGCATAGATCTGCATGTCTTCTCTCCTGAGTACCTTCTCCGCCCAGGCTTTGCCATCCATAGCAATCTTCTCGGCGGCGGCATCGTGACTGGGAACGGAGTCTTCGTATCCTAGGAAGTACTCCATTATGCCGTAATAATCGTTGAAGCGATTATCCATGGGCACGAAATGCTTCCAAGCTACTAGCCGGCTGTCATGCCACTCGTGCCACATGGTGCTCTTGATGGGCAGACTGGTGCTCCTCAGGAAGCCCAAATACCGACCGGAAAAGGAGTTGCCATCGACATCAGGTAGGTACTTGTAGTTGAACTGGACTCCGAGCGTCTGGCCCAGAACTACGTCGTACTCGGCATCTGTGTAGGGGCAGCGCGCTTCGTCTTCTTGCGGCTTGAAGTCGGGGTCGCAGAAAAGATCGGTAAATCCCACATCGGCCCACTGCGACACCCAGGAGCCCAAGCGCTGTTCCTTCTGGGCTGCGATGTTGTAGATGGTATCGGGCAGCTCAAAGTTATTGGGCCGTTCTACTTCTTCCTCGGCGCGGGTGAGTTTGGTTCCGTTGTTCATCGAGACGAACCGATGCCGTTGGAAACCCCGCCAATTGGACTCATTGTTCCGTCCGCCGGTAGCTACTCCACGCCAGATTAGGTCGCCAAACTTCTCTTTCCATGGCGGGCCATGATCGTCTCCTCCGGTGAACCTCTCTTCCTCGTTCCAGTACATGGGCGCAGGCAGAAGGATCTCATTGTTAGTGGCTAGTTTGCTTCCTCCAAACAGGGGGAAGAGGACTTGGGTAGTCGAGGTCGACAATGGCTTGATGAAGATGCCTTCCAGTCCTTGCAAGTCAGGCTGATGGCAGAACTCGGTGGACAAGGTGAAATTGGAGACATAGCCTTGGTATTGGTGGGGTGTGGCCCACGAGGGCGAGAAACTCGGCGTATCGTTGTAGGATTCCAGAATCGGTGTCTTGCGAGCTGGACTGTCTGGTGAGCAACCCCGGCGAGCGATCGCCCAGTAAGGATCTGGAACAATGACAAGTCAGCGCCTCGGTCAGACCCGAGTCTATCAAATATAGCTTACCAGTATCTTCCCAGTATTTCTCCCTGGTTGCTGGAGACTTATCACCTTTCCCAGGGGCAGGCAATGACTGGAATTCCCGGACGACATTTTTGACCGGAGTGATGACGCGCGCCTGATCGCCCTTCCGCATTAATGTAGACATGTCCTCCCACGGCACAATAACTCGAGGCTCGTCCATGGCGTTCAGGGCAATGTCCATATCGGGAAGCAGGTGTTCGATGGTTTTGAACATGTCCAGCCATATCTGCGTCCAGAACCAATCACTCTTGGCGCTGGCGCTGCCACTGCGGATGTTGATGGTCATTTCGAAGTCCCATGCCTCCTTGCGAATGCGTCTCGGATCAACACCCCAGAAGGGGTTCAGATCGTGATAAATCTGGTCAAAGAAGTCCTCAACCATCACGGCATCGTTCTCCTTAGCAAAGTTGTACCATTTGTCAAAGCCCGGGGGGGGGTGTCTGCCGCGGCGCTTGCGGTATGCGTCTGCAGCTTCGGCCAGCGTGCGAGACTGCTTGGCAAGCATGCTAGTAAAGTCCTTCTCGGCGCCGTCTATCAGCTGGTCGATGGGATGGGTGGCCGGTGTCTCGTGGTCAGGCTGTTGGGGCTTTGACTTGGAATCGCCCTTTGATTTCCAGTCGCCCTTTGGACTCGACTCGACGACAGGCGCATCGTGCTTGTCGGGTGTTTGTTTCTTGTCATCGGCAACGTTTTGAACCTGCTCATGGCTATTGGGTATTGGCTGTTGCACTGGCGGGCTGTCGGTCTCGGGGGTGCGGTGGGTGGAAGAGCCGTGGCCGGCAGACATGTAATTTTCGGCATCGGAGGCATGACTTGTATCATGAGACAGGTAAAAGAAGAGGCATAGCAGCAGCACGGCCGGGAATATGTATCGTATTAGATGCGACGGCCGCCTCGGGGGGAAAGCGGGCGACCGCATGGCGAGACAGTGGCGTCGGTCGCCTGTTTCGGTTCGAGGCATGCGCTCGTTGAGGGGAGGAGAAATGCGGCCAGATGTCTCGATGCGATATGTCGAGGAGGGGACTCGGATCAGCCTGGTACTGGTCACCAATCCGAAGGTGATGGAGACGTGACGGTTCAAGCTGTGGCATGCGTCGGCGCCGAGGTGAGATACCACCCGTCAGACATGTAGAGGCAATGAACCGCAACGCGCCCCAGTCCTGAAGGCGCGTATCCGTACAACGACTCTAGTCCACCTGCGTCCGTGGGCCTGGTGGTGGTGGTGGTGGTGGTGGTGGTTCGCAGTCTTGGACGTCGCGCTTGATGTGCCTGCCGCTGACGCTGACGCTGACGCTGTCGCGGTCGCCGTGGTCGTTGCTATCAAGCTCAGTTAGCAGTAGCCAACATCTCGGCACGGGGTAGACCCAGATATGCGAGAATGATCGCGGAGGAACTGGGGAGATAGGAAGTATAGGGGCATATGAAGAGAATGTAGGTAATGAGGCAGTTGAGGGTGTGAGGGTCGAGAGATTTCGCAACGTTTGCGGCTGTAGGCGGCCGCGCTGCTAATTACCTTACCTTAATGAAAGGTGGCACAGTGCCAGTAATAGTGTGACACGGTGTTGATGCAACATCCCATACATCCTCCGATCCTTCTTCACCACCACAGCACACCTGCAGTGAGGACAACAAGCAACTTTGCATGCATTGTACCTACATGTAGCGAAAAGGGGGACGGATCTACCATAATCACGGGTTTAATTGACAGGCAGAACGGCGGCAAAATCCTCCCTCCCTCCTACACCACCAAAAACAATTATCATTCTGGAATAGGTAAGTTATTGACGCCGTTCTGACAGGCCGGTAGAGCCTCTACTGTGCAGACTATGTAAGGTCCTAGGTAAGGTATTGTTATTAGCCGACGTGGGGAACAGCCCAGATCCCCAGGTTCCACTGCGGGATTCAATCTCCATCATCCTGCGAGTTCGACTGGCCAGTGACAGTTGAGTCCGTCCATCTCAATACATGCATGTGTGTAATTATACTCAACTTGAAGTATCACGGTTGCGCTCGTGTAGGGTTTCATGTTATTTGTCCCTTGTCCCTCGCCTTCGGAATATCCACCTTGTATACTTGAAGAGAGCCACAATAAAGTCAACCAATAGTATTGGTTGGAGCGAGGAAAGACCACCAATCAACGGGGCCCTTCTAGTACTCCTTGCTTCTAAACTTGCTCCTAAATTAAACCTCCTGCATAACTTGGAAATGAGGCTCAACTCAACCTTGATCTATTCGAGCCTTATCTCGACAAGCCAGTTGAGTCCTCCTTTGCGCCACGGCTGGATCTACACTGCACGAACACAGGACATAGACTTCCGGTCCGTAGGCCTTGCAGGATGCCTCCACGCATCCTTCGAGTGCCGGCGCCGGCTAGCTTGACGTGCTTTTCTGCCATACCGGGACTCGAGCTTGCTCCAAAGGACCTCGGGGACGATTCATTGTTGACCTCCATGTCTTCGTACGGGAGTGACGGTGTACAGGTACCCCTCATTCCAGCTCTCATTATTTACGGTCCTCGTGGTACCGGTACTGAGCGTTGCCACTTGTCCTCTTTGCTGGTCCCTTGTGATCAATGAGATCTCGAACGTGTCTTGTTTTACCCAGATACATGACCCGAGCCGGGCCGCTGCGCATGACGAGGGACAGGAGCAATCTGAGCCGATGCAGACCTACCATGCCGTACTCACAGCGGAAAAGACATTTGATATCTGGCCTGTTGTACATAGGTAGGTAGTTGTACATGCAGTAACAAGGAAGGTATAGTGATAATGACAGTGACGGTGTGTGCTGTAATCATTCCACCGAGGATCCTTCAACTTCTCCTGTCGGTGTACGATGTATACCCGGTGATAATTGTAGGGCGGTGAGCCAACTCTGCAGATGTTGTGCGAACGCCCCATACAAGTCCTAGCGCAGCTCGGTGACAGACAGCACTCGTACAACCGAGCAAGTCAACCCGGCATGTAGTCAATCGCTAAACCGGGACCGGAACCGAGACCCGGATACTATGAGTGAGACCTCCGGATCACGGCCGAGAACAGACCAGCGGGCGTCTGCAGAGCGATGTTAGGAGTCGCACACAGACATCGAGGTACAATACAGATCATGGAGACCCGGAGAGTTTTGTTGAGCTCTGATGGAACTTGGTGGGGAACTGGATGGCATTGCACTTCAGTCATGGTTCCAGGGGCAAATCTGCTGTGATGATGAATCACTGATTAACTGCCTATTCCTGTGTAAACCCCTCTTCCACATCGCCCTCTTCCACATCGCCCTCTTCTTGACTGGTGAGACAGGGGCGGTCAGATTTGGCGAGTCTGGCGTCAGCTAAAAGACGAAGGTTGCTTATGTCACGGGCCGGCCAGATCATGCACACATAATCGACCGGCAGTGACAGTGATGCTATGATGGTTTCATCTCGAGATCATCTCGATATCTCACATGGGACGCAGCGCAGACGGAGACTCTGCCATGGCCTAGACCACCCAGAACGACATGCGACGAACACTGAGGTGCAGTAGAGAGAGAACAATGGACACACGAGGAGTAGACTTTGTTATGGCACTATTACACGTCATTTAATCACGACATCGCAGTGTCGCAGCATCACCAGAGAGGTGCGGCGTCCAGACCGCACATCGAGACATCTTATCAGTTGGCGACGGGTCCCGACTCGTCGTACTTATCCCAGTCTTCCTGCGTTCGTGCAACCAGCTCGTGGAACTCCGGGCGAAAGGGCCACTCCATCCATAGTTCGAGGAGCTCCTCCCATTGCCCTGCATTCAACAGCCTCGCTGTCGGCTCTGCATGCTTCAGGTGGTCAAGGAAGCCCCCACGGGCAAAATCCTTACCACTCTTCCAGCGTGGGAGGATATAGTCAGCGGCACCGGGCCACAGAGCATCCAAGGTCTGACCCAGCGGCTGCGTACCTTGGTTCATCAGAGAACCAGTGATCAGCTCGAACGAATCGGCGGCGCGGTTCGAGTTTGGCCCCGTCTGGCGGAGCAGCGGATGTACCACCTTGGGCTGGATATCGAGGAGGCTGCACTCAATATTAGGGAAGAACTCGGCAGGCCGTACCACCATCGGGTCGTATTGTCGACGGTCCCAATTGAGCAACGGCGGGTCCTGACGCCAGAGGTGGATATTGTCTTTGTATGTGGTGAACTCGCCAATCATTCCCTGACCCCCCTGACAAAGCGCAAGGAACTCTGCCTCGGCTGCCTCAATCGACTTGGGGGTTGCCCTGCTGGATTTGTGCAGGGCAACGACGCGATCGAGGGCAGTTTGCAGCTCAAGCATTCGCTGGTGCTTCCTGTCCTCCGAGCTCGACCTCCACCGGTAGCGTTGCAGGGCCTTGAAATCCTCGGAGCCTTTGGCGAAAAGATCCTCATCGTGCGCCGTCTCCAGGTCCGACAGAGTGGCTTGAAAGGGCCTCTGGAAGGTTGGCAGCGACTTTCCCGGCACGGGTCCCTTCACCCGGGATTTGGACGCGGCTAGGGCTCCCTTCAAAGACTCGGGTTCTCTGCCCGCAGGCATTCGCATCTTGGCAGCCCGCATCCTCTTCAGTGTTGTCCTGTTGCTGTCGTTGATGATGGCGTCCTCGCGGATGAACCAGGGCGATTCGGGCACGTCGCGGCCACATACCTCGTGGACGTACTCGCACAAAAGCTCGAATTCGAGGGCGCCCCGCCTCCGCTTCTGCATAGATTTCGGAATGACGCCCCCCTTGTCGTCGCTCCTGGTCCATACCAGCATGCGGACCAGCCCGTACCGCTGGAATAGGTTGCTCGTACGGACGGCGTCGACAAACTGGTGTAGCAATAGTTGTGCCATGGATTCGAAGGTGTGGAAGCGCTTCTTGGGGTGGAAGGAGAAGTTGGCGGTGACGAGGAGGGTGTCGTTCTGGCGCATCTGTTCGGCGGGCTCGGGGACGACTTGGTGTGGCAAATACTCTGGGGTCAAAATGGAGTTGAGGTCTCGCCAGACGAGACCCGACTTGGGAACGATGGTGGCGCCGGGCCGCTCGAGGATGGGCTCGAGGAATGGCCGATACAACTCGGCGTCGGGCTCCATCAGGATGTGGGATCGGGGCTGGAGGCGTTCGTGTAGCTTGCGACTCCATACTCCGGCGCCCGGGTTGATGTCGATGATGTCGCAGCCCTTGTGTCGGTCGAGCGAAGAGCCAACGTAGGAGAGGATGTCGTCACATAGCCCGTCACTGACGATGTTGACCCTGGTCTTGTCGCCCTGGACATCCTTCGTCTTTTCTTTCGTCTTCTTGGCACCGGGTCCCCGCGTGGGTTTCCATAGGCCGGTTGCGACGAGCTGTTCGGCTACGGGGCCTTCGGATTGCACAATGGCTTTTTCGAGATGGGGCGGTCCCGGTCTGTGACATGTCGACGACAGCAGCCGCTTGCTGACGGGAAGTCTGAGGAGGGCGGCCGGCACATGGCTGCGGACAGTAAACATATGAAATGAGCGACGAGGGGTGGGAGAACAAACAAAAGAGGGAGTGATACTCGTTGCTAGTGTTGGTCTCTGCCTTGCCGTATGTTGTGGCGCCCGTCTCCCAATCTCCTGATATACCAGTAGAGCGGTAGAGCGGTGCTGCTTCAATGCGAGAAGCTCCCGAACTCCAAGCTAGAATTTAAGTGGGTACGGGTGGGTACCGGGGGCGTGGAGTTTCTGCCCGTTGCGACCGCTAAGCCCGTGGACCCACTCCGGCACGGTAACACAGACCTCGGCATCCCGCCGCCGGCCGTCATAGGCGCAATAACCTCACAGTTGAACACAACCTAACCTACCTACCTCGTTAAAGTCGAATTTGACGGCAGTGTGTCTGCACGAAACGTGGATAAGCTGTAGGTCCAGGGTCCAACCTAATTGCCTGGGCCCATTCCATGACGTTCAGATACCGATTGACGGACTTATAACTGGCAACCAGCAACTCCCCCAAGACCCCAGTCTGTGAGAGCTGGAGTGAGATGTGAGGGACCACACCGCTAACAATGGAGATAGTGAGGGCAATGGCAATGGCGACGACATGGTTTTTTTCTCGAATCCTAGGCATTATTCCCAAATCAACTCTACTAGAGTTGATTTGCGCACGGACCCGCACGTGGCCCACGCGGGCACGTGCACGGTGACAAGGGGGGTAGAGTTGATTTGGTTCCCGGTCGAGACACATCTGAAAGCTGCTGGCCACATGTCGCGAACAGCGTAACAATAACGACGCGAGATTGCGCAACAAGTCCAGCATATTCCCGGCATCTTTTCTAGCCAGGCGCAACTACAAGCCGGCTTTGAGTTCCCGCCACCCGAGTGCGCTGCCAACCCGCATCTGCAGCCGCCAGAGAGAGACGGGCTGGCATGTACGCAGTGCCCACACATCAGCCGGCAGGTTCAAAAGATGCAAGGCCACTGCCGAGCAGCACACAGATGGACCAACCCGCGAAATCGAGGTCGGGTCGCAGGAGGGCAAGACACCGCAGCAGAAGACAAGGTGCCGTGGCGTACAGGCGTGGCGTGCCAGAGGTTCTTCCGCAATCGGGCGGCAAGCGGCTGGTTCGAGGTGGAGCGGCTGTCGAACAAGCAGACTGCGACCGCCGGAACTGATACAGGAGCAGGCGGCAGCACCAACAGCGACACGTGGCAGCTCATGCTAGCGGCATATGACGTCAAACTGGCAACAGAAGAGGAGGAGCGGCGACGGAAGGCGGACGGGCCCGGCGGAATCGACGCGGACTCGACGTGGGTTCGGGAGATGGGCTGGGCCAGGCATCTTGAAGGCAAGGATCTGGTGGTATTGCACGACGCCAGCTTGGGCCCGCTGTCGAGAGCTGCGCTGGAGAGGCTGCGTGACATGACATCAAAGGACGAGCAGCAGCAGCTAACACGGCTCGCCGAGAGCTTCGACCGGGAGGTGGCGCGGTGCACGGCACGGCTGGAGCTGTAATAAGGATGGGTGTCCTCATTGGCGAGATCGCCTGGGCAGCGAATTCACTTTAAGCAAGAAGATTGGTATCAAAGCCGATAGACGTCGGTCTTGATCTGTAGATATGCGAGAAAGGGCCAGAAGATTCGATTGTCCAGCTTAGTAATTTAGAAATCTTAAAAACCGAGTGATTAACTTATCATCGACGTACGGTTGAGTCATATAAGGCGAAAGCCAATTTGGGAGGAAAGGGTTCGCTAGAGATGGTAGATGACCCTTTAGAGCTCCTTGAGACATGCTCAACACTGAGGCGAGAACGAAAGTGGCAGCTGGGATTCGAGACGTTCCCATGTGCCAAGGTGTTTAGGAATAGTATTTAAAGCAGGCGGTCGTCCCTCGCGCCTTGATCCCAATCTTACCTCTTTTTTGAAAACACCATCCAGCCCATTCACTATGGACTACCTTCAAGAAATGCTAGGCTACCCTTGGGCTTCCGACCCTAAATTGCCATCTTCTGTCTGCATTCTCGATACATGTGACGACGACCATTTCGACTGCAATTTCTGGGGCATTCCTCTCGACAACACCTCCGTGGTACACGGCGGCTGGCCCACGCTACCTGCCTATACTGCTCTTTTGAGCGACTTGTTTCACTTTATTCTGATGCGTGCTTTTGGGCGAATTTATTCAAGATATCCGATGAGACTGCCGTCCCACCAGATAGGAGTCCTGACAACCCGATTGATCTTACCGCCGGTTCAGATATTCACCCCTCTTTAGCAGGAGAACAGGGAAGGAGGCCGTTCAGACGTCCCCAAGCTCGGGGTTCGGGACGCAGAGCCCAGTCTCATAGGCTCAAACCCGCCGCCGTCCCGAACGTTCACAGCAGATGTATCGCCAGGGATGGTATCTGATGATCCGCGATCTGTTTGACCCCCATGGGACATGGGTGGCATCATTCCACCAGGGAATGTACGTTCAGACAGAGATCCCTAGTGTCCAGAAGGTCGTATACGGGATACGTAAACGTCTCCTGGAGCTGATGCTGGGAGCGTATAATGCCGTCCAGCTGCTGTGCGGCCTCCGCGACCGATTTCCGCTGCTGCGCCGTTCTCGACGCGTGTCCAGCCGCTTTGAGATGGGACTGTACTTCGTTGGCAATACAGCCGAAGCCGCATTCCTTACAGATTAGTACCCGAAGCTGGGTAGGATAGATGAACGGTTCCATAACGAAAGTCATAATATGTGTCGTATAATGAATAGAGCAAGTAGAATATAAAGCAAGTTTTTTATTCTGTTTTTGCATGCTACCGACCTACTTGCGCTGTTACCGCTAGCCTGCGCGCGCCCCTGTCTGGCGTCGCGTATCCCGGTCGGGGGGCCTCTTACACCAGCTTACCCTCACTTACCCTTACTTGCCCTCACTTAGCCTCACTTACCCTAATCTGGCCCATGCACGCCCTTCCCGTCGCTGCACTGGGTCGTTAGCGGTACCGTTAGAATCGCCGGATCGAGCTCTATGCCGGAGCGTATTGCGCGTCCTTTTTACGCCGCGGTCGTAAAAGCAGTCTACTCGATGTCGGGAAAATGCAGCCTACAGGGAAGAGCACGCCGCACGGGCCGCGCGGCACGCCCGGCGGGCGTCGGAGGCCCGAGCGTTAAATGCAGTCTACTTCAATTCCTTTGGGAATAATGCCTAGGGTCACTCGGCAATTGTTATTGGCCAAAATGCCGCCACTCCTGGGGTTGGTTCGCTTCGACCGCTCCTGACACACAAGATGATACACCTTGATATTCGCTAGCTCAGAGCTGGGTGCATATCAGAGGTGTGGCTAATCAAAAAATAACGTTACAGTATTCAGGCATTCATACGCCCGCGAAAGATCAATGACGCTTATATACATACAGTGCTACCCTACATTCCTAAACCAACAACATCGAGACCAGTATGCCCCGTGACCGCGCACGTGATGGTCTATTCTGGTGCCTGCTTCATCGTTTCAGGTAGGTCACGAACATGAGTTCAGAGTCCTCTCCATCCTTGTCCACATGGCTCCCATATAGCCTGCCTCCTTTGTAAACGACGGTATAGACCTTTTGGATACTGGCGCCCTCGTATATGTCTGCGTAGTCTATCAACGACTGTTGGAACCCCCCGAGAAGACGGTTGTTTGTCATGAGTTCCTATAGCCATCGTCTGGTCAGCATGGTCCGTTTCCCATCCCGGGCGCCCTTAACCCCACGAGAGCCTCGCTATAGATATTTAGATGAGAGAGAGAAGACTCACAGCCCACCCTACCCCACCCGGTATGAATTCGGTTATCTCCTGAGTATTATAGTCCCGATACTCATCATAGTCCTCATCGTCCGCATAAGGCTGGCTGTGAAGGGTACCAGAGCCGCCTCTAGCTTTCAAGGCTGCCTTGGTTGCCTGTCTAGCACCTGGTTCCTCAACTTTGTAGTTGAAGATGACCTTTAGGTCATTCGCGTTTCTATTTCCCGTCCATGCCATGTAGTTCGCCAGCCGCAGGTCTCGGGCCCGGAGCGGCGTCTTCCTCCGTCCGTTCTCCACCATCTGGGTGGTAAAGCTTATATAGGCCCCCTTGGTGACCCCGTACTCGCTTAGTAAGTAATACCCTATCTCGTTCCGGAACGTTGCGATGTTCGCGTGCGGCTAGTCCAGGAACTGGCGGCACCAGTCGGTATCCTCCGTACTCCGGTCGCTAATCTCCACTGTCGTCACGCCAGCAGCTTTCACTCTTTCTTCGAGCTGTTTCGCCTGAGAGGTGGTATCCCTACGACTGCGAATCGTGTCGGCGCCAGTCAATGGCAGGTGAAGGCTTGCCAGCAAACCGAGGCATAGCTGGCTTGCGATTTGGAGTCTCATCGTGGCGGCTTGGTTATGGCGTCCTGTAAATTCCGACCTTAAAGTCCTCACAGGAGATCTAGGGAGTCTTGAGGGAATGATGATCGATAGGGTGGTTAACAGGGCGGGTTGTCCATGTAATTATGATGAGTTGACCTGGTCGTCTTTAGATTTTTACTATCAACTTAAGAAGTGGTCTTTTTATTTTATTTTAAAGGTGTTGTTATCATCGTGATTAGCTAATTAGAGAAAAGGATTAAGTTCCGTAGTTGCAAAATCGAGGCTACGCCACGGCCCTACGTAAGCTACCAGGAGGTGAAAGATAAGTTCCCGACGCGAATGCCCTATAGGTGTTCAAGAAGGTAATGATTAGCGGTTCTACGTATATCTACAATGTAATAGGTAGAACTTTACGCGATAGGAACTTTTTTATAGGAATTTTCATATAGGAACTTTCTCATAGGATCCTTCACCCCATTCTGGAACTTATCTTTACCGAACTACAGATTCTACGACCGACATACCCACTTTGCTAAAAATACGCAAGCCGGATTCCTGAGTAGGATTGGACGTCTCCGCTTGTTGCGATCGATGGTTTTTTTCACGGTGATGTATGGAGCTTGATACGCCAGAGGTATGTGCCCCTTCGAGAGACGGCGTCCCTTAAGTATGAATTCCAATCAAAAGACTTAAAGCTAAACAATACGACAGTCACAAAAGCAGATCCGCACGCAATATAGAGTTATATTAATAGAATAAATAAGGACTTATCAGCAGTGCTGACTAATTCACACATTACTCGTGCCGGACAGCATTCTACAGGTTAGTTGATCGGGCCACGTACCTATATAGCCAAGGGTGACTTACGCATCAGTCCAGTACGATAACATCGGGCATAGGGACGTCCCCAGACGAGGCTTCATCAGCTAGAGGTGCATCGACAGGGTCCATCACAGTCGCCCAGAAACCGAGATGAACCGCCGGGCTGACCAGTGCGACAGAATCCACGCGATGGTCAGACGAAGCTTCCACGGCCTCGTCAACTGCTGGAGACTGCGGTGAAGATTCTTCGGGCGCAACATGGCCGTCTGGGAGGTCCACGTCAACCTCGCCATCCCCTGATTTCATAGTGGCTTTGCAGTGAACACGCTGGTACTCCCTGCAGTCTGAGCAGCAAAGAAAGCGCTCATTATTGCGCAGTTTTCCGCAGCTGGTGCACAGGCCTGCGTCTTTGTTACGAGCTCTGCGTGAGGTCGCACTCGAGTTCACCTTCACCTGACATCCCGAGCACAAAATGAAAGCCTTGCCATCAGTGTCCAGGCCGCAGGACGTGCACAAGACTGCTTCTATACGGCGATAGAAAAAGGGATTGTCGGCTGTTTTTGAAGCGGTTGATGGGCGTTCCCGCTTAGTCGATGCACTACGGGCTGCTCTCCATTTGCGTTGGGCCGTCCTGCACTTCTGGCACGATGCCAAGCTTTTATCCTCGCGCTCCTTGCCACATTTATAACACATCCCTGCCTCCCTGCGAGACGCCTTGCGTGAAGTTTCCTCAGTCCGACAGCTCAGGCATGCCGTGGAAGCGGGATCGTCGATCTCGAGTTTGCAAGCCCGGCATGGATTCTTAACACCATCCATACCGACAGACTGAGATTCCGAAGTGGCGTTGTCCGTGCTAGAGGTCATCCACGAATACTTTGGCTTCTTTGGCGTGGGTGGGCCAAAGGGTAGGGGAGTTCGCGGTTTGGTAGAGGAACTCATCTCGATTCTTTTCCTTCAGTTGGTCTTTGGGTGCAAGATGCACGCCGATGCCGGCAGCGGATCCCGTGGTTATATTTGGCTGGGGCCGGTGTGCCATCGGCCTCGCGTCGAACAATGATCATTGTCATTTTCTCGGGGTGGCTTTTCATTGTCAACCACGTCCGATCTTGTTTGTCGAGATAACCGTACAAGCTTGACCCAAGGCCCCCTTTCACGATTTCATCAAAGAGGGCAGCGTCCACTCGTCGTCTTCTCTCGTCGCCTTCTCTCATCGTCTTCTCTCGTCGCCCACCTTCTCTCGAGAACTTCTGAAGCCTCACACATATCCAACCTGCCGCTTCCATCATACACTCTGCAAGTATGCACATAAGCACACAGACACACACGTATACACACCTAACTAGTTGTTCGGCCACCTCCGAGCTTGTTCTCAGACCTTCAAGCCCTCACAACTTCAAAGCACACCATACAGCAGCAGCATCATCCTACAACACGTGTAAACTCGCCAATCTGCTCAAGGTTGCAACAGAGCCTAGATTGTTTTCAAGATTGGTACAATCTCTGAATTTGCTGAGTTGGGAACCATGAAATCCTACAACACCTTCACACAATAATGCCCCGTGCAGCTTGCACTTCTGGTGCTGCAACAAGACAACGAATTCCTCGCCTACCTTATACATAGAACCTCGGGTCAACTCGGCAGAGTAACATTAAAGCATCCAAAGACGAGCACAGGCACCGACGCGTCTCCCATTGAAATCTTCTCATAAGGTAGTAGCACTGGAGCACTGGGTGTGGTAGACTCACGGGGGTTCCTGAAGTCATTACGGTTACATGTCACCGACATGGGTATCCTGGCACGCAAAGCCGTCTTCCGCGCTCGACAACAGGTATGAATTTTCTGCCCAGTGCGATTCGAAACATCCATTAGTTTGGCGCTCCCGCGGCCCAAGCCTCGGCATCTTGGCGCAGGTAATACAGTTCAGTCTGTTAATTTGCCGCTCGAAACAGACAAATCTTATATGCGGTATTGAGGGTATTATTCGCAACCTGATGAGGACTGTATGAAGGTGACAGCGTTGTTGCCTATTGGGGTGTGTCTATCTACCTCGCCGTTGGTACGAGAACGCACCCAAGGGGCTGTAGTGGGGCCTTGATGAGCGACACTCTGCTGTCAGATGCAAGCGAGTTCAGATTATTCAGGTTGTTCTGTTTTTGTTTGTTGTTTGTTTGTTTTGTATTAACGTGAGGGGTAGCTCCTCAGTAGTGCAGACCACGCCTCCCAGAGCCTCTGCATCGCAGGGTTGTGGAGGTCTCAAGAAAATAAGTACAGTCAGTCCCGCTCACGGGCCCATCCCCGTTATTGCGGCGGTATGACCTTGGGGTCATCCATCTGGTCCTTCAAGGAAGGCTATCTATCAGGGGCAGATTGTTGAAAAGAACTTGCTCTTCTCCACGAATTTTGCCCATTCTGTGCTCCTCTCTCCCAAGTATTGTAAACAGGCTGTTCTAGGCGAGTACCTAGGCAACAACCGATTTTTCCCCAGCCTCTTACAAAAGAAAATGTGTTGTGGTGTTTTCTTCTCACCACAGTTGCAGTGGTTGTTCGAGTCTGTATGCCCAAAGCGTTCATGGTATCTGGCAAAGTCGCCATGTCCAGATCTGGCTGCTAGAAGTCTGTGTAGAGTGCTCCTCTTAAAAGATATAAGGCCTCTTTCAGTTACTGCATGTGAGTATACTTCTTGATACCTAGGTTCTGATTGGTCTTTCTACCATTGATTGAACTCTTTCTTGCCCTTTCTTTTGAGATCTCTCTTGACCCAAGAGATTGTGGGAAGGTTTATTGTGTCTGTTTCTAGCATGGCGCCCTCTTTTGCTAGTATGTCAGCAGCCTCATTACCATCAATATCTCTGTGTCCAGGAATCCACTTGACGGTCACTCCAGGAGTGTGTGCTGTGGCAAGTTCTTGAAACCGTAGAAAAATGTTCTGTGATGTCTCGGGTGGAGTCCCATTGAGCCCATCTACCACTGATGTGTTGTCCAGGCAGACATATAACTGTTTTCTGTATCCAATTGCCCTGGCTGCTGCAAGACCTTGGAGAGCACCATGGACTTTAGCATCCACTACTTCTGCTTGTAGAAGTCTGTCCCTTCCCCGGTATACTTCTTGTGTAGTGCCGCCTTTCCTGATGGTATAACCCCATCCAGTGCGGATTGTGCCTTGGTCATCCAACTGTGATCCATCTGAGTAGATGACAAGGTCAGTGTTCACGTTTCTCTCTTGTAACCATTGCTTGAAGAGCTCTGTTTCTTTGTCTTTGTCTTTGCGGATTGGGCGCTTCTTCCATGATGGCCTGGTAAGTATTGGTCTCTGGAAGTCAGGGACTAGCTGGAAGCTCCTTTGTAGCCTTGTTGGATCCTTGCGAGCTTGTATTTGGAGCCTGCCAACCAGAGGGTGTCTCTGATCTATTCGACCTAGTCGGAGGCCGTGACGTCGTCTTATTGTCTCTGCAAGAACTCCTGCTGGGGGAATCTGCGATTCAAAGTGTAAGATATGTCCAGGGTGTGTTTTCCAGACTGGCAAGATAGCCCTGATCGCCGTTCGTAGTACGGCATCTATTGTTCCAAGAAGCCCCTTAATGCGACATGCTGATGTCTCACCTAAGCTCCCAGCTTTCTCGATTCCTGGGTACCAGGCCTCCAGGCCATGTGTGAGAATAGGAATAACACAAGCTTTCACAGCCCTCTTGGTTGACTTTACTGGAAGTCCTTTGACTGTGTTGCATAGTCCTCGAAGGTGATTTGCTACCCTACTAGCTTTCTTGGCCCAGTAAGAAACATGGTCTTTGAAGTTTAGTTTCCTATCCAGAAGGACACCTAGCCATCGCATGGAATGCTTAGCTGTTTTGTTCATTGTTCCGTGGCAAACTGGGGGATTGTCTGAGTTCTTTTTCCGTGAGAAGTGCATGATCTCGGTTTTGTCGGGATCAAATTTAATAGCATTGTTATGTCCCCATTGATTGAGTAAATGAAGATTTTCAGAAGCCTCTGTAGCTGTTTCTTTAAGGTTCTTTCCAATGCAGAGTGTTGCTAGGTTATCTACATATCCAAAGCGTCTTTTTTTCATGCCAAGTCGGGCACAGATTGGCTCTGTATACAGCATGTAGAGGATTGGAGAGACTGGTGAGCCTTGTGGGAGCCCACAAGTGAGAGCTTTTATGTTGGTCACAGTACCTTCAAACCGAACTCTTGCGGACCGCTCGGACATGAACGACTGGACCCATCTTATGAGAAAGCCTGGCCAGCCCTGTTCTCTCATGCGAACCACCAGCCGTCCCATTAGGGCAGCATCAAAGGCCCCTTTCACATCTGATATGACTACCGTTGCAACGAGGCCTTGGTCAAGGGCCTGCTCAATATCGTGTATGAGTGCAGCTACCAGGTCAGTGGCAGAGCGCTTTGGTAGAGCTCCAAAATGTTGTGGGGCTAGAATTCCAAGTTTGACAACAAACCAGGTAATTCTTTTCGCAATGAGTCGTTCTAGGCCCTTGCCAAGACATGACAGTAGCGATATTGGTCTGTAGGCCCTGGGATTGGAGTAGTCTTTCTTTCCTGGTTTTGGGATCATCACCACCTCAGCTACTTTGAATGGTTTAGGGTGGTGTCCAATCAGTAGGCAGGTCTGGAAAAGGGCTCTGATATGTTCACCAATGACTGGCCAGCAAGCTTTCAGAATCCGTACTGTGAGGGTATCTACTCCCGGGGAGTTGCTCTTGGTTCCTAAAGTGCACCCTTCAGCCTCTTCCAGTCCGACGTGGTATTCAAAGGGGATGTGTGGCTTGGGTTGTATGATCTGAGCGGACCAGGGGTCGATGATATCGTTGTCTGAGGTACTTCGTTCAAGCGTGGCTGAGCGTAATGCATTTGCCTTGCTCTCTTGTGACTCGAATATTTGGTCTCCTATGATGATTGGAGGGGAACGCAATCCTGCTGATAACTTGTGCCAAGAGACAATTCTGTATAGGTCCTTTGGCTCAGTTGCTGAATTGATTAGAGTCTGCCAGTACTCTCTCCTAGCTTTCCGAACCACGCCGCGAAATTCCTGTCGGGCTGAATTCCGTCCTTCTTGGCTTGTAGTCTGTTTGGAAAGGGCCCTGTATGTCTGAACAGCTGCTTTGCAGTCATCATTCCACCAAGCAGTGGGCCTAAATTGACGGGGCCTCTTGCCCACTGTCCTGATACAGCCTTGGATCATGTTGATCAGGCTTTGTGTAAAGGTGTCCACCTGGCCAGGGGATACACCCAGCCGGGGGAGTTCATGAATCCTGGTTTGGACATTATCTGCCAGCTCCTGTAGTTTATCGTCCGGTACTATCCAATGATTGGCCTTGGGTACTCGGTCCAGATCTCCCTGGATTGGAATGACTATTCGTAATGTCTTATGATCTGAGGTGCACTGAAGTGCATCATTGACTGAGGCTTCAGCCATGGGGACATCAGAGAACACCAGATCTAGTACATTTCCGTCATTATGTGTCGGGACATCTGGTTCAGAAATCAGATCCAGTCCGTGGTCTGCCATAGTTTGTGCAAGTATAGCACTACCATGATATCCTGGATTGCTTGAGTCCCAGGATGTGTCGCCAGCATTGAAATCTCCAGCTATAACGCAGCCAAAAGGTGGAGTCCATACTTCCAGAATGTCATCCACTTCCTGTGGGTTGTCACATGGCCGGTAGACACTGGCAAATGTAATGCCTTGTACCTTGACCCAGGTGATGTCTCGTGTAGCATAGGGCCGAAGTTGATCCGCTTGAAGGTATTTTCTCACATAGATGAGAGATCTGGGCCGTGTACTGTCGCTGTCCCAGGAATCCACTGGGGAGTATATATCGTAATTGGGGTGTGTCTTTACTCCCATTCTCCTGCCTGGTGGTATGCCAACCCAGGGCTCTTGCATCAGAATGATGTCTGCTTGTTCTCCTTTATAGTCAGCCAGGTTGATGGCTAACTCTGTAGGGCCTGCACTCTTTTGTCCCCCTGCTGTATTCACAGAATGGATGACTAGATGCCCGTGTCGATGTGTTTCGTTTGATGTACCTAACATTGACTGACAACAATGGTATCGGCATCTCTGGGATGAGTTGTATCTGTTGTGTCGATTTGCATTGTGGTGTCTTTGTTATTATTGTTAGGTGTTGACCCAGCTTGGTTTCTGCCTGCTTCGTTGAAGGCCTTGGATCTGGCTCTTTCTCCGGCTAGCCTTATTTCCTGGATTTGCTCCCATGTGTGCTTATGGATGGTACCTTTCATAACCTTGGGGCGGGCAGGGCATTTGTCGAAGTTGGCAGCATAAGGTCCTTTGCAGTTGACACACTTTGGGATTGGGTTTTCGCACTCTCCCTGGTGTACTGTGTTGGCGCAGTGTGCACATACTTGCTTTTCGCATCAGTAATTCCTACCATGGTATCTGAAGCAGCTTGCATACTGGTGAACCTTGGGGGTGTGTTGAATATGCCTTGAGGTCATTGAGTGGGCAAAAAGCGTGAATGGTTTCCTTGCTGCACTGGGCAGAGAGATTATCCATGTAGTTTCTGGATCAGAATTAATCGTGTTCCTTGAGAGTATGCACCTCAGAGGTCTGTCGCCTGTTTGGGCTTCAACTTTATCGGTAACAACAATATCAGTAATATCGATTGTGAACCCTTCTGTACTGATGACCTTTCTTGGGCATCCATTGACCTTGTAATGATGCCAGACTGTGTGGGTCTCAATCTTTTGTGCCTTGAGAATGTCGGCAATTTCTTCTTGGAAAGCCAGAAGCTTAGCCTGAGTTGGCTTGTCCCTTGGGTGTAAGGTAAAACCAGAAGGACACCGTGTCACTTCTCTAAGCTCCTGAGGGTGGAGCTTAAGTCTTCTGTTCAGTGTAGACTTGATTCCATAAGGCTCTAAGTGGCTATTATCCATGCGGACAAAGACCCGGAGATCATCCTGCTTCTTCTTCAGTTGGTTGGCAGTGATAAGGGCGCCAGGCTGTGTTTTCTTCATGGTAGTGTTGACTGTCCATGGATGCTGTCGTTGGCCAGAGGAGACAGCTTGGGCGAAGGTCATGGTGGGCTTCCCTATCCCTATCCCGCCAGGAGTGGTCTTTTTTTTGGGCAGATCTCGGGTTTCCAGCCACTCGTTCAGGCATTTGGAGAAGAAAGCGCTGAACTCCTTGGCATGAGAGTATAGTTCGGTTCCAGCTTTTTCCAGTGTCTTATCGACTGCTGCAGCACATTCTTGAAACATTGTCATCCTGGCTTCATAGAGATGCTTGTCTTTAGCCAGTATTTTGGCTACTTGGTCCTGGCACTTTGAGGAAGAGACCTTGTTCCCTGTATCGCCTCCAATGGCTTGGTCTGTAGAGATTTTGTTTGATTGAGGTACTTCCATATCAATGATGCTGCTAGTATTAATATTTCGGGATTTTCCTTTCAGAGGGGAAACAATGGTGAAGTCAGCCTCAGAGACCTGTGACGGGCTGCTGTTGATGTCGTCGAGCAGTGCCTGGCGGAGCTTGCTTGGGGTTGCCGGGCCATATGTTCTTTTAGGGACCGGGGATTTGAGCACGCCGCCAGTAGTCGTCTTTGGGACGGCCACTGGCGTATTTGGGGGCCTATCGTGAAGGGGTGCCATCCAGCTTGTGAGAAAAATTTTCTGCGCCTTGGCAAGGATAGTCAGGTACTGAAATAAATGCCTGTTTTAGTGCAGATATAGAGGTTGCGCCCTAACAGCGGGGCGCCAAGAAAAATAGTTGTGCTGGTCTCTTCTGTTTGGCAACTCTCTTTTGCTCACTGAGCAGACGTGAGCAAGGTCTGATCACGTGACCCCGATCCTCTGGATCACGTGATCGGCTACCATGCGTTGTCTCGTATCGTGCCTGTGTTCCCATTGGCCCCCTCTGGTTGCCTTCCCTTCGGGCCTGCCAACGGGCCTGTGGTGATTGTTGGTTCGTAACACTAGTCAATATCCGTGGCTTTGCATTCCGGAGCGACATGGCCAGGTTGGTATCCCAGCTGTAGAATCCCGACGGATGACTACGCCCTTCAAGGCAGAGGCGTACTTGGATTGCCCTCACAGGTTCGAACTTGACGCAATCGCGCCCGGCTTATTATCCCACTATAAGAGCCAAGCGACGATCGAGATAATGGACGCAAACCAGACGGCCGCACTCAAAGCCGTACGCGATGATGTCTCCAAGAAGTGTGTGGCGGAGAACTTAAAACTTCGGACTGTCACAGTAACTTGTCCGCGTTCATAGCAATTCGATCCTACCGACACGGAAGAGGGCATCGAATAGAAAAAGAATGTCTCTGAAAGGACGAGAGGCGTTTTCAAATCAGTCTTCAAAGGTTGCGACGTTGATACGTGTACGGAACCAGAAGCCTTGACTTGGGGTGTTATGGAGCATCTAAAACAAGATGTGTTACCAGAATTGAAACCTGTGTGGTTATTCGATTTCGGCGGCCATTCTCTCGTAGGTTTTCTGATTATTTCCCCCGGTGGCAGATCACAGCTCTCGCTAAGTCGTAACAGGAAGGGTGTATATTTCATCTCGCCAGAAGAGATGAACAACTCTGTCACTACGTCGACGGGCAATTCTGTATGTATCTCATGTAATTGTGTCCTGTCCATCCAAACAGTATCTAACAACTCCAGACGGGCGAGGCGGCCCAGAGTCGCTAAGAACAATGTTCTTGCCGCTGCACAAGTCCCAGACGGTTCCCTCCCAGGAGACTTGGAGACCATCATATCGAACTTGACACCAACATCTGAACCAACAACGCTTTATTGCTCAGGCGCCTCATTCCCCCTCAGTCAAGAATCCATCGTGAATTGTTGGGAAACCGCAATGTCTCATGCCGTTAGGGTTCTCACAGAAGAACTGAGGAATATCCCTGAGGGTAGCACTGTCGTGTTCTTTGGTGGTGGTTTCTATCAGAAACACGTTGCTGGTATCGCCAGACAGATATCCGAGTCACGGTCTTTAAATGTCATCGATCTCAATCTGGCAGATTGTGCGGCAGTATCGCTTGACCTAGCACTACGGTAAGTCTACTTCGTGAAACACGTCGTACATGGGTCCCGCTAAAGAAACAACGTCAGGCATATATTGATTGCTCGTGGTGCTGCCGCAGCACGTGCGAAAGGTTTGACAGAAGACGAGTTCCACAAACAAGGTGCAGCTATATATCTCCAGATGATCCATCCAATCTTTGGTAGCAAGGCCACAGTGGCGTTGATGCTGCGAGGGGAGTCTCTGGGTCCCAAGCCGTTGAAGAATTGGGTCGATAAACATATCCGACCCAAGCTCCGTCTCATCTGTGACCCGTCCTTTGATAGAGAGGACATGTCTAATGACCCAATTGACTTGGCCAAGTGCTACGATATCCACACGCTAGGCAACAAATGGCCCACACCGCGCACTTCTGTTACGCTCGAGCGGAGCCATGATACTCTCACGTTCAAGATCAAAGGAATTTAAGATACCGGTATTTCATCATTTTGGATCCGGATACTTACTCGCCAACTCGGATAGGCCCCTGCCTATTCTACGAAGTGAACCTCTTTAAGATCTCTGCTTTGGCATTATCCAATGTGCAGTTCTAAAGCATAACAAGCGGCATAAATGTCACATCGTCTGGAACAAGGTAAGAGCATACTGCGTCCCCAGTATTACCATCTAACCGTACTTGCAGGAGAGATCGAAGCTGCCGGCTCGAGTCTCAGTCGATCCAAGAACTGGGACTCTCGAGGTCTACTGCGCTAATAAGACCATACCTAAAAGCGCCAACCAGTTCCATGATGGGTCTCTCGTCGCCCAACTTGAAGTGCCTAATGCGGAGAGTGGGGTGGCTATGGTTTCGATGCGGGTTCACAATCAATGTTTCCTCCTAGTCATGAACATGGGGTCCATGGTGCACACTTGGACCTTCGGGGTCAATGAGCCGCATGATGGCCCTGTCAACCCGTCCCGGTCAAACCCAGGAGTTCCTCCAGAATCCAACCAGGTATTTTCGAAGGGCTCTTATTGTTTGACCGACTCGGAGCTACGTCCTGCAATTGTGATGGAGGTGATTGATGATAGTAACAAGACAACCATCTGCCATCTGGATGATTTTACCACGTGAGTCAGCCCTCGTCCCAGTGTCTCTTTACAAAAGTGATTGATGCAAGACGTAGTGATACGGTCCCTATCACTTAATTGCGTTCGCTGGAGAGTCCCCAGTTTCTTTGCTGTATCACAGACGATATGCCGGCAGAGAGGAAGGAGCCCTTCCTCTACGCTGCTGCAGGGCCTCTATGGTCAGAGGTCAATGAGAAGCGTAAGCTACAAGGTAACCAGCTGTCTGTCCAAGGCCAGAGTCGGCAGATTAACGCTAAGTTGCTACAGCCCCTGATAATTCATGCGGCCTGCATACAAAGCGACGAAATGATCCTATCAGGCAAGTTCTACTGTAAATACTCCAAATTGGTATAACCTATTAAGATTACAAAACTTAGCAATGCGAACAAAAGACGAAAGCTACCTGGAAAGACCATGAGTACAAACATTGCCAGAGATAATTTGATTATTTCTGCCTGTGATTGGAGCAGTCCTACAGTGCCTCGCGAAGATGGTGAAGATCACGACGATGTTCGTTCTCGCCTGTCTATATCCTCTCAATCTGGATCAGAGTTCTAAGGAATACTTAAGTGGGTTGCTTTTCTTCATGTATCTAATAGCTTTCCGGCATCAGGAGGGCAGGCACCAGCATACTGCCTAAAGCTATCGGCGTGCATTTATTCCAACTACATTCCCTTATAAAAATAGATAGAAGGATAGTGTTTTTTTAATGAAGGACAACCAGCGTCGCTCGATAAAATGTGTCCCATCGGAAAAGGCCAGACAGCAAGGTTGCCTATGCACTGTGCTGAGTAGACGAGGACATCAGAAATATTACATAGAAAGCGTTATAAGATGACACCACAATAATCGATTTGCCGGTATCGCTCACCATGTGCTCTGGGATCAGGAGGCTTGAACACAATATGTGTCAGCGACCCCTGGTTGTGGGCCTAGGATGATGTCATGGAACAATATGGAACAGGTATCGTGGAACGAGTTAGAGTCTCTGAACGAAATTCTATATAATTGGCTTGTGAAATATCTCTTTGTTTGTTTTGTCTTTTCTCTTTGTCTCTCGTCTTGTACTACACCACTAGTGCATAGGATAGCAATATCAGTGTCGATCTACTCACCGGCCAATCTTTGTTCGTCTCAGCCTTGACACTTCTTCTACGACCCCATCGAAGAAGACGAGGAAGATACAAGCGGAACCACGTGAACATAAGCGAAAAGGACTCGACGAGTGAAGAGCATAGTCACTCTTCTACACAGGCGCCTGAGGCTAAGAAAGCCCGGATGATAAACCGTCCGAAACCACACACTGATAGTACAGGAACTGGACAAATCAGACTGCCCCAGGGATCTTCAGACCTTGAGAGGCTCAAAAGAAAACTTGCTAGTGGAGCTAGAATACACCGGAGCGAGCTCCCATCACTACCGAGAACTCACAAGGATCTACGAGACCACTTGATGGGTCGGGGTTCCGGGGGTGCAGAGAGAATGCCGTCATTTAAGAAGATATTATACAGTATATAATTGATTATTTCATTATTGCAAGGGTAGACACTCTGGGAAATACGAGCTGCGGGTCATACAACCAAGGACAGAATGCCCACAAACAAGGTCGGACCTCCAAGACTATATGTGTGAGCCGTTCGTATGGTACGTTACGTCCGGTACGAGGGCTTAGCTTCATGGCCTTGGCCCTGGGCTCGTCACGGCTGGGTGGCTGCGGCGCTCTCGTCCTGGCTGAGCTGTATTTCTAATGCTGTTGTTCCCTTCGCCACGGAGCCGTTGGGCGAGCTGCAAATCTCTCTAAAGCTGTGATTAATCCAACTATTAAGCCTAATGACTCAGTGCACACACATACCTGCTGGATTGTAACGCGCTTTGCGTGGATAGCACAGAGGTTGGTATCTTCGAACAGAGACACAAGATGTGACTCTAGAGCTTCTTGGAGAGCACCGAGCGCTGACGATTGGAATCGTATGTCATTCTTATAGTCATGGGCAATCTCACGAACATGTAGTTCAGTCAGTAGAGTCATCACTTAAAAAATAAAAATAAAAGCTTTATGCAACCTACTAGTCGCTGAAACAGTAGCTTGCGAATTAGTAGATCGGTCGACCTCTGATAACGTCGAATTTCGCGCAGGGCCACGGTACCAGGCTTATAAAGACGTGATTTCTTAGTATGAACCGTTTTCGGCTTGCTCCCTGTGCTCTTGGATGCTAGTTGCTTGCGTGGAGCTTTGCCGCCGGTGGATTTTCGTTCTGTCTGTTTTGTGCGTGCCATAATGCGGACAGTAAATGAGAGGAACAACGTGGTAATTTATAAAGAGGTAAGTGGTGCCAGTATTAAAATCATGGTATAAGAGTTTTGTCATTGAAGATGACAAAGTGAAACATTGTGTTATCTAACGCAACGCCACCTTGGCCGCTTTTTACTGTTAGATTTCGCGGGCTGGGGATGATAAAAAAATGTTTGCAAGAAGCTTTTGTCTAGTAAGATTCAAAAATAGCGGGCTCAAGGTCATATACATGACTGATTGATTGATTGATTGTATTTAACGTGGGGGATCGCTCTTCAGTAGTGCAAACCACGCTTCCCAGAGCCTCTGCATCGCAGGGTTGTGGAGGTATCAAGATAATAAGTACAGTCAGTCCCGTCACGAGCCCATCCCCGTTGTTGCGGCTGTATGGCTTTGGGGTCATCCATCTGGTCAAGGTCATATACATCATAGTGAGCTTCACCCTAGTCATACCTCGAGCGGACCGACGGAACTTGTGGCCGAGGTTATTGATAGGTTATCGCAGTGGAACCCATGTTTGTGTAAATGACGACGGTAAAGGAGACACGGTTGCGCCTGACGACGAAACATGAGATTAGACCGATTGGACTGCTCGACTGGGACATACGGATGAAGGCACATGACTAGTCCAAGAGGTGGATTGCGCAAACGATGGAACCTGCGAGAAGACTGAAGCCTGCGATCCGGTCATGTTCTCAAGGTGGCCCGGTGATACGGACTGGGTCATCAGCTCATATCCCGAGTGATGATGCGGATACTTATGCATCGTTTCACGTGTTTCATGTGAGACTCTATTCTTTTCTGGCAAAGGATTCAGTTCGTCATCTCCGTCCATCGTCTGATATCCACCTCGAACAGTCTGAGATAGTCTCCCATCTCGACATCCTCCGCTGTTGCGCGGCGATTAGGCGTCCTGTGTGGTCATCCGGACAGCACAGGGGCAGCGCTCATAGTTGCAGCCACGAAGCAGAACATACTTTTGTTCTTATCAGAGACATTGTCATACATTTATTGATTTGATGGACGATCCATGCAAAGGAGATCCTGGTCCCCAATTTTTGCATGTACGGACTGGACACAGGAAGTTGAAGCCTGTCTCATCACCTTCCGGGGAGCTATTACCATTCTCCGAGGACAGCCTCAAACTCGAAGACAAGATGAAGCAAATCTATCAAGAGAACGAGATATACACCTGGCCACCAAAAAAAAAAACCTCTAAACAATGGCGTCAAATAAATAGCGGCACTTGCAGCCCAAAGCGACAACTAGCTCCGCCGGCGAAGCGAACCAGTTTGACCGTCGGCGGGACCATCGACGGCAGCGACGTCGTCCCCAGAACCACCCAATGCTGCCCTTTGCACAGACGGCCACCAGGACGGCACCAGTCGGGTCTCAAATTCAACGTCAACACAACCTCTTCGGTTCTCTCACTTCTAAACAATCATCTTAAGTCCGGTGCTCTTGTGCTTGTGCTTGTGCCGCCCCGGGGTCTCAAGAAACTCTACACGGCATGTTTAATTTGTTGTCGACCCGTGTCGAAGAGCTGGTTACAATGTGAGTAGACAAGCAACTTGATAAATAAAAGAAACTAATGTATGCTTGCGTCTCCAGGAACGGGACAATGTAAGTGTCAACAATCCTCCGACGCAGCCGGCATACACGTATGCCGGCGTGTGGGCACCCATCGCAATTGGGATAACCGAGGCATCAGCTATGCATCAGCCACGCATCAGCCGTGCATCAACTTTAATCGTGCCGTAGCTTTTATCTCCATTGCGCACGTCTTAAAGCCTACTACAATGGCCATAGGACCACTACCACTCCTAATAGTACGATGCGAGTGACCTACGAATAAGCAACTTGCAGATTCAACCACTGCAAGTGCACAGCCACCACTATTATCGGGCTGCGTGCAATTCTATTTCTACAAACATGCAGAGACCATCTGCAAGTACTCATCAAGTGGTTACATCCTCCATGTTAGTACGATTCATTATGGCATCGGTTTCTTGCAAGTTACCACATCATGGAAATTCCTAGAATCCTTCAGATCTCAGTCGTCTGC